CAATGAGTGACAGGCAATTCAAGTGCCGAGTGTTTCAACGAGAGGCTGGTAGCGTCGGAGCCTGCGACACGGTCCAAGGGAGGGCGTCGAGGGGGGGAGGCAGTTGTGGTGAATACAAGCAAGACCGACGGGCTGGACACTGCGCCCAGTCCGAGTGAATAGTCGATGAGAGGCTGAGAGGATTCGTGAAGATGTTGAAGGAGAAAGAAAAAGGGAGGGCGGCCGAAGTAATTAAGACCAGTGACGAATTAAGTGTGTATTTGTATTACCGTAACCTATCGGTTCAGCTGTTCACCCTTTTACTTCTGGTCTTTTTATTTTTTTTACTTTGTCTACACATGCTAACATCCTCATTATTTAAAGACTTTGGTCTACAGCCGTTTTGAACCTAGGACTCTGTCTTCGGTGATATTTGCATGTGCTTTGCAGCTTTATCACGGCATGCGATATCAGAGATATCGTTCCATCCGGTTGCGGTTGTTGATGCCAAGTTGGCATGCAGGAACGGAACATTTTGATCTCAGATTTATTCGTTGCATCGTATGGACAGTTATGCAATGTGCCTCGCATGGACTCTTTCGCTTCGCCTTTTGTATCTGTTGAGTCCAGCTGCCGATCATGACGAAATAGGGAATGCTGGCTGGGAAGTGATCATCCCACCGCGAAGTGGTCTTGTTCGAGTACGCCTGAATAGGCAGGGTGAATACGGCGTAGAGAAGATATAATTCTGCTCATGATAGTCAACCTGAGTGCAGCTGTGCACTCGAAATCGCCAGTTCTCGCCCTTGGTGGAGGCAAGGGTGGGTTTGATAACGCATTTCTCAAAGTTGAAGAAACCGTTTCCGGCGCTGGGCAGTCGGATATGGCGCAGGCGATTAGGAGATTTGGGGAATGTAAGCCAGAGCCCTCGGGTGATAGACCGATATATCTCGTCGTCCTACGTTGGATCTACAGAGTCCCTGAGATCTCTATAGTTCCCAGTACGCACTTGTATCCTAATACCGTGAGATACCGTGAGCGCCGTCGGCATATTGCACCGCATGTCCATTAGTCGAGTCGCCTAGACAAAGCCAGACAATATAAGCGACTCCAAAGAAGAGGCATCCGGACAAGCCGATGTCTCTCATGATGATGAGTACATATAAACTACATATAGATCACGTCACATAAGGTGTGCGCTTGGACCCAGACTAAGACATAACTATAAGACCCTTGGAATCAAATATCAGTACTCCGTACGGAGTAATATTACAATACTGAGGACAAGTATCTGGGAAATGATTAAAGGACGATCGCCCTGGCGTCCAGCCGCGTCAGCCAGTCACAGTCAGACGGGGCAAACGAGGCCAACGCCGCCCCCCACGGACACGCGTCCCTTAAAGGCTGGGGGTTACGAATTGCCTTGCATTATATGCTTTGACGTTTCAAATTCTCTACTTTGCACAATTAATACTATTATTCAGTGATGTACTATAGACAGTTCTGTCTGCTCTTAGCCGCACCACTACATAACATAGGATTCTGTCTCCTACTGTACTTACACTGTAACGTACTGATTCGGACCCTGAAGCTTATCGCCTAACGTGTTTTTGGTGGCGATTGGCATTTCAGCCATGGTCTCCCTCTGCGAGTGGGCCAGGATCGACAGATAAACTGGAGGCTGTGGTTTGGTTCCTGTCCCTTTTTTGTCGTTCTTTTCGCCTCACGACTTCGTAATGCGCGTCATCATCGTTCTATATATATTAATCTGATATGTCCGCCTGTCTGGGGGCGATTACTACATACATATGTACATGTTTCACTTAAGTTCCGCGGACGGAGAGCACAGTGACGCTGTGGAGAATCATCCACTTCTGCCCAGACCCGTAGCCAAGACGGTTTGCGACGTTAGAGCTGAGCGAGACATTTTAATCTCAATAATCTCGGCATCGTCCAGACGTAGCATTAGCAGTTTTGTCTTGATCAAGGCGAGATGGTCAGGGTCGTATTTCGAGTGTGCTACTATTAGCCTGCGCCCAACAGTCTTACGAATCCCCTGCATCACCCTCACGCCAAAGTACAGAAATGGGCTGTGAGTGGCATTTTAAGCTTGAATGGTCGCCTTGGCGCTACTGTCATGACCAGGGTCTTCATAGTGTATTGCTCTTACGGAGACCCTGAAATTTCTAGAATCCCGAGTGGGGACGACCCCTGACTACATGTGATTCTCGATCTGCCGAATTGGACGTCCAAAATCGGGGATTTCGCGGTAGATAGGCGCTGGTGAAGTGCCAGGGCACGAACACCTGATAAAATGCTGCATTAGGCGACGTGAATGCATCTAGAAAAGGGGGGAGCTCGCCATCCTGGGCCGTTAATACGTCTTCCACGGTTAGTCGGAGAACGCAATCTAAAACCGGGAAATGGCTCCGCTAGACTATCCTCGTTGTGGTCCATGCTAAGCTTTGGTTGTATTAACTTGGATGGTTTTGGTCCTGACACGCTGTTTGAAGCCAGAATCTTATCTTGAGTTGACCCATCAGGCATAAGGTCATACATTGTTAACCTTGGAAAACCAGTAGCGACAATGTTCGGAGATTGGATGTCAAACAATAGAAATGGCTCTGTAGATTTACGACCAGACACTCTAAGCCCGAAAATCCTTCCCCAGTCAAGCCTCCGAGAACATGCTTCTCTCGCGCCCATCGTTTACACAGACCTCTCGGGATTTCCCGAAGCCTTGACCAAGTACCTAGTATAATAATGACCAGTGGTTCACTGGTACATCTCATTAGCCTATCTTCCATTTTTAGTAATATCCCATGGCATCGATGGCCACTTCATAGACATATATATACCAGGTAGAGTCCAGATCCACACACAGTTGTTTACTTCCAAGGTTCTTTTCACTTCGACATCATACATCCATGATCACCACCGAGTTTGAGACATTCCTTCGTACCTGACTGGGCGAGTTCGAAATCAGCATAAAGAATCAAAACTAGCACAACGGCGGGAAGTTGGGTGAGTTCCCAAGCTATTCCAATCGGAACCATGTTCCTGCAGCAAGAAAACGATAAGAAGGTGTCAGATTCACTGCGGCGTGCACAGCATCACTTGCCACTAAACAATATTATAAATCACGAATCTAGCTAGTCCAGCACTCAAAAGTGCATGGGTGGAAGGCCACATTGGATGACATGCGAGATAAGCCATCGGACGGGATGCAAACGACTCGCATTCCCGAGGCTGAACGAGCGATGGTTCAACATGGCGGATTGTTTACTAAAGAGGGCAGGGTAAAACCCAGCCAATACCCAACCTGGGAAGGTCTAGAGTATTTTGCTGACCGCAATTTCATCCTGCGTTTGCTGTTAGACCCAAACGGATTCCATATGAGAGTACCCTGTGAGACACCTACCTCGTAGTCCCCTGGGATGATAAGCCCTTTGACAGTGTGACTCTTCATACCAATATGCCGATGAATATATGCGAGATAGTCAGGAGCCCCAGGCACAAGGATGTTATCAGCGACAACCACCGACCCAGGATTCAAAAGAGACAAGCTTAGACAGAGCTCGAGATCAGCCACGTACAGATCCTCGACATGATCCAAGAACAAGAAGTCAATCGCGACTAGTTTGCTTTCTGCATGAAGCCTTTTTATCGAATCCACCGCTGGGCCCACTACAACTTTGACAATGTCACTCAAGCCAGCAAGCTCAACAAGGTTCATCGTGATTGACGCCATCAGAGGATCAGCCTCCAAGCTCCAGAGTCTCAGGTCATGTTTCAAGTTGGTATCACCGCGAGTGCGACGCATCGCATCGGCAAAGGATATGGCCGAATAGCCGACATAGGCGCCCAGTTCCACGAATATAGAGGGGTTTTCATGTTGAATCAAGGCGTGGATTTTCCCGCTTTTATCTGGGCCAATGTTGATCAAGAAATTCTCTTGCGCGGCGAACTCGTCCATCGCACGGAGAATCCGTGTTGGCGAGCCGCGGAGCTCATTCAAAGCAGGGTGGTTGTAGATATATCTCAGAAGATTGATCTCGCGTCCATCATGGGAAATAATGGTATTTTCATCAAGGACATTTTCGGAAGTGGCAGGTGGGTCCTTTGGCAGCATGGCTTTTAAGACTCGTGAAGTCTGAGCAAGGCGATATGATTCCTCTTGAATGGGGGCAATGTTGGGAAAGTTCTACCTAGGTACTAGGTAGAAGCGGAGATGGCCTGGAGACCAAAGTGACTCTCAGAGAGCCATAGGCTGTCATGCAAGGGATTCGATCTTGTACACTCTTTACATGGAGTATGCTCAGTTCCCTCAGGCTTAGCAGTACTACCAAAGAGGAGCCAAGGCATAGGAAATATGCTCGAGCCTAACCTGGACACGCCAGTTCAAGCCGAGGCAAAGTACGTATCTCCGAGTTCAGCATCGGGGCAAAGGGCCTCACCAACACAAGTCTGCAGCTTTGACAGCAATTAATGGATATTCAAGCCATGGCTCATACATAGTATACATCAACTATTTACATGTACTATTTAAACCATATTCCAAGGGTGCGATAGAAATGAAGTGTTCACAGCAAGCTTGGCAACGGAAGTTTGTGAGGGGTATGCAGATGTGCATACAATTGCTTTGTCGAGATGAGACACGTCCAACGGGGGAGAGACACTCCGAATAAGTTGTACTCCACAAATGGTGTCTAAGCACATAGATTTTAATATCGCGCTGCAGACGAGTTGACAATTGCAGAGTCTCGGGCCCCGACACTCCACACTGCACTAATTTCCCCCAATAAAACCTGTCGTTCTCTCCTGAATTTCTGGCCTTTCTCCACATCTCTTCGCCATGTTCAGTACCGTTTCTGATTTTGACCAGGTAGAGTTGACTTTCCATCGGTGGAAGATCTGCGCTCATCGTCAACCAGGCCTACCAAAGTGTCCAGCACGCATTTGCGGCTGGCACCACCAAGAATAAAGAATGGAGACGCCATCAACTCAAGCGTGCTTGGTGGATGATCGAGGACAATAAACAGCGCATTACAGATGCGCTCTATGCCGACCTCCACAAGCACTACCAAGAAGCCTACTGTGGCGACTGCAAGGGTGTCCAAGGAGATATCCTCCGCACCCTGGAGAAATTCGACGAGTGGACCAAAGATGAGAGACCCTCCAGATCCGATCCGCTCAACTTCTTGGGAGGGACAACGGTGCGCAAAGAGCCCCTTGGTGTGACTCTCATCATCGGCGCATGGAACTTCCCTATAAGTCTCAGCTTACAGCCAATGATTGCTGCGATCGCGGCCGGATGCGCCGTAATCCTCAAGCCCTCCGACATAGCTAGTGCCTGTCAAGACTTACTGATGGAGATCGTCCCCAAGTACATGGACAACGATGCCATCCGGTGTGTTTCCGCCGGGCCCCAGGAAATGGGGTACATTCTGGAGCATCGCTTCGATCACATCTTCTACACAGGATCTCCAAATGTCGCCAAGATCATCCACGCCGCGGCAGCGAAACATCTCACTCCTGTGACTCTCGAACTGGGTGGCCAATGTCCGGCCATCGTCGCTGAGTCGGCGAATCCCGACCTGACGGCAAAGCACATCGCTGTTACCAAATTCATGAATGCTGGTCAGGTAGGATCTGACCCTCACGATGCCTGGGAAGCTGATTTATCTCAATAGGTCTGTCTGAATGTGAACCACGTACTCGTGGATCCTGTCCTACGGGATCGCCTCGTGGCCGAACTGAGCCGGTACTTCGATGTCTTCCTCGGCGGCCAAGACAACAAACCAGAATACTACACACATATCATCAACGATCGCAACTTCGAACGTCTCGATAACCTTCTTCAAAAGACCTCAGGAAAAATCGTATATGGCGGCCAACGCGATCGCGCCACCCGATACTTCGCCCCAACCATCGTAACAGGAGTCCAGCCCGGCGACTCGCTCCTCTCCGAAGAAATCTTCGGACCAATCCTTCCCATCATCGACGCAGACTTTGACGCAGCCATCAAATTCACCCGGAGCGGCGAACACCCACTCGCCATCTATGCCTTCACAAGCCAAGAGGCAGACAAGTCCCGGATCTTGAACGAAACCCAGTCCGGAGGCGTGACGTTCAATGATTGCGGTCTTCACGTCGCTGGTCGGGACGTGCCTTTCGGGGGCGTTGGAAACTCAGGCCAAGGTCGGTATCACGGCCCGCATGGTATTTTGACGTTCTCTCATCTGCGCACGTATACCAATGCTCTGCCTACGTGGATTGAATCTCTGATTGCGGCGCGATACCCCCCTTATTCGGTCGATAAGGCTCATCAGATGAATCCGCCTGCTGCGCCGCCGTTTGATCGGGAGGGTAATGATATAACCGGTCGTTCGAAGTGGACTTTGTTTGGAATCCTTGCATTATCTGGACTGGTCATGGCTCGGCAGGATCAGATCGTGGCCCTCGGTACAAAGTTGCTTAAATAGGTAGTGTTCACGAGTCGGCAATTGAGATGCCTTTTCTTCCGCTCTTTTCATTGGTGTAATTACTTCGGATCTGCTAATTATCGGGTGCGGGGAATGTCTTCAAGGGCTATAGATCGGCACAAGAGATTGGGGGAATTTGAAACCCGTGATGAATACTTCACTCAAAGTGATAGGTATGTGAGTGCAATTGAGCTATGATTGATATAATTTCATTTTATCTAGCATGTCCAAAGCTGTAGGACGCCAGGTGAAAGTGTAGAGGTCCGGGGATCACGGCGACAACACCGGTGCTTGCCGAGATAAGCTAGTGGGACAACTTCAACAGAAAAGAAAATGCCATGGATTTAGCCGAGTCTATCGTGCCATAAAGAGAGCGGGGGAAGAGTTGGGAGTGAGGTTGCTCAATTCCCTTCTTTCCTCAATAGATTCACCATGAAGCTCCCACTGGCCCTACTAGGACTCAGCGTCGTTCAAAATGCCTGCCATATCCTCGCCGTACCCCTCGATACCTGGTCGAGTAGATCCGGAGCGTCATCCCAGGCTGTAGACATGTTCAATACGGCCATTGAATGGAACGACAAGTACTGGAACGATCAAGCCGGCTATCTGATCACATCGACATCCAGTAGTGGGCGATACGATACAAGGCATTCAGCCTGGTATGCGACCCAATTGCTTGCGAGGAATGCACCCGGCGATGTTGATAAAGCCGTTCGAATCTTTGACAACGTGATTGGAGGCCAGTACCTTGATCCGTCTAAGCAATGGTATGGCGATTATCAACATGCGCCTTCAGAGCCCGAACCTGGAACACTGAAGTATCCCGATGATGGGCCATACAGCTCGGTAAGGCATTGTCTCCTAGCTGGCATTCGATCATGCTGACCCGACCTCAGTGGGATCCCAACATCCGAGACTTCGTAGGCTGTGCTTGGATTGTTGCCTTGGCCGATTATGGTCATCTCCTTCCAGCAGCGACGGTCACGAAGGTGGAGAAGTCCCTGCACATCGCCGCAAAAGGCGATTTATACCGCGTTGGAGGAGTCGACGGAGACAACTCCTACCCATGCTATTCCAATCCCTGGCTGATGCGAACCATTCTCCAGAATTGGGTAGGAGCACGAGTAGGAGATGCAAACCTGACCAAGTCCGGCGAGAACTTCGCCCAGGAGATCTACGATCTCTGGAGTATGCACCATACACTGTCCGAATTCAACTCCCCAACCTATGCCGGTGTGGCCATGTGGGCATTGGCTCTGTGGGAACAGTACGGAACCAGTGGCAGCTTATTGAAGAAGTATGGGCCTGATATGCTCACAGCCAGCTGGAACGAGTTGGGCCAACTCTACAATGCCAACTTGAAGAATCTCGCTGGCCCCTGGGACCGCAGTTATGGCTATGACATGAACCAATATGCATCTCTCGTCGGCGCGGTGATTTGGGGCGTTATCGGACGCGAGAAAGCACCAGTTCCCCAGCAGGACTTGGGGATGTATCATCAAGATGATTTCGCATTCTTTCCTCTGTTCGCTCTCTCGATGTCCGTTATGGTCAAATATTTACCTGCGAAGGCGAAGGCGAATCTGCTCCAGTTCCCCGGCGAGCATCTATACACATCTCAAGCTTTTTCGCCGCCATTCGATACTTATCCCCGGAATATCACGGCTTGGATGTCCAAGGATGTGACTATCGGTGCCGAGACTGTGGCCGGGACTGTTGTTGGAGGTCCTAGTATCAACCCCAGTCAGTTCAGTCCGGCTGTCATCCAGTGGGCGATCGACGAGAACCAGATTGGTTGCATTGCACACTGGGTGACGGAGTCATCTATTGATGCCGTTGCTGACCCTGGAAGCCTGAAAATATCTTACCCTAACGCAACAGCCGGCAACGGACCTGTATCATTCAATTTCCTTTTCAGCGGGCTGGATCTGGGCAACGGGCTCAATGTGACAGGTCTGGAAGATCTTCCAGGTTTGAATCTCCAGATATCAACCAACGCTTTGCCGAACTATACCATCACTTACAACACCGACCACTCCGTCAACGAATTCGTCTTCTACAATGTCACGTACACGATGCCCGAGGTTTTCACAGAGACACCTTACGTACATCTTGAGATAGCATGAGACATACATGGACAGGAAGCTGTGCTGTTCAATTTGATGTCCTAACCCATCCGAGAATGGGAACACTTCGCGAAATACCTGAATATAGAAAACACGCACACTCAATCCTCCTTCTTCTGTCCCTCAGACTGTTCACCTTCAGAATGACCCTCCTCTTCCGTATCCGCCGGCGAATGCGCCAGCCAAAAGCGCGTAATCAGACCACCCAAGAACCGCTGATCAACCCATTTCACCAATCCATAGAAAACCCAACCCCAACCCCACAACGACACGCCCATCATGCTCGTAACCAGCAAGACCGGACCAAGAATCAAGAGTGACAAAACGGCCCAGAGAAGTATCGAGACGGCAGCGAATACAAAGACGCCAGCCAAAAACACCAGAAGCGGCACACCGCAGCATATCGCTTGGCAGATGAGGAAGGTAGTGGCGGCTGGACGTTTCAATGCGGCCTCATACATGGCTGCTTGACGGGGTGGAGGAAGAAGCCATGCGACTAGCTTCTGGACCAGAGATTCGAAGTAGTCGAAGGCTTGGGGGAAGAGGGTGGAGAACCAGTTTGTTATCGTGGTCCAGATTGACGAGAAGGAGAGGTTGTTGTCCACTCCTTGTCCTTTTTGCGGTGCATCGTCTGAAGGGAATTCTCCGGGGATGACAGGATCGGTCAAATCTTTGGTTGTTTTGTTGATCTGTTTGGTTGGTACATTTTTGGTGACTCCTCGTGTTGTCGATTCGACTTGGTTGACGGGGAGTTGGCCGGCGAGGCCTGTCACGCTGTCGAGAGGCATACTTGAACAGTTAGACAGCAAGCCTGAGATCAAAATCAAGAAGAGAATCAGCGTAGAAATTAGAAGTAGGAGAGGTTCATCTCAGATGCCATGACGTATGGGGCGTTGTGCCAACTGGTTCTCGTCGATATTAATTTTGCGTCACTCGGAGGTCCCTGCGACTGCAGAAAGGGATCAGGAAATTCAAGCTCAAATGCATGGATTTGTTGAAATGTGATTGCTTCGATTATGTATAGGTGGATATATTCAAATATGCTACGAATCATGGTCATGAGTGCCTTCGCGATCATCAAACATCATGAAATCATCATCTATGTCACCTACGACCTTCTTCCAAGCCTCTTTGACAATGTCCAGGGTGTCATCTTCGAAGGCAAAATCGAGGCTTGGGGGAGGGAAAAGGTATGCGTCGGGAGAAGAGTCCTCCTGAAGAGGCCATCGAGTCCCGTCGGTACTGGACCGACCGCGCTGGGTGTATCGCAAAGACCACAGCACGCGAGCAGAACTCTCAGCGGCAATAAGCCGGTCGAGAGCGACCTGAAGAAGCGACTGACCCTCAGGGCCAGGTAAAGCCACGCTGCAATAAACGACACCTGTGACATGATGTTAGTCACTGAGACAGCAAAGATGTTGCGAGATGAATATGTGATGAATGCTCGTGATCAGGTTGGAAAAGTTTTCAACATAGCAAATTCAGGCAATGTAGATAAGTTTTTGAAAAAAATCATCATACGAGACAGGTGGGCAAGGGGGAATGGTAACTCGGTGGGGTTGACTTACTCTGCTGATGAGGACATTCGCCAGTGTCACTGGAATGGATCTGAAGATAGACCGGTGGTGATTCTGGACTACCCAGAGTATCACCCGGGAACATGAGGACTGCAGTTGCAGGCAACGGAGCCCCTTCGACTGGAATTGGGAGGAGAGAGGAAAAGGCACCAGAAACAACATTGACCGAGCGAGCAACCTCGATCAATGGCCTGGAGTCCTCAGAAGACCCATCTGATGCCGAAAAATACAACTTTGACTGAACATCACCCTCATCTTTCAACGTCACTAGGAACGGATGTTCGGAGTGTTCGGATGATGTGCGCCGCTTGCAGTCTGAAACTTGCGTGCTCAAGGCATATATGCCACCTCCCACAGCAGAGGCGCGACAAGCAGCTTGTAGTATTTCAGGAGCTCCGCCATACTTGGCAATCACGGCTCCGAATCCAGGCCCAAGATATCCAATGGATCCCAAATGCCTTTGGATTCTAGGTATAGCATAGCCAGCAGAAGTAGCCTCTTGCGTCTGCTGGGACAGAGACAACGACAGCAGAGGATCATGGAGTTCTTGTGGAACACTGAATTTAGAAGTAAGATAGTCCTTGAATGGCATGGACAGGTCTTCTTCTTCAGACGGGGCTTCATCCTCATTGGACTTGGTGATGTGACGCAGGAGCCGCATGAGGGTCCTCTTGGACTTCATGCTAATGTGAGACGCGGCAAACACATCCTCCCGGTTTCCAGGAACACGGTGAAGAATCTTCTCCGCGCCCGGTGCACCACCGTCGGAGTCCGGCTTTTCGGGTGTATGAATCCACCAGCTCCCAACCGCCATGAATTCCAATTGCCTGAATACCTTGGACGATACAAGAGCGGACATTAGTTCAGAGCGGGCATGAAGAAAGCACGGAGACAACGACAAAGTGTACGATCGGCTAGACGCAAGCTTTGATGCCTTCGAGTTTTCGGTGGCAGTGTCTTGTGTTTCTTGTGGAGTCAAGACCGACGCATCTCTGAATAGTGGGTGTCTGCCTAAATCCAGATGTGTTAGCCATTGTCAAGACAGTGATTGATATGTGTGCATACCATTACTGACTTCAGTCACCCACTCCTGGGCCTCATCAAGACTGAAAGCTGCATCAGGACCACCATAGTATTGGTTTGAGTCCATGTGAAGAACCTTCTTTCCAGATCGTGAGAGCGCCCTTTGAGAGAGTGAGTACTCGGCCCACATCTCTCAGAGAGATAACTCACAGTGCCAGTAGAGACTGGCAAAAGCCAGTCCCTTGGATGATCACATCCCAAGTTGTGTCTGACAGAGTTTCCATGATGTGACGAGGTCAGGAAGCTAGCTGCGGGTAAGTAAAAAAGACGTTACGGTCAGGTTCAACCCAAGCTCTCATGGAAGTGAGTGTTGGAATCTGTGATGCAACTGAGCATATCTTCCAGGGGCTAACTAGTGCCGCACTGGAGAAGTTGAGGAGAGAAGAAGGAAGAGAGAAAAAATCGGAGAAAAACGCGGATGTGGGCGCGTGAAGGCGGTCAGCGCCAGGTACATCAGGTCCCCACTTTTGAGCATAGGTCTCTCTCTCATCAAGGACACAGCCCTGGGAGAGCTTTCCATTCCCATTGATCTTCATACGACTGGCGCAATTATATAACCTATTCAAAGGCTATCTCGATATGTCTTACAACTTCACCTAGGATGAATGGCGCCCTGGAGCCAGCTGTGGAAGTCTAGCTCTGCCATACCTCAAGCACGATCATCTCCTTTTACAGGACCCTCGGCGACCGCTTCAGGCTTGTGAGTCTGATCTTGCTCCTGGGTTTCGGCCCCTCCAGCTTCATCCAGCTTCACATTTTTCAAAAATAGCATCACCACAAGCATCAGTGACAGCGAGACCAATCCAGCGATTGCAAGTAGTCTTTGAGACTCTCGGTAGCTTCGATTGATGGCCTCGCGAGCCTCTGTCCCCATAGCGTATTTTCGCGCGACAACAATTGACCCGAAAATAGACTTAGCCTGGCCCTTCAACTCGTTTGGGAGGTACTGCTGTAATTTCTTTGGCAGAGTGTTTCTCCATATAGCACCCGCGACACTGGAAAACTCCCAATTAGAATGAACACTGTCCAAAATTCGGGCTTATTCGGCGCCTTACCTTGTCCCAATTGCACCTCCGACGCTCATAGAAGCAAAGAATACTGCGGTGACGACAGAAACATCCTGTCGCGAAACCATGGCTTGCACTGAAACTTGAGCAGCTGTTTGATAAAACCCACGCCCCACGCCAATCAATGATTTGGCAGCCACAAAGGAGGGCTCATTTCCAGTGCGACCATCTCCCATGTCAACCAGGTAAAGAAGCACGCCCATGCCAAGGACGCAAAGAGGAACACCAGTCAATACCCAGATCTGAGACCGCTTGGTATACTTCATGAAGAAGGCGGCAAATATTCCGGCAACCTGGAAAGACACACGAAGAGAATTGCTAAAGTCATAATCAGTATAAGCGTCAGATTCACACGACATCAAGGCATGAATGGGAACTCGTACTCAATTCTGGTCGCCGGACCTGGCGAAAAGTTTCCAGCAACCTGCAGGTAGCTTGTGAAAAAGACACTGAACACTGAGTAGTGGAAAAAGTCCAATGCCCCAAGAAGACAGGCGGCAGCAACAGTGCGGTTGTTGATCATGAGATAGGGAACGAATGGCTTTTTCGCAAACCATGCATCCCAAACCAAGAACGCGACGATGAAAACAACACCCAGGACCAACATGGCAATAAAAGACCCTTTGGTCCACGCGCTACTGTTGTTGGCTCCTGTGAGAGACAAAGGAATCAAAATGAGAGACAGCCCGGCTACCAAGAGCACGGCTCCTGGAAGATCGAGTTGAATCCATAGTAGTTGATATGCCTTTTTCCACCAGGGATCCTCAGTTTTCCAGCCCAATGCGTCGGACGCGGAGACTTTGGAGGGCGCTCGGCGCTGATAAACCAGCATGGTTCCGATCAGCGGCACTGACGCAACAGGTAGCACAATTGCCCACATGCCCCAGCCCCATCGCCATGTAGAGTGGTCGAGGATACGTTGGGCGACGATGGTTCCGAGGTACAGGGTTGGGATTGTAGTGAGAGAGTCCGGCAATGTTGACCACACACCACGGTTGACCAAGGAGGTCATGTCCGCCACGAAGACTTGCTGTGTGAGAGCAAATCCAGTTGACCCAATCGCTTCGAATATACCGGCGGCCTAGGGTCCAGAGAAATCAGCATCGTTCCGAGGTATGACCAACATGGGGAGACACGAACGATGTATTGCGCAATATTCGTGCAGGCTGCGTAAATGATGTAGCCAAGAGCAGAAAGGGAGATGGACAAGATGAACATTTCCGCTCTGCCAAAAACCTATGGACCCAAGTTAGCTGTGAGCCTTTGAAGCCTCGAGAAAACCGACATCTCCCAATTTTGCTATGACGGGATAGGCGGAAATGCGGGCGATGTTCATGACCACCCGTGCAGCACTCATGGCAGAGTGTTGCTTGAAAGAACTCGTTGTATATGCCGCATACACCTGTGTAGAGTAATCGGCAAAGTTGATGGCCAATGTGCACAAGAAAAGGCTATCAGAGCAAGTCAGTTGAGAACCAACTCATACATTGGGCTTGACGCACCCTGCGAAGACAATGATCAAGCCTTGCTTGGTCCAACTCCGCCGAAGCATTTCAGCCCTTTGGACTCCAGCTTGAATGCTGGACATGCTTGGCTGCTTTTCCAAACTGCCATCGTTGCCACCGGCTTCGATATTTGCATGGCTATCTGCTGGACTTAATGCAACCGAGATATCTTCGGATTGCTTGGCCATAGTTGGGTAGGGCAAGGGTTTAACCTTGGGATTCAGTAGGAAGACACACAATATAAACAGCGGATTTCATAGAATGTTATATAACGTGGACGCAGACTTTGCATTCCAAGGTTGTATTAACGATATACAGACGAACCTAATTAGCCGCACCAAACGCGTCTAGTTTGCAACCTTGGAAATGAATCCGAATATATTACTAGGCACTACCATCAAGAAGGCAAAACTCGCAAAATGTTAACAAATGGAGCTACCTCGCCCCACTAGGAGTTCCCAAAGCAGTTAGAAATGGGGCCATTCGAGAGCAAGTTGCGCGAGAACAGACAACCTCAGAAGGCTAAACCCAATCTTATCAATCAGAAGATGAAAACAGTGGACAATTTCCATTCATGGAAACTCACACGAGGAAGACACGCTAGCTTCGTGTTCAAACCGTCCAAGTGTCGAATCAGATAAATCCTGCCAAGAGTATTCCACGCGTGCCAAGGAATCCGCGGTGGTGCTTGACATGAATGGCTTTGGTCCCGGATATGATTATATCCATGGGAAAGTTTGGTAGATTGAGTCTCGGTATATTCTCGGTGACATCTGATTGTAGATTTCCACACCCAGCATTGTTCTATCAGTAAGATGGCCCGGTGGGTATCAGATGGATATCAGATTCTTGGCCCTTTGACCTCGGGAGTATACCGGACGTCTCATTGTTCGGTTATTCTCGCCGCATGTAGCTTACTGTATTAGTCTTGACCCACCGGTCAAACCAGGCTCGGGCCTCACTATGTTCCGTTGCTCATGATGACCCATTGCTGTTATAAACACTTCTGGCTAGTGCTTCCATTTCCACATTGAATCGAAGTGCCTTCAGAAATGGAAACTGAGTGGACGTTTGAGCGTTCAGAGAGTCATGACTGCACCAAAAACATGGCAACCTGGGTTGCTGTGAACCAGCAGAATGAAAAGTATCTGATCCAAGTCTCCTGGCCATTGGAGTGGTCGTCGACTGGAGAGCCACCGGCTGGCGAAAACCGTGCCAATGCAATGTAAGTAAAAAGGATGGTAGAATATCCACCTGGCAGCTCAGATCTAAAGATTCGCCCAGATATATAGTGGATGGAAACGCCATGGTTCTTTCAGCGACAGAAGTCGTGCGACGGCGACGAGTGCGGCACTCCAAAGGCACCCCCACTATAATCATCGGGATATCCTATCCGTTGACCGACTCTGTGTACAGCCATCGTCGAAGTCACGATTTCACACCCCCGTGCGAAACATATGAGCCGCTGAATGGTCCGCATGGGAATGCTGCAACTCCCCAATTTGGAGGCGCAGATGCGTTCCTAGGCTTTATAACGCAAACAGTCCATCATTTTATATTCTCATCGATATTCCCACGGCTCTCAGTCCGAGAGACTGCTTTATTTGGCCACTCATTTGGGGCTCTGTTCGCTCTGCATGCACTCTTCACAGCACCTGCAAGCTTCGATGTGTATCTTGCTGCCAGTCCCTCGATTTGGTGGAACAAAGGCTTCCTATTGAAGGAAGAGGAAAACTTCTACCATGTGCAAGGGTCTCATCGACCAAAAGTATGGTTAGGCTATGGGTCCTTGGAGCAACACCCCGTGCCTGAGAGGAACCAAACACAGGCTGAATATGAGAAAAGATTGGCTGTGGCAAAGGAGCGACGTATGGGCGACAACTGCGACGATATGTTTTCTCGGCTGATCCAGAGTGGGCGACTGCGGTCAGTCCTTAGGAGGAAGTATGAAGACGAGGATCATGGGAGTGTCATTGCAGGGGCATTGAGCGGCGCCATTTTCCATTTCCTCGACCAAGACGATGAGTGAATGTCAACTCATCTATGCAGATCCGCACACGAGGCATGTCACAATCCACTTACCACGCACTTGGGCAATGTTGGAAATGCCCTGGGACAGTCGGAATATAGAAGAGATGCTGCCCCAGGCCAACTTGCTGCCTCAGGCGGAAATGCTTAATAAACATCCCAAAGAGGTTAGACTGCCCGGTGCACACTTTATGAATCGAAATTTCCGCGCGGCCGTCTTTTCTCCCATATGCCACTCCCGGTGTTCTGCACAGCATGAGCTACTAGACAATGGTAGCTTGTACTTTTTGGACGCGGACCTTCACTGGACTTCGTTTATGGGAGTGGCAGATAAGATTTCTTGTCACTCTGTATCTGCTGCTCTTGATGGAGACATTTGATGGAAGCGGTTCGTTTTGTAGTGATACATTCATAATCTCATTAGCTTGCTCTGCAAATCTGGCACGCTGTAGTTTCTAGACTCATGGCTTAGATCGACCAAAAGGCCGTTCACGCAACGGTTGTCATCCGCCTTGAACCGGGCGCGCCGAAGGTTGATTTCGCAACCCGTGTGATGGAGATGCACCTCGGTCTTGCTTTGGACGCCATCTCTCGGAGACTCTGTATGTTTTCGCACTCCAGTATAGCTTTGCGAGATGCACAGCATCACTCCTGTGCTCCATCTTCCACCACGCGAGCTCGGAGAATCTTCAATTCGTCCACTGGCTTGTCCTCCGCATTGGTCTTGACCAGTCCCATGCGCTGGATGATTCGCATGCCACTCTTGACTCGACCGAAGATGGTGTGTTTCCCGTCGAGCCAGGGCGTTGGTGCGAGGGTCACGAAGAATTGACTGCCATTGGTGTTCGGTCCGCTGTTCGCCATGCTGAGAATTCCAGCGCCGGTGTGTTTGAGCTCTGCGCGAATCTCGTCTTCGAATTTCTCCCCGTAGATAGAGCTTCCTCCTCGACCAGTACCGGTAGGGTCACCGGTTTGGACCATGAAGTTCGGGATGATGCGGTGGAAGATCACATTGTTGTAATATCCTCGTTCGGCGAGTGTTGCGAAGTTCTTGCATGTCTGTGCGACAGGGCGTTAGACTGAGATTGAAGCTATACGGAGGGGTGTTCATACCTTGGGCGCATGAGTGTTGTAGAGCTCCACGGAGAAGGAGCCCTGTGAGACATTAGTGGAAATATTCCAGCAGAACATGAAGTGAAACTCACCATAGACGTGTCAAATGCCACCTCGGTTGCCATGATTTAGGTGTGGTTGTTTTAACAAAAAGCAGAGTCGAATTTGAGAAAGGCGGGATCGGCCAAGGTGGAGCTTGGCGCTGCATCATTGCAAGAATCTCCCAACGACATCCCCCCAAACAATCAAACACATGGCCATGATGGTCTGAATCGCTCGTTATTTGTCTTTCAGCCCACACTAGCAATCACCGTCTTTGCACTCGCCAAATTTAGGACACCGCAGTCTATCATGGCCGACGTTAGCCCTGTCGCGGAGCTGCTTGGCCAGGCCTTCTACCACTTTGATCGCTTACGGCCACTTCTGCCAACATATGGACACCTGCTGGCCTCTGCGCTTTTCCCTATCTGGATTGGCTCGCATGCATCCTTGACCCGGCCGTCATCAGCAGCGAAGGCTAGCAAGAAACCGGCCACGGAAGATGACGATGACACGGATGAAGACGAAGAAGGAACGGGACCTTTGCAAAAGATGGAGGGACTGGAGCCATCAGATGCGCTCATCTTTCCTTTGACTGCAGGTCTCACCCTCGGCGGTCTATACTTGGTTATCAAATGGTTGGAGGATCCAGCTATCTTGAACAAGATCCTCAGCTTTTACTTCTCTCAAATGGGTCTCTTCTTTGCCTTTGCCTTCCTCAAGGATGTTTTCTCGATAATGCGTTCATTCGCCTTCCCCAGGTATTACCGCCAAGGGGGCAAATTGTGGAAAGCCAGACAGTCCGAGTGTCATTTCATTGCGCACGAAAAAGATTCTCCGACCAAGACACCATTCATTCGCTATTCACCACTCCCTGGAATCTGGGGATGTATACCGCTTCCAACTTTCGTGTCAGGTTCTCTCTGGATATGCAGAACGGCTCTGTACCAACGACTCAAAGTCCGGACGCACGTGCGTGGCTTGTTTGACCTCAAGTGTCTCGTTGGTCTCCTAGATGTCCTCAGCGGGGCTATCGCTCTTGCTGTCGTCAGCTATTTTGCATTTGTCGACAAGCCATGGTGGCTGACCAATTTCCTTGGATTCTGTTTCTGCTATGGAACCCTCCAATTCATGTCTCCCTCAACATTCTGGACTGGAACGCTCATTTTGGGCTCCTTGTTCTTCTATGATATCTACTTTGTGTTCTTTACGCCTCTGATGGTCACTGTTGCGACTAAGCTAGACGTGCCAATCAAGCTTCTCTTTCCCCGTCCGCCCACTTCTCGTGATGCACCCGGCGTGACACCACTGGCAATGCTTGGACTTGGTGACATTGTCATTCCAGGAATGATGATCGGTCTGGCTCTTCGCTTCGACTTGTTTCTCTACTATCACCGCAAAGGTGCTCAAAAGGCCGAGGCCGAAGGATCAAATCAAGTCAATGTCAAGCCTGAGTACCAATCGGCAACCGGCGCCTGGGGAGAAAGATTCTGGGCACCTTCCAATAAGCCCGCTCGCCAGGAACTACAGCCTCCATATTATGATGCCCGGAAATTCCCAAAGACATATTTCAAGGCTAGTGTGATCGGTTACATTCTTGGATTGATCACCACCCTTCTTGCGATGCAGTACTCGAATCATGCCCAGCCAGCTCTTCTATACCTGGTTCCGGGTGTTTTGACATCGCTTTGGGGAACGGCGCTACTCCGAGGTGAAACTCGCACAATGTGGGAATACTCTGACGGCGAGGAAGTAGAAGATGAAAAGGCAGAGAAGGAGAACGACAAGAAAGCCGAAGATGACGGGAGCGAAACAAAAGACAAGCCTCAGGATTTCAAGAGCTTTTTCACGCGCATGTTCTCCGGGGACAAGAAGCCTACATCGAACAGCGCAAAAGCACCTGAGGCCGAGAAGGAGGACCAGGACAAGAGCGTTGACTCTCGTCCCAGCTCGAAGTCTTCCAAGGAAGGCAAGCACAGCTCCACTACAAAGAAAGCCGCAAAAGGCGATGGTGACTTGGATCTTGTATCCTTTTCTGTGTCGATCCCTGGAAAAGCCAAGAGCGAGCCCGCGGTCGATTCTAACGACGACGCCGCGAGCTCCTCAGAAGACGAACACGGAGTCCTTGTCTCTAGAGAAGTCAATGGGGATGATGAACCGCCATTGAAGAGAAGACGACGAGGCATGACGAACAAGTGACGGGAATAGCATAGCTTTTTACTGTGAGATTAGGCCGGTGCGGTCAATTGTGGTATTGTCGAGCTTAAGCTATCCTTTAATACAAAGCATTCCAAATGTCTACTTCAATGCATTGCTTGGTTACTCAAGGACCAGACTGGGAACAGCATGTGTAGTGGTATCATTCATTTGTATTGCACATCAAATCGAGATCAGCATTGGTCCAGTATCTGCTTCATCTCCTGCCATCTCTCTGCGGAGACATCCACAAGCTGCCGCAGATCATCACTATCCACACCCCAACCACCAAGTTTATCCATCTTCAGTATCACAGTCTTTCCATCCTCGTTATCAACGACAATTAAAGCCCTTTCTTCACACAGCCCTTCCTCGTACCCATCCGGGTCCGCCAAAATCCACCTTTGCTGAGAGCCCTTCTTCTGGCCCTGTGACTTCAACTCCTCGGGACTAGGAATGACAACAGCTCTCCAGCCAGCAGCAGCATCCGCTTCAAAAGAGCAGAAGCTGCTAGAAATAGGCAAACCCCGCAGAGACAACTTCCGCGCATCAGCAATATCGTCCGAGCACAGAATGGTCTCATTATCGGCGTCCCACCAAGCCTTGGGAAGTTTCGTGTCACGCAGCGCAGCCAGAACAGAGGACCAAGCTGCGTCGAAGGCATTCCCAGCCCATGAAATGATCATGATATCGATGTAAAGTACCCAAAACGCCTTGATCTCCGGCTCTGGTCCTCCGTTTTGTTCTGAATCGACTTCCATTCCCTCGGCAGCATTGCGGAATTCCTCCGACTCCAGATTTGGTGGTTGGTACCAGATGCGCAAGTCGTCCGCTTTGACGAGGTTGGTGGTGTGCAAGAGAGAGAGGATTTCGTGAGAGAGCGACTGGGCCAGCGTAGAGGGTGGCGCTCCAGGTGTCAAGCCTGGTGCACAGCCAGTGCTCAAAGAAAGGTTGGGAACAAGCAAGTGGAGGTCTTGTACTTGATTGCGATCGTCATCTGCATTCTGGGAAGCTCCTTTCTGGGTCGCATTGTCGGCTTCTTCGTCCGAAGCATTGGACACACTCCAGGAAGCGATGTCCGCTGTGTGTAGAAGTTCTGCGCGCACTCCGCATACAGCAGCTGTATCGCCGATGCGGACGACTGCGCTGCCGTTTGTGTGCGTTAGAGAGCCGGCGTTGGCAGATGTAACTCGGAACTGGGAGGCGGCGCGGCCATTGGCGCGGACTGAGGGCTGAGTGCTCGCGGATGGAGGGGAGAGGTGGGCGAGAAGGTAGGCGTGAGGTTGGAGACGGGCGAATTGGGAAGGGGGAAGATTTAATGACGGGACAGCCGGGGCTGAAGCAGCTGTAGATGCCATGGTTAAAATCCAAGGCAAATTTTCACAAGCTTGATATTCAGATAGTCGAGGACGCAGAAAAAGCCGATGATATGGAATGGCAGAATAATTTCCAATGGAGGCGGTGGAAGCTTCCCTTGTGCCTGGGGTGTCACTATTTCCCTTTACGGCAAGCCCCAGTGACTATACATGCCCAGGCCCGGGTGTATGTAGCAAGCTCGCTATAAGAGAAATAGATTCGTCCTGGATGATTATGGCTTTAGGAGAGTAATCAAATCTTTAGAGAAGCCGAATCGTAGATCTCAACAAAGAAAGAAATATCATGCAGATTTGACACATGTACTTCCTGAGAGCCAGTCACCTCCAGTGAAGAAAAGCAGCCAAAACGAAGCGATGTGGAGATTATCAATTAGGTATTTTATTATTCCTTCCAAGCTTCCCTAGTTTCCTTCTCGGCATCTGCCCTCAAGCTCTCAGTTACAAAGTCATACAGATCACCTAGGGTATAGATCCCTCCAGGCTCGGATTCAGGAAAGTTCATGACGCACAGAGCTAGCTCCAGGTACCTCATGCACACTCTTATCCGAATGCAACTCATTGAGTGTCTCATTGTTCAACTCACTTGGGCCAACCGACCTCGTCCCATCATGGGATATCGGTTGAATGCTGTCATATTGACCCATACTGGACTGGGCATTATCTGACCCCTTTCGGCGTCTGATACACAGCCAGGCAATCATTCCAATGAGTCCCAAGGCACCAGCGGCGCAGCCGATACCAATGCCAGCCTTTGCGCCAGTCGAAAGGCCCGAGCTGGGCTCCGAGCTGGACTCCGAGAGGGACTCCGTTTGGTCTATCGACGTCTTCGATGAAAGAGGCTCCCAATATCCATCCCAACTGGCTTCCCATGAGTTTTCGGAGGCAGTCACCGATTCATCGTTTACCCCGATATCCCGTTGGCTGCCTGTTCCAATTACTGGGCCAGGTGCTTGAGCCAGCGACCATTCACCATTCCCTGTGCCGTTCCCCCAGTTGACACTGATGAAGGCTGCTTGGAGGAACGCTCTTCCGAGAACCAGGGTATTGGATGGGTAGCAGGGGAAATAAGTCGTGTTTTTCTCGACGAGAGGCTCTTGGAGTGTGAGTTTCAAAAGCTGGAAAGGAACTTTGACGGTCAAGTTCTGGCTGTTGCTTGTGCTTTTCCCAAAGATGAAAGACATGTAAGCCGGGGAAGAGGTGATTTGCTGATAGGAATCGTCACTTGTGTTCCAGAAATAGAGGTTCAGATCTTCATTATAGGTGATTGGAAGATTGGCCGCCATTGCGTCGCACGTCTCTCTGGGGAGATATAAATACGGCAGCACAGGGTTGATTTCCGCGGTCGCCCCTCGAGTGGTGTTGCTTGTTCCTGTCTTGAACAGGCTGGACTTGGCTTCGAAATCAAATGGCGAGTCACCAGTCGCGACTCCCATGCCAATATCTTTGAAGTAGATCTTGAGCGCACCCAGATTGCTGTCAGGATCGACTTGTTGAGTGCTGACTTCATTCAAGACTCGGCTCTGATCATAGCCACCAAGGACTAACGAGCCGGGGATGTCAGGCTCTACGGATCCAATATGCATTCCCCATGAATATGAAGGAATCCTTTGAGATGAAGATCGATTCCAGTGCGCCCAGGCACTGACCAGGTTGAATGTATTGCCCTGCACGACATGGGTTGGCTTTGTGCCGCCTAACGACAATGTCCCCAGCGTGACCGGATACTCTTTTCCGTTGGCAGTGAATGTTTGATTGGCTTTGTATATCGATGCCATGGAGACACTGGGCACGGATAGCCCATTCTTAAAAGTGATACTGTCGGCAAGGACCCCTTCCTTGACATGGCCAACGCCGCCCCAATTATTCACACCTGCTGCGGTCTGGTCGGACAACCAAGTGAGTTGACTGGTGTCGTTCGGGGTCTGCAGCGTGTTGGCGGTGTCAGAGGCGTTGATATTGAACAGACCGCCTCTCTCTGCATAGCAGGTTGTTGAAGTATCTGAGCAGAGGGTGTCGATGAGGATTGTACTGGCCCAACGATCACCAGGGTAAAGATCGACTGCCTGGTTGGAAGATCCCAACTCGACTGACACAGCGTGCCACGGACCATCCGGGCCATATGTTTGTTCAGACCATTGGACAGCAAAGGGCGATTCGGCGTACACTGGGACCACAACGGCACAGATCCAGCAGAGAGAAAGCTTCATGGCTAGAAGGGCCATTGAGAGGGACTTCCCTTGCAGCATGAGTTAGACAGAAAGGGCACACACCTTGGAAACATTTTGGGTAAATATCAGCATACAGGCCCGCGTGGGGGCCAAGCTGATTCAATTTGCAGAAACCCAGGTGCTGACATCGAATATGGCATTAACAGCCCCGAAGGGTATGGGCGAGCAAATCATGTCCAATCAGCCCATCGCTGCTGCAGCTCAAGTGGGGAATGCTTATTCCTAATATAACGGCCAGGCTCATTGAGTGGGGATGTGAAAGCCCCGGCGATGCTCAGTACCCAAAGCCCAGGGGGCAGTGCGAGTTGTGGCCGTCGAATCTATTTTGCGTCTTATGAGACCCTGCTGTCAACATTTCAACGTGGACTTGGGGCCAGTGATTTGAGTTGTTTCAAGGTTATGGGGATCAGCACGGCTGGGGGCTATCCCGTCAAGGGAGAAACGGCCCCTAATTGATTGAAAAGCCAGCTTATCCACTAACCATGCCGGCTCCACAAAGCTGTCGACGGGAGACCCCACAAAAGGGTTGCGAATAGACAAAAAGAGGAAGGGGAAAAGAAATTCAGCGACTGGTGTTGCCCAGGTGTGTTGCAGTAGTATCAGGAACCTTGGAAATTGTGCTAGTGGTAGATATCTTGAGACACATCACAATCTTATTTCGGTCCACGGGCACAAACTATTATTGACGACTTCAGAGGCATAATGGAGATAGCTTTAAATTTCTCACCGCTATCAGTTCCCCCGTCCACAGGACTAAAGGGTATCAAGCGCTATATAGTAGAATGAAAACCTGTAAGTGTTGAAACTAGGAGTCAATATACTAGTGTCGCTAGTCTTCACCGAAGAGAAGCGACTCAACCATAGAAGAGCCCGAGTTTACACCTTTACAGCATATCGAAATTATGATTGCACCACTCGGAAAGTTTCAGCACGCATCTGTGATGCTATTAGACTCTTCGCGTATCTCTTAAACCCAAGAAAACAATTGAAAGAAAGAAGATGGCCTCGGGAGGGAGAAGAAGAAGAAGAAAACAAAAGGTATACCGAGTCCCAAACATACTAATTACAAACATCCGCACTAATCATACACAAGTACACGCAGTGGAGAACACTGCAAATCACAGAACTTCCTTATGGATCGACCGTCTATGAGCCTTTATGTTCTCGCGCCGGCTGGTCGCATGATCACACCAAGGACACTTGAATGATCTTGGGCTTACATGCTGAAGTTCAATGTGTCGCATCAAGACTCCTTTGCGTGAGAAGGTGCGGTCATAGCGACAGCCTTTCCATTCACACTTGAAGGCACCTACTTCATCACTAAGTAGGACAGTTAGAATGTATGGCCAAGAAAATGGGGTATGGGGCATATTTACCTCTTCCTTTTTGATGAACGACGAGGACTGGGCGATTTGCACTTTTCTGTGCAGCAACTGGTAGGACCATCCGCTTGGTCGATGTCACTCTTCCGCCGAAGACATGGTAGAGGACTTTGGCGTGCAGAAAGCTCAGATTCGTAGGAGCTTGCGAAGGAATTAGAAATATCATGCTGTTGAGGTGACGAGGGGCCGCGATGACGATGATCTTCGGTGAGTTGTGTCTGGATGCCAATTGGTTCAGAGAAAGTGAAGCCGGGAGACGGCATGCCGCTCAAAGATCCTGGCGTGGAAGGCTGTAGCCTGTAGCTCTGGGTCGTGGCTGTTGACGATCGTCTCCTTATGGTTGGTGGATCAAACGAGGCCAACATGCTAAGACATGGGGTCCCCTTGAAAGAATCTGGCCTGCAGCTCTCTATGTCGCTCCTCGACCACTCATATCGGACGTCTGGGGCAGAGAAGGGGCCATCGCCGTAAGTGGGAAGAGACCAGTCCATTATGCAGGTATTTGATTTGAGAAGTATGAGACTGTTGTACTTGGAGGTGAACTCAACGTGGATTGATGCAAGGATTGACGATGATTAAGTACTTATACGGTTAATTCTAAAGATCGTTCTAAACCATTTCGCTCTAAGATAAAACCACTAAGCTCACCAGTCGAGATGAAAGGTACACCAGGGTGTTTATGATAAGCGATACTCCACCCTCCGATCGCCAGTGGATCACGGCAGTTTGGCGTGAGGGTTCATACCGATCGAGTAAATGGTTTAATTATAGCACTGGGTCTGCATACTGCATCTCACATTCATAGAGGAATTCTGCAGCTGATGTACTACATATACTATACCAGTACTATAGCACCGATCTACTTCCAAGTCAATCCTGAACATTGAACAGAATACTATATCACCTACAGCCAGCGAATAGCTTAAACTATGCTGGCCCAGCTCTGGAATTCCGATCATCTCCGACCACAACGCCCGTTTCAGCCGGGGGCTGAGACACGTCATGCGGCTAAGGCCGTAGATCCTGGGTTCAAATGGCTAGCAGAGCGATGAAGAACACGAGAGATCGACACGGCCATGCGAATCCCCCATCCCCTTTTTTCAAAATTGGGCGTAAACCCACATCACCGAACATCATTCTCCAGCCAATGAGCCAGACACTCTCCCGCGATATCACGCGGTATTTGGACATTTTCATGGGGCCAGAGCCTTCTAAGATGTTATATCACAGCTTACCCTCCCGACTTCCCAGATTCGTACATTGTACATGAAGTATATGCACTGTCATGCACTCTGCAGCCCTGGAGTACTTATCCCTATTGGGGGCATAGTACCTAGTACATCGTCCTTCTATACTACGATGTAGCTCAAAGAATAAGATCTGAGGATTCAGATCTTTTGCAATCACTTGGGGATGAGCGATGTGTTGAGTATAGAGCGCAATCAGCATACCAGGTAGAGGTCCCTGGAACTGTCACCGAATATTCTCTCCTGATCAAGGTGATTCCAAAGCTCTCGCCAGCGAGGACTCCGTACTCAGAAGTCAAGGAAGTACAAACGGTGGGGACTTAATCTATCCCCCGGAATCCTTGGCGGAGGATTTCCCAAAATGGAACATTTCCCAATCTGGAGGCACTCCACAGGATTCGTCCAACGCATGGAATGTGGAATGTAGATATAAAAGGCGTCTCTGGCCATCATCCATACCCTCATTTCACCCTCGTAGCGATGTAGACCTGGCGATGGACGCATTTAGGAGCGTCCGCAACTCCAAAAGCCGTGACTAGTGCCCGGAAAGGCGGTGACAATGGCAAACGAGAGGACCGAGCGGGGTTTCAAGGGGGAGAATTTTACCTTCTCCAGATTCTCCTCCAAACAGATCTAGACACTCATGGCAAGCTCCGATCGTCACAAATTCGTGAAGGCCCCCGAGAATCTGGCGATCCGCTCTGCCCGACCGGCAGCTCGTTCGGCGGGTCGCCCAACAGGGGAATTCCTGTGGGTGGACTACAACGAAAACCAATCCAAGGCCCGGGATCTAGTTCGATCCAAGCAGGCCTTCGTAAGGACTCGGCATCATCGATTGCGGAGAGAGAAGCAAGCCCAGCATTCATCGGTGCCCCACTGCACATCCCATCCTCCCTCCAGCCGCTCGTCCAAGAGTGACAGCGACGAAGACGACCAGCAACCCATAATCACCCCATCCCCGCAGGCGGGGGTGACCGATGGAAGCCCTTGTCTAACTGTTAGCACCAACCACAATCCCAATATTTACTTTCATCACTGTGAGTTCACCGGGCACCGTGGCCGGGAGTGGCCGGCCATCCCTTTTCCACCCCAACGGGCGGGATTTAATCCGTCATATAGATCGAATCCATAGTTCGAGGGCGTGTTTCCCCCTCTGCTCGCAAGATGTGACCGTCTGGTTTTGGAAAAAGGCCGTCGAGGATCCCACCTTGATGCAAATAAAATTGGCCATCAGCGCGGCCCACCGAGCGGCCATTCTCACAGCCTCGGGGGCTCCGTCATTAGCAGTGCAGAAGCCAGCGCAGGATGCGCTCCGCTTCCGGGGCGAAACGATCAAGTCCCTTCGATACATATTGCAAAATTCATCCACGATGTGCTATGAGCAGACCATCTTTATCATTGCTCATATCATCGTCTCGGAGGTAAGGGTTCTCTTGCCTGATCCAAGGGACGTCCACTCACGAATAGGGCTTGCAGGGGCTAGAGGCGAACGCAGATGCGGCGAATATGCATATGGACGCCGTGCGGCAGATGGTGGAATCTGCGGGTGGCATGGACCTCCTCGGATACGGAACGCTCTCCATGCTGTATAGGTAAGACCGAACTGCCACACCCAAGTGATCATTACTTATGGCCTTGTAGTTGCGAATTCTTACGGGGCATCATGACCAACACACTGCCGAAGCTTGAAATGTGTGACAAATTCCAGAGCCGAGTCATTAAAGAGTCCGCCTTCCTCAAGGCGAACTATCAGTTCACGAGGGCTTGCACCCTTGGCCACCGATTCTTTAACGCCCCGTGGTCCCAAGAGATCCACCCCATATTTAAGACACTTCTCTCCCACTTCCAGCAGCTCGTCTCTTATTATGAGAGTTTCAACGAGGCTGATGTTGAACCAATGTCGGTTGAGAATGACTGCTTATTATATCTGAACTATCGATTGCTGGCTCTGCCGTTTGAGTGCTTACTGACACCATTTGAGGAGACCCTGCGCCTGTCAGTTCTCACCTACTGTTGTGTTCGCATTTGGAACCTTTATGGAGTGCCCTGTCTAGGGGCTCTTCTCGACAAGCTTCGGAAAAGTTTGTTCCGAAGCCTTTACATCTTCCAAAGCACCGCACCCGACCTGCTTTTCTGGATCCTCTTCGTCGGAAGCCTGGCGTCAAGGGGGATGAAATCTAATTCCTGGTTCCTATCCCACCTGACTGATGCCGCGGAACAGTTGGGACTTAAAGACTGGGCCAGCGCGGGATCAACACTGGAGACCTTCTTCTTTGTGTGTCGGCGTCACGACGAGCCGGCCAAAGACTTGTGGAACTCCAATTTCTAGACATACTCATGTATATTTGGGATCTAGACGGCTTTAATGATTATAATATGACAATATACCCGGCCATAGCAGCCGAACCTTGGGGATAAATTTCTGGACGTTCAACATAAAGCTCGGGATTATCATGCTGATCAGTGTTCTGCATATTCTTCGCGCTAATGCAGGTCTATCACCCGAATCACTTTTCCTGCTTATGTCCTTTGTGATTGGGCCTCAAAGCGCTACACCATCACATTTTCGCGCGGTTCGACCACTTCACTATGCTGGAAGCTCGAACCCCCCGGGAACCGGTCTGTGATGGACATCTAACATTGGCTGACTACCTTCCGAATTACAGAATTCTGTCGCTGGGCTTATCCTGTCACAACCGTCTGCAGATCGTGTCACTCCCCGCCTCGCCTCATACTTCTAGGATGATTCTCCCCTCTTTTCTACACTGTCACTCGGATGCCACCATATACCAGAGCTTTGCGAGCGCGGACTTGGTTCGCCTACTAGGTGCATTGGTATGCACGAAGCTCAAGTGTAGGCTCTCCTCCATCACAGCTTCCGATAGATCTGACTGGATATATAGAAATAGCATTACTGAGCCCTACCATATCGCACGATGTTGAACTCCATCCTATCACTCGTCAAGCGCATCAATGTCCCAGTCACAGCTTCCACGACCGCGGCTGAGGCTGCTGAGATGCAGCGCGACCCGTGGTCCAAGTCAGCCAAATATGGAGTAGTATTCGTTTATTTTGCCGTTGTCCTCCTCGTCATAACAACCTTGATTCGATGCTGGCACAAATGGGGCGACAAAATGCGAATTGCGCTGTACAAAGAGAACCGACCTGAAATATATCGCGATGACTCGGTGCCAGATGAGTACGAGCTCCCAAGTGCAGGGACCGATGCTTCCAATGCGCATTTCTTCCCTGAACCGACTGCGACATCTCCGACAAAGAGGAGTGAGTCTATACTCGCGCGGATAGTTCCTTTGAACAAGGCAATTGCCTTCATGCGATGGATCTTCTACCGCCCAATTCCCACCTTGAAGATCGGCAAATTGGAAGTCGTTTTCCCATCCTTGGCCGTGACTGCGATCGTGCTGGCTGCGTTGATCTTCGTCACACTGTATTGTTTTGTGCCGCAGCCCTTGTACTATTGGTCAATTGCTCTCGGCTCTCCACCACTGGCAATTCGGGCAGGTATGCTGGCTGTGGCTATGATTCCTTGGATTGTCGCTCTCAGCACCAAAGCAAACTTTATTACCATGATGACTGGCCTGGGGCCTGAGAGACTGAACGGATTGCATCGCTGGTCGGCATACATTTGTCTATTCCTCAGCCTGGTGCACATGGTGCCTTTCTATATCACTCCGATTTGGACAGAAGGCGCCCTCGTGAATTATCGTCTAGGTATCCCGCCACATGCTTATGTGTATGGGACTGGAATTGCAGCACTGGTACCCTTGCTCTTCCTGTGTGTTCATTCACTGCCTATATTCCGCAAATGGATGTATGAACTGTTTGTCTTCGTACACATTCCAGTCTCGTGGATTTTTGTCGCAATGCTGTTCTGGCACACGAGGAATTACTTGCAATCCTGGGCTTATCTGTTTACAACCCTCGCCATTTGGATTATTTCCTACGTTGTCCGAATTTTCTACTTGAATTGGACAAACCCTTTGCGCTCTTCGTCCTTCTTGATCGGGGAAGAGTCTGCCTTGACAATTCTCCCTCAAAATGCGATCAAGGTCACGATTCCCACCAGGATGCGCTGGCGGCCAGGCCAGTACGTCTATCTTCGACTACCGAGAATTTCCACGGTTCAAAGCCACCCTTTTACCATTGCCTCACTATGCAGCGAAGACTTCCCATCTGCATACGGCGAAAAATACCGTGATATGACGCTGGTATTCCGTCCCTTCGGTGGGTTCACACGCGAGGTGTTCCAAAAGGCCTTGGAACACGGCCCCTCCCGGACGTACAGTGCATTCGTCGAAGGACCTTACGGCGGCATGCAGCGCGAGATGGCCGCGTTCGATGATGTGATCTTCTTTGCCGGAGGCAGCGGTATCACAGCCATCGCAAGTCAACTTCTCGATCTGATCAAGAAGATCAGAGACGGAAAAGCCATCACAAAATCAGTCCGAGTCATCTGGGCCCTGAAAAGCCCAGAGACAATGGAATGGTTCCGAGAAGAGCTACGCATCTGCCGTGACTATGCACCTTCCAACATCGTGAACTGCCACTTCTTCCTCACTGGAGTGAAAGCAGACAACCAAGCCGGACGTGACATAGTCCAAGAGAAGATCTACGGCATGCTCCAGGGCATCGACAAGCGTAACTCAGCATACATCCGTGCCGAGGCGGCCGGAAACCCAGATATCGAAAAGGAACTTCGTCGCGAGAACGAAGACGGTGTCGCTGCTCTTCCAAACGCATACACAGCTGCCCATGCAGCCAATACTCGCCAATACTACCAGCCAGCAATGGATCCGTATGCGACTTCTGGTGCAAACACGTATGGTAGCCCGAACTTCGACTTTGGCTTTGGAGCAGCACAGCCTGTGCCTCAGAGGCCGTCCCCGGTGCCTGCACCGCGCTTTGCTCATTACCAACCACGCGCACGAGATAATTGGCGGACGGATTACTTCCGTCCTAATATTCCTGAAATCATCAATGAGTTCTCGAAGCATTTTGGTCGACGTGCGTGTGTTTTTGTTTGTGGTCCACCTAGTATGCGTGTTGAGGTTGCCAACTCAGTAGCCAAACTGCAGCTACAGGTTATGATGGACTCTTCCAAGGATGAGATCTTTTTACACGCGGAGAATTATAACATCTAATAGCGCGTCTTTTTGTTGAATCGATACCCATAGTCTACGCAATGTATGGAAACCTTGGAATGATATGATCGTCTTGCACATATACCTAGGTATATGTGCTTAGTACTACCCAGGTACGTAGTAGCCATGATCGATAGCGGTGACCTTGGACATGTCTCATGTCGCCAGGAAACCTTAAAGGGTTTCACCTTACGGAGTACTGCAGCAAGCTTAGATAAAGCATCGGAATCATGCTGAAGCTGAAGTATGGGTATCTTTGCGACATTTATACCTAGGTATTGCGCTACAAACAAAACCTGGCCTACATGCCAGCGAGCAAACTCCAAGGGTATCCACAAGTTATCAGTAATTTGACCATCCACAGCTTTACTTGCGCAAAGGTGCAGTATTATCATCCTCGGCCTTGCGCTTGCGCGAAGGTGTATCCTGTTTTTCAAGGACCTGTGAAGCTTCAAAATGGCGTATACCATGATCGCCTTCATCTCCATCCTCGACCTCAACCTTCTCCCAGTCTTCATCATTTGGCTCACTACCAGGAGATGCCTCTCGAGCAGCGCCTTCTTCCAAAGATGCAGGCTGATCGTGATCCCAATGTAGATCCAGCTGTACAATCTTGGCTCCCGAGGGATTCAAGCGACGATAGTAACCCGGGACATGACCTTGGACTTCGAACCCACGCGAAATATACCACTTGAGGGCGTCTTCATTAGCCTCGTGGACATGAGCTGTCACAGAGCGAATATTATAGTGTTTGACAAGCTCGGACACCTGGTGGGCCTGCTTGTCGTCCGGGGTCGACAAGAACAGAAGCGAGTTCAACAACGATGCCGCTACGCCGTTGCCTCGATATGGCGAGAGGAGATGAAGAGTCTGTATGTATAGGTTTGTGGGTCCTGCGCTGGTCTCAGGTTGGCCTCGGCTCGCATCTGGCTGTCGGATCCTCTCCAGTCGACAGCGAATACCGCCGATCACTTTGTCTGTCCCTGTTGAGGCGCGAGTCTCCGGCGCTGCAGCAACGGGATGGTCATGGTAAATAGCCACTCGCGACAGAGATGCTATCACCGGATCTGTTATGGTAGCTGTATAGAAGGAGTTTGGGTAGCGGATCGGGAGCAGTAAGCCCGTGATTCGCGTCAAAGAAGGGATATGCGCCGTATGGATCTTCTCGACGGTGATGTGAGGGTGTGGAGTCTCAGCGCTGGCTGGGATCTCCAGTGGGTATGGGTCGAAGACCTCTTCTCTCGAGCGTGGACCTGACGCGTTTGCGACGGCAGACGGAGGTGGTTGAACAGGAGGGGGGTGTATCGGGGGTTGCGCGGGACCCCGAGGGAACGAAGGCGCTCTCTGATTCTTTGCAAAGATCTGGTAGGCCATTTCCCCCGAAGATCACAGACTGGAGAAGAGAAGTGCGCAGGGCAGTTCACAGCGAATGCGGAGATGCGATAAGATAAGCTCAACGAACAACTTGCTCCAGCCTCATCCGTCTCTTCTCCTCCTCCGAGATATTGCATTCGCGTGGAAACCTCCAATACGGTCAGTACCCGGTTACATGATGTGGCTTGCATAGGGACGTGTCAATGGTCTCGTTCCATTGGCTTCATTGTCTCTCCCCCTATTGTTGCGATGCCTATTCATCCCATTAGGAAAACCCGCTGACAATAGGATTCTCCAGTACAATCAGGTCATACCGGTTTTGGCTCCATTGATCTGGGACTCATGCGTTGGAAGCTCTTCACTACTTCCAATCATTCCGAATTTCGCACCGATCGCATCCACCCTGCATAGACTTCCGGTACATGGAGGCGTAGACCTCGGACCAAGTGGTTCGGATCACTCACTACCTGTGTCGCGGGAGGGCACAGTCGTCGGTCATTCAGGATCGGAACCTTGAGGTTTGGCGCATATATCTCCGACCGCAAGCCGAGGATGGCCGACTCCAATGGCGGTGGTCGCAGGCCGATCTACCCTGCCGGGACGATCGCTAAAGTGGTACGTTCTAAACTCCGTGGGTGGTGCACTACAGGCGCTGACGGCTTTCGGTATAGTCTAGCGACATCCTGAATGAAACATTTCACAATATCATCCACGATCTCGTGGCCAAGGTGCATCGCGAAGAAAAAGTGGCGCGCATGCGGTCCGCGGTGGTTGTTGCCCGACAAAAGGCAGAGGAAGAGGCGATCTTGCCCGAGGAAACCGCGAGCAAAACATCCGTTGACACAAAGAGAGAAATTGTCTTGGACCACAAAAAGCTGTCCGGGATGCACATGGAGACCGATGCAGCCATCTACGACCGCGGAAAGGTCTTCCTCAAGGGCAACCCACTACAGACGGTCAAAGAAGTCATCTGTCCAGACTGCCGCCTCCCACGTCTACTGTACCCTACAGCCGGTGCCAGTTGCAAAGCTCCTCCCGATGCCGATGTTGAATACTGTTCAAATCGCCCTCTGATTACCAAGCCGGGCCATGACGTCCACGGCAAACTGTATGCCATCATGCCAAATCCCAAAAAGAAGAAGGGTGATCGTGACAGCACCATCCCCGAGATGCCCACTACCAAATGCCCCCTCTGTCCCCGTTATTTCCTCATGACCCGTCTGGCCCAACACCTCGACCGGTGCATGAACCTCTCCGGCCGTGGCGCGGGCACGCGCAACAAGACCCCAACCGACAGCGGAGCCAGCAACGGCAACAGTCCCACCTCATCATCAGCGAAACGTGCGCACGCAGACGCAGACGACGATGAAGGCAGTCCCAGTCCCACCAAGAAGAAGAAGAAGCTGAACGGGCCCAAGAAAGGATCCTCGAACAAACCCGGGCCGAGCAAGCTCAAGCAATCCTTCACGGCCGAGGATAATGACGACGATGTGAAGAGCGAAAATGCGGACTGAGCTTCCCTTTGTTTCTCATACCTCTTTTTCCTATCATGGTGTCCGCGGCGTTCGAGCTTTGTTTACTGGTCATATCCCACGGCGTCTCTGGGTCTGGTTCGGTTTGATCATGGTCTGATCTTACCTGCGAATAAATTTGCATAGATGAATGATGAGGGGGGCACTGGGGGGCCTTGTAGGATTGTACATTACTTCATACCTGGAATGCAAATGAGTATGGCTTTGCAATAAGCAGCCAATATGTGCTTTAATCGATTTATCTTTTACCAGACTCTATATTCCTTGGTAGTCAACCTTAAAAGCGACTTAATTGATCATCAATTTGATGTATCAATTTGAGGGCATACGCTTCTCTCTGCTCCTTTCTTCTCTTCTTCACTTCTTCGCTCTGCTTTCCACACAACCGATTTGAACCACCTTGGAATACCTTCAAGATTCAAATTGCACAAAGTCTACTGCTATCTATTTGCTAGACTGTCTTGCAAATTAACACACCTTCCATTTTCTTGGTACAACCTCGGGCGTCATTCGCCAGAGCCATACCACAGACAACCCTAAGTCACGTCTTCTTTGATCCTTGACATGCGTGCAAGCAGCCTGTGGCTATGGCTTTCTGCCATAAGCCTGAGTCTTGTTCTGGCTCAAACAACAAAGCTCGACCTTGCCACATCGATGAGCAAGTATTGGGACTCGCTCGCAGGTGGCATTGTGTCTATCATTGGTCCATTCACCGAAGTTCAGATCAGATATCGTTCAGCCTCATCCTCCATCTGTAATTCAGGTCCCTTCCCGTTCCCCGAGGAAACGACACGCGGCCATGATATGCAAGAATGGCCTCTACGTGCTGCCAGTAAGGAAATCGATTTATTCTCAACTGCCATTCGCTACAATGGGTCCCAACAGACCATGGAAGCTCGCTGTGGCACGGAACTGATCACTTGGTGTGGGTCACAAACTCGGGCTTCGACCACAGTTTCGACAACATCCCTCACACATTCTAAGACTCCCCAAGCAAAGCTCTCCATCACTGCCGGGCTCAGCCCAACACGACCTACCGATGATGATATCGCAGCCACACTGGCATCCCCAGGCTCAACCTCTATGCCAACCTCGGTTCCTATGACCTGTCCTACCGAAAGAAGCATGGCCAATGCCAACAAGAGCCCAGCCTTCGCAAAATTGGAGCAAACAGATGCCCCCACCAACATGAGCACAGGACCGGTGACTCGGTCCAATGCTGGCGGACCAAAAGGCTTGTCAACCGACAAGATAATCACGATATCAGCAGTCTGCGGTGGAACTTTCTTTGTCGCTTTGGCCATTCTCCTCTGGCACTTCACCAAGGACCGCCAGAGACTCTCTGATTCAGTCACCAACAGCCCTATTATTCCCGCTTCCGGTAATGGGTCATTCGATTCACGATTCCCTCTCCAAAATTAGTCGCTGTCAGGGGAACCGGAGAAGGAAGTGCCGGTGAATGGTAGCCGGCTGTCGACTCCTGATGAAACTGGGCAGTTTCAAGAAGGAAGCCCACAAATCGCGCGCATACCTAGGGGGTGTGGCCTGGGGCCACTGAGAGCTTTCTGTACTTGGGCTCAATTTTGCATATTAAAAAGGAAAAAAAAAAAAAAAAAAGGGTGAAATTTGCTGAGAGAAAGGATGTTTTATCTGAAAATTGAGTGATTCAAACAAGATCCCATATGTTGACAAGCATGTTGTAAGATCGTAGTGAAGATGAAGACGTAGCCCCAGGCCCCAGGTGTCTACATATATGTAGTCCCGCACTGCTGATTAAGTGGGTTTGGCGACACTTGAGCCTCAGCTTCCCGACCTTCACATCCCCAAAATGGCCGATCTTACCGCATGGGCAGCTCCCAAGCTATCCCAGCTTCTTCCGCTGGACCCTGAGTCTCTGTCCCAGGTCATTGAGTATGCCGCCAGTCTTTCCCCCGAGGCGTGCGCCGACCATCTCAAAAACCTCCTCGGTGATTCCCCCGCCGCCCTCGAATTCATATCCTCATTCAATGCGCATCGAGAACCTCAACGACAGCGTCAAGCACCGCCTCCACAGCCCCAGACTACTGCCCGATCAACGGGTGCCAAGAAAGGCAAGAAGAAAGCTCCATTGCACAGCGCCGGCCCACCACGTCGGCCCGATAACTACGGAGATGTTGGCGGCGGCTACAAAAAAGCCGAGGAAGAGGACTACATGTCATCCCGCAAGCAGACGAGCTCAAATCCTGCACCATCCCAAAATGTCTCCGCATCCTCGCGCGTCCTCTCGCCTTTGCCCGCTTCGAAACCACCACCATCCGCGAGCGGCCCCACCATCTCGGATATGCTACCAAACGTACGTTCAAAAACAAGCAAGTCCACTCGACAAGGTGGTGGAGGATCCTCTGCCAAGGGTGGGACAGCCCTGACAACCAACGATATATCTGACCTCACATCGGCGATCGCTGCGTTGGAGGTATCAACAAACCCGAGTCTGGGCGAGAGACGCAAATGCAACTGCTATGGATCCCTCCACGCGGTCTTCGACCCGGCGCCTAATTGTATGAATTGCGGCAAGATCATTTGTTCTTTGGAAGGACTACAGCCATGTTCGTTCTGCGATACGCCCCTCCTCTCCGCGCAAGAAGTGCAAGGCATGATCCGGGAACTACGAGCGGAACGTGGACAGGAGAAGATGCGCGTTCACAACGAGGGTGTTCACCATGAAGGAGGGCCAAGACCTACCGGATCAGAACCACCCAGCAACCTAGATGCTGCGAAGGCGCACCGTGACAGGCTGCTCCAGTTCCAGGCGCAGAATGCCCGCCGAACCAAGGTCGTCGATGAGACAGCTGATTTCGAAACACCCAATGTTGCCTCCACGTTGTGGATGACACCCACGCAGCGAGCATTGGCGCTCAAGAAACAGCAGCGCATACAGCGTGAAATGGATGAGCAGGCCCGACCCGAATGGGAGAAGAAGAAGACCGTGATGAGTTTAGATATCAAGGGCGGTAAGGTCCGCCGGGTATATCACTCTGCGCCTACGGTGTCAACCCCGGAGGCCAGTGAGCCCGAGCCTGCCGATGAAGCGGGGAGTGCAGAGGCACCTAGAAGGGAACCTGCATTTAGTCACAACCCACTGCTTGCCGCTGGTGGTCTAATGCGACCCATCTGGCGCGCACCAGAGGGGGCAAAGACCGACGCACCGGGGGAAACAGAGAAGAAACCAACCTGGCGACGTGTGCAGGATGACAATGACGATAACGAGCAGTGGATTCTGGACGGAGGAGCACATGGACATACTGCGACCTAGACACTGATCAATTTCCTAATCTGGACAACTCCAACCAGGCACTTATCCGGTAGCCATATTGGCTAAAACTACATCTTATCCTGTTCCAGCCCTGCAGTCGCCGACCACACCTTCGTGGCTCGGACCGCCAAGACCGCCTATCACCGAGCAACGTGTATGATATGTATCCCTAGCGTGTGCAATGTCGCTTTGTACTCCAAATGGCGACATGTTCGGGGCGGATGTCCGCTACTCCGGAAAACGGTTAAGAACGGTCGACTCTGACCAGTTTCCAGTTTCATCCGAGACAGTGGAGTCGGAGGGGCACTTTTCCATCTTACAGGACACTACTGCGAACCCACCTGGGCAGCTGTCCGACATTGCTGACGCTGACGGTCAGCATGAGATCCTGTTACTCGTGCATTACCTTGGAATACATCGTATTCATTCTCGTCTTTACCTAGAAATAGGGAATAGAATGATAACCGACACAAAAGTACCAGGCATATGCGAGTGTTCCCCGCAGATCCCCGGGCATTTAAGCATATCCAATCCGGCGCGATGCATTAGATCGACAAACAACCGCCTATAACCGAGTCTGTGAAATCCAGAGCACACCATTGACTGTCTCACCTGTAGTACATCCCTCCGTACGGAGTACTGGGGGTAAGCATTGCTTTGCCCCGGATGCGTCATTGACTGGCAATTTCGGCTGAAGGCGGGTAGTTGCGGGCAACGGATGTATAAAGGACATTTAGGCACTTCACTTGGGATTCACGGGAATTTCACCATGTTAGTCGAATCAGTGGGGTGTTTGTCTATACAGAGGGTCCTCGGGGCTCTCCTAGGGCTACTGGCAGTCGGGGTATGCTTCCTTTTTACTACTTATAGATCTACATCTGTATCGTACCGGGATCATCTAACGATGCTTAGACCGTTGCCTTTGCATTCTATAACCGATTCATCCATCCTCTACGCCGTATAAACGGTCCTTTCCTCGCCTCCATCACACCCTGGGTACAGCTATACCACGGCCTCAAAGGCGACCGCCATCTATGGCTGCACGAGCTGCACCACAAGTATGGAACCCACGTTCGGGTCGCACCGAACTTTGTCTCTGTCAACTCTGATCGTGGACTTCACGACATATATGGCCACGGCAAGCGTCTGCAAAAGGCCACGTTCTATAATGCGTTTCCGGCCATCAAGGGCGTGTACAACACCCACAACGCCATCGATAAGACTATGCACGGGCGCAAGCGGCGAGTCCTCAGCCAGGCATTCTCGGAGAATGCTCTCAAGGGAATGGAAGACGTGATGCTCCTCCATGTGCGTCAGCTGTGCGCTGTCTTGGCTGGCTATGATGGCAACTTTGAATCCCACGACCAAAAGGGAAATGTGAAGAACATGGGCGATTGGTTCAGTTACCTTTCGTACGATGTGATGGGCGAGCTCTGCTTCGGAAAGAGTTTCGACATGCTCATCTCCGATAAACTGCGGTACAAGGTCGGCTTGGTTGATCGCGCCGCCAACCGACACTATGTGGTAAGTGCCCTTTGGTCCCTTGGTCATGAGAGGCTCCATCTCTGACTTCTTTTCAGTGCGGACTATGGATGCCCTTGGACACCTGGGGTCTGGATCAGGTCTTCATTCGCAAATTGACCCGCGACCGATGGAACTTCATCATGAACTCACGGGTGGAAGCCAACGAGCGCGCCAAAGAACGAACCCAGATTGGCCACGATGCCAAAAAGGACTTCTTCTACTACCTGCTTAACGCCAAGGATCCAGAAACCGGCAATGGCCTCAGCACCCCCGAGCTATGGGGCGAGTCGAACGTTCTCATGATCGCAGGAAGTGACACCACCTCCACCACGCTGGCCGCAACACTCTTCTACCTGGTCCGCCGCCCCGAGGCGCTGGCCACGCTGACCGCCGAGATCCGCGGCGCCTTCAACGAAGTCGAAGAGATCGTTACGAGCAGTTCACTCGGTGAGCTCGTGTATCTGAAAGCATGCATTGACGAGGCTCTTCGTCTGGCGCCTGCGGTCCCCGGTGCGATTCCTCGCGAAGTCATGGACGGCGGTGCGGTTGTCGATGGCGTCTTCCTGCCCGCCGGCACAGACTGCGGTACCCCAACTTACTCCATTCATCGCCAGGAGCGCTACTACCGGGAAGCGGGGACATATATGCCGGAGCGTTGGATTGAAAATGCCACCTGCACGGCTGGCGGGTCGTCCTGGCAAACAACGAAAGAAAGCATTGAGACGGCGCGACACGCGTTCTGTCCGTTTAGTATCGGACCTCGAGGGTGTATTGGCAAGAGTATGGCGTTTATGGAGATGCGGTTAACCCTGGCGCGATTGGTGTTCCTATTCGACATGTCGTTGGCGGATCGCCAGGGTGAGGATGCGGGCGGGCATCTGGCGCTGACGGATCACTTCACCAGCGCGAAGAACGGGCCCAATGTTGTATTCCGACGAAAGTAGAGAAACTTGTATATTTGATTGTCGACTATTTCCATAAAATATACACGTGAAATCCATCGCTCTTCATCTGTCTTAAAACCTATTAGGACACGGTTGCGCGTCTTGGCAACACTTATCCCACCTCCTTTGTCGATGTACATGGCTACTTCACCATGCCCTCGCCTTTGACTGTGACCTTTGTGCAGGCAACGGCTTTAAATGCCATTGCCAACATCCTCGCACAGCTAATCGACCAGCGCAACAACAAAGTACGTCCTCTGGACGCGAAAAAAAATCCTCAACCTTCAAACTAACAACACCAGGGTCCCTTCACTCTCAATGGACTTGCATTCATTCAATTTATCATCTACGGCATAATCAGCGTGCCCCCTAATTTCTACTGGCAACGCGCTCTGGAAGCGCGATATCCAGGCTTCCCCTCGCGCGCCGAGTACGCCAATGCATTCAGCGTCCGCTCGCTGAAATCCATCTTTTCACCACGTGCATGGTTCTCATCCACCGACGATGCCTTACCCAGTCACACAGACAAGGTAAAAGAGAAGGATGCCCGATGGGCACCTCGAGCCCAGATGTCCGGCCTGCGCTGCCTGGGCATGAAGCTTCTCATCGACCAGACCGTGACATCAATTGCGAATATCATTTTATTCGTCGCGGCAATCAATCTACTGAAAGGCGAGAGTCTCGCCAAGGTGTGGGAGCTGGTGGTTCTGGTGGGTTTCACTCTTCATTTCCTGGCTTACGGATACTGATATCAGGGCAGGACTTCGTTCCCATTATGGGTGCTCGTCTTAAATATCGACCGATTGTCTCTTTGCTGATGTATACGGTTATTCCGGTGGATCGGCGGGTGGTCTTCGGGAGTGCTTGTGGGGTTATTTGGGGCGTGTATTTGAGCTTATATGCGGTTGTCTAGGGAGTATTGGGGTTATTTCGTTACACTTCGGCCTGATTTCTATTGGCATTGGTGCGATATGTAAAATCAAACATTTATTTTCAAAACGAATCCATTTCCTGGTATTCGTTCAGGGGCGTTGCCGCCAGTCCAGTTGATACTGACACAGTGTTAACGGAAACACTCAAAAAGACTCGTCTGGCAATCTACCGATGGAGGGCATTCCCTCGGCAGGGCAAGTTCATATATTGCCCAGGTGTATGGCATGTCAGAGGACCGGTAATGATTATAGAATGCTGTATTATAGAAAGCTGTATTATATTCTCTACCTAAGTAGTGTACTGTTCACTATCATTCCGACATATGGAACGTGACGCGCATAAACATCAACAAAAAAAGAAAAGCGTAAATGAGTAAGATGTGCAAGAAAGGCCAGTCCTGCTACGCAGCGACCTCTAAGCCGGGGCCATGTCAAGCTTCTTGCCCTTAACCGAGATCCACTCGACGAAGATGGGTCCGATCATCGACAAAGCACCCATGGCAACAGCAACGTAGAAAGTTTCCGTAATGGCAGCATTATAAGCAAGCAAGACCTGATGCAGGTCCTCTCCCTTCACGAGAGAGCGAATCATAGTCGCGCCAGCCGAGATAAGCTGTGGTGCATTCTGCTCAGGTGCATACTTGGCGAAGTTGGTGATTAGTCCGTTCTGGAAGACGTTCTGCGCAACGGAGATGAAGATCGCGCCGCCCAGGGTCTGGGCGAAGATCACCATCGCAGTGCCGACGGGGACGTCGGCGGGCTTGAGGGCTGTTTGAGCCACGATCATTGGTTGCTGCATACCCAAGCCGATACCGATACCGAAGATGGCTTGGTAGCCGATCCACTTGGCATGGCCGGAGTCCACCTCTAAGGTTGTCAGGAGGCCTGCGCCGATGCTCATGATGATTGGCGAGGCAATCATGAAAGGCGTGTAATAACCACAGGCGGTGGTGAGACCACCGCTTAAGATGGAAAGGATCACGACGGAGATGATGGTTGGAAGGTTCATGATGCCCGACTTCGTTGCCGATGCGCCCTTGATGGACTGGAACCATATGGGGAGCTGGTCGAGTTAGTACATAGATCGGAAAGGAGGACGCATGAGGACTCACGTAGTAGGCAAAGACGAAGAAAGCAGAGCCAAGAGCCAAGGAGAACCACACAGATCCCCAAACACTGCGCTTCTTGATAAGGCGGGGAGGAATGGTCGCCTTGTCTTTGGACCACACTTGCACCGCGCAGAAAGCAATAATAAGCACACCAAAGACCACAAAGAGTGCAATGATGCGTCCATTGTTCCAGGGGTATTTGCTGCCACCCCATTGGAGAGCGAGCAACAAGCAGATGATCGAGGGAAGGAAGAAGAGAGAGCCGAGCAAGTCCAGCTCTCCCATCTGTTCCTTGAACGACTTGGTGCTCAAGATGGCCTTGGGACTCTGGAACCAAAACAAGACAAAGAAGAAAGTAATACCTCCAATTGGTAGATTGATGTAGAAGCACCAGCGCCAAGTGAGATGGTCAGTGAAAGCACCTCCCATAAGAGGACCAGCGACGTTGGCAATTCCGAACATCGATCCCACGAGACTGATGTACATCGGGCGCTTTTCCAGAGGAACACTCTTGGAGATGATGAGAAGAGACCCAGTGACCAGACCCGCGGAGCCCAGTCCTGCAATGGCTCGACCGATGATCAGCCCGACGGAAGTAGGAGTTGTCGCACAAATCAACGAGCCGAGCTCGAAGACAAACAGCGCCGTCAAGTAAATCCACTTAATCGGGTAGAAGGTGTAGAGTTTCCCGAAGATCAGAGTCACCGCGCAGGTCGTCAAGAGGTACGAACTACCGTACCAACCGACATCCTCGATGGAGTTGAAGTGATCCGTAATTCTGGGAATGGCAGTGGCGATGATCGTGTTATCCTGTTCCAGAGTTAGATATGATCTCAATGTCCGTACACCGGTACACATACCAATGCCACGCAGAAGACGCAAAGACAGAGGGCGATCGTGATCAAAATCAACTTCCAGGCGCTTGGGTATTGCTCAGGATCATCTTTTTCATCATCGTCGTCGTCTTCCTCTTTGGGGGGTTCTCTATCGGATATCTCGACGTTCACGAGCTCAGCGTCGAGATCATTCGATTTTGTATTAAGTCCGGGAGAAGGAGAGGCTGGGGGAGAGGCAATGGCGATTTCCTTGTTTACACTACCACCGGATGGGTCTCTCGTATGGCCACTGGCGAGAGTGCTTGCTTTCTCACTGCAGGGCAACGAATTCCTCCATGTCGGCAGGGAAATGCTATCGGCGTCGCAGGCATTCGGTTCTGTATCGGGCCGAGCCGTGGGGGCAGACTCAGCAGCGACATTAGGAGTGGGCACAGCCTCTTTGGGGGATTTGGCTTTAAGAAAGCGCATAACGAAGGACATCAAGACTGGCGTTCAAAAGAATGAAAAACGGCCGGAATTGGTATTAACGAAAGTTGGGGTGCGGAGGACGAAAACCCAAGTCCAGGGGGACAGATATTTAAAATGAGAAGTAAAATAAAGGTGGATTGGTCAAGATTGGCATTGACGACACGGCTGTGGTACAGAGTCTGAGGTACGGGTCTCATCAAAGACATTAGCTGCAGGCATGGGGAAAGGAGGAAAGGGTCGATCCAAGTATTATAGGGATAACCTCGAAGATCGCACTATTCGTATTCAAAGTCTCAAAAATCCCATCTGGCACGCGGATCCCCCACTGCACTGCAGGCACTGCATGCACATTAGGCAGCGAGGTCCAGAGTGACTAAAAGGACGCAAAACAGCCTTCGGTAAGAATTGGCGATGCATGCAACTGTGGCCAGATGCAGTAGTGTTGAGCATCCCATACTCCGTAGTCGAAGTGATAACACAAGGCCATTATTCGAGGGATCTGAATCAGTACGCACGCTTCGACGCGGGCGAAAAAGCCTCCCTCTGTTTGCCAGGCGGGTCTGCAGTCAGGGGAAATGCAAGGGTCGGGATGCTATTTAGTCCATGACAGCAAAGCACAACTGGGCAGTATCGTTGTCTCAGCAGCAGGTTTGGTTCTCACCAATCAGAGATCGACAGGGACGCAAATAGTCCCTGGCCCCTTGCGTGGCCTACGGCATGAGGGGTGCTTTTCAACGGAGGGTGCGACTTCACACCGCTGTTGACGTAGTCCAGTCACTTCGGACGAACATAGTGATTCGGACGAAGGGGGTAATATCAAGGCCTCGAAGGACTTCAGAAGGACTTAAGGTGAAGGGACTTAAGGGAGATCGACACAACCCCGGGTCAGCTGCTGACAGGCACTAACTGCTTTAGGACTAGCGCGTGTCAAATCCACGGTTGCGACTCGGAGTTTGGGGTTAAGCTTGACTTCATACTTCACAGTATACAGCACTTGAGGCTATAGTCAACAGATCCTCATAGCATATTGTGGATGGATGCTCATAGTGATCACTTGGATAGCACCTCACTATGCTTCGAAGGTCCCGTTTTGCCTTCGGACAACAACCGGATAAAGTGCCTGTGGACTGTGGGAACATGGGGATCTCCGGAACAAAAACCCGCTTGTCAACAATGAAATCATATCCGCCCACCCGATACCATGACGGAGAAACTTGAGTACAGCAACGTTAACTCCGGGCTCCATTTTGCGAGCACGGCTACACACCCGCATATAAAAGGCAGCATCAAACCGAACAACTTCAGACAATCCCACAGCATTCAAAACAGTCAGCTTTCACAGTATCAACCAGTCTCTCAACAATGGACGAACTCTTCAAGCCCGCTCCCGAGCCCGCCACCCCTCTGGGTCGGTACCGAGTGCTCTCATCAACAGCCGGCGTCCGCGTCTCTCCCCTCCAACTAGGCGCCATGTCAATCGGCGACTCCTGGAACCAATTTATGGGTAGCATGAATAAAGAGCAATCTTTCGCCTTGCTCGACGCCTTCGTCGCAGCCGGAGGCAACTTCATCGACACAGCGAACAACTACCAAAACGAGCAATCCGAAACCTGGCTCGGCGAATGGATGACCGCCCGCAAAAACCGCGACCGAATGATCATCGCCACCAAATTCACCACAGACTACCGCAGCCACGCCCTCGGCAGCGGCAACACCCCAAACTCCTGCGGTAACCACAAGCGCAGCATGATCCTGAGCGTGCGCGACTCCCTCCGCAAACTCCAAACCGACTTCATTGACGTCCTCTACCTCCACTGGTGGGACCACACCACCTCCATCGAAGAAATCATGGACTCTCTCCACATCCTCGTCGAACAAGGCAAGGTCATGTACCTGGGTATCTCGGACTCGCCCGCATGGGTAGTTTCAGCCGCGAACACATACGCGCGCGCACACGGCAAGACACCATTCTCAATCTACCAGGGACGGTGGAATGTGATGCGTCGGGACTTCGAGCGTGACATCCTGCCTATGGCGCGTCACTTTGGAATGGCGCTCGCGCCCTGGGATGTCCTTGGTAGTGGACACTTCCAGTCCGCGAAGCAGGTTGAGGCGCGGAAGCAGTCTGGCGAGGGCTTGCGGAATGTGTTTGGGTCTGAGCAGACGGAGGATGAGAAGAGGGTTTCAGAGGCGCTTGAGACTGTTGCCGCGGAGCATGGGATTGAGTCTTTGACTGCTGTTGCGTTGGCTTATGTGCTTTGCAAGGCGCCGAATGTGTTCCCGCTTGTTGGGGGTCGCAAGATTGAGCATTTGCATGATAATATCCAGGCTTTGAGTATTCGGCTTACGGAGAAGCAGATTGCTTTCTTGGAGTCGGCGACTCCTTTGGACATTGGGTTCCCTGGTAACTTTATTGGTGTTGACCCGGCTGCGGGTGGGCAGCCGTCTTTCCTGGTCGGTATGTCTGGGAAGATTGATTATGTCCAGGCGCCCCGTGCTGTTGGATATGAGCCTACTGCCTAGGGGAGAGCCTTGATCATGGATGTTTAATGAGTGTTTCATGTCTATCAGGTGGATAGAGCGAACATATTATTCCTGATTTTATACGAATCCTTTTCTCAGCCGCAAATTGGGCTGGATAATAAAGATTTTACCAGATGATAGAATAATTGGTATAGGTTAGATTGGTATTGGAGAAAGCCAGTCCGATGCAATGTGCTTTGATCGCACGCCGTCCCGCGCCGGGAAGGGCTTGGGAAAAAGGAACTTAGTATGTACAACGCCCAATAAAAAGAATAGAGATCAAGAAGAAATTGAAAGCCCAGTGTGATGTAACATCGTCTTCAAGAACGTGTGACAGAAAAACAGACAAACGGCTTATATTGTAGATATTGGCCGGTGAAGGCGTCGTTCTTTTGGCAACATGACCGTCATGATTGAAATCATAGTTTCGGATAATCGCACTGCATAGACGGTAATTGTCACACGAGCAAAGTGGGGGGTATTTGAGTGGTAAGGGGGCTGGATTGGACAAGTCGGAGTTTTGAGAGTTTTCGGGTCGGTCAAGGCTGGTTTTGACTTGACAACCACGGAGTCCAACCAGGGGGGAAAGTAAGGTCATCATGCTTCAAACTCATGAGGGCAGTCCAAGAAGGATCTGCTTAGATCTCGTGAGGGATCTCAAGACCGGCGTCCTTGCTGGCGACAAGGGCAATCAGAGCTGCGCCGACACCGCTTCCGTCCTTGGAGATACCAATGCGGATCTTCTTGTCGCCTGCAACTCCGACCTCGGGGACTTCGCGCAAGGCATCACGCATGTGTCCCTCGAAGTTGGGGTAGAACTCCACCAGACTTCCATCGACACCGACATCGATGATGTCGTCGGTGGCGAGCTTGTTGGTTGAGGTGATGATAGCTGCCAGTGGGACGGCGCTCAGACGTGCGGCACGCTTGCCAATGGCGTGGACCAGGATCTTGATAGCCTGGCATTCTTCAAGGCTGGGATTCTCAATTTCAAGATGATCCCGCAGTGCGGTCTTGATGTCGACCAAGTCCTTGCTGCTATCGGCTTCCACGGAGCTCAGCAAGCTAGTGTCAAGACCCCATTGACGGAAGAGCATGGACTTTTCGGAGATGGTGACCTTGGAGTCCTTGTTGGCCTTGAACAAGCCCAGGTCGGAGTTGTGGAGGGACAGAAGGGCGCGACGCAGGATCTCACCCAAGAACATGCCCGAAACACGCTTCTCGAACATCTGCACGCCGGGGTTGTTGCTGTCGGCATCCAGCTCGTCGTCGAATACGGTGGTGGGGAGCACACTCATGTGGTTATCGAAGCTACCCCACTCGGCGTTGATGATCATCTCGCCGGTCGAGTTGTCGAAGTGGGCATCCTTCATGTGCTGAAGCTTGGTGATGTTCTTGGTCTTCTCGACGTAGGCACCGTTGGTACCAGTACCAAAGATGGCACCGAGGAAAGTTCCAGTCTCACCGGGGGAGGTGTATGAGCGGGCCATCAGGGTACCAACGGTGTCGTTGACCAGGGCAGCCACGCGCACTGGGAGGTTGAGTTCATCAATGGCGTTCTGGAGCAAGGCGCAGACATCGTGGCCAACGGCATCGGGGATGTTGAAGCCCTTGGTCCAGCGGATCAAGGTCCCGCGGTTGATTCCGCACTGGCGCACGGGGAAACTGAAGGTGAAACCGAGGTCAAACAGGTCCTCCGCGTTGCTGTCCTCGCGGCGGCGCAGTTGGTGGGCCTCGAAGTGCTCGTTGTGGTGGATCCGCAGGAACGACTCGATCTGGCGGGCCAAGAAGAGGAAGAGGTCCTTGGAGGTGCCCGAGGCCATCAATTCCCGGGGAATCAGGATCTTGGACTGGGTGAGGGAGAAGGTGGTATCGCCGTGCAGGAGGACCGAGCACACCCGGAAGTTGGTGCCACCCAAATCAACAGCCAAGTATAGACCCTGTCGTAATTAGCCGACAATGCCCCGTGCGATGCGACGGGCGTCTCACCTTTTCCGTTCCGTTTGGCACGGCGGTCACGAACGTTGGGATCTGGCTCAGCGTTGTGCCCTCCTTGCCTAGACCTTCATCGGATTGGCGGATATACTCCTTCACCCCGCGCTGCACCTGTTCGGCGGGGTATTCGAAATCGCGCGCAATGCGCGTAGCCTGGTCCAACAGAGACATGGTGATAGCGGGGAGGAGAATGAGGGGATAGAGAGAGAAGTCAAAAGAGGGAAAACCGCGGGATTAAATGCGAAAAGCGGGAGTGAAGTGGGATGACGGAGGGGCATGAGGTCAGTCCGATACCTTGGCAGTATTAACGCCACTATAACTGCCGGATTCGCCGATATTTGTTGCCTTTCTACTTCCAGCGCAGATGCATAGTTCTACAAAGGGACTCCCGCAAACGGTCCTGACTGCATTCCTCGGGATCTGGCATTCTACTATCATTTATGAAGTACCCGTGGACTCCGTAGACTGGGCAGTGTGCCTCTTTCTATGACGCTATGAGTGTTCGTACGAAACTAGACGTCTGGGGGAAGAGGCTGCGATTGGTCAATCTACTTGACGTGCATGGTTTTTCCCCGACTTCACCGGTGAGCGACAGAGGTTAGGACCTGGAGTAGATTGTTGTTTCTATACTGAAACCCGTGTCTTAACTAGTATAGACCTGTACCAGTATTGTATGCCGATCGGGATAGCCGATGCTCAACGTCCCGAGAACACGGAATCCCGACATTTCTCTTACGAATAGTTTCACGAAGGCATATATGGACTATTATTGACTTGTACTCCCCGGCTCAGTAACATTGCAGTACTCATGTACTCATCGTATAGCATGACATAGTACGCCTAACAGGGAACACAATGCATCAAAGGGCGATGCAAGGAAACACTCACATGTAAGTGTTCACTGAATATGTGTAGTCCACGGGCAGTAGAGACCCGTGGGCATGGACGCAAGGCACAGGGCTGGAGGGCTGCAAGTCCAAGTCACACCGCCAACTGGTGAACTGGGAGCTGACTAACAGCACGTGACCTCCAACATCCTCCGAACTGATCGGGTTGGGAGCGGGCAGCGTGAACCACCTCAGTCATTCAATCTAAACAGGACTTGTCCTTGCTGTTGAAAATGGGTGCTGGAAACTCTAAGCCCGAGGCCACGGCCAGCTCACAACATGTGTTCTCCAGGTATTGCTCTCCGATGTCAATTCCAGCTTCCGCGGTATTTGGTGCTCGACGGCGGAGGGAACGGGGAAACCCTTCCAATTGAGATCAATCGAGAAGGGCAAGCTGATCCCTAAGCTCGAAAGAGCCCTCGAACCTTAATCGCCACCGGCAATACCGCGAAGCGCACCATCAATTCTCACAGCCGACGCTAACATCGACAAACAGCAACTCTCCGGTGCAATTCTCCTCGAACCTAGTCGATGCGCTCCAGTCCAACTCGGAGGTATGCAAAGCACCGATCCCGTCTGAACAAAAGCCCAAAACAGAACCAAAACTAACCAATCCACCCAAGTCCGACTCCACCCGCGCCAAAGCCCTCGAGCTCGAGATCCAAAACCGCGTCGCACAGGAACTGCAGCGCCTCCGCGAGCGCGAGCAGCAAACCCTCGCCCAGATCGAGAAGCGTCTCGCCGAGTCTAAAGACACCACTACTCTGCCCATCACCGCCGCGACCGCGCCTCTCGCCGCCGGCCACCCCGAGGGCTCTCTGAACCTGGACGCACCACGCATTCCCTTCGCAGGACGTCACCACGACCCTGTGCCCACATACGCCGCTCCCGCTGAGGCTGCTGCTCCTGCCCAGCCTGCTAAGCGCGATGTCTCGCGGGACTCTGTCGCTGCTGAGATTGATCAGCTGCGGAGTAAGCTTGATGGACGGAGGAAGCTGACCGAGCTTGATGGTGATGTGGCTAAGGCTCGTGCTGATGTCACTAGCTGCTTGCAGTTGAATGATCGTCGACCTTTGAACTGCTGGGAGGAGGTGGATGCTTTCAAGCGTGAGGTTGCGCGCATGGAGGCTTCTTTCGTGGATCGCATTGTGGGTTAGATCGGTGGGGATACGCAGACTTGAATCGAAGTCTACATTTTGATGAGCCCTCGGGCGGGAGCTGCTGTGCTGTATGTATAGATTGTGCATTTTCTTTTGTTCCTTGTTGTCATTTGGATAAGGTAGAATATATCCATATGATGATGCTTGGTCTCGGTTATTCAACATATCACCCATACAGTGTAAATTCTGTAACTCGGACCTATACCTAGGTACCCGTGGACTTTATTCTAAGTAAGGGTGCCAGATCATGTAGGCCCCAAATCCAACCCTAGAAGGTTGGATACTTCCACTCTCAGTCCTGTTATCATACAAACTCCCACTGGCCCAGCCGGCCAATCTTCTCGCCAGCAGCCCGAATGATACACATTCGCCTCTCAGAAGGCTTAGAGTTCAAAGCCAACACTTTGGAAAGCTGAATTGACCCAATTCCTGTGCCTTGGCCTTCGGAAAGATTGTAATTACCCGTTGTAACAAAGCCAATCAGGTCATCCTCTGTGGGCACATCGGGGTTCTCAGAGTCAGAGTCATCTGATGGAGCTTTTGTTAGAGACTCAGCAAGCATACGTCGAGCTGCGTCGGAAGTAGGGGCTGGCTTTTCCCTCAGGGCCTCTGTTCGAGCCGATTTACTGTGCTTTGAGGCAAGTGCAAGCCATTTCTGGCGCAAAGTTGGATCCGCAGGGAGCCGGTAGATCCGCGCGCGTGGTGTAGGTGTTCCCCGCGAGGTGAGAGATATATAAACCGTAGCAAGAGTGGAAGCATCGACTGCAGGTTTGTCAAGCTTGCTCAGAGTCTGACACGTATCAGCCCGCGGGTAGCGAACATTATGTAGGTTGAGGGGTGGAACGATGAGACCGGAAGCATCATCTGTTCCAGACCCCTTCGACTGAGCTTCACCCTTCTCACCGGCTTTTTGGGCTGCCGGGTCTTTCTGGGACGGTCCCTGGAGTAGTCGTTCCCAATCACAAGCCCAACCGCGGCCGATTTCGCCCTTTGGCCGGCCTTCTGCTAGAGAGAGGCTGTCGAACTCAGGACGCCGTCCCTTAGGGCGGCGCTCCCATTCGCTATGTGACTTTTTGGTCTCACGTTGGCCCCATTCCCAGCCTGCTCGGGTTCCTGGGAAATCTCCAGGGAACCAGGCTTCGCCGGCTTCAAATGCGAGTTGTTGTTGTTGCTTCAGCCCGCCTAGCAATGGATTGCCACCGCTAGATAGCGGGTGGAACATGAGAGAGTACCAGACTGGAACGACGCATTTCCATGGCAAGAGAACGGTCCAAGAGCCTGGGGCGTTGCTATCTTTGGCCCGGGCTTGGGGTTTGTTTGCCATTATCATGATAGGGATATGAGGATCAGATGGCTGGGGAGGTGGGTAGTTACCGGGTCCAGCAAGAGTGCGACGCCGGTTGATAGCCTGTTGGCTGGGGAGTTGACGAGCGGCTGCTAATCGGGTGGATCGATCGAACAGTGCGGATGGGCCTTGTGTTTTGTCAGGGCTCCATGTAGAAAGTAAGACGGCAAGGTCATTCATGTGGGATTCGTTAGTAGGGACGTGGAGTGAGCGTGGTGGGAAATGGAGGCGAGGATCAGAGACTGCAAAAGATAGCAGAGCATTGTTTGGCAATGAGGACGGATTCGAGACGCCTAGAAGGGCTGGCCAAATAGCTTCTGGGCTTTGTGCTGATGGTTCATTGATATCAGACCCAAGGATCGGTTTCAACGTTGCCAATAAGGCCTCAGTAGATCCAGGTCCAGAGATCTCGATGCTGCCAATATCGAATCGCAGGTCCTCAACCATGACAGGGGGACTTTGCTTTTTGGAAATGTCGAGAATATCATTCCACAGCTGGAGGAAAGCTGAGGGGTGGACCCTGATCCAAAGCTTTCGGTGGTCCTTTTTCAATGGCTTGGATTGAGGCTGATCGGCATCGACCATATCAACGTCCTGCTGCTTGGCACACCACGCCATTGTCACTGGTGCAGTTGGACGAACACGATGATCCTTCTCAAATGTCCACGCCTGCAGAGATCTGGTGCCGGCTCTCCATTTCTTCCCCTTTGTCCCCCATGCAACATCCCCATCAACACCCACTGCCATGAGAACAGCCTGGATAGCTGCCTCTGTGCCTTCCAGCTGAATTGTGGACATATAACTCATATCCCACGCAATAGCACCCCTGGCGCCTCGGGCACGGTGTGTAGGCCGATAGCTTTTCTCAGTAGGAGACAACGGGATCGCAAAACGCCATATGGGATCCTTGGTCGTCGCCATATGGGCCCGTTTCGCGTGATACAAGTGTGTCGGTAGCCAAGTCTTGGACTTTTGGCGCTTGCGGTACTTGGGTTCCGCAGGCGTGGGCCTTGATAGCTTGTTCTTCTTGATCTTGGGTACCCGGGGCGCTATATCGAACATATGGCTTCCTTGCTCTTTCAGCTTCGTCTCGTCCTCTTTCTTCTGATCCATTTTTTCGGCGGCCCGTCGGGCCTTCGCTTTAGCGTTCAGTGCCTGGAGTCTGCGTGCGGTATCAAGACGAACACGCATAATTTGAGACGGCTTGCGCCTGCGCGCGGTAACAGTGGGCGTTTTGTCTTCGGCCATCTGTCAATATGGGAAATTAGCCAGCTGTTTCGTGCCGTGGTAAAACAATGCAATACCTCTCGCTTCGCTCGAGCTCTCAGCCTCCGCGGGACACGCTTCACATTATGACTCGCTGTACGCCGCCTGAGCGAACGAGGGACTTTCTGGAATGCCCGCGTCGTGAGCGCACTTTTCGACCGCTGCATTCCCTCCTCGAGGGCCTGGATCTCAAATGCCCGAGCCGCAGAATAGGCGGCGACATCGAGCTCGCCTGTTGCGGAGAGTGCGGCGTCGGCCGACTGCACGGCCAGGGTGCGCGCATCGTAGGTTTTGGCGCGCTTATTTGATCCTTTTGATGCACCCTGTGGCCCTGAGGGCTTTCGTTTCGGAGGATTGGACGCCATGGCTGGTCTCAAGTTGTATCGGAGGTTGTTGCGGCGTAAAAAAGTTGCCGGGCTTGGCGCGTCATGATCGGCGGCCCCACGCTACTATGAGCTTTATCTACGAAGTACGCTCAACTTTTCTACGGCATGTTTAGACGACAAGGTATTTCAAAGCGTTGACAATAATATCTATTATTATGCACAATGGCGAATAGAAGTTCCTGCGGCCCTCGCAGACAATTCACATCACAACCGCGACATGGTCTGTCATGTACTTCTTGATGCTTCCCATAAAGCAAGCGGCCAGGATAGAGACACCCCCAAATGCAATGCTCACATAGTATACCCACTTGTATCCTTCGGCATAGGCGATTTGCCCTGCTCCCACCACCATTTGGTAGGCGGTTTCGTTGCCAGCAATTCCGGGAATCAGGCGCAGTTCATCCAGTAGCGAAGCACCTGTCAACTCAATTGCTTCACCGATGAGTTTGACATCGGTGATATTGAGCTCTGTCATCATCACACCTCCGATGTAGTGGGTTGCTGCCGGCACAAACTTGGAAATAAAGACATTGTAATAGATAGTATAGCCAATACTACCGCCTACAACACGGATAGATAGTGTGAGCGCGGAGATGGTGGCAATGAGGTCCTGAGAAACAAGAACGTCAGTTACTCTTGGTCTTCTGTGGGTGAGTATTACTCACATCTGGGCAGATTATTGTGGTGATGATCGAGGCAGGGACTACTATGCCCCCGATGCCGAGGCCTGCGAGAACAAGAATACCCCAAAGCTGGTACATGTTATCCGTACGTCCGATCGACATAGCTCCACAACCTGTTTGAGGAGCTGATTAGATTTGAGGCATCAATCAAGCTCATTGAGACCACGTACCCGCTGTCATGAGAACGCTGCTTATGATCAAGAGCTCCTTGTTGTGCCCCCTGAGAACAGAGAGCAACGCGAGGACGATACAGGCTCCTGCCATGATTCCAAATCCAATTGGAATGCTGCGAACACCAACTTCGACCGGATCATGGCCATAGACGTTGAATGACTCAGTAGGCCAAAACATCAGTACTGAGAAGAAGTTGGCGCCGGAAATGAATGTGATCACAAGGGTAAGACCGAGCGTGCGAGGCTCTTGCTTCAAGCGGGAAGGGAAGATAGGATACTTGGCACCGTAGATTTCCCAGAAGGCAAATGCAACAAGCAGAAGGAACCCAATGATCAACGGTGCCAGAACATGGGCTGAGCTCCAGGGATACTAAGCATGAAGTTAGCGAGTTGAAGCCAGTCCTAACTATTCAGAAAACCTCACCATATATCCACCCCATTGCAAGCCAGCCAAAAAGACAATTAGTCCTGTGATACTGAGGAAGCCACCCACAAAGTCAATTCGTCCAATGATCTCCTTCTTGCTGAGTCCTTGGGAATTGACCCGTGGGGGAGGGAAGTAAAAGAAGATTGTGACCAATAGTCCAAAAGCGCTCCATGCACCACAGAAAGCTCCCACGTAGCGCCAATGGCTGTAATATGCGATAAGCTGAGCCCACAGCACGGACGGACAGAATGGTACGATGGTGAAAATGAGTGCCGATACGTAAACGCCTCTTTTCCTAGTCGGTGCCATTTCCGAGGTCGCAGCCAAGGCAGTCAGTTCATTGATTCCAGCACCGGCTCCAGCAATGGCCATTCCCGCTATGAAAACGCAATTCAGTGAGAGAACTTCATATTTGTAGAGGGTTATTCAACTCACCAATAAAGTAGTTCATTGTGTTCACTGTGCTGCACACAATCATTCCAATGACAATTAGGGATGCTCCGATGATAGCGACTGGGCGACGTCCGATTAAATCGGATATAGATCCAACGAAAGGACATACACCTGCCAGGCCGAGCAGGTTTGCCAGAACCTGTTCATTAGTATATCATCCAGTGCTGATCTGAAAGTATTCACTCACAAACCAGACCCATCGGTCTGCGCCACCGATGTCTCCATAGATATAGGGTGGGATGCCACCTGGGCCACAGACATCAGACTCAATTCACGGATGATTCAGGGAAATGGCTTACCAAAAAGATAGACCGGGATTTGGCTTCCAGTCCACAAGAAAGCCATGGCGACAAAGCCCATGAAACGACGGAAGGTCATCTAATGACGGTCAGTGTAGTTCTGTAGTTTCCACAACCAATTCCTACCGGGATGTCCATCTCCGACTCATGCATGGCTTCTTCAGATCCTGATCCAGCCTTTTCTCGACCACTGTTTCGTTCTGAGTCACTGTTCTCATAGTGCTGAAACACCGCCTTGTCGTCGCCGGCGCGACTTGATTGATGAATCGTGTCCATAACGCCTGTCAGTCTCTATGACCGCCTTGAAAGCAAGCAGAGCACGTCTGGGCCGAGCCCTTAAGGCTTATTTAAAAGGAGAGGTGCTTTGGGTGATAGTCGTTAGCCTCACTGAACTTAAATAAGATGAGACACCGTTGGAAGTCGACTGGTCAGACCCCTGATGGTACGACCTCGGAGGGAAATGAGACTGGAGATAGGCAGATAATATACCTAGGAATCTCGACCTGTCACCATCTCGACTTTCCAGGGTTGCCGTGTCATTTCGGAAATGCCCGCCTCCGGGTAACGAATCACACCGGGATAGAGACACTGGATGGCGAACAAGCTAATGCGCCATGACGCCCTGAGCAGCGACAGCCGGGCCAAGAATGCTTGAAATGCAGAAAATACCGAGGCAGCTTGGCGATTGCCGGGTTATTCTGGGCATTTGGCTGGCAAATCCGAGCGAGATGGCCCTAGCGCAAAGGCCAAAATGCGGGGGAGCCAAACGCGGAGAACAGAGGCATCATTCACTCGGGTCTCGATCCTACCGCTCCGGAGGCCATGCCGGAATGGGGTACAGCCCCGAAACTATGTGAATTGCTTTCTATTATGTGCAGTGGGAATATCTGAGATAAGATGACAAGGAAATATGTAGTACAGTGGTGCTTCGTTGAGAAGTCTTGTAGGTCGGACGTGTTTGCGGCTCGATGGTCAGCATCGAGCTGGTTGGATGAGTGTGTGTCAGCACACCTGGACATATCTAGGTACTCTCAGTACCTAGGTATGTTGTAAGCCCCCGGCCGGGGTTCCAGACTCGGAGAATTTAAGCCACTCAAAGAGTGTAAGTTCACGGTTCAAAAATGCTCCCCGACTTTGGCGAGCTTGAGCTTTTTGGGGACAACGAAAAGACCCGATGCCTCAACACAGATTTTCCCTGTCATATCACGAACCACGCAATGGGCATAGGCCTTGCGGTCTGTGCTCTGCTCCTGGTCGAGGGATGTGTGCAGGGTATAGAATTTGTCCGAGGTGACCGGGGCGCGGTAGTTCAGATTGAGGTTTGCGGTGACTCCTGTTCGCTCTGGGAAGTGCCGAATGGCTATTCTTCCCAAGTTCTCATCGATGACAGTTCCGATAGCACCACCGTGAACCATCGTGGGCCAGCCCTCCATACCGCGCCCCAAGAACACGACACTGACGTTCGTTTTGTCCTTGTCGTTCCAGAAAACCCTCTATCAGATCCAAAGGTTAGAAAAAGCTGGACCCCGAGGTTCGGCATTGAGGACCACCCGGTACTTGCGCATGTACTTCGACATGCTATGTCCCCGGGCGCCAAGAGGACAGGGAACTCACCTGGAATCCAAGGCCCCTGCTACCCGCCAAGGGGCCAGAGGTCAGTCGGTGGGATTTGTGCTCATCCGCAAAGTTATCGTATACGCTCTTTTCCTCGTAGTCGGGGTTACTGCGCAGTTCGCGCACGAGAGGTATCGCATCAAACGCCTGCTGCAGGTCCAGAGAAAAGTATTTGTCCTCTAGCGAACCAGGAAGGAATGGTGGACTGGAGATTTTGCTGTCCACCCATCCACCAACGGTGTAGCCAAGTGTTCCAAAGATTCCGGCATAAACTAGACGGCGTGTCCACCGTGATGGTGGCTTGGAGGCGTTTGGGAGTGCGGTGCTGTTATATCGAACCGGTTGTTTCCAAGCTTGCGACTGGGTCGCTGACCGGCGTATGGTTGACTGTAACATTCTGCTAGAAGGATTCATGGTCACATTGCCATTCATTCGATAGTTGTCGCGGACTTGGAATTCGGACCGAGGCCCTGGTCACGTGCAGTATGGCACAGTTCTGCTGTTTCTATAAGACACCGCCTCAATGCGCGCTCCACCGCTCACTCGAGGATGTCTACATCTTATGGGTTTAGATCTCAAGTTCAACTACGAGAGCTCGAAGTGATCATCAAAGCTAAGGCGAGACTGCCGCCATTCATGTGCATCGTTTCTATTCATCTCGCAACATTTGGAAGCTTTTGCCCTCATGAACGAATATTTAATCATACAAACCCCAATTACTCAGATGTTGGTAGATCAATAGCGCGGTAGAGACAGATCAGGGCGGAGTGAGATTCGCCTAGGTAACTTGTTAGCGAAGGATCAACATGGATGTGTGAAGGTTGACTTACCACCACCGGAAAGAGTCTCGATCTTCTGTGCTTCCACCTCGGTCACCGTGTCATCGTTGAACCACCACCACTTGTTATCCTGCTCCCGGCGCTTGTTGCCGGCCTGGGGCTCGTCGCGCTCTTGCTTCTTAACGTACGCGGTGTAGTGACCGCTGTCAGCACTGGCACCCTGGTGGGTGATCACGGCACGAAGCTCATACAAGCCAGACTGGTTGGTTCCACTGTCTCCGGAGCCCCTTTGGGTGAGAAGCTCTTGGAGTTCTTTCTTGGCGGCGCGGATGGATGCGGCCTTCTCAGCCTCGTATTCGGCGTCAGTCTTGAAGGTCTCCTCCATCTGGCTGTCACCGTCCTTGTCATTGGCCTTCGCCTTGGTCTCTTCGGCTGCATGCTTCTTTTGCATCGGCTCCACGTTGGAGCCAAGGTCGGTTTCTTTGCTTTGGCGCACGGCGCGCTCTTCCGCGATCCTTTGACGCTTCTGGGCTCGCTCAACATCTTCCTCCTCCTTGCGAATCTCGCGAACCTTGTCACGGATAGGGATAAGCTGCTTGCGGAGGTCCTCGGTGCAGAACTCGACCACATCCAACTCAGCTGGGAATGTAACCTTGCGCATAATCTTGGCCTTTTTTTGGGTCTCGCGCTTCCAGAAGAACCGGACGAAATGAATGGTCAAGTACTTGGGCAGTCGCGCGATGCGAGATCGCTTCTTGTACACCGAGTTGCGCTCCAAAAGAGGGGAGTTCTTCTCGATTTCCTCCTCCAGACCAGCAAGGATTCCATCTTGCAGGTGATTTGTTTCCTTTCCAATGTGACAGTCCAGCTTATAGAAGACGTCTGAGCTTTGGCTGGGCTGCTCGCCGAGCTCCTTCGCGGCTGGGTCTTCACACTCGGTGACAGACTCAAATTGACCGGCGAGATACTTGTCGACGAATGAGGTCTTGGTGGCAGACTCGCCTTCGCCGTCGGTGATGGTCAACTTGGCACGCAACTGGTTCATAATCTGAGAGAAAGCTTCTTCGGCATCCTGCTGGGCATATCCTTGCCCATTGCGATCACGTTGGGCAAATTGGGGGAATACAGATCGAAGAGCATTGAGGAACATCAAAGGCGGAATGCCTTCCTGTGTTTCAGACATTTGCTTGAACAGATCTCGGAGAGAAGCAGCCAAATCCCGGGAGCCGCCAAGACCACCTAGACCAAAGCTGCTGAGGTCCGACAAGCCGGACTGCCCAGCACTTTCGCTTGGTCGGTATTTGATAAGTTCCTGCTGAAGCTCCGGCACGCTGCGCAATGTCTGTAGTGTAGAGTTGAGATAACATGTGTTTCCCAAATTCTGCAAACCAGCAGGTGTAGCACCTTCCTGCTGGGCCACCTCAGCTGCAGACATGTCCTCCAGGAACTTGACGGCCTCCTTTGGCCGACCAAGATCAGCAGTGCCTGCGCCCCCGGATGGTGTGCCCATCATCATAAACATCTGCCCGGGCTTGGCATTGAGGGACGAAAGAGGTGTCTCATCCTTGAGCTGGCCACCTTTGACTAGGACCTTTTGGCGGTCGGGTTCGACGCCGGTAAGGGAGAAGAGTTGGTACTTCAGGGTCTCGCCATTGGAGGTAGGGTCGAGCTCGACTTCGTGACGTTTGCCGGCATGCTTAATAATGACTGGTCCTGTTAGTGTTTATTCACATAAACGGCTGGTCCATCCACACGTACTAGGAATCGCTGCCATTCTGGATGAAGCTGGGCAATAAACGATGCAAGAGGGATAAGAAGCTTGAAAGAGCTTGCGGTTGCTGAGGCAAATGATCAACACCGAGCGAGAAGCGTGGGGGGAAAGCATTCACCGCCCGACGACCACCCGCACGTCACCTCCCTTCAGCCTAGGCCACTCTGTTATTCAGGAATCCCTGAGAACATCCACTGCGTCTGGTTTAAGGGACGATTCTCTGGTCCTGGATTTGCATACCGCGATCATCCCATACGCCAACCGAGTCCCCAAGAATCACGACACCCCGCCATCATGGTCCGTCCCGCGTCATCAAACACCCCGTACACAACTGACATGTCCAATTCAGTCGCAATCGCTCCGGCCGTATCTCCAGTGGCAAGTTCCGCTCTACCACCAATGTCTCCGGCAGCCATGCTAATAACATAACAGCGTTCGGTCGTCTCTGACCGCCGCGCTCACGATCTCCAACTTCGCTTCTCAGGCATCGGAACGGCAGTAAGCCGCACCTGGTACCATGACCATTGATGGAATGCTAACCGGTCACCTCTCCCCAGCAACACCCCACAAGTGGAAGCCCGCGACAGTCCCGAATTGCTTCTTAACCCGTTAGTCTAGCCACCCACTCCCCCATGGGCATGGGGCATTGGGCTAACATCGATGGCTCTTTAGGTTGCACATAAGCAGGAATGAAAACGAGAAGGTGTAAGTGGACAGGTATCAATCTTTCACTGCATGTTGCTGATACTGCCTCAGGTTCATTGAACCCTCCCGAAATTCCGTTCGAGTCTCCATCCGCATCAAGCAGGCGGATGAGATCGAACACATCCTGGTCCACAAGTTCACTCGCTTCCTCACGCAGCGAGCGGAGTCATTCTTCATCCTGCGCAGGAAGCCGGTTGAGGGCTTCGACATCTCCTTCCTCATTACAAACTTCCACACCGAAAAGATGCTTACCCACAAGCTTATCGATTTCGTGATTGAATTCATGGAGGAGGTTGACAAGGAGATCTCCGAGATGAAACTCTTCGTATGTGATGGACCGACATCTCTCTCTGCAACGCCGCTAATGAATGATAGCTGAATGCCCGTGCTCGATTCGTCGCCGAGTCTTTCTTGACACCGGTACGTTCCCATTGGACGTCCATTTTGAACACATTACTGACGAGTTTCCAGTTCGATTAAATTGCCTAGCGTTGCCTATTCTGAATTATAAATGATCCTGTGTTTCCCAGTTCCTACTCTTGTACAGATAGCACAGGCTTGCATTTACGAGAGGGTTCTGTACTGGTCTCAACTCTTGATCCGTAGATCCCTGGCCCAAGCATTCATCAGATCATGGTGATATATTCTTCATCGGCAAGTCGTACTAGTCGCACAATGCTGCCTCCATGGAATGCGAACCTTGGAATGCTTCGATGGATAGGTAGTAGGTAATGTAGCTTCCGACATGAGATCTGTATCGCGGTATGCTTCAGGCTTATAAGGCCAGCGCTTTCATTGCGTACTCATAGATACCCTTGCCGTCATCATACTCCTCCATGAAAGGGGCGAATCTATGCCATCGTGATTATTTCAAGCTCATAATAATCCAGGCCCAGGCTTAGCAGCAGGCTTTGTATAGGGCATCCAAAGGGAACAGTATCTTGAGGCTCATATGCCTCTTGTTGAGAGGTAAGATAGTATGGTAGAGAAGATCTGCGTCCATGCAGAAATGTAAAACGAAGTGTTTTGTATAGAAGAAGGGATGGGAAATGGGTTTGCGTTGGAAAGTTGCGCGGTCCCATACAAAATGGCGGGCCTGTCGCAGCTACCTAGGTATAGTCCTTGGCCCCGTTTCTACTTCGGCGGAACACGCGACGTTCCCTGAAGAGCCCGGAGGTCCGCCTCGTCGCTGGCGTACTTGCTCCCCACCAAAACTATCTCAACTTTCACCTGACAAAACCCCCCAACTTTGTATGGGAACTTATTTTTGGATGATTTTTCAACTCAAATGGCATCTCTCAGCTATCTTTTCATCCCATTAGCATCCCTCTACGAGCTGTTTTGAGGGCGCAGGAATTTTTTCAAGCTCCCAACGCACTAAGAGGACCATGAAACTTGCGGCGGCGGAAAAGGCCCAAGAGCATTTGCAGGCCGATAGCTAATTAGACTGTATCTCGGCCAATTCATGCTTCTAGGGGCCGAAAACTGGAGCATAGGTACTTGAAGTGGTCTATTTGTATTTGGTCTCATCAAAAATATGATTCTCAGTACAAAAACGCTGTGTAAATCGAGGACTAAAGTGACTTGAGGGGCGTGCTTCGAACACGCCCCAGCCCTAATTTCACACTTCCAGTGTCGAGGTACCTCAAGCACATCGACTACCACAGGCACCCAAGGGACGTCTGGCGCTGTTTTCTTTCCCAAGCCAAGCTATAAAATGGGCCTTCTTTACCTCCACGCACTCTCTCTCCTCGTCCCCCTTCTTGCCACGCACCATCTACATCTACAGCAACAACACTTCTTCACACCATGGCGTCAACTACATCAGATGAGACTATTAGCTCGCTGAATGATATTTATACGCCCCCTGAGTCTCCAGTCGCAGTTGTTCCTGCAGGTTTTGAGGTCAAAGCTGAGCAAAATTATGAGCAGCGTGCAAGCCGTGAAGAACAAACTCAAGGAGACAGACCCCCAGCTTCTGGCGTCACAGAGCCCTATTGGGAACTTCTGGGACCTAGCTCAGAAGAAATTCATTACATTGGACAGGAACTTCTGGAGGCCATCTCTACTTCTGCCAGTTCAATCCCACCTACTTTCCTTCCACCTTCTCCTCCCTCAATCCTCATCCCAACCAGCGAAGCTGCTTCAGTTTCTGCTGCCCCTCCCAACAGTCACCTGCAATTTACGCAGTTTTTTCATTTAGTGAACTTCTCCGATATGGCGTGGCCCATCGGACCCAACGCGCCTCCAGGCCCTCCAGGCGGGGACATGTTTCCCCTCTTGCAGGACTTCACCAAGGACAGCCTGAAGAACATGGGCTTGGCCACAATCGGTGAAAAGACTAACTTGAATGTTCTCCACGACGGTGGTGTCGTTAAAATCACCAATGTATGTTGTCTCTTTGGGCATATCCTCGTCGCAACAGGCTAACAAACCTATCTCCTTCAGATCCCTTTTACTTGCACCCGCCAGGATGTCAACGCCTTCCTTGGACGAGGATTCAGCTCGTTCGGCACCGAGAATGGTCCTCACATTCATATCATGATGGAGCGTTCCACTGGCAAGACCATGGACTGTTTCGTCGAGTTCCAAACGGAGAAAGATGCGAAGAAGACTGTCACCTCTTTGAACCGCAACCATGACCTTAACAAGGGCACCCGCCTTGGTAGCCGCCACGTCGATGTGGAGCTCAGCAACCCCGCTGAGTTGATGAAAGCTTACTTCCCACTGGCCAAGGCCATCACCTGGGACAGCCGCACCCCCGTCAAGAACAGGATCAAGCCTAATTATTCCACTGGCTTTCAGGGCTTGTTCACGGATGAGGAACTTTTCTGTCTCCAGCGTCTCGCAGAGCAGCCTGCCCGCGTAAGTTGAATCCATTCTGATATTGACAAACATGATGCCTAATGTAATGCAGAGTGTCTTTGCGAACAAGATTCCCCAGCGTGCCTTTGAATCTTACATCGGGACCCTCTGGAAGGTAAGTTCCCCCCCGGCCTCCTGTTTGCCTATCAGTGCCATGCTAATACTCTTTGTCCTGCTTTCTAGTTCCCGTGGCATGCGGCCAACATGTACACCATCGCGCACCGCAACAAGCTCTATGATACCCTCATTCTGTTGCAGACGTATCTGCGAGAATTCATGGCAAAGAAGAATACCGTTGGCCTGGATCATCCTCTGGTCCTGGAGCTGGCAAACGCTGGCCTTCGCTGCCCTGGCTTTAACCCCCGCCAGAAGTATGAGATTGCCCAGCAGAGTGGCGACGAGCACCTTAAGAGGGAGTTCAGCCGCGACTGGTGCATGAACTTCCCATTCGAGACCCTTACTTACCTCCCGAACTGTAACTACTTGAACTTACAGGTATGATAGCAAAGCCATGAGATTTCGCATTGGGGTCTTTGACTGACAATTACCTTTCATCTAGCTCCTGGCCTACGTCGCGTCGCACGGATGTATCGATACCCCTGGCGGCCAATTCGAGAAAAAGCCTAAGGGACCCCACCCTGGCACCCGTCATGTCTGGGGCAAGTGGTACTTTCAGTGGACCAAAGCCGCTACCCGAACTGTGACCTTCGCATCCGCTCAATTTTATGAGAACAGTCTGCTCGCCGGTCTCCTGGACACTGGCTATGACAATGTGACCAAAAACAGGAGCATCTCAACCATTGGGACTGCTCCCCATTCATCCCAGGAGGGTGACAACGACTCGGTTGCCAGTGAGGGCACCATCGTCACCACTCCTGTCGCCCCAGCTGGGGGCAATCCTCCATCTACTACATTCGATCCATCGACTATGCCCATGCCTGTGGATGTCCCAATGCCCACTAATATCCCCGAGGGAGGCAATATTCCTATGGGCCCTCCAGCTCCAGTCGCCGCGGACTATGACATCGGCACTAATGCTCCCATGGCCTCTCAATATCCCATGGCTTCTCAAGTTCCCATGGGCCCTCCAGCTCCAGTGGCCGCGGACCATGACATCGGCACTATTGTTCCCATGGCCTCTCAATATCCCATGGCCCCTCAAGTGCCTATGGGCCCGAATATTGGCTGGGGCAATTTGGGCGCATACCGTCTTGCGAACCCTGCTATGGGCAATGATCCAATGCCTGGTATGGCCCCAATGGTCTTGAAACTTCCAGGTGGCCCTCGTATGCCAGGCTACATGCCACGGCCATCTCCCAACATGGCACGGAGCTACAGGGCCTGGCAACGTGGCGCTTCCTTGCGAAACATCCGACACCCATCAGAGTTCTCTCCCGACTGGACCTTCCCTGACTCTTCCACCGGGGCATACATGGAAGCCAGTTCCCAACCTGCCCAGCAGGAATCCGCCCCTCGTCCCGCCTCCGACCGAACCCGTCCATACCAACCTCCCCATGTGCGCGCCATGTCATCCGAGAGTGGAGCGTCTACCGGATACGCCAACATGCTTTATCGAGCTCGTTCATTGAGCCTTGCAGAATCGGCCTCGTCCCTCCACTCCTCTGGTGCCAGTTCCTCGGTCCCTACTTACTACACTCCTCACGCGACGGCGCAAAACGTTCGCTCATCCTCCTTCCCCAACGTCGAGATGCTGTCCCCCATCTCAGAGGCTCGTGGTGAAGGCCATCACCGGGCTGTGTCGGAGGCAGCCCCAACCACCTTGGCCGGCGTGCGCGCAAGTCGCCGCCTGGCCAGGCTGGCTAACTCGGAGCAAGAGTAAATCTGCTCACTGTGAGCGTCATACATGAAGCTCCTCTTCGGAGGAACACTCTGGGGGCGACTCACCATGGTTTTCGGCACCCGCGATCGGTTTTTTCTTCCTGGTTTCTGGACCCCCGGTTTTGTTTGAGTATGAATAAGTATGAATGACAAATCTCCGCTCTACTCCCGTTTCTGTAGGCTTTGGGTCTGTAGATTCCTGTAGATTGGACTTTGTTCTCTATGTAGAGTGTTTGTAGTACGGATGCATGCATGGTATCTGGTCTGATATGGAATGTTTACTCGTTCAAACCTCACCCGTTTGTCTATGTGGAAGTGGCATGTGGTGATATTGCTTTTTGTCCTTCCACCTGCGCAGAATAACTTTTGTCCTCATCTCAGGACCTTCCCATCTTCCGACGCCTCTCAGTGCGGATTCAGTGCGTGGTTCAGTGCTCAGTTGGATCCCCTTCATACCTCCAGGGCTTGATTGCCGGCTTTTGGGGTACTGATTCGGCTGAGAATCAGGATACTCGCGAACCTTCCTTTCGGTATGACCTCGGGAGCTTGAGCAATTCAACTCACTCGATGGACCTTCGTCCGACGAAATCTGTGGCACCCACCAGCTCATTCCTCGATGTAGAATCCAGTCCCCCGGTGGCTTGGTCACTCGAGACGGCATGGTACACTGCGAGATGAGAGGAATGCGATGGTGGTCTGGTGTCGCCAAACGGCACAATCAGGATAATCGAAGCGTGTTCTTGGTACAATTGTAGGCAGACCGCAGCAGGACTGAGAATCCATGGACACTGTAATAACGGGAGGCAGCATGAGTGAAGAACCACTCAGATCGGTACACTAGAGAGGTGTTTACTGAACCACATTCTCGATATTACCATTTGCGGATGTCCCAGGAAGCTAACTTCACCTCCAACTTCAGCTCCTTGTACTGATCCAAGGCAGTCTGATCGGGTCTTTCACGATGCGTTGACGAACAGATGTCCCGCAGAACGGGCGACAGCCGCGTCAAATGTATATTTCCCACTACTCTCGATGGACTGTGTCTTTGAGACAATCCCGACATGTTCAACGCAGACAGTACATATTTTTCCAACGCCCAGCGCCTCGCCATACATCCGATACACAATATTTCAACCGATGCGCTTACTTGGCGTCACGGAGCTCTGTTGGGAGATTCCTGGTATGGCAAGGCATTATACTGGTGTCTCACAGTCTCCATGGGTTTGAAAATCATACTGGAGGCACAAGGACAAGTTTTTGAAGGTTCATGAGAGGTCGACTGCCCGGACTTCTCCAATATCGCCCTATACTAGCACCCCAAGTGCCCAGGCTTTTCTGATCGGTGAATTTATGCAATGTGCATGCTTGGCGAATGGACGCTCTTTGAAATTGACACCGGAGATATATTCCCAGGTTGTCGAGATCGAGAAACCCGATCAGATCGAAGATCTATGCAATGACAAATTACGGCAAAACGTACGGGTAAGAAAAAGCGGAGCATTGATTACAAGCCGGTTTTAAAGGCATGCGGGCCCCTTGACGTTCTGTTCTTTTTTGTGCTTCTGATTCTTTTCTACTGGTATCTCTTTTTTTCTTTTCATTGCGCTGTAGAATTTCTCACTTAGAATCCAAATCCCACAGAGAAAAAAAGCCACGTTAGGTATCATTTCAATTGCAAGAACTATGGCTCGAACTTCTGATGCCGTGTCGCCTGAAGCGCCTGTGGCGTCAAAACGACGCGCTTCAGCTAGGCTGTCGGCTGCCGAACCGGAGGTCAAACGGGTCAAGTCAAACACCGACTTGAGTCTCCGCCAGGCGAGGTCCACAACCAGCAAGAGCAAGTACTTCGAGGCAGAAGACTCCGAGCCCGATTCCGAGTCCGATGAGTCGGCGGGAGGATCCTCCGAGTCTGCTTATGAAGAACCCAAGGACGAGTCGTCCTCAGCCGACGAAGCGGAGCCGGAGGAACCTTCCGACAGCGAAGAGGACACCAAGAAGCCCAGCGGGCGGGGCAGGCAACCAGCGGGAACGGGCAACAGAGGCAAGGCCACGAAGAGCAAGGAGCTCTGGCGCGAAGGCGTCAAGGTGGACCTGGAGCCTGGACAGGAAGTCGTCATCGCGAAGCCCAAGGCCCGGGACGCGGGGGAAACCCCATACACGGATGAGACGCTGCACCCCAACACCAGACTTTTCCTCATCGACTTGGCCGAGAACAACGACCGCCAATGGTTGAAAGGTACGTCACATCTTGCGGCATGAGAGTGGCTGGCTGACTTCTGCAGCGCACGATCCGGATTACCGCGCGGCAAAGAAGGATTTTGAGACGTACGTCGATGCCCTCACACCGAAGATCAGCGGTGTCGACGCTACTGTCCCTGAACTTCCGGTCAAAGACCTGGTAAGAACCATCCCTGTCCTTGTCGCCGTGGCACATGCTCACATATGGTTTGCCCAGGTGTTTCGCATCCACAGGGATGTCCGCTTCAGTAAAAACCCGCTCCCGTACAAGGTATGCTAGTGTGTCCCCGTTCCACTGCCCTGTGTTCGCTTGTGTGACGAGTGTGATACTGTGAGTTGGATTAGTATCTTTGCTGACAGGGTCAAGACCCATTTCTCTGCTGCGTGGTAAGTACCCCCTGGGATCAGCGGGATGATTCATGATTCACTGAGCATTACACAGGTCTCGCACTGGTAAGAAGGGACCATACGCGGCATACTATGTCCACTTCCAACCAGGCTCATGCTTTGTGGGTGAGTTTCCCCTGATATGTTTTATGTTGTCCCTGGTCTCGACTTGTCTGTGATCACGGCTGATCATTTGGTCTGCACAGGCTGTGGACTCTGGAACCCAGAAGCCGAACCACTGGCGTTGCTCCGAGAGGAGATCGACGAGAACTCCACGGCCCTGAAAGAGGTCCTCCGGGCGCCGGAGATGCGCCGGGAGTTTCTGAAAGGAGCTTCGGATGATGACGATGCGGTCGTGGATGCCTTCACGCATCACAACCGGGAGTCAGCCCTGAAGACCAAGCCCAAGGTAAGCAGCTCTGCATTGTCTTGTCCTGCCCAGTATTCCCCCCCTCCCCGTTTGTTTTGGGTTGTTTGACCGTAATGCCCGGTCTTTCTGGATGGATTGGGACCGAGGGTCATGGAGGCAGGAGCGTCTCGGTTGGAGTCGTGCCCGTCCGATCGGGGCTCATTGGAAGGACAATCACCCCTCGAAGGCTCAAAGAGGCTTGGCGAGGACATTGACCTCATCTGATTGTCCCATGACCCTTGCGAGGAGACCTGAGGTTCGAATACGGGGGCGGGACAGACCCGTGACTCAGACGGGGCACCAGGGATCCAAGTCAAAGAAAAAAAGGAGAAGTCCTGTTCTGTCTGTTCTGTGTTCTGTGTTCTGTCTGTGTCCTGTCCTGACTGCGTCTGATAATTCCGATTTTCGTTTTGCGCCGTCGAGTTCGGTACCATGGTTCACTGCGCCAGGCTCCACGCTGATCCAAACTTTCACGAAACAGGGTTACGAGGCCGACAACGCGAATATCAAGTTACTTCGTCTACGCAGCTTCACTATTGGGAAGCCCTTGGCCGATGAGGACCTCACGGTCGACAATATCACCGCGTTGATCGCGATTATGGAGCCCATGGTGAGTGCATCGATTTCCCCCCCTCTTGACTAGCTTTCTGGGCTAGCCGCTTTGGCGGTGCTAGCCGTCCCTTTTACCAAATTAGCGCTGGGGGACGCCTACACATCGCTTTTTTTTATTTTTTTATTTGTGGCTTGGATGGGCATTCCTCGTTGCTTTGCATAGCTGACGGCTGACCGCTTCTCGTCTCTCGGATAGGTGACGTATCTCAACAGCGTAGTGATGCCCGATCAGTGACATGATTGGGGAAAGCCACCCGCGTCTATTGGCAACGGGAAGGGAGGGGGAGATCAATCTGCTCGCCCTCGAGATCTGTGTGGTATGAGGAGTGGCCTTTCTTACCTGTCGAATTCCGCCATTTATTTTTATTAGAATTTTCCCATCCGGGCTCGGGTCTTCTTCCCTCTCAATTGGATCGTTCGACTTGAAACCGAATGAGAAAAAAAAAACATCCCCCCCACTGCGACGCCTCCTGCACACGGCTTCTTTCGTCCATCTCCGCCGCGTTGACTTTGGTACTGCTTCAACTGCATTGGCAATTTACCGGCAGGACTGACACTTAGTCTGCATTCCCATCACCTCTAGCTGCTGCACTGCTGCACACTGCCTCATTTCACATGATCAAGGGTCTCCGTTGAGGCCTTCGTTTCCCCTCAATATGACACGCATAACCGATTCTAGACACTTCCACAACCTTTTACCCGTACCAGCGCCCAATGCCCTCAAGCACGCCCTCAAGCACACCCTGCAATACTGCGTATACGAGTCCCTATTATTAATCTCAATTACCTCCCGTGCCCCGTACAAGAATCTGCTGTTTGAGTAGCGTAGCGGATTCGTGAGTATCAAGCCCTGATGCGCATTATATCGCCACCGCAAGCGCCCGCTTTCGGCCCGTTGTCGGGCATGCCCGCTAGACTAACCTTGGGTCTGCAGCCAATGTGGATGGAGCTCCAGGGAAGACTCCGCCGTCCCAGGTTTTGGTCGAGGGACTTAACCACCTTCCTGGTCTGGAATGGACTCCATTTATTTGACCGGTTGGGTGTACTGAGTACCAATCCTGTTCGGCTGGTCTCACGAGAGATTCGGTGTAAATTGCGGACTGTCGGATCTTAGGCTGCACTGCGAGGAAATCAAGGCCGTGGGAGTACGGAGACTTTTTTTTTTTCTTGTTTTCTTATTATTTTTTCTCATTCGCCTTTCGGACATTAGGGCTGATCCCGAGGTCCGGGATTGTGTCCCTTTGTTGCTTGGGCTGTGTAATTTCATCTCCGCTCCAGTGCAGCCCTGTGTACTGTATCGATGTGATTCTTCGCTCTACTTCGTACAGATACTACATATGGTTATTCAGGATCGTCGTTTGTACGGTACCGTGTTGGGAACTGGGTCCCGATTACTCCGTCCACGGGTACTCCGTACACTAATGGAATTCTTCAGGAAGATTCGGAGGGTCTGGTTTCCACGTCTAGAATTATTATTACCGGTTTAATTTATCTGATCCGGTGGAGATCACTGTTCCCGAGGTCATATTGGCATGGAATAATACCCAGGTATCCAGGGACTCCCGAGTTCGTGCTTGTACGGTCGATAGAGATACTAGTCCTATTGAGGCAAATCGTATGTATATTGGATCTGATGTGGTAAAGTTAAGATTGGCTTGAAATTGAGTCGTCGGATCCGAACTTGATGCAGAACCTTATTTTATCGAGTGCTGGTGTATACTGTGCTGTAATTGCCTAGTAGTTACTAGTTGAATTGCTGAGCCTCTCCTATTGAGTTCGTGGATACTAGGTACTAATCAAGAGCAAATCTTGGAAAGCACCCGTAGACCTTCCCGTTTTTCTATGGTCCCAAGATATATATGTCAAAGGTTGGTACCTAGGTAGCTCAATGGAAGATTATCAAACATTTATGCTGATAAAATACCACCTGGGCACCTGGCAGTACATGGGCAGAAACTTCAAACACATTTTTAGTCAACCTTGGAATAGACAAAGTGCAGTCTATTCCAAGGTTTAGTTCACACGGCATACACCCAGGCAGTGGATGGGCAGCACCTGGGCATTGAGCTACAGGACTTGAACCTTGATTCCTGATTCAAACACTAGGTATAGACTCTTTGGACAATGTATAGATACGTTCCTCTCTGGCCGAGAAGGTTTACGCGTTATGCACGATGTCCAGAGAAGGATCCATCACATGTCAACCTTGGAAGATCTCTGGCTTGGTCGGCAGGCATCAGCGCTGAAGGGGGGTACACGAGTACATCGTTAGGTAGACCTCAGAGAGTACATATCCCCTCCCCTGTACATTACCTACCTTAGGGGTAGGTAAAATTATAAGCTTACATAAACAAATCGCTTGCCCAGGTGCCTATGTAGATGCCCCAGGGCGCTGAGGGCAAAGCGGGAGATCAGGAGAACCTCGGCGCGGGGTTTAAGTTGGAAACCCTATTAATACTCGGTTGACTCCGTGAGCGATCAAGTTAGGTTCGTGAGACCGATACCCTAGACGCATTATGCAGATCTCCAGTATCAAATGTAAGCGAGCGGTATCGAGGGAGATTAATATGCTCGAAGTCAATAATAAGCCCAAAACGGCAACGGGCGAGAAAGAGATGCAAAACAGATACCCGTTCAGCCTCCAACCTAAAGAATGCAACTAGCCAGTACGATGCCGAGCAACCAGTTGGCAGGCCGGATGAGGGAAGAAAAAAGCACGATGAGATCGACTCGCTTTGTCTCCCGAATGGCGGTCGAATAGAGTTGGGAAGCCCGGTATGCATGGTCATCACAACCTAGTGTAACAGGGGTGGACGAGAAGACCAATCAGACCCGGCGGCCATTCCAACGCGCAGGATGGATCATAGACAGCGGACATCGTCATCGGCTCGGCTAGAGGTGACTGGTCGATCTGCACATATACTTTGACCATCAGGTAGTCATCAGGCCTCATCACACGACCTGCATCCAGTTCGTGTACACCGACTTAATGGAAAAAGCACTGCCTCGTTCCGGCTTGGTGCAGAATATCCTTGCCACGTCAGATTTCCTAGCACAGACCCCAGCCTTGTAATTTATTCCAGCTACTTCCAGATTGGTCCAATTGGTGTTCCCGTGATTGCAAGGCCATGCGGGCTGCGTCTATTAGTGCCCGACGTGTCTCCATCCCTGTTGATAGACGCGCTCCCGTGTGGGTAAAGGAGGGGTTCGGGCTAATAATATTGAAACCACGGGAATCCAATCAGAAATGGTTCATTCCTGCAGAATGGGTGTTATTAAATTTTTTAATTATGTTTATGTGTTTGATTGGGCGAGGGGAAAAAAACAAGGCACAAAATTACCATCGCACACGAATACACCAGACCCAAACCAAATGGAACGGTCGCCCAAGGGCGAGGCCGAGCGTTGGGAGTAACGCTCAGTCCCTCGAGCTAGGGAGGGCATTAGCGCGACCCCAGGACAAACATCATCGAGTGGCCAGGAGCTCTGGAACGGGTGGATCATGAAATTCCGGAGAGTTGGACGCTAAGGAAGGACAAAGCTGAGACCGAAAGTGGGGAACGGAAAGACGCGGACGCCAATGCACTCGATTGGGTTCGCAAAAACGTGGCCTGAAGTGCCCTCCATTACTCCGTATTTACCCCCGCCTCGTCCGAGCCCGGGAAACAAGGGAGGTCGGGGGCTGGCACCCCCGGGGACTCATATAGCTTGGTCCCTTTTCGTCTGCACTTCCAGACGGACAGGAATCGCGTATTGCTGCCAGATGGCACACATGCATAGATCGTGGCGGGAAGGCCGGAGCGGCCCGTGGGACGAGTACCCCGAAACCTGATTGATTAATCCCATTAGTACACCTGTAATAATACCGAGACGCGAGGGTAATTTACACAGACGCCCCCGACTCGGCTGCAAACCGCATCCGAGATTGGCGGTGACGGGGCGCTAATGGCTCCCCCGTACAACGTGGTTGTGGCTCTTGAACAAGGAACCCGCCCCCTGTCAGCGCAGCGCTAATGCAGGTTACCTAGGCTCATGCCTTTCCGGATCCAGTGCTACAGCCCTGGGAACTTAGAGCCCCCCCACTCCGTTGCGTTGCTCTCCCACGCAGGGCCTCAGGAGGGGGAGGTTGCTTGGAACAGACTTTGCACCGGCTTTGGGTCGACCCAAGCGAGAAACAATTCTGGTTGTGTATTGCAAAGTGGCGAGTGGCCCAGCTGAACCCCACTCCTTCAGCTGAAGTCTGATCGCCACACTTTCACCGCTTGAATTTTTCATTCATAGTACATGCAGTAGTTCCATGTACTTTGATCGACTAGGTAATCGACCAGTGTGCGCGATGGGGTTCAAAGGGATTGTCACGGAGGAGCATTCTTCGGCAAAAAAATAATAATAACCATAATAATAACATAATAGCAAGATCCAGAGTGGAAATAGATTAATAGATTAATTAAAGACACACCGAGATGCAGAGCATGTCGCCCCGACCCGAGCCCATCGCCATGGAAGATAACCCTGGTTCCGCGGGGCCGGTTGCGGTTGTGCGACTACGGTCCGAGGCGGACGTTCGTCCATGGACGGTTACGCAGCAAGGGAGGAATTGACGTGCATGGCAAGGTTAATCCCAATGGGAGAGGTCACCTGCCACATTCCATGATGTCAATCGATCGGAGATGCGATCTGTACCTAGGTACAGGATACCGCAGAGGCAAATGTAAACCGAATAATATTTTTATTTCTAAATAGAACGAAAAGAAACGAAGAAAAGAAATTAAGAGAAAAAGAAAAAAAGAAGAAAAAAAAAAGCCGAAGTCTGGTACCCTAAATCAGCCATGTTCTGTCATGGTACGGTAATGGTAATCCCCCCTCCATGTCTATGGGTCACTGGCGCCGCTTTAGCCCGCGCTGCCCGGGCTCCACCCCGTTCTCTAAAAATTCCCCTTCTTTCCAATCACGGAAGTGCTTCTTTTCTTCCTTTCCTTCTTATCGTGGGGTCCTTACTGCTCACGTCATTCATCTCTGCCTTTTTCCCTTTTTTTTTCTTTTTTTCCAATTTCCTTTTTCTCGTCATTTTGGTTTACCTACGTATTCGGCTCTACATCTTTCTTTTTTTTCTGTTTTTCCTTTTTTGACCCTTTTCTTGCCCTTGGGACTGCTTAGTTCCCTTTTCTTTGAGATTTCCTTTTTCTGCTGTTCCCCTGCGTGAACTGCGCTATGCTCGCTGGGTTGTTGAATCCCCCCTTTCAATAACTCAACGTCACATCCCTGTATTTTTGACTCATCTCGTCTTACTCAACCATGTCGGGTCCCAACGATCATGATCGTGATCCAAGCCGCCAGGATCACGGCCGGCCTTGGAACGCCGAGGAACAGGCTGCTTATCCGGTATGTGAAGTTCAGCTGGGCGTGAGTCCCCTCCGCTAACCCTTTAGTACCCGCCAACTTCCTATCCTCCTCCCCCGGATCAGGATCGCGCCTACCAATATCCTCCTCCATCACAGTACGCACCGTCACAGTATCCTCCACAGTATCCGGCTTCGCAATATCCCCCGGCCCAGTATCCGCCTCAAGGCTACCCGCACCAGAACATGAACGCCATCCACGGAGCTCAAGACCCGTACCGGCTCCCTCCCCCGCCGGGTCCCTATCGCGCAGATGCCTATGGACACCCTCCCGCAGCACAAGGTCCCTACCAAGCCGCAGCTCCACGACAGAGAACGGCCATAGCATGCCGCTATTGTCGTCGTCGGAAGGTACGAAACCAAAGAGCTTCAATCAGCCTTCTACAGGAGGGGAATCAACGCGCTAACCCAACCGCTTCCAGATCCGCTGCTCGGGATTCGATACCTCCGCCGATGGACGGTGCAGCAACTGTGTTCGTTTTAACCAAGATTGCATGTTTACCCCAGTGTCTTCGCAAACCCAGGCTTTCGTGCCCGCGCACACCGCCTACCCCCATCTACGCCCAGGACAGAATGGACCACCTGGTCGTGGTGCACCCCCAGTCCTGTACGGGGCTCATGGCCAGCCGCTCCCCCCTCAGCAGCAACCGCAGGGTCCCGAAACCACACTGCCGCCACCCCAAGGGATGTACTATCAGAACGGACGACCACCGATGGACGGTGCCCCCCTTGCATCAGGCATGCCTGATCCGGTAAGACCCCCCCTCCCTTCGGGCTTTCGGGGACATCGAGGACCGATCTAACATTTCGAAATCTCCAGCGACACCGCCGCGGCTCGAACTCGGGCTTTGAGTATCCCGATCCCACCAACCTTGCTCCCGTGACGCCCGCTGGGTCCGCCCCCGGATACCAGACGCACACCGCGCCAAGCCCTTACGCCTACCCTCCACCTGCGCACGACCGACGCACCTCGCCGCCCTCGGCCTACAACTATGATGCGCGCCATTCCTCCTCGCCTCACGGTTCCCCTTACCCGCCCATGCAACCCCACCAGGCCCCCATGACTCCCCACCAGGGTAGCGTGCCCCCCGCCCAGGCTCAGCCCATCGCGCAGAGCAGCACTCCCCAGCCAGGCGGTGTGACGCCGCCTCCCACCTCGACGCCCGGTGGATCCCAACGCGGTGGATTGAACGTTCGCGACATGCTGAACCCAGGGGATTCGCAAGGCCGATCCAGCACCGATAGCGACATGCTCAACGCGCTGAACCGTCGTGGCCCGCAATGATTGCTCTAGAGAACACAAACAAGCGCGAAGAATCCGCCTAGGAGCAGGAATGGGGGGACCGTGTGCTGGCCACACGGTCTGAGAGCCATGTGTGGGAAGGCTTGGGGGAAAAAAAAGAGAGAAGAAAATCTGAAAAAGGTCTCGGACCGTTGTCCCGATCTCCCTGGAATCGGTGGGACCTACGCTTTTTCACGCAAGGGGAAGAAAAAGAAATCGCCTCACATTCCTCCCCCATTCGTTACGAGAAAGAACACGAGCTTCACGAGCAACCGAAAATCTCCTGGTTTTTATCGGCATACGAAATTTTTTTTATATTATTCCTTAACTTTCCTTTCCACAATATCGAATATCGAAATCATTCCTCGACCATTTTCTCGACTTTGTCCAGGCCTGCTCGTTGAGATGTGATCTCACCCTGCACCTCTGCAGCCATCTCCAAGCCTGCAGCATTTCTGATTTTCGATTTGGAATCGCTTTTGCCCTGCACCTTTTTCCCATGTGGTGGCATACAAATATTCTTCTCTAGGATGGTATTTCATTTCGCGTTATTTTGAAATTTTTCTCGGGTGGTTATCTGAATTCCTTCGCAAATCGTCAATTTCCCTGTTTTTTTTTTTTTTTTTCTTTCTTCTTCTTTCTTTTCGTCTCTTCATCGCGTTCATGCACTGCTGTCGGCTCTCGTCTTGCGTTTTTTGAACCTCTTATCATCGTTTTTCACTATTTACACCGGGAAGGCATTCGTCTATTTACTATATCCTTTGAGGATGGGCCATTTGTTTCGCCTACGCGACCTAAAGACCGGGGTTGTGTGTCATTTGTTCTCTTTTCCCTTTACCATGCCTTGTTTTTTTTTTCCGTTGACGTTCGATTGTCTGCTTATACTTATATCCGGGAGGCTGTCTGATCACTCTTTCTGCTATTCAAACTATTACCGCATTAGTGCAATGTTCATGTTCATGTTTGGGCTATCTCTGAGCATCTCAGAAACTCAATCCGAGTCCTATCTCGATCTGAGGTATGTCTCCCCTTGCCGTCAAGTGCTAGTCTATAGGCTGCTAGGGGCAGTCTTGGCATAATGGAGATTGCATTTGCATGACGTACCTGCATCGGCGCAGATAAGCGGTCGTATTGGGAGTTACAGCGTGTAAGGTATGGGAAGCCATGGAAGGTGGTAACTTGGTCTTGAGATACGCAATGGGATTGATTTTGGCATCTGGGTTCTTACAAGATCCATGGCTACGAGTATAGCATACAGAACACAGGAGTAATTCGAATTGATTCAGCTACCTACATTGGGGAACATTTCGCTTTTTCTCATTCCATCAAGATTATGCATTAAGCCATGTTTGGAAAACGGGGAAAGATCAGGGAACGATTGGATGAAAATGTGCGAGAATGGAACAAGATGAGCGCGAAACCCAAGCACGGCACGCAGAACTAGATAGCCAACAAATGAGAAAGTGGGGGTCACAGGGAACGAAACTCGAAACGAAGGATGCGAGACCGAGTTCAACAGGGTCTGGGTGCGGTAAAAGCGAATGTGGGCAGGATATCTGACATGAGATGCAAAGGTGCTTTTGCACGCTAGAACGTAGTATGCTGGAGGGATGGGAGTATTCAGGCATGAGAAGAAGGGAGAGATAGAGAGAGGCGATAGTTGGAGAGGTCGTAATGCTGTGAGAGAATAGGGACTATGGGAGATGGAAAGGTGCTTATTTGTGCTTAGGAATTGAGTCGAGGACCCTGGACATCTTCTTGGCCTTTGACGGGTCCTCAACCACGATGCCACGGCGTTGAAGTGTTGTGTGTACTGTCTCGACGACCTTGTTGAAAGAGGAAGCAGCGCCCCGCTCTTGCTTAAAGCGGACTAAGCTGAGGTTTGCTTGGCGGCCATGTTCAAGAACAGTATAGAACTCAGCGGTGAACTCAACCTCCCGAAGTGAAAGGACTATGCATCGGTCAGCGGGTTCAATCAAAACGAATGGCAGTACTTACCGTTGGCTTCGCCAACACGTCCGTGGACAATGCTGTTGGTCTTGTCCAGGTAAACGTCTTCCATACCAAAGTCCTGCCATTCGCGAAGAAGCCTGTAGAGCTCCTTGCGGCCCTTGGCTTTAGAGATGCTCAACGGGATGACCTGAGTAGCGGGCTTGATTTGGAAAACACGCGCGAACCAGTTCTGATTCGCCACTGAGCGACGCTTGTTCAAGAACAGATTGCGAGGGTCGTCGCCTTCGACGGAGCTGTCTGTGTCTGCAAGACCTTGGCACATGAACGAATGGCGGTGGTCTTTGCTGGATGTAGTCTGTGGCTCAGGCTCAGGTTCTATGAGGGGGTTAGTACAGTGCCGGAAATACTTGGATGTTCTTGACGCACCGGTTGCAGGTTCTGGGGCGCTCTTGTTCGGTTTCTTCATGAGCTTCTTCAGGAAGCTGCCACCAAATCGGTCCAGTGAAGTCTTACGAGTCGGTACTCGCTCATTCTTTACAGGGGACGGGGCAAATTCGGACACCAGAGTGACTGGCTTGTTCACCGAGTTATCTCCAGCGTAAACGAGGGGGGTGGGATCCTTTGCGGGAGGTGTAGGAGGCGTGGAAGGTGCTTCCGAGATATTCGAGCGATGCTTGAACCAGGACCACTTCTTACCCTGCGATCCCGCGGGGCAAGCCTTCTTTGGAGAGACAGGTGCTTCCTCAATTGGTGCTAGACTGTGAGGAGTATTTCGGCGTACTTCCGATGAAACGTCTCGGTCTGCCGGCTCAGAAACAACGGTGGCACCTTCCTGAACGTCGGGCACGGGCTTCATACTCTTCTTCTTTCGAATGGTGAGCGGCTTTACTTCTTCCATGGAGCGGAAGGAACTGTGGGGAACCATTCGAATTGTAGCCCTTGGGTCAGCGCCCTGTGAAACGGCGAGCGAGGCCCGCGGCGGGGGTTGAGGTTGAGTGGCCATCTCACGCGACGAAAGGGCCGGGCTGGCAGTTTCTTCATCAATGACGGGCAGAGATGCCTCGGCAGGCGTGGTGATGAAGGGGTCACTGAAGGTGCCCACATCGATCTCCCTCTGTGCAATTGCGCGGTGCTCATCAATCAACCGATCGAGCTGACTGATGACCTCAGGCAGATTGTGTAGAACATTGTTTGTTCGTCCACAGCTATACTCGAGGACCCTTTGTCGTGTCTGGATAAGCGCCCGGATGTTTTGGGAGGGTGTGGGCTCCTTGGGGGGCTTCGGAGCAGCAGGTATTGCGGTAGGTTGAACCTGCGGAGGACTTGCCATAGAAAGTGGAGTTCCTGGCGTTTCATACCCGGATCCAACGCTTGCTGTGCGCATGGTTGAGGCAGAACTACCATTGAACGCTTCTTCACAAATCTGGCTGAGTTCATGAGATACCTGGCGGGTGTCCTCCTTCCAAGTATAGTCTGAGTCTCGAACTTTCCGCACATGATGCAAGCTCCTGACCTTAGGGTTGTTCGGGCGAACAACCATCGGCTGCGCCGGCAAGGGTGGGCTGCTTGGGATTTCTTGCGGGCCAGTGCATTCTGCGAGTATTTGCAAGCTGCATGTGCTAGGTGAGCGCTTGATCTCTGTTTGGTGATTTGGCGTGGCGGTCTTTCTGCGTTTAGGTTTCGCTGTGGTAGATCCCTGGGAGCGATTGCGGGTATGGTGGAAAGAAACATTCCGACGATAGCTCATGCTGTGAGTAGAAAGCCCAGGAGCCCGCGAGCTTGAGTGAGGCATGCGGGACGAGTGGAAAGACTTCATAGAGCTAGGCCTGTGCTTTCTCTTCTGGACGACGGTAAATGGCGAATCAGTGAGATCGTCATCTTCGTCTTCATCATCCTCCGGCTCTTCCTCCTCGACGATAGATGGCGGGGGCTGCACCCTGGGCGAAGAAAGGAGGTCAACTGTATTGTTGCCCGCTTCTCTGTGGACCGTGATCTGAGCGTACTGCGTCTGCATCATTTTCTCATGCTTTGGAGACCTGTACGGATCATAGCTCTCTACAGTACCACAAGACATTGGCTCCTTGATGGAGCTAGAACGGTGGCACAAATCTTTACCCGAGGAATATTGGGCACGCCGCTTGGAGCTGCCCTGTCCCGTCTGGCTCCGACCACGACGAACTTGGCCAGGGCGAGAGATATGATGATAATCGCTAGCCGAGTACTCAAGAGGCTGTCCTTGGTAGTTCTCGAGTTGATCATCGCGGAACCTTGCTAGGGCATTGTAGAACAACCTCTCATGGGTTGGCCTTTATTCATGTCAGTCTTGGTTCCAAAGATTCATGGATATCTTGTACTTACTCGATGCACAAAAGCCTCTGTATCAAATCATTCAGCTCCACATCATGCCACAATGTTTGAAGATTTCGAAGGATATCAATGTCAATGTCTTGATAGCAAGACAAGGCCGGACCACAGTCTTTGACCGACAATGGGGGTGGTGGACCAACGTAGTGATCAACCAGGGCATTGTGAAGCTTCTCATATTTCGTGAGCAGTGGATGCATCCAGATGTGCTGCATGGTGATGCGATCTTCTGGTCTTTTCTGCAAGATACGTTGGATCAAGTCACTGGCCTCCTCGCTCAGGTTGCCGGGGATGTTGTAGACGCCTTTCTTAACGAGGCGAAGCGTGCCGGCGAGATCTCCACCGTCAAATGGCAAGTACCCGGTCAGCAGTGCGTAAAGAATGATACCGCAGCTCCACATATCGGCCCTGTCACCTCGGTAGCTGTGGCCGTGGATAATCTCGGGTGCTGCGTAATGTGGGCTTCCACAAGACGTGTTCAGCATGTGTCCGGCGGGCTGGAGAGCCGCCATACCAAAATCAGCAAGTTTCACGTTGTGATTGGCGTCAAGCAAAATGTTCTCTGGCTTCAGATCGCGGTGACAGATGTTGAAACGATGGCAATATCCAAGTGCTGCGATGATCTGCCGAAACAATCGCACTGCTTCTTCCTCTTGGAGAGGGCCATTAGACGATACATAGTCAAATAGCTCCCCTCCTTCGACATATTCGAGAACCAAGTATCTTTGCGAGCTGTTAGTGCTGAGGCGTTGGATTTAGAAGGACACTCACAGTTCTCCTCTATTTTCCCAAACATCATACAGACTGATGACATTTGGATGCTCGATCAGCTTCATGATTACCACCTCACGCTCAATACCACATGGCATCGCTCTGGTAGTTGTTTTGCTCGCAAAATTCCCGGCAAAATTTCCCGCATTGCGGTCCATTGCTGCAATGCTCTCACTCTGAACCATCGCGGCCGATTTCTTGGAAACGATCTTGATGGCGGCGGTATTTCCCGTCACGGCGTGCTTTGCCTTTCTGACCCTACCAGTGGCCCCTTTTCCCAGTGTGCGTCCAAGTTGCCAAGGTCCAACGTGTGTTTTTCTCTTTCCCCTGCTGGAGAGAATAGAGGTTGCTGACATGATGGAGTTGCGCGCTGAATCGGGTTGCATGTCGGTTGCCACCGAGAGCCTATCAACATCCCGTGTCCTCTTTGGGGTCGGAGTCATGAGGAAGGACATCCTATCCGGTGATTTGACCTCAGACTCTTCGACTACCAGGCGTGGGGTCTCGGCGTTGGGCGACTTTGAGTGATTCACGCGGCCGGAGGCATCCATCAACGGACGTCTCCGCTGAGAGTAGTTGCTGTCCACGATCATTGGATCCATCTTGGTGGTCCCCCGTCGTGGTGTGGTTGGGTGTTGCTCGTCAGGATTAGTGATTAGTCTGGGCGTGGTTAGCTTCTCGCTGGAAATCAACCATGTCATCCCCACGCACAAATTGGTGAAGGCCACCAGAACAAACAGTGACGGACGTAAAGATCGGCTCCAGAGAACTCTGGCATCAAGGACAAATCAACACACCACCACGCAAACCTCAAACTGAAAATACGACGGAGGAAGAAAAGAGGAAAAGCGAAGTGGTGGCTCACATGCTTTGGACTGGAATGGTCCTGCCCTCCCAGGAATGCCGGCCTGAGGTGCAATTTCCCTTCTCTCGAGACACCCTACTATCTACTCTACTACTACTACTCTACTACTCTCTTCTTCTTTACTTTGTCTTTTCCTCTGCCGTTCTGCTTCTGCTTCTCTTCCTCACTGCCCGTAGCCCTAAGTCTGGCAACATGCATGTGGGGCGGATTCAACCCAACTAATCTGATATGTCCTGACAATGATAGTTTTATTTAGATTCATGAATTCCTGTTTCAAACTAATTTCTGTCTGTCACGGTGAATGCTTCAACATCTTCACGTCAGGTTTCCCCATGTCGACGGTCGGGATCGACGTCGGAAGGAGGAGGTATTCCCCAACGGAAGGGGGTCAACAACACCAGTACATACTAACCTTAACATCGGCAAAGGGATCTGTTTGGGAGTGAGCATTCCACTCCCCTCGACAGCCAAATTCTCTGGTTTCTGAGATCAAGTTCAGGATCAGGATAGACCTGCAGCCGTAGGACCGGGATGATTTATCCTGCATCGGCTTCGTTACATGATACCTCAAGGGCTCAAACTTTCACGGCCTGTAATTTCATCGTAGAATTCAAGGCTGAAATATTTGTTGAGCAATTCCAGTTTCATAGAATAATGTTGTCCCAAACATCGTAGAACTGTGTCGACAAATAGCCCTGGTGTTGGAGCCATTAGATGGACAACCCTGGAAAGCCAATCTCTCAACCTGAGCCCCCTGAGCTTATTCCTAGATCATTCTACCGGCAAATTGTATCGTAATTATCTCGATACAGTTGAAAGGGCCGACCGAAGCCCTCCACTGTACTTACTCCCAGCTACTACTGTACATCCTACTTCCTCAAGTAATGGTCCTTAGATGCAATGACTAGTATTTCAGAACACTCTCCGCTCCTTGGCAACTAACAGAAAATTCGAGGAATTGAGGTTGGTTGGTGGTAATAAGAAATTTGGCGTATTGGGGAATCTCTAGGAGACGACGGAGTATCAAAGCAACGTTCACATCAATTGATCCGCACACGACCCAAAAATCAGTACGTCATGTCTCCAGATGATATAATTGACATAACGCAGACTCTTTTCAGGAGATCCCGAGAAGAATTCCTGTGCCTGTAACACCGCACAGACAAACAATACTGGATCCCAGGAATGTAAGGGATGGAGCCCTGTCGCCCTGTCCTCGGCCACATGGTTTCCACTTCCCCAAATGGGAAAATCAATTTTGATGTTTTGGCGGCTACCGGGCGGCTTTGGTCATTGTATGTGTCGGATGTCTTTGTGAGAGCCCATGGTCTATCATAACATGAATTCCTGGAGCTATGAGCACGACACGCAGGTCAACTGGGGTTCCAATTGTTGTAGCGTGCTGATCCTCGTTAATTTTACTATTCAAACTGTGTATCCACTTATCAGCTAAGTATTTTTTGAATGGAAGTGGTGGCTATACCTAGTAGTGAGTGTACAATATATCAAGGTACACACCTTTCCACTTTGCGAAGCAATATCATAGTCTCAATCTCTGGGAGGTTGTGAGTTTGTTGCCCAGATGAATGCTACTAGGTAGAGCCCTAGAGTTCCAAGGTTACTCGGGACCTTGCACCTGGGCAGTGTTTGTATAGGAACCATATTCATTCTGTTGCGGAATCGCGCACAATCAAATACTAGGTATCCATGGATCCATGCCAACCACTGAGCAGATACTAGGCTAGGTACAAATACGTGTCATAGAGGAACATTCATTTCACAATTTGATTTCAAAGTTTCGGTCGAGACTCGGCGTGTCGCGGATATATATCCGACCTCGGGAGCGATCCATGCAGAACTGGAAAACCACTACTACCTATGTAAATATTACCTTCCTATCTGTGCAGGTAAGGCCTTTTACTGAAGCAGAATAGACTTAAAATTGGGCTTAAGCAGGGCCAGCCACGCGAATAACGGAATGGTACCGACCCCCAATCGGCGCGAGAGGCCATCCTTTGTTCTGATGGCCATAACATCAATGCCAACTTGGAAACGCCTTGAACTTAATATCTCTGCACCCTCTTGTTTGAACAATGCAAGGCATCTCAATTGGCTGGATTCCATACCGAGATCTAAGTTTTGGCCTGCGCAGTGGGCCCAGGAGGCTTTGAGGGCGACGACCTCTAAATTCAGTTGTCCCCGTTGTAGCATCTCCAAGGCCATAGATCCCTCGCTCAGAGCATCAATTTCAAACTACCAACATATAAAACATGAAGCAAATCATTGTGGAATTTTCCTAATCGAGACCCATGACCAGGATGGAAAGACAGAATTGCCTCGAGGTTGACGTCGCACACCTGGTTCGCAGCTATACCAGAAAATCGCAGTGTCGAGACTGTCCAGGGGCATCGAAAAGCGATGGTCTCCTTTCCCAAGAACAAAGTCCAGGATACCGTGGAGCCCATTCACAATATCTCCATCGTGGCCGAAGAATCTGCCTGAGATGCTGTTCCGCGCCTAAATTGTGAACACGGAACGCGTCGACGCACGTCGATCATTTCGACGGGGTCAACAGCTCCCGCACTTTAGCGTCCGCGATCGGATCAAGACTCTCAGATACTATTACTACTACTCTACTGAAGCATGGAATCGGTATTGGTTTTCCGCCAGCGTATACCCTTGGGAAAAGATCCAGGTTCAGAAACAGAGAAAAAAAATCGCAAATTATCTTGCGAAAATACAGGCTGAACGATGCATAATACTTTTTCCAGATCCTCATAGCTTCGCAGGCTCCGGCAGGATCTGCGACAGATTCTGAGAGTTGACAGCTTGCTGATCACTAGTTGCGCCCAGAAGATCCAAGACCAGCGATCCCGCCAAAGCAACCAATTTCGACCCCAGGCGGGGATCCCCCGATAACAAAATGACCGACGAAGACTCGTGCGGCACGACATCGACCAAAGATCCGGTCTGTTTGTTGGTAAACCACGAAAGGGGCGTCGCCAAGGAGTCGTGCAGCCGGAACTGGCCAATTGCAGGGATCTCCCCAGCGCCCGTTTCAATGATGACCAGGGACGACGGGTAAAATTGGGAATCCCTGGTGCGCACACCGGCATTTTTCCTTCCGGCCAATGTGCTCACGTACACGATTTCCTCGACAGGCTGATCGAAGACGAATCGCACGCCAGCTTCCTGCGCTGCGCGTTGTATCTATTCCATTCTCTATCAGCGATTGATCTGAGATTAGCCATGGATTTTCTCAAGGGGACACTACAGTTGCATCTCTGGGGGAGTCATCTTTGGCAAAGACTGTGACATTGGTGTAGCCGCGGTGGGCTAGAAGTTGTGCTGTTGACAGGCCTTGGGCGCCTGCGCCAACGATGATAATCGGGTCCGAAGCACAGACAGCCATCAGGGAAAAGAATATGCGATGACGAATTTGTGGGATGCAAAGCTGATATAGTCTTGTCCCCGCATGTCTGCGTCCGTTTTCCGAAAGCCGTCATCAGTTGCGGAGTTGGAGATAGGCGACTGCGGCCGTAGAGCCAAGCGTGCGGAGTCCGTGAGGGGAAAGTGGTCGGTAGATGTCCCGGTCATGTGAGGGTCCATTTATATACTCCGTACTGGGCAGTGGACTGCTATCGGACCCAGTGAGACTCAATTGTCGATCTCTAACATCATACAGCACTCTGTGCCTGCGGAGTGTAAAAGGAATGCTAACGCGATGGTCCATGGACGTCCACGGGTGAAGTATAGGTCATATGATCGGGGTGACCTTCTCAAAACAATCTCCAGGGCTTTCAAAGGGGATACTTCTGCTTTTCCTACTCCCAGGTCATATTTGGCATTGGCAATACAACTCCAGCTTGAACACAGTGAAACAAAAAAGAAAAGTCCAAACTACAGCACTCAATGGGATCGATGGAATATCTGCTCCATGTAAGCGGGGCAGTTCTCCACAGTCGGGAGCCCTTCCGATATCCAAAATCCATATGAACACAGCGTCCCCGGGTCTCAATCCTCACATTGCTCTGTGTTAAATTTCCAACATGGCTGATATTCGAAACGGAACTCTCTGCATCCTCGGTTGTGGTGAGTACAGCGTGCAGAACCCCACAAAGCTCAACTAATTCCCACCAGGAAACCTAGGAATCGCTATCCTAGATGGCCTAATCAATGCGCCAGCCGAGAAAGCCAGCGATATCCCCTTCACTCGATACATCGCCTGCGTGCGCAGTGAAAGCTCCGAGAAGCGACTACTTGAGAGATTCCCCGACTCACTGGACAAGCTCAGCGTCCGGCGCGGAGAGAACGTCCAATCCGTCCAAAATGCCGACGCGGTCATTCTAGGCGCAGACCCCGCCGACATTGAGAAAGTGTTGACGCAGCCCGGACTCCGGGAGGCATTGTCGGACAAGTTGATCATCAGCATTGCAGCGGGGTGGACGAGACAGAAGCTCGAAGCGACAATTTACGGAAGCGAAACCACGGCCGAGAACACGGCTGGCAGGGCTTGGGTGGTGCGCACACTACCCAATATCGCGGCTCAGGTTTCTCAGTCTTTGACGGCCATTGAGGTTTCGGAACCAGCGTTGCCAGAACGATACCTTCAAATCACGACGGCGATCTTCGAGCAGATCGGCAAGGCTGTTCACATTGATCCCAAATTGATGAATGCTACCACTGCAGTGGGTGGTTCGACGCCTGCTTTCTTCGCGGTGATTTGCGATGCACTCATTGATGCCGCGGTGGCGGTTGGCGTGCCGCGGGACCTGGCCCATACGATGATTTTCCAGTCCATGCAGGGAACGGCGACAATGCTACAGGGTGGTATGCACCCTGCGGTTCTGAGGGATCAGGGCACATCACCGGAAGGATGTACGATTGGCGGTTTGATGGTGATGGAAGAGGCTGGGGTACGGGGTCATATTGGACGGGCGCTTCGGGAGGCCGTCACTTTGGCTCGCTTGATGGAGACGACGGAGCATGTTAATGATACACGACACTAAATTATATGAGTCAGACTCAGTCCTTTTGCCAATTAGGTTGATTTTACATCAATGATGCTGAATGTGACGTGAATTAATGATTATATGGAGGGAGTGGCAATATCCACATTGCCAATGTCGCTCAAAAAGTCCAAATTAAACAGACCTAACCACGAATTCCCTTGAAGATGTCAAGGGTGTGTTTCCAAACGGACGCTCTAGTTCCATCCGCCCGATATCCTTCCAATACCTTCTGATTGCTGACCGTGGCCGAGTCCGATCCAACCAGATACGAACCAGAACCCTGGACGCCATCCGATCCAATCGCAACGCCCTCACCCCGGGTCGAATCCCGCGGGGCGAACGAAGGGTTAGTGCCTGCATATAGATGTCTCTCTCCACTCTCTTCCAAAGGAACGTTCATCGGCGTGAGCAAGAAGAACATCGCATTCAAAGCGAGCTTCATCAAGGATCCATTATCACGAACCAAGCTTGTCTTCACCAAGCCAGGGTACGCGTGGACAAAAGACGTAGCCGGATGTGAGGCAGCAAGCTCTTCCATCGACAGCGATGTCATGGTAATTGCGTGATTGGCGCAATTGCGCAGAGAGTAGTTCTCCTTCAGGGAGAGGTCGTTCAAAATCAGCGGTGCGTTTCCACGAGCATCAAGAACAGACAGAACGCTCGATAAACCGCGTTGGCCGGGGGCTGTGCCTGCATTGGCGGCGTTGGTCAGTTGCGGGAGCAGGTTGTACAAGAATCGCATGCGGGAGTAGTAATGAAGACTGAGCTTCTTGTCTAGCCCTTCGTCGGTTTCTGTTTTTGTTCGTTAGCGGAGTGGCGAGGGTTGAAGATAGGTGATATTACCATCTCTTCCTTTCATGGTCAGAATGCCAGCACTCAGGACTAGAAGATTGATCTTTTCTTCTTTGGCTTGGATCTCCTTGCATGCCTCGTCGACTTCTTGTAGACGAGAGACATCGCCCTTGATGAAATTGATCTGTCCGTCTGGGTTCAGGGCTCGGAGATCCTCGATTATCTGGGATGCTCGGGTCTCGCTTCTGCCAACGAGGTAGACTCGTGGAGACGCTGCATACTTGACAAAAGCACGGGCGGTACTTTCGCCAATGCCACTGGTGCCACCAACTGAAGAATGTTAGTGATTGGATGCTTTGTGTGAGTCCCAAATCCTACCGAATACGCCCACCAGATTGGGGCCGTAGTTCTTGAGTGCTGTATTGCTGGCTTGTATATTGTCTAAGGATACCATATTTGCTGTGTTGTCTGGTCGAAAGAAGAGCTCTCAGTGATGTTTTGTGAACCTCGGCGGAGGATGAATTCCCCCGGTGCCGATCCCTTAACGCCGCAATCCCCGGATGACAGGAAGATTTCCCAGTTGGGCTTGGAACTGTTAGCCGTTTCCTTGAGGCTGATTTCTGCTGAATTGATCCTAGGGTCCGCCTCTTCCAGTCCTCAGAACAAACAGTGCAAACCCCGTATACGAGGGACAAGAGCCCGCGGATGAACCCCGTATAACCTAGAAGTTCCACATCAGGTTGGAGGATACTCCATGGCCCAGTAAGAAACAGCCTGTGGTCACAGCTTACTAGATTCCCCCTGAACGAATCTATTCAAGAACAGCAGTCTTGGCAACGGTCCTTCCCAAAGATAGTAGCATCAGAATTGCGGGGGCTGGTCAGCCTGTCTCGCCACAAAACACATCACTTACCGGGCCAACAAGACCTATCTAAATAACAACATGTGGCCCTTCGAGTCTTATCCCGAGAGTACGTCAACTGACGTAGCAGGACAAACATTCGACTACATCATCGTGGGCGGTACGCGTTTCCCCAGCCAAGCACAAGCACCACTAACAGTTCCACACAGGCGGTACAGCAGGATGTCTAGTCGCAAACAGACTCTCTGCCCTCAACGCCTCAGTCCTAGTTCTGGACAAAGGCCGCGTCAACGCGGGTCTTCTCTCGCGGATCCCACTCCTCGGCCCGCTGCAGCGAGGCATCAACCGTTACCACGCTGAGCCTAATGCGGATCTGCGTGGGCGCCATGTGCAACTCCTTGCTGGTGAAATGCTTGGTGGCACGAGTCGCATCCACTCAATGGTGTGGAGTCCTGGTGGACGCGCCGAGTTTGACGGCTGGGCGCGGGATCTGGGGCTGGACCAATGGTCCTGGGAAAAAGTGGAACCGGCTCTTGCGCGGGTTGAACAGGGTGTTCAGCGACGGCAGGCTGGGGATACGGGGGTAATGCCGTATGTGGACTCGGTGATGGAGCGGGTTGGGCTGGACGCTGGGGGTGGTAGAGGTACGCAACGGTATGCTCGGAGTGAGCTCTCAATCGATGGGGAGGGAGTGCGGAGCTCTGCGTTGACTTCTTGGCTGGATGCCTCGGTTGTGAGGGAGAGGAAGGGATTGAAGGTGTGTACTGGGGTCTTGGTGACGAAGCTCGAGTTTGGGGACGATGGAAACATCGTTACAGGAGTACGGATCAGACCAACAGGAGGTGGTGAGGAGGTTTTGGTCAAGGCTCAAAGAGAAGTGGTTGTTTGCAGTGGTGTGTTCGGCACGCCACAGCTACTCATGCTCAGGTTGGCATGCCCGTCGTGGCAGAAGACATCTACTGACCTTGAGTAGTGGCATTGGTCCCAAAGGTCACCTTTCAGGGCACAACATCCCTGTCGTACAGGATCACCCCGCTGTGGGCTCTCACTTGGTCACCCACGTCCTCGCACCGGTAATGACAGAGCTTCCACGCAAGCATACTTTGCATATCATCCAGACCGTGGCCATCTTATGGCATTTCATGCTGTGGCTCTTTTTTGGAACCGGTGTCCTCGCTTCCAACGGCCAATTTGGCGCCGCATTCCTGCACTCCACTTCACTCGATGATAAGACATTGGCAGTGCGCCCTTCTAAGGACGAGGACGCCCCTGATCTTGAGGTCCTGATATGTCCGATCAGTACGCTTATTGAACATGGGGTCCCTGGAGTTCCGTGTCTAACCTGGTATGCGGCTCTTGTACAACCTCATACCACCGGTAGTGTCGAGCTCACAGGATCCGACCCGAAGAAACCCCTCAAGATCAAGCTCCCCTTGCTGGTTGATTCTCGCGACAGTCCGCGGTTGCGGAAGGCTGTACGTTTCGCGATGCGACTAGCCGATGAGTTCACAAGTCCGGAGACCGGATATCCACACCCGGCGCCGTTCACCTTGGCTCCTGGTATGGATCTAGAGTATCTCGACTCCATGCTTGACAAGAAGAGAAGTAAAAGTGACAAGAAAAAGGTTTCAAAGGCAGTTCCACCGCCGATGGATGCATGGAAGACTGTGACAGATGAGCAGGTTGACGAGTACATCCAGCGTATGGTGACTGGAAGCTACGATCCCATGGGCACATGTCGGATGAGTCTCACCAAAGAAGAGGGGGTAGTCGATCAGAGGCTCGTGGTGCACGGAGTGCGGAACCTCCGTATTGCAGATGCGAGCGTGTTTCCCCGGCCCGGGGGTGCATCTATCTCAGCATCAGTTTATATGGTTGCCGAGAGATGTGCCCAGTTCATCATCGACCAGAGTCGTAGGGATGTATCATGAAAGGGGGTTCGTTTGAACTAATCATTCCAACATTGAACTCAAGTCGGTGACTATCATAGGGTAAACATATGCCAAGCTTGTGTTCTGCAGAGTTGTAACATGCATTACGCTCCAACCTTGAAAGGGTTCAAGTAAAATTACACAATTTCCGTGAAACAGATCTACTGAGCCGTTGTCCCTCGATGCCATGAAAAGTACATATATCTCGGCCCGTACCCGAAACCAGTCTAGTCTCGGTTCGGATTAGTCTCACTACCCTGGTGGTTGTCGGCGCCAATTCCGAACCTTAGCGAACCTTGAGATTCCAAGGTTGTACAAGCCGATCTGATTACCGACGTCGGAAATCCATGACATTGCTTTTTCGACTCAGTAATGTACTCGCTTGCTTCCACGGGGATTCCAATTGGACTGCATAAAATCAGCTGAATAATAACTAAGCATAGCCAGTGTGCAAAGTCCTGAAAGATCCAGATTAGGGAGAGAAGGACATGTTTGTCTTAGTCTTTATTTCCACGTCCGGGCAGGGCTCGACTTTAAATGTTATCAATCATTAGGCTTAGCGAGTTGCCACATCCCACCTTCTGCCTGAATAATCGGGCCCCCCATTTAACATCATCCCTCGGCCCCTCGCCATCGTCGTCCAATGATGGCGGGCAATTGGCAACGAGCCGTGGAAAGGAATATCAAATCCGAGCTGCTGGGCCAATAACCGCTCAGGTACCGGTACCGTACGGTAAGCAGAAACGGTCTAGATAAGTGAAGTTAATCAGCGTTCTCGGCGGTCTTTCTTGATAATCCATGCGGTTCGGTATCTTTCTGCAACGGGTCACCTCATGGGTCCTCTGATCCCGATGGGCCGATATGTGTAAGCTGTAATCTTAAATACCCAATCTTCTCTCTTTCTTCTTCTCCATATTCCACCTCTCTTTCACATATCACATCTCTCTCACATACCATCAAAATGACTAAGGGTTTCAACGCCGGTGACGCTTTCCCCTCGGACGTCGTCTTCTCGTGAGTTCAATCCCAATGATTCCCCCCCAATTGCTCCCAACTAACATGTCCACAGCTACATCCCCTGGTCCGAGGAGGCTGGCGAGATCACCTCCTGCGGTATCCCCATCAACTACAACGCCTCCAAGGAGTTCGCCAACAAGAAGGTCATCCTCTTCGCTCTGCCCGGTACGTGACCGCTCTTTCGAGATTTTCTCCCACATCCCACACACCCCTCCCCCGCATCTGCACGCCTCCTGCAAGGATTCCCACTGACCGCTTCTCCAGGTGCCTTCACTCCCGTCTGCTCCGCCAACCACGTCCCCGAGTACATCCAGAAGCTTCCCCAGCTCCGCGAGAAGGGTGTCGACCAGGTCGCCGTCCTCGCCTACAACGATGCCTACGTCATGAGCGCCTGGGGCAAGGCCAACGGCGTCAAGGGTGACGACATTGTATGTGATCCCCGCAATTCTTCATTTCCCATCAACACCCGACTAACGCTGAACAGCTGTTCCTCTCCGACCCCGATGCCAAGTTCTCCAAGTCCATCGGCTGGGCTGATGAGGAGGGCCGCACCTACCGCTACGTCATCATCATTGACCACGGTAAGGTCACCTACGCCGCTAAGGAGTCCGCCAAGAACACTCTTGAGGTCTCCAGCGCCGACGCTGTCTACAAGCAGCTTTAAATCTGTGAATAGATCTGGATAAATGGGCTGGCGCACTGTTCCATGGGTGATGGGCCCGCTTGCTTGGCAAGTGGTGCTTGTGCTGCTTTGGCAGTTATAGAATCGCTTTTAGATCGCCCTGTTCTCTGTTCCTGTTTCCTGACTCAAATATTCTAATGCAGCCACGAGTTCATTCTTTGTTCCTTTGATTCGAGACCAATGTAGTGTTCTAGCTAGCATGAGTTGATTAGTATAGCTCGAAGTATAGCTTGTCGCTATGATTGGCGCAAGAAACTAGTGGCAGGGGTCAAAGCCACGGGGACGTCTGTGCTCGATGCTTCAGTGCTGACTTGACATAACAACCTTGAAATGAGACAGTGTCCTTGAGTAACGCGAGAGATCCAATTAAAACAATGTATTCGTACAGGTGTGGTATCTAAAGGCATTGCCAAAAAAAAACAGACGGGCATCAAAAGTAATCATCACGCTCATCTCAAAACAAGAAACAATGCAAATCAAGGAGTCTTCACATTAGGAGTCACGGCAACAGACTTATTCTTTCTGCGATCGTCTTTCGTTCGCAGCCCACGGCTAAGCCCACCGCCGAGACCGCGCGCCAGCGAAGCAAACGGCGACGATTCCTCCCAAACATTCATATCATCTTCAAGCCGGGAGACCTCTCTAGGCGGCAGAGGCTTGCGACTTGGGTCCGACACAACAGGCTCGGACTGTCGACGACGAGAATTCTTGGCCTGCGTGACGGCTGGATGGGGGGCAGGCGAGTATTCCGGGGTGATTGGAGCTGTCTCCAAGGGCATGGGGACATCGACGGCAATGTGCTCGGAGCACTGGCAGCCACATCCGGTTGGACAGGCTGGAAGAGATTTGGTCTGTTCTGAATGGTCTGAGTCGAAGGTGTCCTCTGGTCGCAGGAACCAGAGTCGATGACAGTCGAAACAGCTGACGTGTCCGCAGCTCAGGCATGGGATTAGCATGCCGTCTACTACTTCGCCGCAGATGACGCAGGGTAGTTTAGTGGGCAGGGCTTGGCGAGGTCTGCAGTTGGGGCATCGGCGGACTGCTGCTTTGCGCTGGTTACGCTTGGAGGGGGTATCGGGGGCGATTGGGTGTTTGTTGAAGATAGAACGTTGGAGTGCGTGTCCGCAGCTGGCGCAATGGCGTTGGAAATCCAGGGTTTGAATGTTCATCACTGGTTGCGGCTCTTTGAGAGATGTTTCGGTGGTGCTGGGGTCGGAGCTATTCCAGTAATGACTTGCGGCCATATCGTCCACTCGGTCAGAAACGGCACCGAATTTGAGGACTTCGCTTTGTTGGACGGGGAGATCCCACAATGCCAGTAAATTAGCATATGCAGCACGATATGACCGATAGAGTAGTTCCTTGTTGTGGTCGAGAAGGGAATATCGGGTCGGTCCGTCACTTTCAAAGGCATCCTGGTTCTTAAATGTAACCTTGAATCTTGCAGGTGGTGGTGCAGGCTCCGGTGCATGGTCACTTTCAGTGTCGGATTGAGCTTGTGACTATCAGACGGCAATGGTTAGTTTACATTATTTCGGTAAGACCACAATGGTAATAGATCACTTACTGTTTGCCCAGTCATCACGCTCGGGCTCTCCTGAGGAGTCTGCTTCTTTTTGTCCAGTCTACTCATTGGCGGCGAGGCCGACGATGGTCCAAACGTGAACGAACGAGACAAGGACGACGCCAATACAGACCCAAATCCAGACCCACTCCGTGGTTGGGACTGTTGATCGGGCGACGCAGCTATCGAAACATTGTGACTCAAAGTCTTCCGATCAGCGGTGATGCCTCGTGGGCGAGACATAACCGGAGGCGTAGTGCCTGTGGAATGCGGTGGTGTTGACTCGAGACGCCAGACTTCACTGGACGACCTTGCTGAAGTTTGAGCTGTAGGTGTAAATTGAACCTCTTTCGGAACGGATGAAGCAGGAGTCACCGCCGGCAGCTTGTTTTGAGCCACAGGTGCCACCGAGGAGAAATCTAATGAAAAGGCCGGTTGTGCTGATTGCTTCTTGGCCTTGTTCTCCAAAGCTCCCTCTTGGCTGGCTGCTAGTAGCACACAAGAAATCATTGCCACCATCTGAACATCTCCGATACGCTCGAAGTGCTCAAATAGGGCAGGGACAAGCCAATGGCTGCCAAGAGGGTGATCTCCCCAACGAATGATACTTCCAGATAAGTCTCTGTGCATCCCGTCTCCTCCAAGACCAGCGAGCTCACCACCCGCCATGCGTAGGCGTCTTTGCAGCAAGCTTGACTCAGGTAAGGGGAAGGGGTTCTTTCGAATATGTAATATCAGCTTAATAAGACCCCAGATCTGGGCCAGTTCATAGCATCCAGCATCGAGGGCCACAGCGGCATTGTGGGCACAGACATCTGCCCCTTTGCCGCAGATGCGATATTGGCAAGCCAACTCCCGCTTGACGGGTAACATATCACTCAGATTATGGATTGAGACAATGTTTTGAGGCCCCTCGGATTTCAGAGTTCCAGTGCCTCCAATGGACCGCTGGGAGTTGTCCGTGGACCGCGGACGATGCATTCCGTAGCTTCCAGCACTGCGCCATGTTTGGGGCGCAGGGAAGCGGGTTGGTAGCCCGGAAAGAATATCAGACGAGCCTGAGGAGCTTGATGTGTCTGAGTACGATTCGTCTGAATCAGATGAGGCCCCATCTTCTGTGCTGGTAATTGTTCCTCTTCCACGTGGGCCAGGAGAGTTGGTATGAAGACGGCCAAAGCCTTCGAATACTTTGTCTCCTCGGGACCATCGGGTCATCTCTTTGAAGCCCATGTTTTCGAACAGCTCTGCTGATTTGTCTCTCTTTGGCTTGGGCGGGAAGAAGCATACTAGGCGGCCATCATTCGCCCAAAGGGCTCCACAGGCCTTGGCCACGGGCACCATCACGTTGGCATTGACGGGTCGGAGTAGCTCGGAGCTCATTCCCAACTCTTGACTCTGGGTCATCCCGACTTCGTCTTCATCACTCGATTCGCCTTCTAGTTCACCGTTGATTGGGGACTTAAAGTTGTCGCCAGTCTCACCAAGAATCCAGGCGATACTTTCTTCCAAGCTGCTTTCACCCAGCAGATAGCGAACGGCGCCTTCGAGGCATCCACGGTCTCGGGACATGTAGGTTTCAGCAATTGTCCTCAACTCGGCGGTGGTCTTTGCGGCCCATTCATCAGTCACAGCTGCTGTTTTCTGGAACGCAAATGTTGGAATAGCAGTTTTGGGGTAGCTCATTGGGAATTTGATGTCCACTTTCAAGAACAACGAAGCCCCATCGGCACCCCAGGGTCCATTCAAAGAAATGGAAATCTTTCTTTGGCGAACATCAACCGAGTCAAAGGAAACCTTGGTGAATTTCTCGCCGACATGACTGATCTCATCTCCCAGGGTTTCAATGTCCCAGCCAGAGATTTTCACACCACGCATCCAAGCAATTGGATTGGTATCAGCTCTCAAATTTGATCGTGGCTGCATGCCAACCCTATCAACATGGCCTCCCTTGATCCAGCCACGAGCGTGCGGGACAGTGATGGCATTCATCCCCGTGCCATTTGGGTTGTTCTGGTTTTGACCTCCGACCGAGGAAGCAGTGTCCAAGTCATCAATTTCCAGGTCGGAATTGACGTCGCGGAAACTCCGGTATGTGGCACCGAGTCGCGTGACGGTCCGCGTGGAAATGAAAGATTTGCCTTTCTCATAGCCAACACGCTTGAGAATCTCTGGGTTGACTCTATGCAGTCGGAGCTCCCTATCTGTTCCCCATGTCACTAATTGATACTCGCGGTGGTCGATGCCGTCTGCGACGCCCCCGCGCGGCCTCCAAAGGAACTCCTTGACTTGCCCTTTGTGGCCGGGGAAGCTATGTACCAGAGGCAAGTCGTCTTCGGGAGAAGAGCCCTCTTCAGCTCGTCGGCTGTATAGGTGGAGATCATTGTTGCCTCTCTGTGGCATTGCAAGCACACCCCACCCAAAGGGTGTATTGCGGGCCCTCCAGACGGGGAATGGAGTATGAACTTGTTTTTCCGGGACCTCGGCCGTGTCAGTGGTGTAGTCCCAGAACTTGACAGTCCTATCTAGGGAGCAAGTCACCAGAGCACCGCGTCGGACACGATTCCAGTCAACGCCATAGATCTTGGTATTATGAGCCTCAATAGACTTGATTGGGTATGCACCCATGCGGTCATCCCAGATCCGAAGAAAACGATCGTGGGAACTTGCAATGACGTGAGGATCTTGTCGATTCCATTTGACTTGAGTGGCACCAGTAAACCAATCCGAGAATGACACGGCCGGCCGCGCCGGAGCACGCAAGTCCCAGCAATGTACAAAGCTGTCTACTGAGCAAGTAGCCAGTAAATCGGGGTGGAAAGCCGAGAAATTGATATCGGTGATCGCGCGAGAATGGGCATGCAGCACGATCTCAATGGAGTTCTGCCATGTTTTCATTGCCAAGTTCCACACTAACGCCTTCTGGTTGGAGGTACTAACAACCCATTGGTCGCGCGCGGCAAATGGCGACCACTGTACATCGGCAACCTCCCATGGTGTGTGGTGGGCGAGATACCGGGGCGGCGAGTACGGGGAATCCAGATCAATGACATGTAGACCCTCCTTGGATGCGAGAACGACATCACGTCCGCAGGGGGATATTGACATAGATCCTACCGGCTGCTCTACATGAAAGGAACTGTCCTCGTCGAATGTTGGGCTTTCCATCGCCGACGCGAGGGGCCTCGCTTCCATCGAGCTTGACATGGTGAAGTTGGTCGCTTAATCTCCGATGTTGGTCGGGCCGCAATCATGCAGGAATCGGGAAGCCAAGGATCTATGCATGTATCACATGGGTTTGAATCGCTAGGAGGCTCCTATTCCCATTCTCGGCGATGGCATCCCCTGGCCCCTAGCTCAGATATATGATCGTGATATGCGCAGGTGTGCCCGGGTGCTCGAGTGAAGTGATAACGCGATAACGGGTGCGTGGCTGGTGTGGCTGTGGCATTATGACATCACATGATCGCGTACGGGACGCGAAACAACCCCGCCATGCAGGAGCCCCTCGGCTGGTTACGTCGAGGTTCTGGATCTGTATTTTGTTGACGCTTGACTTGTTCGTCCATTTAACAGCTTTCATACCGTGTTATTTACCACGTTTCAAAGCGCAAGCTTCTGATCTACAGCAGAAGCTATCTCGTCCCGCGCAAATACCACAAAATCACCAACAAGGTCATTGATAAGCGGATTCGCCATGGCGTTGCCTAAGAGAATCATCAAGGAGACCGAGCGTCTGATGGCAGAGCCGTAAGAGGCACCTATAACTCCGAATCGCATCTGCGCCGCCGCTAACGCCGCACACTTGGACTACAGGGTCCCGGGCATCAACGCTGTTCCTCACGAAGATAATTTGCGCTATTTCGATGTCTCAATCCACGGACCCGCCCAATCTCCATATGAAGGTAATGACCATAGAGTTCCATGTTGACTTCAATCGGTACACTGACAATCTGGCTTCAGGCGGTATCTTCAGACTCGAGCTCTTCCTGCCGGACGATTATCCTATGACCCCTCCCAAAATCCGTTTCTTGACTAAGATCTATCACCCCAACATTGACCGTCTGGGTCGCATCTGCCTGGATGTCTTGAAGAGTAAGGCCATTGAATCCGGGGTTTCCGATTGCGTATATCTAACCGTCATGTCTAGACAACTGGTCTCCCGCCCTCCAGATCCGCACGATCCTTCTGTCCATCCAGGCCTTGCTTGGAGCCCCGAACCCCGATGACCCACTCGCCAACGATGTTGCTGAGAGGTGGAAGGAAGACGAGCCCGCTGCGATCCAGACCGCGAAGGAATGGACCCGGACACATGCTATGGCTTGAGTACTGTGAATATGATGTGACCATGAAGTACAGGGAAGGTTTTCCTGTCTGTTTTCGCAGGCATTGAGTTCTGAGCATTTTTTTTGTTGTGTTGACGAGCTCGTCCGTTAGAAAGTTCATTCTCCCGTCCTTGCATTAACTTTCTTGCCATCCCGGCCCATCGAGGCATAAAATTGACTTCGTCGGAGTATATCGGGCTTCTTGGCCTAGTCCTTCGGTGATACCTGTGGTCAGTTCTTTCGTGGCGGTCCGATGATAGTGTCTTGTGTTGAAGCACGTGTTTCTAGCGTTCATAGGTAGACTGTCTGGTGTCTGTATGCCCAAGTGGTTTCCAAGCGCGGTTCCATAGTTTTGTATCGATATGACGAGTTACTTGCGGCGCAGTGCAATTATTCAGCAACATCAGTGGGATGAAAGCCTTTTTGCATATCCCTCGCCCATATTCGAAGGAATATAGGCATGGTTCTGAGACCTGTTAATGTTCGAGGTATTGGTTAGTACTGAGCTTCGACTGGAAGAGTCTCCCAACATGAAGAGACTTGGGAGCCCGGGTCATCAAGCTAGACTGAGATGCCATCCCGAATGAGAGTCACGCATCAACAGCCTAATACAATGCTAATGAGCAAAAGCCCCCGGGAGTTGTTTGAGGTGAGAGCGGTCACGTGGTGACCGCCTCTTATCTTATCGTGGCCCGGAAAGGGCAGAGCGGGTCACGTGTCGCACTTTAGCGAGCGCCCGCACCACAATTGGATCAGCAGCATCACCGCGATCCACGATTTTCGACAACCACCTTAACGCCAACCCGACACCGTCAGCGCATCTCCATCCGTCAAGATGCGTACCTACGACGACTCCTTCAGCGGTCAGAAGATCTACCCCGGCAAGGTGCGTTCAATCCCGTCGCCCCTAGGAGGAATTTGTGTGCGAGAAACATCATATGGAATTGCGGATTCGACAACGGACCTTCGACCTTTCTCATACCGTCAAACCTGTCGCTGTATATTTCGCCGCTACCCATCTCGATCGACTTGTCGCACATAAATCCTCCGTCTGATCCAGTTTCACAAGCTAATCTTCAATCTTCAATTCTATAGGGTAAGCTCTTCGTCCGTGGTGACTCCAAGATCTTCCGTTTCCAGAACGGAAAGTCCGAGTCCCTTTTCCTTCAGCGCAAGAACCCCCGCCGCATCGCATGGACTGTTCTCTTCCGTCGCCAGCACCGCAAGGGTATCTCTGAGGTCGGTCGCCCTTCCCGTTGGATTATTGTTGAATGGTGTGGTGGAACGAACGGCCGGCTTGAATGGTTACACCAATCATGAGACGGAGCAAGAGGAGGGAATGTGATATCGCCACGCCATGAACGGGGACCAAGTGATGGAAACAAATGCGACTACAGAATGCTGACCGGGTGATATTTTGGAATTTATAGGAGGTCGCCAAGAAGCGCACTCGCCGTGTCGTCAAGAACCAGCGTGCCATCGTTGGTGCTTCCCTCGATGTGATCAAGGAGCGCCGCTCTCAGCGCCCCGAGGCCCGTGAGGCCGCCCGCAAGCAGGCCATCAAGGAGGCCAAGGAGAAGAAGGCTGCTTCCTCCGCCGCCAAGAAGGCTGAGAAGGCCAAGACCGCTGCTACCAAGGGTGGTGCTCAGCGCATCCAGAGCAAGCAGGGTGCCAAGGGCTCTGCCCCCAAGGTCGCCGCCAAGTCCCGCTAAATTATTTGAAATAAATGGTTGGATTGGAGGTGTTCGGGAAGGAGCAGCGATGTGCTGAGGGTTGCGATATGATGGAACTTACGGACCTGGAGTACTGTCTGTGAGAGGCCTTGAGCCTTGACCTTGTTTCTATGCAATACAAATTCATGCAGCAAAATGGGAACAAAGGAATCAAAAATATGAATCCCCATGCGAGTACCAAATCTCTGCTCCACTCATCCTGGGCAACGACCTCGAGAATCGTGCTTGTCTACCGCAGTTCATATCTACCATCGTTCATGAATGGATATGGATCTGTCGGATATTGTCAAAGTAAATCTCGGAATCTGGGCAAGCTTAGTGACATACTGTAATTGAATATCTACGGGTTTCAGATGCCTGGATTTTGTTATCCCGTCATATCCTACGGTCGTTTTTCATGTAGATCTCGTAAAAATGAACATTCACTATTTCATGCACCTCTATGCTATAATTTATGAGTCGCCCCGCAATGCACTGACTCCAGACTCGGTAGTCACTCGGCCAAAAGGCCATGTACAAGCCATGATAATACAGTCTAAAGATAAGAGAGCTGGCCTCCGCCATGGTGAAGCTCCATCGCTCCCAGGGCGTCACGCCTGGGATATCAAGCGACGCCCCACGCTCCTTCGCTACATCCCGGTCAGGCTATACCGGGCTGCAATGGAACGAACGTGTGATCCAGCCCAAGGCGCAAGTGCTGCCGAAGAGCCACCGAAGTAAGCGAATACATCGACAGTCAGAACCAGCCCCGTTCCCTCGAACATGTCACCAAACGGGCTTTCCGTGTGTTTTCGTGTATAATCCGAACTTCCAAGTCCAGCCCTGTCGAGCTAGACGACCCAAATGCCTCCAACGCCAGACCGAAAACCGGTGCGAAACCGAGTATTAAACATTTCGATAATCAACAAGAGCTCAGTAGTAGTGAGCCATTTCGAGACCAGCACGCTTGAAGCCACACTTGACGTAGAATCCCTCGTTGACTTCAGAGCAATCAAGAATACTCTAGAACACAACAGTCAGCCTCTGAAACGACGCTTGGGTAAAGATCTTCCATAAGATACATACCTTGTAGCAGCCAACCTGGGCAGCAACGTGATCCAAAGCCTGGATAATTCTCAAGCCAAGCTTCTTGCCTTGCTGGTTCTTCTCAACGGCAATATCCTCGATGTGTCCCACCATGCCGAGCGAGTGAATGAACTTGCGCTCGACGATCAAACTGCCAGTACCGACGATACGGTCTTCGCCATCACACACAACAAGCATGTAGTACTCGTCGTTGCGGGAGGTGATCCACTCGTAGCGCTTGTTCCACATCTCCTCGCTGATCTCGCCCACAGTTGTGAGGACACGCAGCACATCGAGGTAGCCGCGGCTGTAGTCTGAGCGGCGCAGTGGCCGGATGGTGTAGTCGTCTGGCAGGGCAGCGATCACCTCGGGGGAGATGAGAGTGGCGGGGAAGAGGGGACCGTCGGTCTCGACGATGGGGGTGACTGTGTTCATGGTGGGCTTTTCGGAGACGGCAGGAACGGGAGTGATCATGGTGTGAAATAGAAGGATGTGTGTTTCCAGCGATTGAAAGGGTGGGGATAAAAGTCCAGGCGGGATAGGGTTTAAGAAGCCAGGTACAGATCCAAGACATTGCCAGGGGCTCAGTCTTTCTATTTTTACTTTCCATGCTTTTTGCCTTTCCCCAGGGCATCGACAACTTGGTGGTTTTTTAAATGCACTACGGACTTCTCCGTACATTTAAATGATCTAATCTGTTTTACAAATTTCCTCCAATACAAAGTAGAGTGCTGGATTTTGCGTCCAAACATACGGAGTAGACTCGAGAGATCTACTTTCGGGCTTGCCACCTCATTAGCTTACCGCCTTTAGACCAGGCTTATGATTTTATTTTATTTTATTTTATAGAATCTGAAGACCCGTTGGACGCTGAAAATGGCTCTCTTTTAGCTGAAACTACTCTGTAGGTCGCTTCCTTTTCGCCCATTCATTTGGGTGCCTATAAGATATCTTGTTTCATCTCCCTTATATTCTTAAATCTCTTATTCTCTAATCTTTTTAAAAAAAAAATTCCTCTGGTCTACATTTTGCTGTTTCAAATCTATATATCTAGTCAAAACAATAAACAAAAACATCGGACTAACTCTACCGTTAATCGAGAAAATTGAGTTTGGATATAATATCTCCGTAATCCCATGCAAAGGCCCCAGGGTAATACAGGTAGAACATGGTTGGATGCATCTCGCAAAGTCTCTTCCCTTCCCCCCAATCGAAGGTTTTCTCATGCTCCCGGACCATCTTTTTCTATCATATTGCACGCACAGGGCAGTAGCCCCTCGCTTTTTTGGCCACCAGGAGCGAGATAGAGCAATTGGGTACTAGTTTCATGGGCGTCCGATCATAGGCCAAGGAATGGGATCGCCGATTTGGGGAAATGGAATTTCCAGAACTTGACCGCAACAAAGTTTTGGATGGTGTTGTTTCTGTTTGTTGGTATAATATCCATCCGACAATGGCTTTGTTAGCATATGATCACAAACGCAAGACGAAGGATATGGCCTCGAATGCAAAATGCATCACCATTGACTCTGATGAGGAGACAAAGACATGTGAAGCATTGGTTCGCAGAGGCTTGCTGGGACCCGAGCTGGCTCTCCGCTCTCAGTCGGACTGACGAAGAAATCTACATCCATGATGCTATTGTGAAGAGAAGATTCTGGACCTGGTGATGATCGGTTGGGGCTTCGTACAAACGAATTCTGAAGGCAAATACTAGGTGATGTTTACCTACCTAGGTAGCGATACCGGTGTGCTCTACCGAAGAAGACTAACTTCGCCCTCGGAGATTTAGATATTTGTTCTATAGTTCATACCCAGCCATTCCTTAAGAGAAATACTAGAACACTATACTACCCCAGTAGGTCTACGGTACGGTGTTTCACAGGTCCGCCGCTTACAAGGAAAATCAAGTTAAGCTTCAGTGTACAATTCCAATTGGAAATCTATAGTGTCACACAGTGAACAAATTGTTCATCTATTTGTGCTCCTTGGGAGCGAGCATGAGCTCGGGGCGGACGTATTCGTCAAACTGCTCCGAGCTCAGAGCCTTGAGTTCCATAGCACTCTCCTTGAGAGTGAGGTTCTTCTTGTGGGCGTTCTTGGCAACCTTGGAGGCCATGTCGTAGCCAATGACGGGGTTCAGGCAGGTGACGAGCATCAGACTATAAACCGGTTAGTATTTGCCATCGAACGCAAGGGGGGAGATCTAGTGCATACCTCTCGTGGAGAAGAGAGTTGATACGGCCCTCGTTGGCCTCAAGGCCCTTAACAAGGTGGGAGTTGAAGCTGTTCATGCCATCGGAGAGAATGCGCACGCTGTGAAGCAGGTTGGCGATCATGACGGGCTTGAAGACGTTCAGCTCGAACTGGCCGTTCATGCCACCGATGGTGGCGGCGACGTGGTTACCCATGACCTGGGCGCAAACCATGGTGAGGGACTCGCACTGGGTGGGGTTGACCTTGCCGGGCATGATGGAAGAGCCGGGCTCGTTCTCGGGGAGGCTCAGCTCGCCGAGACCGCAGCGGGGGCCGGAGCCGAGGTAGCGGATGTCCTGGGCAATCTTGAAGAGAGAGGTGGCCAGGGTGTTGAGGGAGCCGGAGGCCTCGACGATGGCGTCGTGGGCAGCGAGAACCTCGAACTTGTTGGGGGCGGTCTTGAACTCGGTGCCGGCCAGCTTGCTGATCTCGGCAGCGACGGCAGCGTCGAAGCCCTTGAAGGTGTTGAGACCGGTACCGACGGCGGTACCACCCTGAGCCAAGAAGCGCAGGTGGGGGATGCTAGCCTCGACACGCTCAATGTTGCGGTCGAGCTGAGCAACGTAGCCGGAGAACTCCTGACCGAGAGTGAGGGGAGTGGCGTCCTGCAAGTGAGTGCGGCCAATCTTGATGATGTGCTGGAACTTGTCGACCTTGACCTGGAGGGCGTCACGGAGGCCCTTGAGGGAAGGCAGAAGGGTCTGCTCGAGCTCGATGACGGCAGCAATGTGCATGACGGTGGGGAAGGAGTCGTTGGAGGAGGCGGACATGTTGACGTGGTCGTTAGGGTGGACAGGCTTCTTGGAGCCCATGGTGCCACCAAGGATCTCAATGGCACGGTTGGAGATGACCTCGTTGGAGTTCATGTTGGACTGGGTGCCGGAACCAGTCTGCCAGACAACCAGAGGGAAGTGGTCCAGCAGCTTACCCTCGGCCACCTCAGCAGCGGCCTGCTTGATAGCCTCACCGATCTTGGGGTCTTCGAACGAGTCAGTAATCCGCCCATGTCTCTATTCCATAGGACCTCCACATACCAAGACCGTACTTCATGTTCACTTCGGCGGCAGCACCCTTGAGGATACCGAAAGCCTTGACGATGGGGGCAGGCATGCGGTCCTGGGGCTGGTTGATGTCGAAGTTGCCCAGGGAGCTGTATTCCATCAGCGATGTTCTTTCCATTGTAGTGCTGTCGATGCGATCCGCGTGGCGCCTTACCGCTGAGTCTGCGCACCCCAGTACTTGTCACCGGGGACCTGTCATACCATTAGCTGTCTGCGGGGAGTAGTTGCGACTCCGTCACTCACCTGGATTTCGCCGAAGGCATCACTCTCGGTACGAGCTTCAACAGACTAGGTTCCATCAGTTTATCGTCCCACGTTCCCTTGCGCGAAGCATACCATTCTGACAGTAGTTCCAAAAGCGCGCTTGTTGGAGAAGGTGAAGGACTGAAGGCGGGGGAATTGAGCGAATTGGCGGCTCGAGCTCAGAGATCGGGAGCCAGCCGAAGAGCGAGCAGCCGACAAAAAGGCGCGAGCTGCGGGGGTGGCTCTGGTTGCATGTGTCAGGGTGGCCATAGAGCGCACCGCGGCTCGGGAGGTTGTAGGATTCATGATGTACTCAGTACCACAAGCTTAAAGCTGGGGAAAAGTGGAAATTCGCGCGAGACTCTCCTTTAAAAAAAAGAACAGAAGTGATTGATTCTCTGCCCCTGCCGAAACTTCCCGGTATCGGCAGAACGGCAGACACTCGGGGACTTCGGCAGGACAACGGGTGGGATTCGGTATTATTTCACGGGCAGTACGGTATCATTGGGGAACGGTTGAACTCTCATCCCTGGAGCTCCCGCAGACTCGCAACCACCTTCTTGTTATACTGTTGTCCAGCCACCAGGATCTCATCAAGCCCAGCAAATATATGAGGGGCGCCTGCCATGCGATTGACTTCTACAGGTACTCCAGCAGCCCGAAGCTTGGCCGCATATGCCTCGCCCTCGTCGCGCAATGGATCTAATTCCGCAGTAAACACCAACGCAGGGGCCAAGCCTTGGAAGTTGGGAGCTCGAATAGGGGATATCTTCCAGTCCTGGAGTTATTAATCAGAGTCAGCAGTGTTCTTTACACTGTCCGTGGACATCGAGCAATGCACTCACCTCGTCAGACTGCGCCGGTCGAGGAACTCCCAGGAAGGCTCGGTGGAAGTAAGCCATGCGTGCAGTTGGGAGCGCTGGCGTAAACTCCATTTCTCGATAGGACTCATAGGGACAATTCTCTCGGTCGAATTCACCATGTGGCGTGAACGTGCTGTGCAGGTCCGTCGCCGGTACAGTCAAGAGTTGCAGTCGCAGTGGGATATTCGCATTGCGACAGAGGTGGCTGATGACGGCGGAGATGTGGCCTCCAGCTGAGACGCCCCCAACTACAAATCGATCCAAGTCGAGGTGGAATTCAGTAGCCTTCGAGCGAACCTAGATTCCATGTTTTAGCCCGTGCTGATCCTCTTAGGCGTGCCTAGGTGACTGCATTCTTACCCAATTAAAGGCAGTCCAGCAATCCTCAACCGGGATTGGGAACTTGTGCTCTGGTGCCAATCGATAGTCCACGTCGAAAGCGACAAGGCCACCATCCAGCTCATGGACCAGCCGCTTGCAGAAACTGTGGTCGTAAGCTAATCCGCCAAAGACCCAACCACCTCCATGGAAGTTTATGTAGGCTATCCTCTTCTTCTGACCCTGGTCAGGTCGAGGTGCTGGTTCGAATATCCGAATGGTGATTTCACCGCCATTGACAGGGCATTTCTGCTCCGTGATGCGAAAGATATCGGGGCCCGCTGATCGGCCATATGCGATGGTGTATCGAGCAGGGTTTTTGCGAAACTCTTCTATCGGTACCTCGTGGGTATGCAGTCGTCCTGCACTGAAGGCATTGTAGTATGCAACATACACGGGATCAAATCGAGGCACAAGCTCGGGTGGAATGCTATTGTGCAGTGGTTGAGTGATGGTAGGGACTCGAAACGCTTCTAGAGCTGGGTTGGATGTAGATTGGGACATGGTGGGTTAACGAATTGATTTGTTATTGTCAGACAGACGGTGAGGTGAAGGAGACCTCGCGCGCGGGGTTTGCCATGTCAGTGCTCGAGTGCATATAAACGAACCCTGCATGACACCATCTCATCACGAATCCGTGAAATTATTGGAGCCTTGAAAGACACCGTTCAATTTCTCTGGTGTTGAGACTACCTACGTATATTTGGGGGTGATATAGTACCAGGTATCCACAGCCCCAGGGCTGTAGTATCAATTAAACAACCTCGGCAAATAAATATGTGCTTGGGCACTGGAGTATCATTTTCTTCTCTTGCCTGTATATGATTCAATACAAACCCCTGGGTGCATTGAGCCCACGTCAGGATATACGGAGTACCAACACTACCACTGCCACGTTGATGCAAGGAAGATGTCAGATGTATATAATCCGCCGCACCCCCTCCATCAGAACTCGTATCTTAACATCCCCCAACCTTGGAGTCCCTCAAGGATACACGGGAAGATTTACGAATTGAGTACCTCACAGTTGATATATTTGATAGGACTACGGAGTGCGGAGTACAAATGGTCATCCGAGTCAGCAGGCCTCCTTTGATGCTGATCCCACTCAGATCTCCAAGGCTATTCCAACGGAACCTAATGTGATCCAAGGCTATTGACGGCTATCTCTTTGAAGATGGCTTCAATAATTGCCATCCCTTGCACCCCAGAGTCCGCCACTAAGCGGAACTTCCCGCGGGGCAAAAAAAAAGCAATCAGGGCTGAGGATTCCGGTGCGAGATCGGCTTGACTCAGCCGATCTCATCTGAACTTATATTTGTTCCCCCACAGTCCGTCACAGTCCGTGCTAATTGACTCCCTGGACCTCAATCAACACCTACACAATGACCAAAATTGACTCCCGTCTCAATGTGACCCCGGTTGCCCCGGATGAGATCTTCGCCCTGAACGCTGCCTACTTCGCCGACGCCGACCCGCAGAAGGTCAGCTTGGGCGTTGGTGTCTACCGGACCGACGATGGCAAGCCCTGGCCCCTTCCTACCGTCCAAAAGGCCGAGAAGGCGCTCGTCGCGGACGACGACCTCATGCGCCACGAATACACCGCCATCGAGGGTGACGTGCCTTTCCTCCCAATTGCCCGTGATCTGATGTTCGGATTCGAGGGCAAGCAGAGCGAGGAAGAGGCCAAGGCTCGCATTGGTACCGTGCAGACCGTCGCCGGTACCGGTGCCAACCACCTCGGTGCTCTGTTCCTCGCCCACCACATGAAGCCCCGCAGCGTCTGGCTTTCCAACCCCTCCTGGGCCAACCACCAGACCATCTGGGACCTGGCCGGCGTTCCCCGCAAGACATACCCGTACTACCATGCCGCGACCCGGTCCTTCGACTTTGAGGGTATGATCAACACCCTGGAATCCGAGGCTGAGGAGGGTGATGCTGTGCTCCTGCACGCTTGTGCACACAACCCCACCGGTCTGGACCCCAACAAGGAGCAGTGGGTTGCCATTGCCGATCTTTGCGAGCGCAAGAAGCTCTTCCCCTTCTTTGACTCGGCCTACCAGGGCTTTGCCTCGGGTTCCCCCGAGGAAGACGCCTGGGCCGTCCGTTACTTCTTTAACAACAAGCCTGACATGGAGATGTGCGTGGCCCAGAGCTTCTCTAAGAACTTTGGTCTTTACGGCCAGCGTGTTGGTGCTTTCCACTACTGTCTCAACCGCAGCTCGACTAGTATTCGTGACGTTGTCGTTGGCAACCTTTGCCATCTCATCCGTGGCGAGTTCTCCATGGGCCCCCGTAGCGGTTGCAGCATCGTCAAGAAGATCCTCACCAGTGAGGAGCTTACTGCCGAATGGTACCAGGACCTGCAGGTCATGAGCTCGCGCATTAAGACCATGCGCCGGGCTCTTTACGATGAGCTTGTCCGCCTGCAGACTCCTGGCACTTGGGAACACATTATCGACCAGGTAAGGATCCCGCGACACAGTGTATAAGCATTCGTACTAATTCCGTTATTAGTCTGGCATGTTCTCCTACACTGGCCTCACCCCCAAACAGGTTTATGCTTTGAAGGACAAGTACCACATCTACCTGCTCAAGTCTGGCCGTGCCTCCATCAGTGGCTGTAAGAATGACCCCGATAATGACCTTAGAAATACGAGCTGACACCACTTACAGTGAGCCAGAAGAATGTCGCATATGTCGCACAGGCGATTGACGATGTGATTCGCAACGAGAATTAAATTTGGAACCTATATTGACTGGACATGTTTTGATGTATCCCAAGTACATTTCCTTTACACCGGGGCATTCTGTTCTTTCAGGCGCAAAGTTTCATTTCGGACCAAAAACTTTGCATCGTCCACCTGTTACGACATTTCATGATAGAATTATATAGAGAATCTGACCTACGATGGCATATGTCTTCGCAGTATCAAAAAGCACTATTACAATGCGTGTAGAAACACTAAAGTTACCTACTGTACATTAACAACAAAAGACAGGATAATCAAGACAGGAATCAAAGTCGGAGTAATTCGTTAGAAGCCCAAGGCCTGTATACCCAGGCAAAAGGTGCGCCACTAACCACAATAAGGTAAAGCTGTACTGGATATAGTCGTAGACGCTGGTCAAAATAAGGATAGAAGGTCAAGGCGCATCATCACAGTGGCACTTCGTTGAAATCGTCACCCTCTTTGCCTTTGCTCTTCGCATTCCCAGAGCTGGCATCGGAATCGCCCTCGGGCCTGTTCTGTGGAAGAGTCTGTTCTTTATCTGTGTCATCACTACTCTTTTCAGCAAAAGCCTCTGACTCGCTATCCTTTGGATCCGGAGCGTCTGCCGAATCAGCCCCATTCTCAACAACCTCCTTTGAGCTCTCAGCATCATCCTTGGGCGGAGGCGAAGGGGGCGGGACATCTTGCCCGTCTTCCGACTCAACTTCTTCAGCCTGCGCCTGGGGCTGGCCACTCATGTCACCTCCGGGGAAAGGAGTCAAAGGAGGTTCCTCAGGCACCTGCTCTTGCAATGGGCTGCGCTGGGGCTGAGAGCTAGGTCTGCCTAGAGATGGGGTCGCAGTGGAGAGAGTAGAAGTAGTACGCTGGTGTGACGAGCCGTGAATCACACCCAGTTGTCGGGCCTTGGGGTCTGCATTGAGATAGTAGCCACGCACACCGGCAATGGTACCTTCTGTTTCGCAAGCATCCACCCACTCCGGTACAACGACGGGAATATTCATGCTCACGGCCTTCTCCCACAATTGGCCCCGGCCCTCCGTGCAAACAAAGTGCGTGGTATCGATGCGGACGGTGTCGATCATTTTCCCGCCAATGCGGTCCAGCGCAGCTCCGAGCGCCTCCTTTTGCTGCGGATCCAGAATACCTGTTGTGACCGTGATACCCGACAAGTCGGTCATCTTGTGGGTTTGACACGTCAGCTTCTCCGACTGGTAGGTACCGGCTGTAGTGCGCAGGACCAGGTGGAAAGAGTATTCGGAGTGGATCGCGAGACCACTGATTTTGGTGCTGCGAGTTTCGAGGGGGCGAGGTATCGAGCCGGCCTTGGAGCCATTGCGATAGAGGGAGAGCGATTTCAGGGACGCAGTCGCCAGATCGATTGGGTCCCACTCGAGCACGAGGGAAGTCTGAGTTGCATTTCGCAGGCGCAGAATCGGCGCTGAAGGGGCTTTGACGCCGTAGGTGTTGAGGATTCGTTTCTGGAGGGTCTGGAAGGCAGATGCGTTTGCTGTTTCGGCCGCATGGTTGCGCGAGACGGTGATGTCGACAATGCTGCCGGAGGCAATGTTGTCTGGGAGGAGAACCGAGGGAAACTCGATCTGATATGAGGGTTGTCAGTTGGAATGGCTCTAGATTCGCTCATTGTCCTTCATCGTCCTTCACCGTCGCAGTGTAATCCAATGTTTTGACCATGTGACCAGGGGGTTCAACTTACGAGTCGATTATCTTGGGTGAGGAGGACTGCGACACCCGCGTCAACCTTGCCAACTGTCAAGGAGACCAACATTGTGAGGCTGTAGGAAGATGACGTTTCAAATAGGGTGGTTGTAGTTGTCAAGTCCCGGGGCGACGAATCCGCCAGATCGGCATTTAGCGAGGTACCAGACGGGAGCTAAGATCTGCCTTGGATGTTGACTCCACGAAACAACAATGAATAGATTTGATATTTCCAGGGTATAATAAACATGAGAGATTCTTCCGAGCCCCCCCAAATGCAAGCCAATTCCCTTCCGAAATCTCAAAACGCCGCTGGCCGCAATGCTTCAGTAATCTACAGCCGTCAATGCGGCACAAAAATGATATGATAATATACAAAACCCCTCTTCGACGAAGCCTGCCAGAGTCTCATGTTTTCGATGAGACGTTTGAAGAGGACGATTCTTGCGCCAACTGATGCGCCATAAGCTCAGATATGACTTTATTCGCACCCTTCTGGAGATCCTCGAAACTTTGCGCTACACAAGGCGATTCAATGTTGACCTCCATTGATCCTATGAAGTCTCTTGGGAGCGTAGCTGAATCGGACACCCGTTTACCAAGCTTGTCCAATCCTTGTTGTTTTAAAGCCTCTTCGAATGCGATGCGCACCCTGCGCGCGCACCAGGAGCGAACCACTCGTTTGTGCGAGAGGAGCTTGTTCACTGAAACTCGCCACCATAATGTTGTTCTATCGCGATGCGCCAGCATGTGAACGATTTTGGGCCGAATTGGGTGGATAGGAGCACCTAGGTATCGTGCTGCAACAGGGGGAGGATGATGTTTGGCCCAAAACCGCACCACGAAGCAGTCTGTGGTCGCAACAAACTTACTCATTGCGGTAGGCTATTATTGGTTGGCGGAAGGGTGTGCTGGTTGGGAGATAGAAGGAATGAGCGTCGTGGCGCATTGATATCATGTCGGGTTGGAATCGGCAAAACCCAAGGAGAGTCGGGCACACGAGGGGTATCAAAAGATAGCCTGCGGTGGCTACTTCTCAGAACAAAGAGAATGAGATCGAAATCGCAGGCTTAGACTCGTATCGCGAAAGTATGCAGAGCGCTTGTAGCCCAAATTCCGGTGAGCGTAGAGAGTAGGGCGAGTCTGGTGCCAACGTTGCCGGGATGACCAAGGTTCCGGACGAGACCAGGTAAGATTCAAATAGAAGTCAGTCCTTCAACAACCTTCACACCACAGATTGTCAAGTCCCTTTGTCCCCGAAGTGACCAACTCGTGGATCTCGATTCGTCTTTTTTTCTGCCAGCCAAATCAAGCGGTCAGTGTCTCAGCCTGAAAACACAGTGACGCCACTGGGTGCCTGATTACATAACAAAAAGATTTGAATTCTGGTGCACAGAACCCCACCTCCTTCTTTCTTCAACTCTCACTTCCCTGATCAACCTCGATCAGGCCTCTTCAGATCTTCGTTGATCTAAGGAAAAAAATTACCCCAGAGAGCATCGACCCAGGTGAAGGTCGCTCACACCCGCCATGCCCAAGAACAAGGGAAAGGTAAGATCGCAAAATATTCAACCCCTCTATTTCAGTCTTTTCCGCCACTGTCTTACATTCCCTGGCCACATCGCCAACTGGTGAAAACCCGGACATGTGGCTGGACCTTTTTTTCCCCTACTTTTTTTACTATGACGTTATGTGACACATTCTGACAATCAGTATAGGGCGGTAAGAACCGCCGTCGTGGAAAGAACGAGAACGACAACGAGAAGCGTGAGCTTGTCTTCAAGGAAGAAGGCCAGGAGTACGCACAGGTCGTGAAGATGCTCGGCAACGGTCGTCTCGAGGCTCTCTGCTTCGATGGCGAGAAGCGTCTGGCCCACATCCGTGGCAAGCTCCGCAAGAAGGTCTGGATCAACCAGGGTGATATCATCCTCCTTTCTCTCCGTGACTACCAGGATGAGAAGGGTGATGTTATTATGAAGTACACCGCCGACGAGGCCCGTTCTCTCAAGGCCTACGGTGAGCTGCCTGAGCACGCCAAGATCAACGAGACCGATACCTATGGTGGTGACGGCTTGGACGACAACGTCGAGTTCGACGAAGATCGCGAGAGCGAGGATGAGAAGGACATCGATGTCGACGACATCTAAACGCCCCCCTTGTTACCCCCAGAGTTCGATGCTCTGCCCTGCACGAATACCCTCGGAAATGCCTCTCCTCAGTATTCTCCATGTTCGCCAGATCCCTACCCTTGTGCGTGCCGGTGTCGGCACCGTGCCGTGGCCTGCCTGCTCCGAAACTTCTGCCTCTTGTCCCGCGAGGCTCTTTCGTCGACAATTCGATTCCCACTGTACATTCGGACGGATTGAGAGCACCAACCAACCCCAGCCTACGACGCCTCCGACACCGGCTTGCACTTGGATAGGGACATCCTCTACACGGCTACTGTGACAATTTCCAGGGCGTGATGCCATCGAACAGAGGTCTCTTGGTGTTTGTTCATCAGCGATATTGGATATCACAGTGGATTAAACCCTCACTCCAATCACCGTACATGTTTTTCAAATACCCCGAGATTACGACAGAGACGAAAAATGGTTGCTACGCACACATGACGAAACTGTGTGCTTGTTTTCCTGCATTGCATTGCATGCGGTTTTCCCTCTGCCCAGCCTCGAATTGCTTTTCTTTCGTTCTTTTGTGATAAATTCATGAAACGAGCCACGAGAATTGAAAATATCATTAAAATTCAAACAACTGTATCCCACGTAGGCCATCCACCTGCGCAAGTTGAGCGGCAGCTCACTCTAGTATTTTAGTTGTTTTCGGGCTTCTAAGGTTCATCTCTGATGAATGTCTGGTGTGACAGATGTAAGATGTCCACGAGTCCTTGTATGTCTATGTAATGCCTAATGTACTATGCTATGTAGCTCCAACAATCTATGATACAATTCCCACCATATCAAGCATCCAAACTGCCTTTCCCCTTCGTAGAACCCTCAACACACTGTCCACCCCCAAACATTGCCTTCGCCGCAGCTTGCCAAACAGTCTCCCGCTCCAGATAATTATCCACAGTATAAAACAACCGACACTCAGCAGCCTCATAAACAAACTGCAATGGCGTCTTGTCATCCTCGGGATCGTACTCATTCCGCAGGTTCAAGTTCCCACTCCACTCGAGCGACGCTGTAGTACTTGGACTGGACTCATTGAATGCCTTCCACTCGGCAGTAGTTAGCAGTGGCGATTTGCTGCTGGCTGCTTTAGAAACCAGTCCATTTGCCTGCTCGATGTATCCGTTGATATAGTTGATTCCGAGTGACTGGCCACCCTTGACGCCGCCCACGCCTTGCATGGGGGACTTCTGTGGACGTCCACCGAATGTGATTGTGCGCACGCCCTGTCGCTTCATCAATTTGACGAAGAATGCGCAGGTTGAGACGCAGTCGCCGTCGGTTATCTGTTAAGAGAAGTTGGGTTAGAGCCGCTCATGATATCTATCTTGATCAAGGTTTGTGTGACAATGCACTTACAATAGCGATGTTTTCCGCCGGAAAGAGCGATTTTCTTGGTTTCAAGGGGACTGGCCCATAACCATTTATGGGAAAGACTTTCGAGGAGGTCGAAGTATAGTTGAAATTGGCCAGGAGGCTAGAAGCCGAGCTGTCCAAAATCTGGTGCGGGCCATATAGTTCCTCCCAAGAGCCGAAATCAGTTTTCTGATCTGGATGAACCATCTGCTTGTAAGCAAAGACGTTGCTCGAGTCTGTTTGATTGTCTCGCGAATACGCCTTGGTAAGATACTTGGCTGCATCGTGGGCTCGGTAGCGGGTTGCCGTGTACGGGGCAATGTTCGGGAAGAAGATCCTTGACATATCGATTCCTATCGACATATAGCCACCTGGGTTGGCGGAGAGGTCGATCAAGACGTTTTTCTTGCCGGCTGCAGTGGCATTCTGTAAGAAGTCGACGGCAACAGTGGCTACTTCTGATGCACTGGATGAAAATGTCGGTAGGAACATGATTGCTGTATCGTGCAGATCAGTGAGATCGGAATAATAACCAGCGATTGAGTTAGCTGAATTGCGCCATTTGGTAGTGGGAAGTCCTTCGATCTCCGAGGATGCCTGCTCGGCACCGGACGAGCCGCTCAGAGGGGTGGACAAATCCCTTGGAAGGCACTCTATGCTGTAAAGATGGGATCCATTCTTGTACGAAAAGAACCTCTCGCTTGGTGTCGCCGTTTTCTGGGTTGTGGTTTTGGTGCCGTTGGCGAATTCTAGAGATAGCTCAGCGCCATCGGTCCAGTCCCCGATGGAGGCCCAGATTCCGTTCACACTCGTGGGAGCGTTGGTGACGCTGCGAGCGGGAGCGGGAAACACTCGGTTATATCTATAATAATTAGTTATCTCGTCCTTGTGTTGAAGAAAGATGTGCGTACTGTGCATCTCGATCCTGGAGGTTTTGATCGCTGGCATACGACTCGAGGTAGGTCGCCACGTCAGTGCCGTTGATGGTCTTGAGTGGTGACACTGCCTCTGGGTTATTCTTTTGAATCTTTGCATCATCTAGGCTGGTTAGCTCGCTCCCGTTACGCTGGACGTCAAAGGCAGCATACCCAGAGAGTAAACAAGTGGCAACGCGAGTCCATCTGTCGACACTGAAACCAAGGGCATGTCGATGTGGTATGTGAAAATCGACTGGGAGCATAATTGAAACGAAAGATGACCATCGTGAGCAGATTTGATGAGATGGCTTACTTCCAAGTCCATCTCGAATTGGCTCGAGTAGCCATTGCTCTTGGCCTTGTCCAAGATCGTGTCTATTCCTCCCAAGATGTCAGTCGGGGGCATAGTATACCCCGACGGGGGATCTGAGATGATTGATTAGCCAAAAATGATCTAAGTCTGTTCAGAAAAGAGTACTATACCCTTGAGAATATCGATGGTGGACTGAAACTCGAGGATCTTGCGGGCTTGTTCCAGAAACTTGACCGCACGCTCTGATTCAAAAGGCATGGACAACAGACACTGATGTGCCAAATCATGAGGCACATTGGCATTCACTGCGACTGTCAGTTATCCTGTTTGACGAGGACCCGGTTACGCACCTTTGGCCTGGTTGGCGTCCGCCACCAGTTTGCTCACTTGGGCACACGGCTCGGTGTCGCTTGCATTGACAGCAACAGCCGCTGCCAGAGCGACTGGTGTCAATGTTTTGAGATGCATGGTGAATTGAAGATGTCAGAAATCGCTTCAAGGGGATATATCTCCACACCTCAGGGGCCCTTGCATTGTTCCGTTTATAACTGATCTGCATCGCCAAGACGAAAAGGATCGACGCACGACATTGTACGAGCATAACGCCTTGCAATCGCCAACTCTAGACCGTCTTTTGTCCACGCGTTGCTTCCAAGGTTATTGAGTCCAATGCGACACAGGTGTATTAGAATTGTCTGAAATATGGAAGAATTCCAAGATAATATCGCTTGCCCGGACAATTCCTTGCCATGGATGATCACTCGCAATTCTACACACAGGCCGAGTCCTGAGTTATACATTCATGGATGAAATGGAGACATTACAGCCGGAATTAATCTGCTAGATTTCACAGGCTTTAATCAAATACACTCTTGCGGAAGAATGCCACTATCTTTCGTGCAGCTTCTTTGCCGACCAGCGGATCGAGCTGCTCGACATCCATGTTGGCAACATCACTGATGTTGTCAGTTTCAATAATGAGTCGCTCCAAAGCCTGTGGAGTGACCCCTGGAACTGCCCGCAGCATGTCCTGAGGAAGGAGGTTGAAGGTGCTGCGAGGCTCAATTCCAGCGGCCGCCATGACATCGCCTGAGCTGGCAGAGTTCGAGATATCCACATCCAGGCCCAGCTGAACTGCACGTAGCGGATCAGGTTCTGCCGCATTCTTCTTAAGCTCTGCGAAGATCTCGGCCGTCTGGTAAGGGGAAGAGGACCAGACGATTTTCATTCGAGGGAAAGCAAGAGTGAGAAGGACAAGCAGATGTTGAGCGGATTTGGGATTGGAGGGGTTAGCAAGGAAGCTACTGCTGCTGGATGTCGCGGTGCCAGAAGATGTAAAGCCTTGATCTGCCTTGAATGCAGGGCCTGCCGCGACGGATGTGAATGCGTCGAAAGTGAACGACTTGTTCTGGTCGAACTCGATCAAAAGCAGGGGGTATTTGTAGTACTGAAGCATTGTCTCGGCCTGATTGTAGAGACGGCCGTTCTTCAGAGACGTGATGAGATCTCGAATGGACTTTCTCTCGACGCAAATGTCTGGAGTGAGAATATAATCGCCTACTGTAAGGTGACAAGGCACCACAACCATATTGTTTCCGTGCAACAGAGACGGAAGAGCACTTCGGAACTCACGCACATCAACAACGACCCGAGGAGGAGATGCGGTGGCTGCCAACCGTCCACCTCCCGCAATTCGAGTATTGACTGTCCGAAGGAATTGTTCCTGCGGGTCGTCGTTCTTTTTGTCGTGTGTCAAGGTAACCGCCATGTTCTGGGAATCTGTTAGTTTGAAACCTCAAGGATTGAGTCTGTGACATACGCCTTTTTCCTTAATGAGCTTTGTGAAAGAGTCTTTCTCTCGCCGCACAGCACTCAGGTACCGTTGCTCCTCGACAGAGCCACCATAGTACATAAAGTACACCTTCACGTTGCGTCCCGAATGAGAGCTACGGTAGACCTCAACTCTTCGAATGAACGCGGCATCGGGCTCGTACATGATAATGTACCGAGGACGTGCCTCCTCAAGTATATGCTCATCCATATCGCCGTCGTAGGGATGGATCATGACCAAATCATTCATGTCATACAATTCATAGAAGTCTTCCATGTCTTCCAAATCATCGATGATTACTTCTTCCTTCTGGGTTTCCTCAACCTCGGTAGGTTGAATTTCAGTGAGCAAACTGACAACCTGACCAGGCAGTTCAACCTCGGTTTGAACACTGGTATTTGGCACACGGCCTGCGGCCGATGTGACCGCACCGCCACCACGGACACGGCGACGCTTATTCGGGGGAGGCCTTCCTTGAGGCGTATTCTGGGCGGCGGGTGAGTCGGAGGGCTTGCCACCTCTATCCTCTTCTCCCGAAAGATTCTTATTGACGTTCGAGAGTGATCTTTTCCAATTCAGATAATCTCGTAGTCGACGACGCAGCATTAGTTCGGCCGAAGGTTTGTTCTCATCTGGTTGCCCATCTTCTCTGGAGTCAGACCCTTGAGCGACCTTGGCATGCATTGTGCCAATATACTCTCGGAGCTGACGACATATTCGTTGATCATTGCACATGATCAAAATGGTGCTATTAGATTGATCTGTATTTGCAGGATGAAGGTATGCATCGTTTTCGATCTCTGCGAGGACGTCTGATAACACATTCCATTTCGGAAGTTCCTCGAGACATGGCTTCAGCTCAGCAGAAAAGGTAGTTGAAGAGGAGAGGCGATTCAATTCGTTGTTTAGTTTGCCCTCGTATACGCGTGACTTCGCTGTCTGAAATAGAACGTGAGCAGCATCAAGGAAAAGCCATGGTGAGTAATTATGTTTGTTTGAGCCTGGAGGCGGAAGATGTGCTGACACAATGGTATCGAGATATTTCACAAAAGATACGGCATCGTATGTGAGCAGAGCACTACAGAAGGTCAGTACTGATAGGTGCGATGTTATAGCCGAACTCACTGGAGGATCGAGCGTAAGTCACTCAAGTCACTGACGATTTGCTTCGTTCTGAAACTGACCCGATGCCAGATGGGATCCAGCTGACGCCGAATGATCATATCGAAGTTCTTGTGGAGAGCACTGTCTAGCGTCCATTCCTCCATATCAAGTCCGGTGTTGCTCTTCCGCAGCTCTGCGATACTGATCTCGACACATTCGAGAACCGCATTCTGAATCTCTCTCATTTTGTCGCTCATCGGAATCTCGAGTTCAATGACTTCCGCTTTGCGATTTCCTTCCAGAGATTCGGCCACGGATACATGGAATCGGGGCCAGAGTGACGCCTTGCGCAAGAAGAGGTTCTTCAACATATTGGCCAGCGGGGCGAATCCGGTGGTAAATGGCTCGGGTGAATCCGAGAATGCTTTCAGGAACCCACGCTTGTTCATTTGACGATAGACTCGGACGATGAAAGCTTCCAGAGATGTCGCCACAGCTTTATCGGCATGTAATATGACCATACCGGTGATTTTCTCGGGATCAAGAAGCTCTAGTTTGATCAGTCGACGTCCAGCAGGTACACTCGATATACATACTGGATAACAAATCCACAACCAATATTCTGGATGTCACACTCAGAATACCACCTTCTGCATAGATTTTCTCCCTGGCAATCGTCAGCATCGCTATCGAAGATCCGTAGATGGAATGCATTTACCTCATCGGCACTGTGGCTTTCTCGGTATTGATCGCCTTCAGCCCCCTTGCGAGGGGAGACTTGCTAGTTGCATAATGCTCCGCCAGAGCTGGTATTCCCAATTAACGCCCACACGATCAAACTGCCCACGGTTGGATATACATACCCTCTCCGATCCACTCATTCTCGCGGTCATCTGCCCCGACGACTAGGACCAGATTATTTCCTGCCGCATCGTAGAAGTGTAATAGATTTGTTATCAAATGCAGCAGTCCAAGGCCGCGCGCCAGTACGACTAGCTCATCCTCTGCGCGTAGTTCGGTGAAGAGCTCCTGCTGGTATTGCTTCAGGGTGTTAGTGAGATCTCACTTTCGGGATTGATCTTTGCTGTATACTCACCAGGGGCAAAGATAGCTTCACCGGAGCATTTGTCCGTTCTGGAGGCATTTGGACCGCTTAACGCGTTGAGCTGAGTCCGAGTTGGCGAAAGTTGTCGCGCAATCACGTGCCCGATATGTGTGACGTAATGAGTCTGGCCATGTTTACTGCGGCGCTCTACTTCTATTCCTTACGGTGGACTGTTTTGGTGTCTACCATATGATTTACACTTGAATGAGCAGATATCTTCGCAGGCTGGATCAAGCATGATCGGTTGGTATGGGCATTAAATTCGTTTGCAAGTAAAAGCGAAAAACGTCCTTCTCAGTTGGAAGGCTTGTTCAGCTCCTTCATTCGAGCTTCGATTTCTTCCCGTGAGGCCTTGGGAGGCAAGTCTGTGGAGGTCAGCTACGTCTGCCTTTGAACTCATGCCCATAGACACCTACCACTCGGATTTGGAATCTGCGGTCCCTTTGAATTGAAAGCCGCCATAGCAGGGTTCTGTTCGCCGGTCTGGGGTTTTCCAGACTCGTTGCCGCCCTTCTGGGGGGCAGACGGGAAGTCGGATGACTCGGGGATGACAGGCATGTTGAAGTAAAAGACTTATTATCTCGAGAAAGTAGAGAAGGTTGAAAGGGTCAGGCAGATCAGCCCAGCGAAGGCAGTTATATAGATCCCAGCGGGATGACGTCGTCTTAGTGGCAACGAGCCAGGCGTCAACATGTCAAGTCAATAAGCAGGTTCCTGTCTGAGTTAATGTCCAGTTACTATACTAGGTATTGGATACTCTTCGAGGTAACCCTACCTATGTAGTTTTGGACAGATCTTCGGTCTTCCGAGGTTGTACATAGACCGCGCTGACCCTGTCTCCACAAGGGTCAATTCCACTGTTTTCGCCGGAATTTTCTGGCTCTCTGTCTGGTGTATCAAAGCTCATAGCCACACATCGATGCAAGCGATAGTTCGCGAAAGGAAGCGACAAAATTGTCCGTTGCATAGTACATCCAAAATACCACGTGCCACTATGGCGGTGCAGTGGCAGAGCCAAGTCACTCCGGCGTACCGGGCCCGCCCCGCCTATCCTCTGACCCCCAACGCAGTCCGTCTTCTCCAACACCCTCAAGGCAACCGCCGGTCGGCTCCTCTCCAATTACCAATTCGTATGCCCTCGAACCTGGACGGCTTGAACCCCGTGCAGTCCTTCACCTGTCTCCTCTCACCGTATCAGTCGGTGTGCTGAGGCTGCTATCCCCGTCGATATCCCGCCCGGCTGCAATGTGTGCTCAACACACCTGACTCTTCGAACTATAACCTTTTCTCTTGACTGAGGGCGCAGCTCAAGAATCACTATGCCCTCAATCCTTAGCGACGCCGACAAGGAGACGGTCAAGCGCCACGTACCCAAGCCCGCCAACAAGATTCTTGCCGTGGGTGTCGCGCGACTCTATGTTGCCTACCCCGATGGCCAAAGATGGACCTACACCGGGATTCAAGGGGCCGCAGTCCTCTGTAATGATCTCGTAGGGCGGACATTCTGGCTCAAAATGGTGGATGTCTCGGTAAGTTGTCCGCGCTGGGATTAGGACAGATAGGAATGAACTGCTGACAATGCGATTTCGAGTGCAGCCGGCTGGAAGGGGCGTAATCTGGGACCAGGAAATCTACGATAACTTCGCCTACAACCAGGATCGCACGTTTTTCCATACCTTTGAACTCGAAGACTGCCCCGCCGGCCTCTCCTTTGTCGACGAGAAGGAGGCCAAGACCTTCATCAAGAAGATGCACGAGCGCGAGAAACATGCAAGCAAAGAGACCACCAAGACGCCTTTCGCATCTTCTAGAGGCCAAGGACCGGCCCCTGTCGCGAATGGCAAAGTAGGTCGGTCGTTGTTCGGTAGCTTGTTGCATCGTTCGAGCCCAGCTCCAAGTGCGCCGCCTCCAACCGCACCGGCACCTTCAATACAGGTTGCACCCCCGCCAACGCTCTCTCCCAGTGCGCCGCCAGCGCCGCCAGCAAAGGCCGATTTACCGTTCGACACTAGCGACCCATCTTGGAAGGGACTGCTGGACGAGCTCAAAGGCATGGGAATCACCGAAGATCAGATCGCCGAGAACTCCGAGTTCATCAAAGCTTGGATTGACCAGAAGCAGGCGGCCGCGGCTGAGTCTGCTCCTGCGGAGGGCTTGAATAAGCCTAAGACCGCTCCTCCGCCACCACCGCCTGCCCCCAAGGTGCAATCAATCAGCCCTCAAGATACCGGTTCAAGCTCAACAAGCCGTCGAGGGCCTCCACCCCCGCCTCCGTCGCGGAAGACACGTACGGAAGCACCAGAAGAACGGGTGTCGACACCTCCGCCCCGTGAACCCTCTCCGCCCGCACGGAGATTCCACGCGCCGCCTCCAATTGCGGATGCTGGCAAGTTTGCTGAACCAGCCGGTCCTGTGCCTCCTCGACGTCCACGTGCAACTTCTAACGTCAATGCTGGACCTGGACCTGGACCTCCACCGCCGCCTCGGCCACCAAAGACTCCCATGGAAGATGGCCAGGCTAGCTCGTCTCGATTCGGAGTACCGCCTCCTTTCTCTGGTGATCGAAAGGTGTCTGCGCCGCCGGCACCTCCAAGTCGTAGCCCTATACCTGGCGGACCCCCACCCCCGCCGCCTCGTACAGCAAGCCCAGCAGCACCGCCTCAGCTGCCTCCCAAGCTTCCTCCAATGCCCACCTCTGGCGGACCACCACCACCTCCCGCCAGAGGACCAATTTCCCCTCCACCTCCTCCGCCTCCAGCGGCCCGACCTGTGCCAGCTGCACCCTCCCCTGCTGCGGCCCCTCCACCACCACCGCGGAGCCCGGCTTTACCTCCCCCAGTCCCGCCAACCGCTTCTCCAGGTCTTCCTCCACCCCCGCCACCTCCACCACCCGGCTCTTCTGCCCCCGGCGGTCTCCCACCCCCACCTCCTCCCCCAGGCCGCGGTCCATCAATGCCACCCCCTCCTCCAGCGCCTGGCTCGAGAGCACCTGGAGGACCACCCCCGCCCCCTCCACCACCTGGTGCGTCTGGCGGTGGTCTTCCCCCTCCCCCTCCTCCCCCTGGCGGTGGTGCTCCCCCTCCCCCTCCTCCACCCGGAGGCGCTGCGCCTCCCCTGCCCAAGGCTGGTGGTGGACATGACAACCTTTTGGCATCCATCCGAGCATCTGGCGGTCATAGCGGTGGTGGACTTCGCAAGGTCAAGGACTCAGACAAGAAAGACCGCAGCGGCGCTATGGTACCTGGCGGTGCCAACGAGTCAGCCGCAACCCCTAGCTCCGGAGGTGCCCCGCAAGGTGGCTTGGCCGGTGCCTTGCAAGATGCTCTCAACAAGCGGAAACAGAGAGTCAGTGGAAGTGGTATGTGTAGCCCGTTTATTCTCACTATAAGAGCCCATGCTAACATTTTCGGCAGATGACGAGAAAGACAACGACGACGATTGGTGAAGTGTGTTTTTGGTGGGAATGTTTCAGTACTTCAAGATACCAATCGCTTTTGCGTCTTGCGAGGATCGATCGTTGTGTTTCTTGGTCCAGCGTTTTGCCTAAAAAGTGTGACTTCAAGCGCTTGTTGAGACAGGAGGAATCTCAGTGCATCTTGTATATAGCTTTTCACGGTAGGCGCAGGGGCTCTCAGACAGTCCGGCTCAATATTTTACTATTACTAGGCACAAGAGCTCCCATGTATCCAGTATGTCGATTGAAATTCAAGTAGCTCAGAAAAATGGTCCCTACCTAGTAGAGACATGGCTGGAATTACATTTGAACACTTCTCTCGCGATTCAACGCCCAGTCAACCAGATCATCGCCCGCGCCCTCACACTTTTCTATGCATTCAAGCAGCCAGTACAAACGAGCCTCATTTTGGTCATAGTCTCTGAACCAAATAGCAGTCCTCGAGTCGTGGTAACTCGAATTGGAATGAACGCCATCATCGAGGTTCCGCGCGGATCGACATTCATCGAAGCAAAGTCTGAAGTTCACTATATCGCTGATGTCAAGCGAACGGAAACCCGGTGAGCTTGAATACTTCTCCTTAAGCGCCGTGCGGGCCTTCTTCACGGCGATGGAAGTTGAATGGCCGTAAAATGACATGTTTTTGAATGTAACCCAAAAATCTGCCCCCAAATGGCACTTCTCGTAAAACAAGGATGCAGACAACCACTTAACAAGTTCTTGACCAAGTTTCTCCCGCCCATGTTCACTGGCATAACAATGATTACACTGCAGGTTGTTGAGAAAATCTTCGTTGATCTCCATTCCGTTCCAATTGCGAGCTCCTACCCCATGAGACATTTGCGCCATCTTGGGAGCCCAGCCATTGAACATGTCCGCGAAACGAAACGCACGCAGCTCTTGCCAAGTCGAGCACTCCGGACACCTGACCACGTACATAGTCCAAGGGTGGGTGACGGTAGGGACAATATCAGAGGGATCGGTTGGCTTGTTGACACCAGCGGTTGGTTCGTCGATACCAAGTATATCAACAATATCTGGGAACCACCGTTCGGTCGCGCCGGGGAATTGCAGGGTTCGGCTAGTGACTATAGGAACCTTTGCCGTGCCTTGCAAGACAGGCTCATTGCGGTCGTCGCGGTAGCTGAAGCTGAATGTTCGATTTGCAATCTCGTGACGCTGAAAGCGACACTCATTACATTTGCGCAAATGGCGTTTGAAGCCGCATTTTTCGCCCTCCATGAGCTGTATCTCGTGGGTCAGAAGCCACCATTCTTCTTCCTCTGTGATCGTCATGTAGTCATACCCCCTCAACCCTTGAAAAGTGCCCATGCCGCTGTCTTGGAAAACTTCCAATTTTCTTTCTTGAAGAGGTTGAGTTCCAAGGCCCTCATGGAAGAAGACGGAATGTGCTTCTGTATTGACTGCAATATTATATCGACGCCTTATGGCGCGATCTTGCTCTTCTGCATCGGCTCGTGCCTCGCGCTTTTCTTGCCTCATGGCAGCATTTTCACCTCGGAAGGGTTTCCAGCTCGTGAAGGCCTTTTCAGCCTGGGATTCTGGAATTGGTTTCCGGTACTGTAAGCGCAGTAGATATTGATTGGAGAAGTCAGTATGAGGCAGTAGCTTCAGACACAGGCTACAGGCCCATCGCATCTGATTCCATTTCTCTTTATCTTCGAAACCTGGTTTGATATTATTGTCTTTGGCACGGAAAATGGGGGTCCCTCCTCCTGCCTCTCCGCATTCGAGTTGAAGTAACCTTTCGACAAAGTGGGTTCGCTTTGGTTGAATCACGGCACGAAACTTGGTGTTTGTTTGACTTGCAGATATGAGACCGATGGGGTCCAACGAGCTGAATATGAAGCCCAATATCTCTATGGGCAAGGATTCTAGACTTGCAGGCCGGTTCATGGTGAACTTCAGATGCGAAGCAGAGGGAAGTCACCGACAAGAGAGGGAAATCGAACGTCGTTGACTCAGAGGTCGTATTGCGGGTGGAGCCCCTAAGTGCATCCTGCTTGGCTCCGCTTGGCTACATCAGACATCCATGGATCCATAACAACCCTGAAATCCTCTCAACTCCCGAGGTCTGTACGGAGTAAATCCAGTGCCAGGTCTTATTCAGACGAATCGAACAAGCCAGCAGCCAAAATGAAAAGCACTAGCCATATCGAATAATAATTTCTTAACAAAACCGGAAAACATGCTTTCACGGTTGCTTGAGCGTGTTAGTCCTTCAGGGTTGTGAGGAGGCTCTGACTACCTTTACTGAAACACTTTTCGTTGGTATATTGAGAAGTTACAGGATAGCGTAGAGGAGGAATATATGACAAGTCGATTCACTATCAACAATCTTCCAGGAAGAGCAATGGAAACATTCAAATGTCCAGTTCGATATACTTCCCGGACAAACCTTGTTCCGACACGGAGAAAAAGTTGACGCAATCGCGAAAAGCCATGCTCAGCTTGGCCGACGATCCAGCTATGCGGTCTCCGAAGCTCTCAGCCCCCTCTGCCTCATTGCTGCGCTTCCTTAGATCACAGACCGGTGCTCCGACTGCCCCCAAAGTATGCGCTTATCCGAAGCGTCTTGCCGGCCGCGGTAAAGCCTTCTCGACAGGCCCGGACACATCGAGCTGGACGCGCCGCAATGGCCTGCGTGGCTCAGCGAGTATCGAAAATGGAATATGCATCAACACACAAGGGCGATTGAGCTCCCGGCCCGTCCTCTCGCCAGTGCCGACCCAGCTGACACTCACGCGTCATGCATCCACCAAAAGTCGACCATTACTTCGAAGGCTATTTGACTTGAAACGGGGCACTACCCCCGACTATCGGGACACGAGCGCCCCGGTTCCTGGATTCATGGATGAAGGGACGGAGGGAATGTTCAATATCGGCCGCAGTCTATCAGCCAAGGCGACCAACGAGCTACGAATCCGATGTACGGAGTTCGACATCAACGGTGATGTGACGCTTGTGAATGGAGAGTTCAGAAAGCAGGAACTCATTGCCAAGGTATGTAAATACATTGACTCTGTGTCAGCATATGCTCATGCATCTCTTGATTTAGTACGGCCTTCTTCCTCGAGATTTACGAAAGATCGATTCGTCGACCCTGCCTCATATCCTGATACGCCCGAGTGCCATCTTGATCAACCTTCTACACCTGCGAGTACTTATCAAAGCGGACCGAGTCCTTGTATTTGACGCCTACGGATCAACGGATTCATACATGCAATCGCTATTCATCTACGACCTCGAAGGAAAGCTGCGTCAGAGATCAATCCAGGGCGCCTCCCAGCCCAGCCAGTCACTGCCCTACGAGTTCCGTGCGCTGGAAGCCGTTCTCATCAGTGTGACGAGTGGACTGGAAGAGGAGTTCAATGGAGTGAGAGATCCGGTCGTGCGAGTCCTTCGTGCATTGGAAGAGGATATCGACCGTGACAAGCTCCGGCATCTTCTGATTTATTCTAAGAAGCTGGGTACATTCGAGCAAAAGGCTCGCCTGGTTCGAGACGCGATCGATGATCTGCTCGAAGCGGATGACGATTTGGCAGCCATGTATCTGTCGGAAAGATCCACTGGCAAAGAGCGGGAGGAGGACGACCACCAAGAAGTTGAAATGCTTCTGGAATCATACCATAAAGTCTGCGATGAGATCGTCCAGGCCAGTGGCAACCTGGTGACCAATATTCGCAACACCGAAGAAGTGTAAGTTTTCTTCCACTGTAAGGCCATGTCGAATGCCTCTAACAAAGCACAGAGTTAAAGCCATTCTCGACGCCAATCGCAACTCGCTCATGCTCATGGACCTGAAGTTCAGCATTGGAACACTCGGCCTCGGCGCAGGAACTCTGTTCTCTGCCCTGTACGGCATGAACTTGAAAAACTTCATCGAAGAATCAGACTTCGGCTTCGGCGGAGTCTCAATCACCTGTTTCGCTCTCACCGGTATTGTCTGCGTATACGGACTATTCAAATTACGCAAACTCCAACGTGTCCGCATGTGGGGTGAGGCAGGCGTGGGAGGCTCCTCTCTCGTTCCTCTCTCTCCAAAGCGCAGCGCGCGCAATGGAAACCGCAACAACTGGCGCGCTGATTCCATTGAGCCAGTCTGGGGTAGCCTGCCAGGCGAAAGCCGATCCGAGCGTATGAGACGCCTCCGGGAAAACGCCACTCAAGCTGCTCACCAGGCGGCGTCAAGAAACTTCAAGGCGACGCTCGCGAATTCTACTGCTGCTCTGCAGGCATCTGCTGCTGCTTCTACACAGGCGTCCTCTGCTGCTTCGGGTGGTGCTCGTGCCAACAGCAAACCACAAGGCAAGGAGACCGGTGCTCGTGAACATGTGAAGTCTGGCTCGAGTGAGTCTGCGTGATTAAACCCAATCACTGAGTCTTAACACCCACAACGTTGATTTCCGCAATGTTTGAACACATTGCTTGGCTTCAAATCCCCACACAACAGGCCCCCCGGGGGGACGAAGCGGTTTGTAACAATATTCTTGTACATTAGCACATTCCTCTATGCCCCACTCCACGATTGATGTTATTTAAGTGCAAATAGATTCGGAACGTCTCATACATTAATACACTCAGTTCATTCTGGTCATTGCATCATGTCACAGGTTATGACCCCCAGGGCTACCTTTTGGCCTATATCTTCAGGGCTGTACCTGCCTAGTAGGCCCCCTATCATAACATGCCCTACTCGATTCCTTCTACTCCCATCCGATTCTAATCAGTGCTTTTTGACTTTCACCGGGTCTACTTTTCGACTCTCTTTTTGTTTGCAGTGTCAGTCAGATAAGAATCAGCTCTGCGATTCCATCAACTCTCACGGCACGGTGATTTTCAAGGTTGTTTTCTGAGGTTCCAGTTTCAGCGACATCTGGATGGTCAATCAATCTTGAGTCAGCTATTGCAATTGAATCATGCTACATCACCATTGTCAGTTTTTCTGTCACCCGTATCTGTGCGGCGTGTTATCCGTCGACAGATCATGGATACAGTCCAATGTAGTCCCTGAGACCGAAATCATCTTTCATTCAAATCGCTCTGGGTTAATGAGGCTGAAACTGAAATAGGCATTGAGCTCCATTGGCTGCCCGTTACCTCAGGATTGAGCGAACACGGACAGAGACCATCACAAGTATCGAAGGTCTGATTGACCAACAAGTCCTACTTTACTCCTATATCCCAGCCAGCGGGCTACAGAGACTAGAAGTTGATCTGACTACTATACTGGGCAAGAAGCAAGAGAGGAGATTGCTCGTCTATCTCAGAGAGAGAAAGACGAATGAGAGAAAGGCGAAGAGAGGACAGTGTAAACTATCTTGGGAATAGGCAGGGTCACCTAACCGGGGTGTTCACAACAAAGATGAATCACTAACTAAGCGAAAATCACCTCATGTTACAAGCACATGCTCCCCCTATGAAATGTCACCTATGAAATATGGATCACCTGCCTAGAGATCTCTCCAGGGGCAGAAACGAGCAAAGTCGAATGAAGAATCACCCGAACAGCCTGGTTCATCTTTCGGCCTGACACAATTCTCAGGGAATGTGGCATTGTCTCACATTCGATATTATACGACATCGGATTGCCAGAAGACAGAATCATTGACAAATTAATACCCGCACGTTTGTCCTCCTGGAGCGGCTCACCTGGTGTCACATAGGGGCCTCTTCCTCCGGCCCAGAGAAAACCCGAAACCCGATCTTGATACTGAAGTTTAATGGCCGAGGGAAGATTATAAAAGAGAATCTGCAGAACGAAAAAAGAGATTCAATCAGCAAATAGCAGCTCTCTAAGAACCCAGATATCTTTTCCTCTCCTCGCTTTATACGCACATGGTTTGTTACTTACGGTGTGTCCTACTTTGACCTGGGCTTCACTTAGAGTTCAATGCAGTGATTGACAATATCCTCTAAAAGCGAGAGGGTTGAAGCAGTTGAAAGGCTGATATTAAATTTAGGAGAGACAGGTGACGGCAGCACAGATATCATGAGCTTATCCTCCGTTAGTCACCTTCGCTACTAGCCTCAAATCTACGCCCAGCGAGCAGTAAGGTGAAACAGCAGCGTGCCTGGTCAAGACTGCCAGGAAAAGACGAAGAGAACCCAAAGTGAACTAATATCTCCAGTGAGTGAAGACAATCTCATTATCACCCAGTAATAGCGGGCTTATTTTATGGGATAGACCTTCTTCTTTTCAAAATGGCTCTGACAAGTTCTAACACCATGTCGATTTTCTCACCCTGGCTCTTCTCATTGAGGATTACTGACTGGATAGACCAGCTGGGAAATGGAATGGCTTGATCCAGGTCCAATAAACTCTGCGAACCTTCCATATTCCGAAGCCTTCATCCGAATTGAGATGGTTCTATCTGAGTCTAGGTTCTAGGACTCAATCCCCGTGGAATTATTTGTTCTGGAGGAACACAACAGCGACTGGCCCGGCACGAATATATGATCATCCGCTGGCTCAAATTTCTCCTGGTGAAGAACTACAAGCCTTGCCTAGTTTCAGCGGATGCTTCTCAAGTCTGCGGTCTAATTTCCGGAGAGCCATGAGAGGCGCAGAACAGATATCTGGACTTCGTCCGAATCCGCAAACCATGGATACTGACAACAAGCTTGAAGACGACGAAGAGCTGAGCTTCCGCAGAGGCATGAAGCGACTTGCCAGAGACAAACTCAGTCGCGCCGACATCTTGTTCGGAACCCCCCCCCCCAGGCCCGTTCGTCCTAGGAACGTCCCTGGTTTATCACAGCCTGCACCCAACGGCTCTGTTTTTCGACGAGGCTGGGATGTACGAGTCAGATCTTCTCCTCATTATTGCCTGCTACTCCACCGGGGCTTTGAGATTCAGTGATCCTAAACAACTAGGTCCAACTGTCCTATCAGCAAGTGAGGAGAACATCTTCTACCGACTGGAGATGGGGGTTTCTTTGCTAACCCGCATGGTCATAAACGACATACGCGGGTATACACTGAAGCACAAGCACGGTCATGCTGGAAAACATCCACATGCTCTCGAACAAGTTGTTCTACGAGGGCCCCACGCGCTGGCAGAAGGGACAAGTTATTGACCCTGACGTATGGGTGTCTCGTGGGAGGTAACTTTGACACCAGGCATAGTGACGAGGATATAGACATGGATGATGGAGGAGCCATCATAAAAGGTTCTCGTGCTGGGGGGCGGCGCTCCGAAGACTCAACGAGCCCACTCCAAGACAGGATATTGCTTCCAGGGCTGGCGATCAGTTCACAGTGTTGGGAGCCGGGTGGCCGAGAAAGAGATTGACTACGAAAAGATCTGCAGGAGTAACACAGGTGTCTCATTTTCTGTCACTTTGTGACACATGCGTCCACGGCCGCTGTTAGGGCGAACACCGAAGCTACTGAGGGCAAAGCCATGCGATTGAACGACGAAACGGTCCAAACCAAACACATTGGCGAAATACCTGACGTCGCAGAAGCCGCCGATAACGACAATCCCATGGGCATGGCCGAAACGTCTGTCACGTCTACTGATTGCTCGGCATGCACTGATACAGACAAGGTGATGGATGCCGCAAGAAGAAGACCATGCCCAATTACACTGCTTGCCACGCTTATGCAGTGCCAACACAACTTTCTTCATTAATGTTTTCCGTTTTCCAGCGAAAACCCCGGCCGCGGTGAGGGCCTTTAGCCCAAACAACTATAGAATACAACAACTTTACGTGATTCCCCTTCTTCGCATAACATTCTAACGAATATTAAGCTATCTACCATTAGGCTAAAACCACCGTAAAATGATGTTTGGCCGTGATGCCCCTTCAAATCTCTTCTTGTTTGACCTCGGCACGGTATAGAATGCATCAGCAATGATCACAGCATCTGCGGCAACAATGACTATAACTAGTAGTTGGTATAATCAATAAGGCTGATGCTGGGTTTGGTTCGCATGGCGCAGAGTCTCTAGCCGGTCAATCCAGAGCTGAGCAGCTGCCTGGATTCCTCCATCCTGCAAACATTCACGTTCAACAACTTCCATGATCTTCAGACGCGCAGCAGTGAGTTCCTCATCTGTCACAGGTTCACCAGACTTTAGCCGATTACTGTTCTCGTTCCGTCCCCCGATCAGAGCCATATTGACCGCACCGGGTGTGCGAAGCCACGCCTTTTCCACGCCAAAGTCGATTTCCTCGGCAATAGAGGCTGTCTTCGCCGCAAGTGACCCAGCCATGGAGCTCTGGAACCCATTTTCAGTCTTTTCATTCATCTTAGCCGCCCGGAGAGCCCGCAGATCACCAGAGCAAGGCTGCGATATCCCATTGCACGAGTGTCCATGCAGACCAGGGGTGCTATCGCCATAGCCCTGCCCAGCGCCGCCAGGAGGGTACCGAAAATAGGAGCCCGCAAGTGAGCGAGAGCAGCACGGAACGACCATAAAAGGCAATGGCGAGCATGGGTTGGCCAACGCAGCCAGAATCGGTGTCCAAACAGTCAACTCGTCCGCATGGTCTGATATGATGAAGGTATTCTCGGGGAAAAGACCTGACTCTATCCCGATGTCGATCTCCAGCGGGCCAAGTATATCCAGAAAAGGCTTGGGAATGATGACTTTCTCGTGTAAACAGGATTGAATGCATGGAGGGAATGTGCTCCAGGACTTGCGACGAGATGCATCATAGCCCGAGCCTTCGTATCCTTCCATACGGAGCACGTAGACCAGAATCCCATTTCCACAGGCGATGTCCACAAACTTTGGAACTGTGGATTGAGACTCGTTCCCGCTTTCGGTTTTGTACATGCTCTTCCATAGCTCGATCAGACATGCGGCGAGCGAGAGCTGTTCGAGGACTTGGTTTGGAGATTCGAGTTGTTCGACCCAGTTTTTACGTAGATCAGCCTCGTATTGGAGTCTGAGGCGCTCATATTTCTCTTGGATTGAGGATGAGATTTTGCTCTTTTCGCTTTCGGAGTTCTCAATCCAGTCCAGACACACATTTCGGGAGGTGAATCGGCGCTCCATGGTGTTTTTCACGATTTCTTGGGGCACAAGCCTGAGGCAGCTTTGATGGCTTGATTTCTCAGGCCAGGTCAGGGGCCTTTGGATCTGATTCGGGATCCTCTAGTTCTAGTGAACATTGCTGCTTCACACAGTGTGAGAAAAGGCTAGTTTGACGTGCGTTTCTGGGCAGAATGCTATAGAGTGCCAAAGGCGGTAAATCTCGAACGATGCTTGGTTCAGGAACCCGTAACAGCAACGTCGAATTAGATCTCGAGGATGCAATGTGCGATGAGCATGTCATTCTATGTATTTGAATGTCATCTGAGACCAAATTGTATGACAAATGGGGGCAGCTCTGTCGAGGGCTATAGCCTATCACGGTTGCAGATATTCACACCCAGGCTCCAGCCATTCAAGGCTCAAGTCCAATCCTTGGAGATGCCAGTTAACCAGAATGCAACAAAATTTGACCAAAGAGATCTTGTACATGAATACACTGCTGTTGACCATACTATCCCAGGGCTGGCACATCTACGTCAACCCTCGCCGTAGATCCCGACACAGCAGTCATAGCTACGCAACTATCTAGATATCCGTCTACCAACGCAACTTGCAACCCATAAAACCTCGAGACTCAGTTCTGGAGAGAGCCATCCAGTCCAGCTACACCACCACATTAAGCAAAGCCAATGCCAACCCAGCACACCAACATGAAGTCAATCTACACGATTCTCTTTGGCCTGATCCTCGCATCTCAAACCCTCTCAGCCCCTACCGATCTCAATGAGCCTCCAACAGAGCCCGAGCTCCACGATCTCCAAGCAAACCACCCACTCTGGAACTTCGATCTCTTCCACAACAAACACTGCCGAGGGACGAGAATCAGCTATGCCGGACAAGGAACTTCGGGATGTCGCAGCAACATCGAAGTAGGGGGCGCCGAAGCCTTCATTGACGTGAATGTCAATTCCAAGTGCAGATTGGTGCTGTATAAGGATGCGAAATGCTCGCCCTGGGCGAAGATCGAGGAAGTTACGACCCGCATGAACAAGTGTAGGACGGTGCCGCACAAGAAGAGGGTTCATAGCTTTGAAATCGTGTGTGGAGCATAGGTTGCTTTTGATAATCGTTTCAATTGAATTTCAATAGTAGCTAGCCCAATACTACCTAGATGTACGGTGTGATACAGTATTACCTTTCCCAAATAATTGGTTTCCTCGCTTCTTGCTCCTTGCGTATTACTCACCTCTTGCCGCTTTGGTGGGAAAACCGATACACTGCCGGACTTATTGATACAGCGAAAGGCGACTGACGGAGAGCAACGAAAGAGCAGTTCAGAGGAAGCTGACCTTCCAAGCCCTCCAGGGCTGGAACGTGGACTGGGCAGTGGACCCGTGGATCCGAGATAAGCTTATCAATGACGCAAAAGCCCTGAACTCCACCGGGGCACCGGGGCAGGGACAACCGGTTTCTTTCTTCCACCCATTTTCTTTCCTTCATACTTACAGTATAGAGTACAGAGAGACAATATGCCACCCCGCTGCTTCATCATCCGCCACGGCGAAACCGAATGGTCCCTCAACGGCCGCCACACCGGCCAAACCGACCTGCCCCTCACTGCGAACGGCGAAAAGCGAATCAAAGCAACCGGCAAAGCCCTCGTCGGCAACGACAGACTTGTCGTGCCCAAAAAGCTAAGCCACATGTACAATCCCTTCCCACCCTCCTCTATCGCATTGCACTAACAAACTCAGCTACGTGTCCCCGCGCTCCCGCGCCCAGCGCACCCTCGAGCTCCTTGAAATCGGCTGCCGGGAAAGACTGCCCTGGAACGAGCAGCGAGACGCGGCCGAGGAGATTAGGACAGAGGCGAAGGTGGAGGTTACGGAGGCGGTGCGGGAGTGGGATTATGGGGATTATGAGGGATTGACGAGTAAGCAGATTCGGGAACAGAGGGCTGAGAGGGGGGAGGGGCCTTGGAATATTTGGACGGATGGATGTCCTGGTGGAGAGTATGTTTGCCATTATTCCTTGATTTTGATTTTGATTTCATTCTCTTTTTGCAATATCTGGCTATGATGCTGACGTGTGACAGATCCCCGGAAGATGTGGTTCGACGTCTGGATGCCTTGATTCAGGATATCCGGAATAAGTACCAGCAGCCCTGTTTTGAGGATCCGGAGGAAACGAAGGGTGATGTGCTTATTGTTGCGCATGGTCATATTCTGCGCGCTTTCGCGATGCGGTGGACTGGGAAGCCTTTGACGGAGACTTCGCTGATCCTCGAAGCGGGTGGAATTGGCACACTCAGGTATGAACCTTCTTCTCTCCTCTGTTTCCGTCAGATTTATGGGTGTCTTTGGTGCATCTGGCTAACAAAATGCAGTTACGAGCATCATAACATCGACGAACCGGCCATTATTTTGGGTGGACAGTTTGTGGTCGAGTAGTTTTGAACATATCTAGATTAGAAATTTAACAATCGCAAGATTATTTCAGTATACAAGAAACAAGAACTCACGGTAGATTCATGTCATTAATCCTCTTCGCTCTCCTCTTTGATTTCTTTCTCAGTCTCGGTCTCGGGCTCCTTTTTGTCCGCACATCCTTTCACGCCATCTTCGCCAAGGACCTTTGCAGAACCCATGAATAGCGCACCGACATACCCGCCCAGGAAGCGCATGTCGCCGGCCTGTACTGCTGTCATGCGGAGGAGGTTCTGCGTGTCTGCGAGGTTGGCGTTGAGCTGGGCGAGTTGTGCATGAAGGTGGGCATATTGACGTGTCTTTGCTGCGGACATGGAAGGCGTGGAGGCTTGGTAGGATGGAGTTGCGGGCGGATTGAAAGTGTGGGTTGCCGTTGTGTTATAGGTATTTCCGGGAAGCATTGAGGCGCGGGAGTACGTAGTGTTCGAGTCTTGACGACGATGAGACGGGAGAGGCGGCATTTTGCTTAAACTTATTGTGTCTGATCCGGGATTGTTTATGTCGTAGTAGAAGGTAATGAAGTGAAGGCGGTTCCAAGGTTGTTGATGTGGGCTATTGTTATGGTCACGTGGTGATAGTACAGACTCCGAGGTCCCGAAGTACAGAGCTGGGACTACAACCCTTGGAAAGGCTTTAAAGCTTAGGATTTTGAGAGAAAACAGTCTTGAAATAGTTAATGTGTGCATTTGACGGATATAAGTCTATCGATTCATTCCTTGAAGGATAAAGGTCTGTCCAGAGAGCGCATCCCGCACTCTTCATTAATACCCAGCAAAACGCGAACCCAGCAGATCAAGACAACCGAATAAATTGAACCCCCCGCTTCTTTTGGTATGCGCCAGAGACCAGATCACGAAATCAAGAACTGCTTGCATCAAGGTAGCCAGATGAGGCAATGAAAAAAAGGCGAGAATGAGAGGATCGCCTGAGAACGACTGATGATAAAACAAAGCGAAGACAGGTGACGTATACGAGTCCAGATGGAAAAGGAAAGGGAAAACAAAAAAAGGAATGCGCCGGCTCGGGTAGTGTACAGTCATGGAGAGATGAGAAGATGGGCAGATGAGTTGCCAACGACGCTGTATCGACATGCTGTAAAAATGGAAAGAGGAGATAGGAGATAGGAGAGTGAGAGAGAGAATGAGGATAGGTCCTTGGGCTCAGCGGGGGCCCCGTGGGAGATCGTTGATGCCACGAAACAAGATGAGTATCGATGCAGGGGGAAATCGCAGGAAAAGACAAACACGCACACCCATATCCCAGCCGCACTCCAGAGCAAAACAAGAAAGAGAAAAAACAGCAATGACGACCCCTATGTCCCTCATGTATATGTAAAAAAAAGCGAACAGCAGAGTATTAACCAGTGTCTCATTAGCAAGGGACTTGGAAATAATGTCCCAGTAGAATGACACGCCATGATGCAAAAAAAGGTCCAAACGTGACCTGTTTTCGGTGGACAGCATGGTCCAAACCCGAGGAAGAATGCAACGCCGAGAGAGAGAAGGAACTCAATCAAGGAAAACGCCGGTCAGTCAATTGGAGAACCCCAAGGGAAAGGAGGGCTCGTCCTTAGCGAACAGGGGCCGCGACGGCCTGGTTGCCCAGGCTGATCTGGCTGCTGTGAGAGGAGGGCTCGGAATCAAGATTGGCACTGGCTCCGCTATCACCACTCCCCGCGCTGGCACTCCCACTTCCGGTCAGATTCTGATTTCTAGGGGGACCTTTGGCCGGGAAGTTGCTCACCCCATAGTGTTGCTCAACTTGCTGCGGCCCTACCGCGTTTCCAGGTCCCTGAGGATACCGCGGTACTGGCGTTCGCATGTTTCCGGGCGGCGATGGCTGCCCATTATGAGGTACACCAGGGGGTCCCAGGTTTTGGTCTTGTGCAGTCGGGGGACGGCCCATCCGGGGTCCACCTGGACCAGGAGGCCCATGGGGTCCGTTGAAGGGAGTCGCGGGGGATTGGCTGTTTCGCCTACTTGTTGGGAAGGGTCGGGGTGGATAGTCTCCCATGTGGCTCGCTGTTAATGAGTTGGCGCGGGAATCCGCAGCCATCTGGTTTCGGTCAACGGCACCATATCTGTTGGAAGAGTAGCTCATCATAGGGTTGTCCATGAGTGAATCATGGAGACCGGGAATTTCTTGCATCACGCGATCACTCGCCCGCTTCCGACCAAAGTAGCGACCAAACGATGACGAAGGGCGGCTGCCGCCCGAGGGTGGGCCAGTGACAGAGAACTCGGGGTTCTTGCGGAGCTGGCTGTGGGTGGGACCCTTGCGTCCCCGGCGGGAAGTCATGCTCATCATGTCGACGCTGTCGGGATCGATGTGAGGAATGGCCATGCTGTCCATGGGGTCGAAGTAATCCTCATCTTCTTCATCGAATGAGGGTCCGGGACCGTGACCTGGGCCTGGACCGGGGCGGAAGGGGCCACGACGTCCTGGCCCAGGGGGGCCAGGGGGACCACGGCGCATGCCCATCTCCTGCTCACGGACCTGCAATTCACGTTGACGAAGGGCCAGCTCTCGCTCACGCAGGGCCAGATCGGACGCAGGGCCCGGTCCTCCTTCGGGATGCCCGTTGCCATTCGGGTGGGGCATACCGGGCTCTCCCTCTCCATCGTAGACAACCATATGGCTGAACTCCTCGAGTCCTTCCAATGATGTGTCGCGGGGGACTCCTTGATTGGCAGGCATCGGCATCGGTCCACCGGGGCCTCGTGGCATCATGCCGGGAGGCGGGCCTCGGCGGGGCGGGGGCATGCTCATCCCAGAGGGTGTGCGGCCTCCTCGCATCGATGGGGGACCGGGTGGGCCGGCAGGTGCACCGTTCATCATGGGTCGTTGGGAGGGCGCGGAAGACATGCGGGGGGGCGGTTGGCCGATCACAGATGAAGGTGGAGATTCCTGGCGGGGCTTATTCTGGTTCAGGATATTGGCGTGGTGCATCATTGCGTACATCGTCTCAATCCGGGGAACGCGGACGTTGGACTCGATTGCCAACTTGACTGGGGATCCCAAGAACGTCTCCACTTCCATCGGGCGCCGGGCCTGGAAGTCCTGGAACATTGTTGAGGGTGCGTCCGAAGCGGTCATTTTTTCGATCGTCTTTTCTCTGAAATCGTTGGGGAATGAGCAACCGAGTGAAGTGGCGAGTTCGACGAGCTCGTCGATGATTCCCGTCACTAATTGACGGACACCGGTCTTCTCGAGTAGTTGTGTGTGGTTTGCGGTTTCGAACACGACGCTGGCGGGGTGGAAGGCAATTGGGCTGCGACTGGTTAGCACCGCGGGTCTGGCGGATGTAGACATAGACAAGGACTCACCCGATCATCCGCTCAAACTGCTCCTGTCGGATGTTCTCCGACACCTTGCAATCGACCTGGCCGGAGTTCAAAGTCATTGCGAGCGCGGCCGCCATGTCGTTCTGGATGGATGTGGGGATAGAGGACGATTTGTTGGTTGCGCCCACATGAATTTCACTTGAGCTGAGGTGCTCAAATTCACTCGGGCCGGTCTGGGAGATTTCCACATTGGAAACGAGGGAGAGAATGACATTGGTTGGGTATCTTTGCTCCAGATGGGCCTCAATTCCAAGGGTATTGGTCGTGTTGACGAGGATGCAGGTGTGTTGAGGCGTGACCACGGATTCGATGACGGAGGCCAGATCGTACACATCGGGCAGGGCTTTTACGCAGAGAATGACATAGTCGTATGCGTTTTCGCGAGATGAGGCTTCTTCGGGAGCACGAACCACTAGATACCAGTCAGCCGGGGGTCTGGCCGCCCAAACTCGCATATCATACCATGTCGGGGTTTAAATCGTTCGTTGCCGAATGCTTTGGATCTGCGAGCGAGTTAGCCACCGGTGTATTACCCGCGTCTCCCGGACGTACTTGAATGAAACGCCGTATTGGGCCACAGCGTCGAAGCCGGATTTCCAGACCAGGGTCACATCGCAGGAGGTTGTCGCCTGCAGCCGCCACGAGAGAAAGGCAGAGATCGCATTGCCACCGACTGCACAGGCTTTTATTAGTCGGGCCATTATGGCAGATGGAGGTGAAGAACTGACCGGACAGAATGCGCAAACGGGGAGGAGGTGCCATGATTCAAATCTGGAAGGAACTTTGCCAGGCAAGAAGGGAGGCGAGACGCCCTATATCTGACTCCCAATGGATCCGATGCCGAGACCGAGAATACCGAGAATTAAGGGTGAGAGAAGGAGTGCAGGATGGAGAGGGGGAAAAAAAGAGAGAAGGAGAGTGTAATCAGAAAGAATGGGATCGAACGGAAGTTTAGAACGGGAGAGGGGGACTCTCCACGTATTCTTTTTCCGTGCACTTCGATTACGTTTAGAGAAAATGCAAAAAGAACGAGAGTGTGAAGAAGGAAAGGCTGCGATCGTATTTTTTTTTTCTTCTCCTTGATACTTCTCGTGGATCCCCGCCAGCCTCAATCCGGAAACGGACGATAAGCTGCCAACGGAACACTGGATGCGGTTATTTGCTTTGCTTTTTTTGCGATGTGATCTGTTGGCTGCACCGGGCATAATACTGCCTATTCTATAGTACTCCGTACTTCGTGAAGTACTACAGGACTCGGGAATCTGATCTCGATCCGATGGAGACGCTCCGTCCTCCGTCCTCCGTAGGACGGAGTAGACCTACACCAGATCCTTTCTATTCTATTTTCTCTACAGAGCATACTACTCCATACACAGTCAATGCTATTACCGTGCTGTACTTCAGAAATAATAGGATCCGTACTCCGTACTCCGTACTCGTATGTAGAAATCAGTTGAATACACTATTAATAGACCCAATACACCAACGGTAATGCAGTAATTTTGAAAAATGTATGGATCACAAACTTCAGGTCCACCGGCGATCGGCAGGCTTCGCCTTCTAGGCTCTCGAAGCTCGAAGCTCCTGTACTCACTTCCCTACCAGTACAGAGTGAAGAGTACATAGAATGTGAGTATTATGTGAGTAAAGCGCGAGTATTCCACTGCTCTCGCTTCTATCAGGACGCGTATGGCCGCGTCTCAGGACTCCGTCACCCACATCCACTCCGAGAACCCACCAGGAGCTGAGCTGGTACCTGTCACCTCGCATTAGCTCTAAAACTTTCCATCAGCCCTCGTGCGAGGATCTAAGTATGAGTATATCTCGAGACAGTCTCGCGTCGGAGTATACTTTAAGTCGTGACACACATCCAAGTACCGGTACCTGGATCGGTGCCTGTCGAGGTTCACAGGGGATACTATATCCCTGCTCTGGTTGACATTTGGGCCGATGGTTACCACTTGCAGCAACGGATCAGGGCTCTTTCCGACATTCCTGAGGCTTGGAAGGAATGTGATGTTCTGCCCAGAGGCACATCTCCCAGACGCGGGAGTCGACGCTCTATTATACCGACCTTTCCAGGCGGTACATGCTCTCCAGTGCTATTCCAAGGTAGTCTCCACGGCTAGTACGTATGTACCTCGCCAAACCCGGTTCCCAGATTGACGTCGACGAATTGGCTCAAGGGATGTCCGTGATCGGCCACGCGAATGCCTTGGAAGGGGCGGTGCTGGCAAACCCAGCATACCGTGATCGGCGCTCCGACGCTTGCAGGTTCTAGGGATTGCAGACCGAAAGCAATCTTGTCAATCTGATAGTATAAAAATAGGTCCCGGAATGCCGATGCCGATGCAGTGCGAAGGCAGTTGAAGATAAATGTGCTAGTATGCAGCGGTCGAGACCTAGAATATTCCGTGCTCCGTCCTCCGTGCTCCGTACGTTGATCAACGTTAAGCAGTGGAGACCGGAGCGCATCGTGCGAGTGGAGAGCGAGACTCGCGACTCCGTGAACCACGTTTGCGGAGACTGCAAACAGATCGTCGACATCAGACAATGTGCTTGTACCGGAATCGGATCCTGATACGAATTAATCTACTGTGCACACTAGAGCTGCAAGCCTTGTCCCACTGAAACCACTTAATCTCACAGCCCCAACAGCTTGCGAAAAACTCGGCCCCCAAGCCATTGGCCTATCATAATCGAGTTTGGTGCTATAGCTTGCGGACTACACTCTAGTCAACACAGAGGGTTCCAAGGTTGCGCGGCAAACCCCGGAGCAGAGTCTGCTGATACATACCTAATACTACTGTACTTGGCAGGAAAACACCCGAGACAGGGTTGGCTACCAACTACTCCGTACTAGCCTCGTTCTGCCTTGATTTGGGCTGCGCTACCCGAATGGTGGACTCAGCCACTTTTTTGGCTTTTGGGCTCTTCTCTTGGCATGTTATAATGTACAGAATATTATAATATCCATATGGATACTTATACTCATCGGGCTCAGGTTGCCTGTGGCCTCAGAACCCCGACAATACCGTTTTTCACTAGTATCCGTTACCCGTTAAGACGTTGGCAATTGGCAACTCTATTACTCCTTACTGTGATACTCTTAATTTCCTTGCCGTGTGCTTCAGCCTGACAGCTGTCCCCTAATGCATGATTGAGATGGAGTTTCAAGTGCAGCGGAAGCCCATGTGAATCTGAGTTCCGGGACTTTCTCGGCTCCAAGACTGACCTATAGCACCAGACCTCAATACAGGTATACATGAAACCAGTCAAATCATATCTACAGTATGCAAGCATGATGCGAACTCGAAACACCGCATGTCAGATTCGGACCATGACCACCTCGATATGCATGTTTCATAGCAGAAGCCACGAACCAGCGACTGGTGGACCTGGACCGGCAATTATGGCGAACCCCCCAGAGCGATCCGGAGATTAGATGGAGACGCTTTATCCACTCGGGCATACTTGGCAGGGTCGAATACTTGGCAGGGTCCCCGAGTCAACATTGGAGTCCGCGAGGTTCCTGTCAGATCTTCTCTACTCAACTGCGTTTGCTAAAGACTAGTCTTCGATTACGATGCACGGAGTTGTGGGCTAACCCATTCTTGGTTCCATTGCAGTTTGCAGTTACATAGAAAGTTTGGGCCTCACTGGGATGCCACGAGGGCAGTGGAAGCGCCCGGCGAAGAAAACATCAAACCCCAGAGCTATTGCGCCAGTAATATTGGAAAAAGAGGAAGGAAAAAGAAATATTTCGACGTTTTCACTCGCAGACGTCTAAGCCATGTAGGTGGTGGAGTCAACACCAGCCTCGGGGTACTCACTAGGGAGTGGGTTAGCCGGGGTCTAGGGACGAGACGGAGGAGCCAAGGGGGTACATACGGAAGGGCGACTTCAAAGCGCTTCTCAATCTCCTTGAGGACCTTCTCGTCATCCTCGTTGCTCACGAAGGAGATGGACAGACCCTTGGTACCGAAACGACCGGCACGACCGACACGGTGCAGGTACGAGTCGGCGTCAGCAGGCAGGTCGTAGTTGATGGCCAGGTTAATGCGCTCAATATCGATACCACGTCCGAAGACATCAGTGGCAACACAAATACGCTTGTTGAATTCCTTGAATTCCTTGTAACGTTTGATACTATGGTCAAGTCAGCAGGTTGCTCATACCGATTCAGCAGTCCAACATACCGCTCCTCCTGGCTAACACCGGAGTGCACTGCGATACTAGGGAAGTTGCACTCGCGCAGCAGCTTGTCGAGCTCGTTGGCGCGCTGGGTGCTCTTGACGAAAATGATGACTTGATTGAACTCAAGGTTGTCCAGGAGCTCGTTGAGCTTACGGTTCTTTTCCTTCTCGTCGAGCTTGATATAGTACTGCTGCAAGCCGTGGAGGGTAAGCTTGGTGTCGTCATCAACGTAGACCTCCAGTGGGTTACGCATGAACTTCTTGCAAATCGGGCGAATCTCCTGCGACAAGGTGGCGCTGAACATCATAACCTGCTTGTCGGCGGGGGTGGCACGGAAGATTTCTTGAACATCACGACGCATGTCTGGTAGAGATGTCAGTATAATGGTCCAGCGGTCCGCAGGGGAGGGGGTGCGTACCGATCTGGTCAAGCATCTTATCACACTCGTCGAGAACGAAGGCCTTGACGTTGCGGAGAGACAGCTTCTTGTCGCGAACCAGGGCGTTCAGGCGACCCGGGGTGGCAACCACAATGTTGGGGTAGGTCTCTTTGCTTGAAAGAGTCTCGACATCCTTCTGGATAGGAGTACCTCCGTAGAAGACCGCGGTCTTAACATCGGGCAGATACTTGGAGAAACGGGCGTACTCGTTCTTGATCTGGTAGGCCAGCTCACGGGTGTGACACATGACCAGGATTTGGCACTCGCCGGCAACGGGCTCCAGTTGGTGAAGAGTGGTAAGAACGAAGACAGCAGTCTTACCGAGACCGGACTTGGCCTGGCAAAGAACATCGACGTTCAGAATGGCAGTCGGAATGCAAACTTGCTGAACTGTTGAGAGGCGAGACCGATGTTAGATTTATTCGATGAAAGATAAAGCAAAAGAATATTCCGGCTCGCAAGGTCCGTCCATCCCCCGACAGCGCCAAATCAATATCGGGGAAGTCATCTCCCCCCGCCTCCACCGAACCACATGACGTATGTCATGATCAATTGAAGTTCACCTCGTTTCTGAACATCTCATTCTGCAGACAACATGAGGGTGGTCTTTGAGACAGAGAAAGGCGATAGAAAAACTATCATCCACCGAGTGCGCCAGTCATCACAAAAAGATGCGTGCTGGGCAATCGAAGCTTGGGCTTTGCGAAAACGCGTCACGGCACCAAGGTAAAGATCGGGGCCATGTGGTGCTCTCTTTCAAGAACGATGGTCCCCATGTCGTCTGCAGATTTGAAACGCGACTGATTGCCATATACCGACAGAATAATCTTCCCGCGAGGATGGACGGACGTTGGAGCTTGGAATAATGGAGGAACGCTTGTGGGAATAATGATTAGACTAACCCTCCGATGGATGTTCGAAGCCGCAGTCGGTAATGGCGCGCAGAAGTTCACCCTTCAGCAGGAAATCGCGGAAACCGGTGGAGTGGATGCCGACGTAGCTGCCCTTCTTGTCAGGACGGCCGCCGGAAACAGTCAAATCGCCCTCCTTATCGGCATCGCCATTGGTGGCAGCAGGTGCAGCGGTGGTGGTGGGGGCTGTCGTAGTCTGCAGCTCCTCGTCGGAGTAATCGATGAGATCTTCTTCGTTAGACATGTCGACGTAATTTGAAGGTTTTGCAACGAAGTAGATGGATTTTCAAAGAAGAGGTGGTGTACAAGGTGAAGAAAGAGGAAAAGAAACAATTCAATGGATGAGAGCGGACCGTGGGAATGTGATAGGTCACGTTGGCGGACAAAGGTGCAGGGAGAGGTGGTCCGGAGGCTACGAGGGATGGGACGAAAGGCTTAGAGTTAAAATCACGTGGGTTTCCGCTTTAAGTCTAGTGCGCGTTTAAATAGGGTAAGCGGTCTCGTGTAATTGGACGACATACTAGGGGGCGGTGGGGGAACTTCATGGCAAAAATGTAGACAACCTTTTATCTCATTCATTTCTGAGCATCAAACAGTCTAGCTGACAGCTGCTACCATCCTCTTAACATGCCGAAACCAAAAGGAGACAAGAAGCCTGGCAAAAAGGATGGCAAGAATACTCAAAGCCACATCCGAGCACGCATTGATTATCTACACCAAGCTGCAGTATATCTACAAGCGAAATCTTCAGCGCAACAGAGCCAGAACCAATCGCAAGCATTTGATGCACCTCACCAACAGCCATCACAAGGCCAGAGGCCCAACACAGCTGTCAAAAATGAGCCAGAAGACCAGCAGAGAATGCTCCTGCTCCCAAACAGTCAAAAGAAGCACGAAGAATCGCTGGACAATATCTCCAGGACTTGTGTGTCACATCTACGTGATGTAGCAATGAAAACCCAGATTCGACTGCCAGTCACACTAAAGCGCTCACTTTGTAAGCGCTGTGCTACACTCCTCACACCTGGAGTTACCTGCTCGCACGAGATCAGGAACGAAAGTCGCGGCGGCAAGAAACCATGGGCAGATGTATTAATCGTCCGTTGCCTGCCTTGCGGGGCTGAGAAGCGATTCCCACAGACTGAAAAACGGTCTAAGAAGCTTAAACAACGCCGCAAGGAGGGGACTACATTGCCGCTGGATGATTCGAGTTTCCCTCTAGCATCAGGTGGCTGATTGGCTTGGCCAGGCGCATACTCAAACAGCAGCCTGGAAAGTGCCTCTATTATCAGAACCTAACACTGGTTCGAGATTTGCGTTGCGTCTTACGCGATATCCTGTCTGGGATCGACCCATTATCCCAGCTCGCTAAAGCCCGGCCTTGGACACAAATCCAGTGGACTCAGCTCCACGTTGGAAACCATCCTTCTACCCAGGCCAATCGTTTACCATTGGAGCAACTCCTGGATGTCGAGGGCAGTTGTTACTACGAACCAGCTACTATCTACCGGGCTATATTCTGGAGGACTGGACTCAGCTCGACTTTCAAAGACAAGGAAATGTGGGTTGGATTGAAGTATCTGTCGAATTATACTGCAGGCCTTGCATGTTCACCATGAACATGGGCGGAGATCAACGCGGAAGAGAAAAGCCCAGGCAATGTACACACAACATGCAGAGAGGGGAATCGAAACAAGGGAATACAGTTCAAAGATCAAATCAAACAAGACGCTTCGGCGAGTCATGCCAACGCACTTGGTTGGGGTCACATTAAAGATCTTCGTGGCAGTCATTAATTCTCATGAATTCCAGAATCGGATAGGGGAATGCGTCAGCGTGCGCCGGTTCAACTCCGGCGTCGATCGATATACTGCAATTCCATCAAAGTCGGAAGCTCATTCAATGCGTCGGGCATTGAGTCTGGCCTTGATAGTGCCGCGAGGCGTGCAGTTCTTTCCGCCAATTGTTTTGTAAAGCAAATGACACAAGAGAATAAAACGTTAAGTATATGAACACCGTGACTTGCAGGCGATCAAGATGGAGTCCGTGAGGACACAGTCGGTATATAATTTTTTGTTTCTGTTTTTGAGGTTCTGTCGGCTTTGGTCGGTTGGGTTAGGGGTGTCGGGTCGTATGATGGGTAGGTTGTTCGATGTGACCATCCAGTAGTCATGAGTGCGAGTATTGATGAGATTGAAGGCGATTGTGCAGTTATAGGATGTGTCGGGATGTTCAGGAAGTGGGTCGGAGAGGGTACTATATGGAGCATATGGGGCTGTGTCATCGCCGGCGACGAGAACTCTGGTCAATGCGATGATCCAAATTCTCGATGCGGCCGCGAAACCCCTTCACGATGTCACGAATATGCGCGATCTTTGCCAATTCGTTATCCAAATCGTCGATGGAGGCCAAAATCTCACGGGTGCGGGCAATTTCGGCATCGGCATTGCGAATGACGTTTCCCGCACGGTCGTAGGTGTTTGCAATGGAGCGTTGCATTTGATCCTCGAGCTAGAGGACGTCGAGAACGTTTGATGTCAGTAATCGGGGACGTGGGGCGGTCTTGATATGGATCTTGCGGTCAACCAAGCGCGAGTGGGCAAAACGTACATATTCGATGCGGTGGCTGATCTGCGCCTGCAGGCCGTCGAGCTGGTGCGAGAGTGCGCGCAGACTCATCGGGTCCAGCATGAGACGGCCCTGGCTGCTGGCGGCACTGGTAGCGCGCGAGCTGGAGTTGCTTGTTCTCCCGGCGCCTCTGCCCCGGGCCACTCCATTGCCGGCATGGCCGCCCTGCAGGGCAATCTGCTGCTGCTGTCGGAGGATCTGGATCTCGGCGGAGGTCAGGCCAAGCGAAGTATCGGGAATCGAGGCTGCGGACATTTGGTCCCGGCAGAGACATGCTCCGACCGCGACAGTCTATGAAGCGCCGATCAAACTCGATGTGAGGCCGAACGGACCACAGGTCATGATGGAAGCGGAGAGGCAGATAGACTTTGCGCAGTCGGAGAATGCGACGGTGGAAAGAGTTGAGGAGAAAAGGGAAAATAGGCGGAGAAAGTAGGTGTGAGCCGCTGGAACTTTGGCGGCACCTGCAGCGCGCGGCTCAGAGACTCTGATACCCTACGTTCTCTGGATTTATATTGGTTTACAGCGCAGGCTTAGGCGGAAAGATGATCTCTCGGACCTCCCTAAGGAGGGGTTTTAAGCTATGACATTCAGGGAGTGGTTTCGTGTTTGGTATTTATTTTCTTTAGGTGAAAAAAGCAATATGAGGTACCTGGACATAGACTTCGTCGGATCGGGCCTTTCTTTATCCCACCAGCTCTTTTAAATAGATTGGGCGGATCGAGCTAACGATGCTGGGTGCTGCAGCTCTCTCGAAGAGGATGAGAGGCTCTGCGTGTAGGATTGTGAGCAGATACTAGAGACGAACAGAGCCTAATAACCTGTAATAGAATCCATGAATGTCGATACATATATAAGTGTAGTGAAAATACTGATCGTGTACATAGCGAATACAGAGACGATCTAAATCCCCGTACCATGGAACTCAACTCCACTCTGCGTTAGCCAAATTTCAACTTCAACCTCAATTCTACCCAATTGCCCAACAGCCCGACGCTTTGACGCTTTGCTCCTTGATTTCACGTGCGAGCCCAGACAGATACCCAACCTACGATCCAAGCCTTTGATTCGACACTTCACGCGCATCCGGGCACTTAGCTCCCGCACCAATAATTCCGACGCAATGGCCAAGGACAAGGAGCGATCCGTCAACCCTGCCGCAGCGCAGCGAAAACAAGACAAACAAAAAGAGCTGAAGAAAGGCAAAGCCGAGGCCCAGGCCCGACGAAACGAAAAACTCGCGCGCCGGAATCCAGACCGCATCCAGCGCCAAATCAACGACCTGAAGGGAGCGGAAGAAGCTGGCCAAAAGCTTCGCCCACGCGACAAGGAGATTCTCGAAGCGCTCGAAAAGGATCTCCGTGGTGTGCTGAAGGCGCGCGAAGCTCTGGGCGAAAAAGCTCCGCGTTTCGATCACAGAAACCAGGGTCATGGTCAGGGTCAGGGTCAGAGCAGGTGGGGTGAGGGCGTGCTAGGGAAGCGGCAACGAGGCTCAGATGACACACGGATGCCTCGCGACAGCGAAAGCAGCGATACAGACGAGGATGTGCGACGCATACCCATGCCGCGCGATACGCCACCGCCACTGCCACACCGGAAACAGGCACGGGGACCGTCAGATGGGCGTGGACCGCACCCGCTACCATCCCGGCCAACACCGGTCGTGGAGGCCAAGACGGTTTACGAGGCGAAGCCTGAGATTCGGAATCTACGACAGGAGGCTACGAACAAGTTCATTCCAGCAGCAGTCAGGATGAAACAGCAATCAATTAGGGGCCAAGGGAAATTGTTGGAGCCAGAGGAGATGGATAGGCTAGAAAAAGCCGGTTATAATGCTGGTCCTGAGGTACGGGCTGGTGAACAGTCATTGGAAGAGGAAGAGGAGCGATTTAACAAGGAGCTTCGGTCTGTTCAGATGGAGGAAGTTGAGGATGAACAGGCATGGGCCTAGTTTTGAGTTACTTAATGAAGATTTATCCAAATTCCAACCTTGCGAGGTTGAGATTGACGTGTTTGCCTCAACTTTAGTGCGAAGGTGCTGGTTGTATATTCACACATGGTACCTAGGTAGTACATTGCGGTCGCCGTAAAGCGAGGACCTACCCCAACTATCTCTACATACAATGCGTAGTGAAAACCTTGGAACTTTGGAATTGAAAATCGAAAATTGAAACTCAAGTGCTATGCTGAAGTGACATACATATTGATGGGTACCAGGCTCAACATTGCAGCAACTCCCGAACGCGTGATGTGAAACCTTGAGATCACCACAGACATGCGAAAGACGGAACGGGCACCACAACCTTGAACCCTCAATGACTGGGAACCAAAAGAGAGCGGCAAAGACTTATCAACCATAGCAACGAAGCGCACTTGCCGAGGCAAAGTACGATGCGGAAGTAATTAACCATCCGAAGCGGAAGCACGAAATCAACAGTAAGTGCATGGATAATGCAAATAAATGTACAGAGAAACTAATCATCTGCCTTCTTGGAAGGAAAAGGGCGTTAGGGCGTAACAACAAAAGAAATAGTAAAGAGTCAAGTCGGATCGGCGATTTAGCCAACGAAGGCAAAGCCAGAGGGCAGGTGTATCAAACTCCGAGTCTTGCGTAGCAAGAAAATGCACCCAAAACACAATTAGAAGCCAACTCCGCGACATAGTAGGAAAGTATGCTCAAGAAGAGAAAAAAGCAGGAAATGAGAGGTACTCGGGAACGTCGAGACCAAATCCAGATTCAAAAAGAGGGCTTCAGCCGAAGACCCAACTCCAATCGCGCCAGAGATCCAGAACACCAGAAACATGAGAAGAGGTAACGAAACTGTAGTCGGAAGGGAAAATCAAGAGATTACCGCAGGTTGCGGATAACCTTCTTGCCGCGAGCAAGGAATGGACTGGGCATGTCATCCATTTCAGGGTTCCAAATAGCAGGAGGCTCCCGATCAGAGCACTTCATGCTCATGGTAGGGCCGTTGGCGCGAGACTCACTGGCGCAGCGCTTGACCTCGTCCATTGAACGTCCACCGGCTCTCGCCTGAGCGAGTTCGACCAGGGTGCGACCGCCCATGTTACGCTGCATGACAGCTTTGAACATCTCGTCACCACCGCCATTGGCCTTGGTGGGGGATTGCTGCTTGGTACTGTTCTTGCGAGTTGGCGAGCCACCAGCATCGGCAGCCAGGTTCGCAGACGAGGGAATTTTGGTGAGACGGCGGTGGGGAGACTTGGCTCTACCCTCACTCATGGCGTGGTCTTCGGACTGGGATGCAGACTGGCTGGTCGACTGTGGAAGGCGGGTACCAGCCGATGGGAACAGGGATGGTTGCGAGCTGAGCTTTTGCATGAAAGCAGCGGTGTTTTGGCGCAATAGTGGACGACGAGGCGCTTTCAATGGGTCAGGCTTGACCTTGGGACGGGTTGGCGATGGCAAGTCGGGGGTATCGTCCTCATCATCAGAATAAGCCAGCGTCGGTTCCCATTTGGCTTTGTTGCGTTCGGCCTCTGCAAAGATGTTGCGAGCGCCACCTTGGCCGGAGGTACGGCGCGGAGAAAGTGAAAGCGACGCGATAGAGATAGGAGAAGGCTCTGCCATCTGCACATCTACGGGGGAGTCCACGACGGTCTTTGAGCGACAGAAAGGAGTACGGTTCTCTTTCTTGGGTTGTTTCCGTTTGTTGGATGGAGGGGACCCAAGTGAAACCTGGCTGACATCGGTCGATGACGGGGTATCACTATCATCAGTCATGTTGGTGGAGGACTTGGATGACCGCCATCCCTGCATGCTGGAACGAGAGGAGCTGGTGCCCTGAGTGCTGGTGCGGAACACATCGTCGTGGGAGTTGTTCTTTGCGCTCGAGTTGTTCTTGTATTTCTTTACCTCAATGGCAACTCGCTCTCCAACCTCGGATTCGAAACGCTTGCGCAGTCGGTCGAGCTCACCCGTGACTTGACGGTCGATTTCCAAGCGAGCCTTAACCTCCCATTCCCGTCGGACGGTGTTTTCAATCTCTGCCCTGATTTGCGCCTTTTCGGTTTCTCTTTTGGCCAAAGATTGTTCCATTTCCCGAACCTTTTGAACTGCGACCTCCTCGCGTCGACGCAGGGTTTTGCCGAGGTCGACCACTTCCTTCTCCTTGCGCATCAAACGGATAATGGGAAGGTTGATCAAGCTGGCCGTATCAGGGCGGTGATCGGGATTGACACGCAAACAGCTGCCGATAACGTTCTTGAGTTCGGGCGAGTAATAATCAGGCAAGGGGGCGAACTTGCCCTCGCGTATCTTCTGGACTAGCTGGATGTGCGTACGAGCGTTGAAAGGGGGCTCCTTCTGGCACAATTCGTACATGATACAGCCGACCGCCCAAATGTCGGAACGCAAGGTGTATTTCTCGGCGGCGCAGATCTCAGGCGACATGTAGAATGGGGTGCCGACATAGGTTGATGCGAAATCATGGGATTGCATCTGCTTGGAAAGGCCGAAATCGCCAAGCTTGACAGTGTTGTCGCTGCCGAGGAAAATGTTCTCGGGCTTCAAGTCGCGGTGTAGGATAGTGACTTGTCCCTGTTTGCCCTTCAGACCAGAGGCCTTGGGGGCTGGGCCCAAAATGTTTGAGCCAACTTCGGCTGGATCCGACCCGTAGTGACACCGGAACAAAGCAGTGACCAGCTGGGAGAGGATGCGCCAAACAAATTCCTCTTCGGCATACTTGTTCGCCTTCTTGAGGTTCTTGATCACCATTCCCAAATCTCCACCACCACAGTACTCCATGTACAAGTACAGGTCTTGGCTCGCCTTCAGATGCTCTCGGTGGTAGTATGCGACAATATTGGGGTGACGAAGAGAACTGAGAATGTTGAACTCAGCAGTAAGCTGTTCGCGCTCCTTTTGTGACATCTTGATGTAGTTGATTTCTTTGCGGCATAGGATCTATATCATGTTGAGTTAGCACAGGCTTGGGGGTCTGCCCACCCCATGACCACACTTACGAAGCCATCGGTCTTGCGCTTGACTTTCCGAATGATTCCAAAGGAACCACAGCCTATGAGCAGAGAAATATTCAGTAATGTATTCACAGAAAGACGAGTTCATCACACTGCGAGCATACCAATCTTGTCTAAGATCTCATACTTGTCGGCCTCAGCCAAAGCAATCGCCATGGCTATAGAGTGAAAGGTGGACAGGAAGAGACAATGTAGGACAGTCAATGATGCATGAACGGGTCGAAGAGGTCAGGTCCTGTGGTTAGTAGAGTGGGAATTGGAGGATTGCAGATTAAAGATTAAAGGGAAAAGTAGGCCATATGAATGGAATTGAAGATGGGTGTTTGGCCGACTGGTTGCTATGCAACCGCGGTTATGGCGCTTTACTCCGCACAGCAGGCGGTCTCGGTGATTTACAGGCAGTACATTGCATGACGTTTGCTGTACATATCATATTGCTTCCTTCCGTCCCAATGGTGTAGCTACAGTGGAGTCGTCGTGGGAGTTGTTTTCAAAAAATCTAGATATGTCAGTTGCCCTAATTCCACCACCACGAAGTACTACCACCACATGTACCCCCCGACCTCTCTCGGCCAGTGTCACCTGACCTTATCGATAAGCGGCCCTTACCTCCCCGCCGTTGGTATCCCACTTCACGCCGTCGGCAACCTGCATGATGGCGGATGAACCGACAGTTTTGCGGAAAGACCAGCTGGAAATCAGCTTGGTCGAGGAGAAGAAATTGATCAAAGATGGAACCATCAAGGATGACAATCCTCTGGATCTCAGTGAGCCATTCCGGGAACTATGCAATGCATGTCGTCAGGGCGATTTGAAAGTCTGTCAAGAGAAGATCTCTGAAGGCGTAAATGTCAATGCCCGTGATCCTTATGATTACACGCCATTGATCCTAGTGAGTACAGAATAAAAGCTGAGCGTGCCAAGTCCTATCACAACATATAATAACCAACACCCGAAAGGCGAGTCTGTGCGGACATTATGAAACTGCCCAGCTGCTACTCGAGTCCGGTGCGTTGTGTGAGCGAGACACTTTCCAGGGTGAAAGGTGAATTGCGGTCCGATATAACCATGGAATCAGCCCAGCTAATTCGAAGCCTGTTAGATGTCTCTACAATGCTTTAAATGACCGCATCCGAAACCTCCTCCTCGAATATGATTACTCCAAATCAACAGACCCCTTGCAACCACTCGCTGCCCATATCACGTCGCTGCTGGTGCGAGAGTCGCCAGTCACTGCCGATATCGTTGTAACGGCCTCCGACCAATCGCTCCATCTCCACAAGTTCATCCTCGCGGCCCGCTCCCCATACTTCCGTGCCAAACTGGCAGCGGCTCCGGAATCTGCAACATGGAAGCTTCCCAGCACAATTCCACCCGAAGCATTTGGTGCTGCAATCAAGTATCTTTACTTTGGAGAAGCTCCTCGGGACCTGAGGAGTGGGCCAGGGACAGGATTTACTGAATCCGAGACCTTCGCCGGAGTGGACCGAATCTCCAAATACCTGGATATCCCCAGCCTTCCAGATAGCATCCTCGAAAGTGGAGATAGAAGGCGCGCCCGACAACGAAGAAATGACGAGATCTCCAAGGGCAGAGACCAGATGGATCAATGGTTCCAGGAGAATGTCCTGGGTCATAAGATGGTGGTGGAGACCTCAAAGGCGAACGAAATCCAATGGAGCCGAAATAATGCAATCTTCGCCGATGTCCTTCTACGAGCGGATGATCTGCCCGACGAAGAAGATATCGCAACCGGTGCTGCGCCCGCCGAAGGGCCAAAATCCACCATCTTCCCATGCCACCGCGCGATGCTGCTACGCTCTGAATTTTTCCAGACCATGTTTTCATCTACCTTCCGCGAAGCATATGTCAAAGATCAGCTCACGATTATTGACGTTGACTGCTCACCCGAAGTTTTGGAAATCGTTCTGGCGTTCTTGTATACTGAAAAGGCCGATTTCCCCTTGGAGGTCGCCGTCGACGTCCTTTTCGCGGCTGACATGCTGTTCATCGAGAAGTTGAAGACAAAAGCAGCCGTGGTCATCAGTACCCTCGGTAGTGCCGGAATGTCTCAAGCGGAGGCCGCGAAAACCCGCGGCACAACGGACGAAGACGACATTGATATCTACTCGATTGTCCGGGCTGCGTGGTTGACACGCGTGCAGCGACTGGAAGAATTCGCCGCTCGCTATCTGGCATATCGTCTTGAGGCCCATATAGATACGCTCGAGTTCGCAGAGCTGATTCAGGAATCAGCGTCTCGTATCAAAGCGAGACAGGAAACTGACTCCATTGAAATGCTGGACGATATTCGTTTCTACCTTGGCGAGCGCTTTAGACTGCGTTTCGATGAGGCGGGCCTCGATGAGATGATGGAGGAAGATGTACAGTCGCATGAGGATGATACGGATGAAGAGGAAGCTGATAACAAGCTCACGGAGGGCGTCGCCGCTTTAGATGTCTCTAAGGGGACCTCAGATCCTGAAGTCGAGGCCCCGCAAGAGCAGGGACCAGAGATCCGGGCTCTAGATGGCGCGCTCGTTGTGGATGAATTCTCAGAAGATGCCTTGAACTATGAGATTCTTCTTGAGAAGCTAGACGATCTCTTGGAGAGGCTCAACCTTGAGGCTTAGAGGGTTGGGCACTCCCATGGCCCTTTTCGATTGGAAGTCATGTGCTTTCACATCCTGATAGAAAGGATTATCTCCACTTTATATACAAGGTACATATACATTATATGAGACAAGACAAAATACACAGACGCTTTCATGATATGTGTCTAGAATTGAGCCTTTCAAGTGCCAGCCAGCTGGCAGGATTCCCAGCTCATAACAGCTGTGTTGGATACTCCACCACCATTGGCAATTGGCGTAGGCGACAGTGGTGAATGCCGCCGGTTCGGAGTAATGCGGGCTTTATGTGACGTCCATCTCTCGTCGGATGTGTCCGCCGGGCCCGGGGTTCGAGCGAATTAAATCGTTATGTTCTACCCAGAGGGGTATCCCGGGTATACAAACACAAGTCGGTCTGAGCCATATGTAGGTGGATCATCCAGCGGTTCGTTGTGATCAAACGTCTGCATTGCGCTGCGCCGTTGGGCAGTGAATGCGCTACTCATCGGCCTCCCTGCTGCTGCTCTTTGTCGTCCTTGCCGATTCCTTTCTGTTGCTTTTCGAGCAGCCTTGCGTCCAAATCTTGTATTTGGTTCTCGAGAATGCCTCTGCGGGCGACAAGGTTTGATCGCATACCCTGGAGGGCCTTGAATTGGTCATCGAAAGTCGATTCTTCTTGCTTCTTCTTCGTCTGAAAGGAACATAGCTTAGTTATGCTTCCGCAAATGAAAGGGTGTACACGGATAGCTCCGGTTGGGATGCATTGGTTCATACCTGGGCGATTTCCTCATTGGTCTTCAGACCAGCGCCATAAAGGGTGCCTGTGATAGTGATAGAGACGACCGCAGCCGTCAATACCATTCGCTTGACATTTGGAGGCATGGTGAATGATGTACGAGAGAAAGCTGATCGCTCGCAATCAATTTGCCGCAAAGTAGCCCCACCGCCTACCTGAATTAGACTTAGTATTGATCACCGCTCACGCGTTTCTCGCGTTTGCTGCGAACAAAGAACGTCTCGACAAAGCGAGTCCTTTTACGTCTCATGACTTCTCCTTAGCAACACACGCAAGATCCATCATGGAATCGCCAAATTCATCGCGTCGACGACCCCGCAACGAAGAGGAAGACGATGCAGAGCCCGGACCAACTGCCACCTCGCGCGCCTCAAGTGCCAAACGCCCCCGCCTGAACCCCGCGGACAGTGACCATGAGGCTGCCGAAGGTGAAAGAAACGGAAACCAGAGCGCTGAAGATGATAACTCTGAAGACCAAGCCGCTGAAAGCGAAGGTTACGAGGACGAGAGCGATGCTGAAAGCGACGGATCTGGAACCTCACAAACGATCGCCAATCCACCCCAAGTTGCACCACACGATGGCCTCGGTCCTGGTGGCTACAAGCCAGGTGCCATCGTTCGCATCAAAGTCACGAACTTTGTCACCTACACGTCGGCGGAGTTTTTCCCAGGCCCGAAGCTGAACATGGTGATTGGACCTAATGGCACGGGTAAAAGCACTCTGGTTTGCGCAATCTGTCTTGGTCTTGGATGGGGACCACAGGTAAGAGGATGAATGAAACAAGATGAAATATTTTACTGATACACCTACTTTTCAGCATCTGGGGCGCGCCAAAGATCTAGGCGAGTTTGTTAAACACGGCAACAAAGAAGCCATCATCGAGATCGAACTATGCGGACCACCCAAAATGGGTCATAACCCTGTCATCCAACGAACAATCAAGCGTGATGGCAACAAAAGCTCTTTCTTGGTTGATGGTCAAACCGCCTCCAAGAATGAGGTACTGAAACTAGCCCAGTCGTTTGCCATTCAGGTCGACAATTTGTGCCAGTTTTTGCCCCAGGACAAAGTCGCTGAGTTTGCTGCACTGACTCCGGTCGACCTTCTTTACTCCACCCAAAGGGCGGCAGCTGGCCCCGAGATGCTCGGTTGGCACGATGCCCTGAAGAGCCTCAGAAGCAAGCAGAAGAAGTTGGAGATTGACCACGGGGGCGACAAGGACACCCTCACGAATCTGGAGAATCGCCAAGAAATGCAGCGAGCAGACGTTGAGCGTATGCGCGAACGTGCTGAAATCGAGAAAAGGATCAAGATTCTCAAACAATGTCGACCTGTGGTGGCATTCAAAGAGTATTGGGAATCCTTAACAGCTTTGAAGGAAGAAAGAAATAAGCTGAAGGAAGAGCACGAACAGGCAAAGGCAGCCTGTGAGCCAATGATGCGTGCAGTCAACGCCAAAGTTGATTATATCGAAGAGCTGAACGGAGCTAAAGATGATCGCAAGGATGCCGTTGACGAGGCCTCAAAGATCGCCTCTGCAAAGAATAGGCTGATTGAACAGCTGGACGCGAAGCTCAAGAATATCGATGGTGAAATTGAAGCCGAGAGAAAGGGCGGCCAAAAACACAGGACCGAGGCGCTTCAGGCGAAACAAACCATTAACAAACTAGAACGCCAGTTGAACGAGGAGGCCGTTGAGTTTGACCCGGAATCTTTCAACGAGACTTTGGTAAGAGATACTTTCTTACTTTGTTTGCCATATAACATCCTTGTTAACGATCGCACCAGAGGGAGAAAAGACTTCAGAGGCGTGAGCTTGAGGCGAAAGCTGTGGAGCTTAAGGACAAACGCACTCCTATCATGGAAGAACAGAAACAAGTGCACACAGAGATCCAAAAAGCTGAGCGCCAGTTGGCCAATCTAGACTCGGCAGCCGGTCAACAAGAGATCAAGCTTGAGCAAATATCCAGAGATTCGGCCACAGCCTATAAATGGCTTCTTGAGAATCAGAACAAGTTTGAGCAAGAAGTCTTTGGCCCCCCAATTGTGACATGCTCAGTCACTGATCCCAAGTTTGCCGATGCCGTCGAGTCTCTGTTTCAAAAGACAGACTATCTCTGCTTCACTGCGCAAAACCGGAACGACTTCAAAACCCTGCAACGAGAGCTGAACGGCAACATGAGACTCCACGATGTCACCTTCCGGACCTGCTCGTTTCCACTTGACCAGATGAGGCCTCCATTGACAGACGCTCAACTTCGGGAATCGGGCTTCGATGGTTGGGCAAGAGACTTTCTTAGTGGGCCCGATCCCGTCATTGCCATGCTGTGCAGCGAGAAGGGCTTGCACGCGACTCCCGTCGGAACCAAAGATGTTTCTGACGCGGTGTTCAACAGGCTGCAGAACAGTTCGTTGAGCACTTGGGTATCTGGCAGGACAATGTACCAAATCACCCGACGCAAAGAATACGGACCTGGTGCCACATCGACTCGGGTTCGAGACCTGAAGCGTGCACAAGTTTGGACCTCACAGCCCGTTGACCAGACCCTCAAGCGTCAATATCAAGAGAGCATCGATCAATTGAAACAGAAGTTTGCCGATCTCCGCACGAAGCTTGACTCGGAAAGGACCATAGGCCAGAGGCTACGTGAAGAATTGGAGCAGATCGATAAGGAAATGGTATCTTATTTGCGCTTTCCCGGCTATCGTTCACTTACTGACTCCTGCAGAAATCAATCGAGCGAGAAAAGGATGCAAGACAAACGGCGCATACAGAATATCGGGCGATTCCGAATAAGATTGGTATGTTCTTTGGTCATTCGTCTGTACTATATTGTTTTCTGACGGTTTGCAGCTCTACAACAATCCAAGGTTGATGCTCTCAAATCCATTTTTGACGGCATGCGGGAGAGAGTTCGGAATCTTCGCATTCGGCAAGACGCCATTGCAATTGAAAAGGCTGAAGCCACTGTGCAATACGCAGTAAGTTCTGCTCCATTGGAAATTACATGGTCCCGACTAACAGCTTCAAGGATGCTGTCGAGATATTCCGCCAGGCGTATGAAGAGTTGATGAAGATTCAAGTCCATTTCTTGGAGGCCAACTCTGATTTGCAGACCCTTCGGCGACGGAATTCCGAAAGCTCAAGGGTGATGGAGGAGAAGAGAGAAAAGCTTCAACGCGCTGTGATCGCTTTCAGAGAGCTCACGGTCAAAGCCAGAGCGGCCAAGACAGAGGCCTCGCGGATCATGGATGAGGTAGGCAAGCTGCCCGGCGGAAATGAGATTCTCCTAAGCCTCGAAAACCACGATATCGCCCAGCTCGAGGCTGAGATTGAATCGTCCGTGGCCCGACTCCAATTCACCCTCGGTGGCAGTGAGCACATGATCAAGGAATTCGAAGCCCGCGAAAAAGCCATTGAGAAGCTGCGGTCCAAACTCACCGACTTCCAGGCTCAACTGGGGGAGATGAGCGTTGCCATCGACGAGATCCGCAAGAATTGGGAGCCCCGACTAGAGGCACTCATCGAAAAGATCAGCGATGCCTTCTCTGATTCCTTCCGACGGATTGGATGCGCCGGCCAGGTCACCTTGGGCAAAGCCGAAAGCGAGGCTGGTCCGAATGGCGAACCGGGCGTCAGTGAATTCGCCGAATGGTCCATTGTCATCCATGTCGCCTTCCGCCAGGACGCCCCCCTCTCGGTCTTGAACGCCCATCGCCAATCCGGTGGCGAGCGCGCCGTGAGTACGATCTTCTACCTGATGGCGCTGCAGTCGCTCTCCGCCTCGCCCTTCCGCGTGGTCGATGAGATCAACCAGGGTATGGACCCACGTAATGAGCGCATGGTTCACGGACGTCTGGTCGACATTGCGTGTGCCTCCAGCGAACCGGACGAAGTTGACCACCGCGGCAACCCGATCGGTGGGGGCGGGGGCGGCCAATACTTCCTGATCACCCCTAAGTTGCTGAATGGACTCGCTTACAAGCGGGGCATGCGTGTGCTTTGCATTTACAGCGGTGAGCACATGCCCCAAGATTATGGCAAGATCAATTTCAAGGAGGCGATTCGGAAGATGGCCGCGCTCACTGGTAAGGAGGCTGGTATTCCCATTCATGGGAAACAAGGGAATACCCCTGTCTATGTGTGAACAGGTTGGATTTCCTGATTTCTCGATTCCTGTCGATATTCAGTATTTTCTTTTTCTGGATTTCTTTTTCTGGTTTTTTTCTTTTTTCCCCCCTTCTCTTTGATGTTCGTCCCCTCGATACCCATTTCGGCCGGATTTCGGCCGGTAGCGGCGTTCCCCTTGATTGCCTACGAAACACCAACGCCTACAGAATACAGTACATCATGAAGTTCTTTTCTCTGTACTGTAGAACATCTTCCAGAATATATAGTTAAACCTTATACACAGTATCGTAGTCGATCACTGAAGGCTCGCGAAGATCCCGAGTCACGACCTGCCCAACTGGGTACGAGAAACTGCGGCTCCATATGCATGATCGGCCTCTCCGTGTCTGTGCTTCGGTAGTTAGGATTTGAGATCCACACAGAGTTTGGAGGCTGGGAGTTGATGATATCATATGATTCCTTCGCTTAGGACAAAGGAAAAAGAAATAAAGAACAACAAAGAATAACAAAAGAAACACGGAGTAGAACATGGAAAATAGAACAGCCAAAAAAGAAAAGAAAAGAATAGGTCAGATCGACGGGTGCAGATCATCGGAGGATTGAAGGCCAATGGCCACCCTCTCGCTAAGACCAACTCTAAATCGTCTGGCTTTTGGGGCGCCGGGGCCTGTCCGAACCCATTGGCCTATATTCTACGGGTTCTGTCGGGCTTTGACCATTTACATGCGTCTTTTTCTGAACTTTGAGTATCTGTCCATTTATAGGTTTTCCATCGTTTGCTGTTTAAATCGCCGGTGTCTAAGTCGGCCCCGTCCGCCTGCCAGATGTCATACCTAATTTTGAGTGAGTCCCTACTAGGTATGTCGCGTGCAGTCTACAGGTGCGATATACTAGTATCGGATCCATCCATGGATGGGTAGACCCGTAGTGCATTGGAGTAGCGATACATGTCTCATGCGGGCTGGCACGGCCCCCAGCGCACAGGTCACCATAAACGGCCCCCAAACGTGGGGTCTCATAAAGCATAGCTCTCGTATATACTTTGGCGATCCCGTCGTACGAAAGTCACACAATCTCGGTTACAGGGGCAGTTGAGATCTGGGCCTGACTGGTCTTTGGCATTACGTGGGACATTGCGCTACAGGCTGCTTATGCAGACTCGTTTGATAACTAATATTGGATAGACCATATTGCAGGCCTTTGCCCTCAAGGGATTCTACCTAGGTATTTCCAAGTTAGGTATAGGTATAGTGAGTACTACTAGGTACGTATTAACCTTGGTAAATATATAGCTACCTACTCCGTAGGCATACTAGTATACCAACTAATGTCCACGGGTGGATATATTTACGCCGTACCTAGGCACAATATATATTACAAGGTCCGATCCGCCGGTGGCGCACCACCCAATACCCAGGACAATGGGATCCCAGCCCAGACTCCAATAATATATGTCACTTCGAGATAAAGGCCAGGGCCGACAAGGATGTTTAATGTGCCAGCGCACAGAACAGGATCCAAAAAAGCCGCAATGTCACCGTAGGATGGATCTACGTAGGGCATTGCAACTCTGACCCAACACTGTACTAGGACAGGATAATGCTTGCAAAGGCCCTTGGACGAGGACCAGGAACCAATCCCCGCACGAGGAAAGAGGCAACTGCCGACATGAAACAAGTCCTGTGCAAATCAACCAGTCGATCACGTAGGATCTGCCATTAGCGCACACACAAAACCACTCATACCAACACCAACCACACCAACCACACTATAGTACATGCTACATGCTACATACAGGGGGATTTTCGTCGAATCAGCGTCGTGATCAACGCGCGCATGCAAACTCTATGCAGACGCAAGCAATCCACTGAGGTTGGGCTGCTGGTCTGGGATTTGCTGATATCCCCGGTGATCAATGCGGTGAGCACTGATCGCCTCGTATGCATGAGGATGGTCAGGCCATGCTGCGCAGGCGTGCACTTGCATTTGCATGCGAAGTTGCGGAAATCGCCAAAGCTCGTACAGAGACTGTCCGTGTGGTAGGTTCCAGGTTGTAGTCTCGGACTCTACAGTACAGTGCTGTAGAGTACAGCACTAGGAGTAGAATTGGAGACGTGGCGACCAGGGTGATGTGGATCTGTGAAATCACATAATCTTGAGTCAGCGGCTCGACGTAATGTGGTCGACGGTTGAGGTTCCAGAAAGACACCTCAAGCCGAGTCCCCCGAAGTTTAATAGAGCGATGGCAGGGGTCTGCGGATAGAGCCCGATTAGGAGGGCAATCTAAGTGACCGGTACGGATGTAGAGGGATCTAATCAGGGCTGTGCCTCGGGGATTAGGGACGGAGATCAATACGGTCAGCATTAGTCAAGGGACTATCACGGGCGTGGAGAGACTATCACCAGCTCTCCGAAGACTATGCCCGGGAGTATGGCTGGATTTGGGTATGTGAGCATTGGACAGGGCGGGCATTTTTCATGGGTTTGCTGCAGGGATGTTTCTCGGATGTTTCATAACAGGAGTGGAGCGAAGCGCCGATCAGAGATATCACAGATACGACAGTTACAGAGGTGTCGATCTACGGATGTGCAACGGGGGAACAAAACAGGGGTATAGAACAAGCAAAAGCAGGATCTACGACAAAGATGACGATAGCTTCGATAATACCTCCCTAAAATAGACGGACATGGGGGATGCTCGCAAGTGGAACAGCCCGGTTCGCTTGTGATGGATAGGGCTAGCGCAGATGCCATGCACCCGACGATCGCGGGGGTTATACTCGAAAGAGAAATGGTGCGCTCGGTACAATCCCGGGAAGCCCTTGGTCTCTTTTCACGAACGGGTTGTTTCACGGAGTAAAGACATGCCGAGTTCGAACCGTGCACCAGTTAGATTCTTCCTAAAGCAACATTATCCCGTAGCAGAGCAAATAGCCCTGGATTATTAATGAGCACGGTGGAAGCCCCCCTTTGAGATCGTTAGGATCGTCGATCATTCTAGGAATCCTGAGGCTCCTGCTGCACGGGAATAGTACGGAGTAGTATTATGTATGTACGGACTACTGTTTCTACCTGATTTTTCAGATTTCGGGTTCGGATTGCTATACGAAGAATACGATCCTTCAAACGTAGCAGGTGTAGGAATTGCTTTTTCTGGCCGCCTGGAGCATGCATTTCGGTATAAACCTTCCAAGGCTGAAAGGAATGACCGCAGGCGGAGCCGATCAATAATCACCAGTGCAGGCAATCATCAATCTAATCTAGATACCGACCAATCTGCCGATAAGATTAATATTACTCCTGGTCCGGAGTATGGAGTACGGAGTACGGAGTATACGAGGGCCAATGCAATACGCAAAAGACATGCTAGGACATTGCGTGGAGGGCTGCATCGGGGACCGACCGAAAATGGACATCGCGTAGCGATGGCGGGCGATCATGGGCTGAGGAGCTATGGCCAGCGGTTATCCCCTGAAGTTGGAGCATTGATCCACCGATCTTTCCTTTCAAACAGGAAGGAGGATAGGTGACAGGTGAGTTTTACATTCTTCGCTCACATTCTGAGCCCACATTCTGAGCCCACATTCCCACATACCCAAATCTCGAAGGATCATAATTGGGATGGGGAAAGTCCCGATCGAGTTAATGAATAAGAAAAAAGAAAGACATATGCAGAGGATCACCATGCGGGTAGAGTGCATCGGGTGTGATGCCAGATTAGGGCTGGATGCCACGTGAAATGAGTACGCATATTGCATACGAGGAAGTACAGGATGCCAATAGAAGCACCTTCCCAACCGGGTTAGAGGTGCGATCGGATCTACCAATCCCCGATCGGCGTAAACAAGGTTGGCATTTCCGGTGATTAACGATTTGCCGCGTTCGTGACGGATATACGGTGTTTCAAAGTTAACTTTTGAGAGGCCGGCCACTGTCGTCATGAGTTTGGACCTTCGTTTACACTTCATTTTAATTTTAATTTACGGGGAATTCTATGTGATACAGCCCATGCAAGTGCCATGTGTTCGCCAAAAGGCAACCGTCGTATAGGACGTATCGAACTTGCAGACATCTATCACATTTCTGAAGATCAGGTTCCTCGTGCAAAAAATAAAACAGAAAATAATAATAAAGCAGCCCCACTGATTTGCAACTTGCTCTTTGCGGGCAAGAAAAGGGGTGAGTCGCGTGGCATGGGTCCGGGAAATATAGAAGCGATCAGCGATCACGGCTGAGTCCGTTGCTTACCCGGGCCTATGGCCGGAAGCGGATATTAGTACGGAGTACGATCCTGAACCTCGGCCCAGTTTGAATCAACTATTGATCTGGACCAGAATAGTACATTGGCGTACGTGGCATGGAGATGAAGGATCCGAGTGTGGAAGCGAGATTAACATTCGAATTAACATTCGCGCCAAAGGTAAAACCCAAAGGTAAAACACCCAGGGAGAACTCGGATCGCATGGTTCCCGGTTTCAGAAAGCATCAGAGTTCCGCGGAAGTGGTGATCTCTACTCTGAACGAACGTTGAATCCTCTCCAAGTGCCAATGTTGCCAATGTTGCCAATGTTGCCAATCAAACCCAGACTGCGCAATAGAGTGAAATAGCCATTTATCCCGAGCAGAACCACGGAACACCCAATCACTGCCGGGGGAATCGTCAGACCGGGGGGTCCAGGCTCGAGGGTGTAGGCGATCCATTAACGTACCAAGTGCCGACCAGGCCGATCACCCATGATCCACGCCCGGGGCGATCCTGACGCTCGAGCCATTCGAGCATTGTATGTATGCGCCTTTGGTTGAATGTCAGGTGAGACACATCACGTTGGCTGATGGTCGACAGTGACCTGGTGATTCCAACCCCTTCACGCCAGATCCCTCCCCCCAGCCCAGTCCGCAGTCCCCTGTATCTGTAGATCAACTCGTACTCGGAAGAAGAAAGCTTACTGACTGTCACCGGCGATCTCAGCTAAAAGGGCTAAAGGGGGCTAAAGAGGACTAAATAGTGGGGCCTCGCTTCCACGAGGAGAGGTGGGCCCCACCCAACCAATCCGCGGCGCCCGCCGTGCAGAACTCATGCACGGCCCGTTTGGCCACAGGTTACAGAAATAGGAGTAATGTTCCAGAACGCCGATCTAACTCCGTTTTGCCAGACGAAGCCGAGGTTTGAGGAATGATCTTCAGGAGCAGGGTCTTGGGATCGCCCATTGGGTCTTGTCACCTTCTTAAACTGTACACTCACTGCCGAAACAAGATTCACCGTTTGTGCAGCGATCAAACCACACACGTCCCATCTGCTCCAAAGTCAAAATGCATAAAAACGAAATTATATGGAGACTCCGTATACAAAGGAGGAATATACTTTGGCTCCCTGCATACCACCATGTCTCCTGCACTCCATAAGGTTCGTGTAAGCGAGCCCGGGGCCATGGATTACCCGTTTCAGGTCCTCGCGGTGGTCTCGCCCAGCGCTTAGAGCTCTTCATTTGTGATGCGACGGTAGTCACCGTTTTTTTCTTTTTTCCCATAAATTTTTTTCCGTTTTTAATTTAAATCCAGCAAGTGCCATGCGAGGCAGCTGTAATAAAGTTGAGTAGGGCCTCTAAGCGCAGCACCAGATAACTCCGGAGGTGTAACCCAAAACGGGTTAGCCTGTTGCTTTGTGACCTTCCCCTTTGGATTCCTGCGCCGTTGGATTTTCCCCATAGCCACGCGACAAAAGGATCTCCTGAACCGTGTCATCCCCGGATCTGAGATATCGAACGTGATATTTCCCAGAATCTGACCGGATGAAAGAGGGAAAAAAGAGAGAAAAACAGAGAAAAATTCGCAGAGACCGCCCGAATAGGTCAGCAGGTTGCCTACCTGCCGATCGCACACTAGAATCTGATCGCACGATCAACCGTTGGGTGGAGAGATGTGACAGGTAAGCAAGAAAGAGATCTGCACTAACCGTAGCCGAGGAGGAAATTGTCCAACGGGGAGTTTCCGGCCTCCCGCTTTGGGTTTAGTGGCTGCACATCCCGCAAGGCTGATAGGTTCTTCTCTTGCGGCTTTTCGCGTGGTCAAATCGTCATTCCCCACGTTAATCTCCGAAAAGAATTCTTTTTCCTCTTTTTTCCCTCTTTTTGGGTGTTTTGGGGGTGTTTTTCTTTGGATTTATCTCTAGTCACTTCCCCTTTCGGCCTTTTTGTCCATTTATTCATTTAGACGGACACATGGATTTCTCTTTTTCCCATTTCCCATTTCCTCATTCAGCCATCGGGCCCTCTTTTTCCCCTCCCCTTTTCCCCTTTAAACACCGGCCCAGTCCCAAACGGGCAACTCAAAATGAATTTTCATTAAAATAAGCTTTGGAGGGAATAAATGGGATTTAAATCAATGTACACCTTGTACCGGACAATCGTAATTTTACCATCGTCCGGCGATCATAGAGTCTACTTCTATAAACCTCGTGTCATCCCCCACTGTTCACCACACATCTGGACTACAATCTCTACACCATGGATCTCGCCAACCTCCTCTCGGCTCCTAAGCCATACACTCCCATGGACTCCAGCTACTACAAGCGCTCGGCACCTCTATCTCCACCAGCCGAAGAGCCTAAAGTCTCGCTGCCCTCAATCTCCTCTCTTCTGGAGGGTGCCGATGGCCAGCACTCAGCCAGTGAGTACCTCAGACACATCCATGGACAAGGACAACCATCTAACCCAATCTTAGAGCGCCAACGTCTCTCACCACCTCTCGGTGAACGTCACATCCGGGTCCAGCCTTACGAGCTGCCCCCAACACCACCACTGCGCCCCGGCTCCGGCCACGGCCACAGCCGCGCATCCCCAGAGACAACCATCAAGGACCACCGCTCCTCTATCTCCAGCAATGGCTCTATCCACATCTCTCAACCATACGCCTCTCCCGCCCCCAGCGTCTCATCCTACACTTCACCCATCGACGCTCCTCAACAAGCCCTCTACTACTCTCGCCCACCCACCACATCAACCTTCGCCCCCTCAACTCCCGCCCCAGCAATGCCAGTCCAGCAACCACTCATCTCCCCCGTCACTCCCGCCTGGCAACACCACCACTACTTCCCCCCCTCCACCACAACCCAGTACCAGCAGAACCACGACCGCTACATCTGCCGCACCTGCCACAAGGCCTTCTCGCGCCCTTCCTCTCTGCGCATCCACTCCCACTCCCACACGGGCGAGAAGCCCTTCCGCTGTACCCACGCCGGCTGTGGGAAGGCATTCTCCGTGCGCAGCAACATGAAGCGCCACGAGCGGGGCTGCCACTCTGGTCGTCCGGCTCCGGCTCTGGTCGTTTGAGTTCTCTGCATCTGGATCTTGATGGACCTTTGTATTTGTGATTGGGAATTGTTTCTTTTGTAATGGGTTTCTTTTGTTCGGCGTTGTGTGATGTCCGTGATACCCTGGATCGTGTGTTCTTTTTGGTTCTCCCATTTAGATGGGCCGGTTTCATACACTATAAACTTACGATTCGAAATGTATATTCTATGACCATGACTTTGTTTCTCCAAATTTCCTGGTATTTTCGTATTTCATGGCTGTTCCTTTCACATGCCAGCTGCCAGCCCCTAGCATGTGTTCTCTTTTCACATGGAACGCGTGTCAAGTTTGCCCAGGCCTTCCATGCTGTGGTTGTCATACGGTAGGAGTCATATGCTGAACTATTCCTTGATCTGCATTTGCATCGAGGGAACCTTGGAATCTCCAGACCCCGGTATCATCCCGGCGACCTCCGATCAACTCCCCGAAGCTATACTTCGATCTCCGGTCCGGGCACATGTTGCGCTTGGTTTCCCTCGGACATTGCGAACAAAAAAAAAACAAGAATTAAATTCGATATTTCGAGTCATTTCTTAATCATGATTCATCAACGTTACATGGGAGAAGCCGACATTATAGACGCCGAGCCACACCCATACCCAGGTGCCAGGTACAGCCCTACTCATCCAAAACACCTCTCACCAACGCAGCCAGGCTAGTTTCATACCTGGCCGGATTATGATCACTCAACATCCCACTGGCGAAACGCAACTCCCCAAAGTAAGTATCAACATCTCTCACAAATCTCAACTGAACCCGAGTCGCCGGTCTGCCAAGCCGACCCCCATCAAGATCAGGCAACGTAAAAGCATCTCTTTGCAAAACACGCATGGTCTCAACGACAAAAACCTCACCCGGAGGCATGAGTTTTGGTGCGCGCATCTCGTCACGTAGCAAGTTCAGCGTTTTCCATGCCCAGGCGTCCTCGCCGACGCCATCGCCGGCATTCACGACCAGTGGTGGCTGATTGACGTAGAATTTATGAATGATGCTCTGGCGCAGTGAGTCGCGCAGACGCTGGCGGATGTGTGATTTGGCGCCTGTGTCGTCTTTGAATGAGAGTGAGGCCGTGTGCATATCATGGAGAATTCCAAGTGAGAGGCTGGGGACTATGTCCGAGCCGTTGACGATGGTTGTGATGAGGCCTCGGGTGGCGACGCGGAGGAAGGGCGACATGACGGCTGGTGGACCGTAGGCGTAGACATGGATGGGACGGTTTGGTGGGAGCGTGTAGGTAGGCACAGTGTTGTCTGAGGTGGAAACTGGCAGACGAGGACGATATGAGGATGTTATGAAGGAGGTGCCTGTCTGGATGGGATTGGGCTCTGAGATCATCGTTGCTAGGAGGGCTGCGACACCGCCGCCGAGAGAATGACCGCAGAGGACGATACCGTAGTCTTCGAACTCTTCGAGAGCAGCTCGCAGAGTGATCATTACGCGACCGCCGCCTCCTTCTAGAAGACGCTTCGCGGAGGCATGCATGCCTTTGTGCACCTTCCAGCTTTTGCCTTGCCATTCTAGATCGTCGTAGTCGCAGGTCATGTCCGTGAGGATATCTTCAAACCCCCAGGTCCCGCGAAGGGTGAGGACAATGGCTTTAGAGTCATGGTCTATAGAGAGATAGTGGACGAGCGGAAAGCCTGTGTCTGTCTCGCCGGCAGCATTCGAACCGCCTGCTGGATCCACGAAGGACGAGAGGAGGATGGTAGACGGTGGAAGACCGGCGTTCTCTGTGAAGGCACTGTGAACGTGGCCGTCGGATGTGGTATTAGGCAGGCTTTTTGGGTCTCTTGGGACACCCATGACCTTGAGTGCGTTCGAACCATATGAAGCAGATGAGAACCGACAAAACCGCCTGATATTCTGCACAAAATGCCTCTCCGGGAAAATCCCTGGGACGATGCCATCTCGGTTCAGAGCCTGGATGGTGTCTGTATCTCCATAGGCACTCTTGCGAGGCCGATGAGCAAGCAAAAGCGATGTCTCGGATCCCGCAGTTGCCATCGAGTATATGCTTGGGGTATAGGAGTGAGATCTACAATGTAGAGCTGAGGATCCGGGCCGACCGTCGTTTGCTGATTGCCTTCCATCTGCTTCTGATCTTGTAATAGACATCGAGCTACTACTGCGAACATGAGTCTGGGTCGTGGCAGGAGACCCAGGACGAAGGTCAGCACCACGGCGGGTCATGAAAGCGTCTGTTTGAGTAAGCAGTGACTCTTGGCCGCTGCGTTTCAGAGTGAAGTGACCTCCGCGTGTGGCTCTTGGAGAAATGTCATCAGATGGGCCATGTTGCTTTTGTGACTGGGGCTGTGGTCTTTGAGGCGAGTTGGGAAAATGTGACCTTCGCAACCCTCGATTTGGTGCTGGGGTCGCGGGTCGATAGTCTGGAGGTTCGGTTCGTCTCTTCTTGAGGTCAGGTCTGGCAGAAACCTCTCGGGCAGTGGCTTCCTTTACGGAAGCCGTTCCTTTTGTAGGTCTATTGGTAGGTCTGGGAGGCAGACGAGGAGCAGGTGCTCCGGACACCGGGGATTTTGGAGATTTTGGAGATTTTGCCAGCGGCCGTCTGGGGTCGCTTTTCTCTATGCTACCTGGCTTGACCAGTTGTGCAAATTTGGTGAGGCCCTTGCCGAGCCCAGGCTTGGAGGTTTCACTGGGGGAGTCGGGTATTTGGCTCTTGATAGGGCCATGTGTGTCAGGATGCGAGCGAGATCGGCTATGTTGGGGGATTATAGGGCTTTCAGGCAGTGGCTTGTTGACTGACACGCGGTGGTGAGCGGCATCAGGTAGTTTTGCAATACCCGTGCCATCATCAGGCCGCAGCTGAGTGCTTTGGGATTTGTTGAAGGCTGTCCTAAACACCACAGTCTGCCGTGGGAACCTTTGTTGACCATTCACCATGAGCGTCTCTCCAGAATCATAATCGTGGTGAAATCGTTCCTCAATCATCTTCGTCCCCGGCGGTGCTGCAATCTCGGCCATATCGTCATCATAGATATCAACCGTGATTGTTCGCGCGGTCAAGAGTTCCGACTTGATTGATGCATGACAGCCTTGAGGAAGCTGGCTCATGATATAAGCACGAACGTCTTCATCAGAGACCTGCTGTTGCTCATCTAAGGGCATCGAGCGACAACGCTCCAGAGCATCCGAGACGCTAGAACGTCGGATCGCATCGAAAGCTTCCTCGCCATTGCCCGGCATCACAAAGGACGCGCTATCGGGCTCAAGCGGTTCCTCATTCCCACGATCTGGAAAAGACAGCTGATGAGAGCCGATCACATCTGCTCTTGCACCGTTGTCCAAGATCACGACATCCCAAACAACCTCGTCCCCGGCATTCTGGCGCAGATGACGTTCGGTGTTCTTTCTTCCCCATCGCTGCAGGAGCGCGAATCCCAGAGACCCAACAAGGAGATCTCCAACGCCGATCTTCTCGGCACTCGCACCGGGCTCGATAGATCTGAATTCACGCCGAATGAGCGTGATGATGGCCGCAATGGCTCTGGAAGACTCGGTTGATCCAAGGATGGCATCCAGAGTTGACAAGAGTGCCTGTGATAGATGGGAGATGGAAGACAACGTTGTCGACGAAAAATGGAATGACGCAGCAGCGAAAAACGATGCCGAGGTCACGGTTGTGTGGAGCGTGGCCAACTAAGGGGGTTAGTTGCAGTGGCCTTGGAAGCAGGATTGTGATATTACACTTCGCTCAAGCAGCGACTCTGCTTCTGTCCTGCCATGTTCGTCGCCACTTCGGATCGCGACATCTCGCCCTGCCCTGGTCAGGATGCCTTCTACCAAGGCTCTACTCAGTTCGAGGCTGGTGAGCGTAGTAGCCCGGGCGCCATCTATGGCTGCTCCGCCGAAGAACGTCCCCAAGCGTAATGAGAGCGATGTTGACTGGGTTATCAGGGATATCAATGATGCGACTGGACGCGGCAGCAGGGTTGACCCTGTCGATTGAGTGATCTGCGCTACTGCATTTTCCGAATTGGTCATATTAAGAATAGTCCATGAGTTGTATGTAGATGGAAATGTATTGTAGATGTAGATGTAGATGTATGTAAATGTGAAGTTGATAGACAGGGGGTTCGGCGTTTCACATGTGATTTCTACATCATCGCCCTCAAACTTGCATCCTGCACTTTGCGAATCTGACTGCGATTGCAGCCCGCCACTGTTCGGATCCCTGACAGGCCCATATTTTGCCACAGGTCGGCCAACAGTCCCTTCAGCACCTGTCTGGCCCCTTCTCGGCCCTGAATGCTTAACCCGTATATCACCGGCCGACCAACCAGGACCGCCTTGGCTCCCAGGCACAGCGCCTTGATCACATCCGAGCCCGTCCGAATCCCAGAGTCGAACAAGACCGTCATTTGATCTCCGACCGCATCAACTATCTCCGGAAGCACATCCAACGACCCAATTGCACCATCCACTTGTCGGCCTGGACCTGTTAGCCGGGAACTGGGATTGTTCTGGAACACTCACCACCATGATTCGAGACCACAATGCCATCACAACCGGCCTTTAACGCCAACCTCGCGTCATCCACATGCTGGATCCCCTTCAGAACCAACGGACCATCCCAGTTCTTCCGGAGGAACTCCAGATCCTCCCACGAGTGCGGCGCCCCGGCAAAGATATCCCCAATCCAAGCCCTCGAAGCACCCAGTATATCATCTTCCACCTTCGACCCCGTCTCGCGTTCGAACTTGGCTCGGAAAACCGGATCCGTAAACCCGACCTCATTCCCCACCCCCTTGATGAAGGGGACATAGGCATTATCGAGGTCGGCCGGCCGCCAAGCCAGCGACCACGTATCTAGCGTCACCACTAGAACCGAGAACCCGTTCTCCCGGGCGCGTTTCAGCATCGAGAGCGTGACGTTGTTATCGCGCGGCCAGTAGAGCTGATACCAGCGCTTCCCGTCCTTGTTGGCGGCCGCGACATCTTCAATGGAGCTCGTGCTGGCTGTACTCATCGTATACGGGACCCCGACATCATGGCAGACCTCGGCCAGCCCGGTTTCCTTATCTTCGTGGAAGATACCCTGCACGCCGACCGGGGCCACGATGAGTGGGTTCTCGTATTTCTGACCGAATAGCTCAACCGAAACGTCTTGCTCGGGTGTCTATTTGGTATCAGTTGTAATTCCGTAGAATAGATTGCGTGTGGTTCTTACGTTTCGCATCATGCGTGGGATTCTGGTGGTGTCAGTTATTGCTTCAACCTTGTGAGCGGTACTTACAGCTTCCATTGCCGGAACGCCTGTCGATTGCTATCCATGGTGGATTTCTCACCCGCTCCACCGGCGACATAGTTGAACGAGCGAATGCCCAAGGCCTCGCGGGCTTGCTCCTCCAGTTTACGGGGGTCGGTGGTTACGCCGGGCAGGATGCCCATCAGGGCACCCTTGCCGTAGATCTCTGTTTGATAGCTGCCGTAGTTGTCGGACATTGTGACTTAGAATCGATAGAGGCTGGAGGGTGTGCCCAGGTGAGAATATAACCCTTTCGTGATGCGGAGGTGCGTGGACCGAGGTGCCCGGATCGCCTTATAATTAGGCGATCTGCAATGAAGTCATATGGCATTTCTGCTTCTACGACGGAGTACGGAGTATTCCGTTCCAAAAGACAGCTCAGTCAACAGTGGATACACTCATCACCCTGAGTCGTGTTTTATGATGTTACAGGCACTGGCAAAGCCAACAGAGCCAGCGCCAATACCGAGGTGCTGTTTACCTTGGCCAAAATTCAATGTTGGATACATCACATCGCTGGTCTGAAAAGCGAACATTCGAGCCCAATTAACTCACACTATACAGTCAACCATAATACAGCTATGTCGCGGTCCTTAAGACCGTAGAGACAAGCTTTAACAGGGCGAGGGGTTGGACACCGCACGGTTACAGGCCCGTGGTTGTAGACAGCGATGAGCCAGACGAGCTCCTCAGGGAAGCAATCAATGACTGTACCAGATCAACCTGCAAGGCTTTGTCGTGCATCGAGCAGAGCAAAGACCTTCCAAGTCAGGCACGCCTGAAACCGGCTATCGTTGGAATGCAAGTAGCTCGCCCTTGCGAGCGAAATCACATACCAGGTAAAATGATTTCAGAAAAGTAGAACGGTGACAATACTCAGTACCATTGATATTGTTCAATGGGTCACCATAAGAGAACTCAGACCAGAAATTGAAACGTAAGTTGAAAACACGAGTAAGACTTCCAGACAGTAGCTCATCTGAGAGGATCTCGGCCAATTGCGGGGATTTCGGGGTTTTCTTCAGTCAAAGACCTTATAGCCAGACTGGGATTGGTTTAGATCAAGTTTTCGGGCTTCAAATTGACACTGGGCTCATGGGTTTGATCCGTGGCGACTTGAGGGAAGACATGTTCGACGCAGATCTTGAGAAAAAGATCTGAACCGAGCCATGTCTTTGAAACCCTGTAAACATCCTTTTCACAGATAGCGCAGTTGCCATGATACAATGCCAGTATGGAATCCAGTCCTTTCGACGGATAATGAGGCATGCCGGAGTTGGTCCCGGTCAGTAAATAGTGAGTCACTGCACGCACCCGTGGACCCGGCATAGCAAAGGTACATCGCGGCCGAGGCCGCTTTGACGCCTCGTTTCGGCTGGGTGCATAAGAGGGGGGTCTAGACGACCGAGGATCTTGGAAGCTGGGATCTCGGCCTAAGCTTAGGTCCGATGAAGCGATAATTCGCTAATTTCAAAAAATGATTAAGCGTAAGAACGTTGTTGGGTATCTCAAACAGGAAAACAGAACAGCATGCAGAACAAGAATGACCATCTAAGCACATGAAGCCTCCAAAAAAGAAAAAAGAAAATAAAAGGCAATCATGCCGACTCCCAAATCTTGATAGTCATGTCATCGGAAGTGTAGACCACCATGCTGCCATCATTTTCCAATTTGATGGCCCGAACCCAACCTGAATAGCCAGTGACAACGCCCACACGAGAGATTTCCAGAGGCTCTGACTGTACCGCCCAGAGACGGATGGTCAAGTCATCCGCCGCGGTAGCAATCAGGCGGCCGTCAGCAGAAAATGTGATCAAGCGCAAGGGACCCGAATGACCCTCGAGAACCGCCCGCAATTCCCCCGACGTCGTGTCCCAGATGCGCAGGGTCTTGTCCCGAGCGCCCGACACGAGGAGCCTGCCATCCGGAGAGAAGCAGACCGCCTGGACGGACGCGTCGTGACCCTGTAGAGCGTGGATCAGCCTGCCGGTGGCCGTCTCCCACAGGCGAATGGAGTAGTCATCCGAGCTTGACGCGAGCGTCTGCCCGTCCGGCGCAAAAGCCACGGCGCGGACCCAACCAGAATGGCCCTCCAGAGCCGAGAGAAGCGAGCCTTCCCCGGCGTTCCAGAGTCGCACGGAAAAGTCATCCGAGGCCGATGCGAGCGTGGTCCCATCGGGGGAGAATTCGACCACACGCACCTTGCCGGTGTGGCCCTGCAGGGTGCGGTAGGTGAATCCAGTGATGGCATCCCTGATGCGAACGGTCATATCGTCAGACGCCGTCGCCAGGAGGCGGCCACTAGGGGAGAAGCGCACGGCACGGACCCAGTTTGAGTGGCCGTTATCCTTGGCCGGACCGCGTTGGAGACCGGTCTTGGTGTTCCAGAGACGAATGGTCATGTCGTTGGAGACGGAGGCGAGTTCGCCATTGCGCGACGGCGAGACGTCCCAGATCCAGCCGGTGTGACCATCCAGGGTTTTGGAGGCGACCAGCTTCCGAAGGGCCGACATGGAGGTTCAAAAGTGCGGAGTCTTGTCCGAGAGAGGGTGTTCAGGAGGTTGAGCTGTGAGAGGGTTTCTCATAGTGAGATTGGGAGAGCGGTCAGTGCATTGAAGTAAAAAGTCCCGAATAGTTCTACTCTACGAAGACTAAGATCGTTGACTTTGGCGTCGCAAACAGAAATGTTCAGGATTTGGCTTAGTCAGGGGGCCAGACCCGCCCATGGCGATCTGCTGACCTGCAAGGTTAGATAATCTGATATCAAATAGTTTTATAGTGTTAGTTAAATATCAGTATAAGTATTCAAGATTGTATTGACTGAGTTGAGTTTGGGTTTAGTTAGTGGAAGTGGAAGTGTTGAGTATATTATGTGGGGTAGAATTAGGTGTTTCGCGTTAAGACAAATCTTATCAATTGGAGTCTGATCATTCTTATATATTCATATTTTCATATTTTCATATTTTCACAATTTCATGAATTAAAATATACTACAGAGTACATAATGCTAGTAAATTCGGGATACTAATCTTATACCCTAGGGTCCTTAGATCGAGTTACCGTGCAATTCCTTGGCGGGCGGCAACTTTAATCTCTTTTTTTTTTCGCCGTTTGCACTCACCGTCTTACATAACATGTCAATAGTTCCCAATTGATGCATCACTGTCACTTCCAACCTTGGAAGGTTCCCCCTGAGCACTCGTGGACTCATGGACAAGGCCTCCGTGATGGTTCCGGATTTGCCCGATGAAGTCAGCGCCGGGCCGACCCTGGATGAAGAGAAGATCGAGCGCTCACTAGTGAGGAAGATTGATCTGCACATCCTCCCTTTCGTGGTCTTGCTGTATCTCTTCAGCTTCTTGGATCGAGGTGAGTGGTGAACTTCCACGCCTACCCGGGTGGGTGGGCTGATGCCTGACTCATACCGTTTACAACCTCGGCATTCGGAATACTGACGGGGAAAACAGTGAACATTGGAAATGCTCGTCTATACGGCCTAGAAGAGGACCTCGGTCTGGTGGGCAACCAGTACCAAGTCGCTGTGTCGATTCTCTTCGTAACATACTGTGTATGCAAACCGTCCATTCCAGTGTTGAGCCTCAACTGACAAGACCAGTTATTCGAGGTTCCGTCAAACCTCGTGCTCAAGAAGCTCAGGCCGTCGCGGTATATCGCGACCATTTCGGTCCTCTGGGGTATCATCGCCACCCTCACCGGGATCACCCAGAGCTATGGCGGTTTGATCGCCTGTCGCATCCTGCTCGGAGTGGTCGAAGCCGGCCTGTTCCCGGGCTTCATCACGTATCTCACCCTGTTTTACAACAAGCGTGAGATCGCCTTGCGGACCGGCTACCTGTTCAGCAGCGCCGCCATCGCCGGAGCCTTTGGTGGACTCCTAGCCTACGGGATCGGGTTCATGGAGGGCATCTGTGGACTCCGAGGGTGGCGCTGGATCATGATCATCGAGGGGATTCCGACTGTGATCTTGGGCGTGGCAACCTGGTTTGGATTGGCCGATGGCCCGGACACAGCATATTATCTGAACAAAGAAGAGCGGATGATCGTTGCTCGCCGTCGAGGGCGGTATATCGGACAGACCGACTCTGCGCAGAAGTTCCACTGGGCAGATGTCAAAGAGGGCGTGATGGATTGGAAGATCTGGGCATTCTCAATCGGTCAATTCGGCATCGACACCATGCTCTACGGATATAGTACTTTCCTGCCTACGATCATCAAAGGTATGGGCAGCTGGTCAACCCCGGAAGTCCAGGCATTGACGATTCCATGCTACGCACTGGGGGCCCTTGCGTATCTTGCCGTTGCCTGGGTGAGTGATCGCACCCAGCAGCGAGCAGTCTTCATCTGCCTCTTCAGCGCCATTTCCGTCGTCGGCTACGGAATTCTGATCTCAGACGCATCCTCTGGTGTGCATTACTTTGGCGCTTTGATGGTCGCTCTGGGGCTCTATGTCGCGGTGGGCCTACCACTTGCTTGGTTGCCGACGAATCTCCCGCGTTATGGAAAACGCGCCTATGCAACAGGATTGCAGCTTACATTCGGCAATATCAGTGGTGTCATGTCGCCTTTCCTTTATCCAACCTCGGAGGGCCCTCGTTTTGTCCGCGGAAACGCTGTTACCCTCGGGCTGGTCGCGTTTGCTGGGATTGTCTACGGTGGGATGTGGTTCGCCTACCGAATCATCAATAAGCGCAGAGCTCGGGGCGTCGAGGATGAGAAGATCTCGGCTCTTTCCGAGCAAGATATCCAGGAAATGGGTGATCGAAACCCCAGATTCCTTTACAGCACATGAGCGGGTTCAACAATTGACGGGTCATATACGAAGCATTTTTCGGTTTTTACGCAGTTATGTACATCCTCGACTATCATGCTGCATTTTTTGAACATATCAAATACATAGACAAGAGTCAAGAAGAAGTTAAATACGATCGGTGTGTTGTGACAGCCTCGAAATTGCAAGTCATCCCAGGGACGATCCGTCCTACGTACCACACAGTCCCGATTCGACCTGTCTCTCCCACCTGGGCATCCATGGATAGCAAACGCCAATTCGCCTCCCGCGAGTCGAATTGCCAAAAGACGCCAGACAATTGGAGAGATGCCACTCACGTCGCCTCTATGATGTCACCATAATCCGGGGTACGCCTCACATCATCACTCTGTTCTAACAACTTCCAATATCACATCCCAGTCTATCTATCAAAACAAAATGAAGAACCTCAACTGTAAACGAGCAGTCCAAAGCATCATCCAACCCCTCATAACACATCCCCTCCCCCAACGCACAGCATGCCACCTCCAATCCGAGAAACCCACCAGCGAAATCCTTCTTGAAAGATCCATCCTCAACCCAGAACACTCAGAAACCTGCCAGTCCGGCACAGACGAGGAAGTCGGCCGACACAAGTCGCCCTACGACCCGACGCAAACAAAGCCGGAGCAGGAGCATCTTGCGCTGGAGGAAGAATACAGACTGGAGGGGGACGCTTTACATGATCCCCTCTACATCAGTCCTGCCAATAGGGAGTTCAGTTTGATTCTTGATCCGATGGCTGGGAAACATGCTTTGACGCATTTGAGGAGTGTGAAGGGTTGGACAAGGAAGCATAAGGAGGTGCTGCTGAAGACGACGCCTTATGAGATGAGGGCGTATGATAGTGTTTTCACGGGGGTGAGGAAGCCTACTGGGAATGTTTAAGTGCACTGCTCAGAAGTTTCTATGTTCTTTGCTGGCTGTGCGATCTTCTTTCCGTCTCGAGGTTCTTTTCGAATTTCTCGATTCTTTTATAACTGTGGGTTTATTCTGTCCAAATGATTGACTGCATTGGAAAATAGGCAAGTCGGTATATCTCCATTCATTAATTTTGATGATTTCGTTCAAGTCTATGTACCTACAGTCTACTTACTAGGTTTCATCTATACCAATCAATGGCCTTCATAAGGAAAGACACATTCTCTTCTTTGCACACTCATTTGCCACTCCAGACTACAAAGCTGGCTGCCCAGGTGCAATTGCATCGAACAGATACACGAGCCACCCTCCGGAAACCCCTACGGTAAAGCCTGGGACTTTTTCAACCACTCATGGGCCTGCGCATAAATCTCCTGTGCAACCCTCTCCCTCTCCTTACTATTGCCTCGCTTCTTCCTCGGCGACGAATGAGTGAACGCATGCGGACACCCCCTAGCCAACGTCCACTTATACATACCGACCTCAAAGTCCTCTTCCTGCTCAACCCCAGTTCTATCATTCAACCCAGCCAATCCATGTATCATTTCCTGTGCCTCCAGCCGAAGCATATCCCACTCCGCCCCAATCATATTCACATATGGCGGCAGCTCATCCCTCCCCGCATACACCGGGCTAAGCAACGGATCTCTCCGATCCTGCCCTACACTAACATACCCCCAGTCCAGGGCCCAGGAAGCCTTTTCCAACGAATTCATCACCGGATCAGCCTTATAAGGTCTTGAATCGAGCTTTTCATTGGGCGGATGGCTGAAATCCACAATAGGGAAGTATATCACCGCTGCTCGAATCAGACCTTTGAGACCGGGGAGTTGCGAAGCTGATAGTGCGAGGGTTCCACCTGCGCTGAAGCCGCCGATAGTGATACGCGAATGGTCAATTGGGAGGGAAGAGTCCGCTAGCACGCTCTTGGCTACTTCAGCAATGTCGAACGTGGGTGTTGGGAAGGGGTGGAGAGGGGCTTTGCGGTAGTTGAGGCTGATGACTAGCATTCCTGTTCGATTGGACCAGGCGCTGCAGAAGGTGTCGTCGGCACTGGCGTCGCATGCTACGAAGCCGCCGCCGTGGATGTTGAGGTAGAGGGGGAGGTTTTGGCGGTTGGCGGGGTTGTAGGAGTTTGGATAGAAGATGCGGACTTCGAGAGTTGGTCGGCTGGGATAGCGCTTGGTCAGAGTTGGTCTGGTGCTTGGTGGTGGGGGCTTGAAGAGGCGAAGGTATAGAAAGTAGACGGCGGCGAGAGATTTGAGCAGCCAGAGCTGGAAGAAACAGTTGAGGCGATGGAGGAATGGCAGTCGCTCTTTTGGTAGCGGGGGGAGCTTTGAAAGATCCATTGGGGACTCCATCGCTGTCTCTTTTGAGCCAGTGGCCATTGTGCTGGGTACTGACTGATGATGAGAAAATCAAGTCAAAGGGGGCCATGAAGCCCTTCGGGAATCAAAAGACCTTTCGACTCAGCGCAGAGTCGCGCCGAGAGTAAATTTGGCCCCCAATCTGGCGTATTTTCCCATTGGTCCATTGGGTCTCAGCTCAACACCAAGAGCCCCTGGGCAGCACACCATTTGCTGCATGGCACATCGTACTGGTTCTCGGATGTTCCCGAATGGACCCCGGGCCGAAGTGGACAGCGCTTATCTGTTTCGATCCACTTCCATCGTGGGCTTTCATCGGCTGTTTCAGATTGCGCACTCGTTGTTCTTATCTTCACCAGCTTGATCCTGATCCAAAGGCCCGGGCAGGCTATATGCCTGTAAACCTGGGCCCTTTGGCTGCATAATCCTGTGTCGGCGTGACCTGTAATCGGTGATGAGGAAAAGATGGCAGCAAACTTCACTTTGAGGGAGGTCGAAAAGTCACGAGACTCCTATACCGCAACTCACCCCCGCCCTATTGTATAGGCCGTTAGTGCGGGGGTTCCAAGCTCATCTTTACCCCTTGCGTCGCTCTGCCAACTTATAAATTGCAACCTTGGAAGTTCCCTCTGCAACCTCATTCAAACCACCCACCACGAGCCCAAGATGTATGCTCCCAAGGTTGGCGACTCAATCGATACTCTGGACACACCGTCCATGATTGCCGATCTCGATCTTGTCGAAGCCAACATCGAGAAATTAATGGGAAGGCTCATCCCAACTGGTCTCGATATTCGCCCGCATCTCAAGACAACAAAGAGCGCGAAGCTGGCGCATAGATTGGTCAAGGCAGGGGCAAAGGGTGGCTGCGTGGCCAAAGTGAGCGAAGCAGAAGCCATTGCAGACGCCGGATTTGATGACTTGTTCATCACATGCGAGGTTATCGGTCCCGCCAAAGTCAAAAGGCTAGTGGACTTGTATCGCAAGTATCAGAAGATCAGGATCGTCGTGGACAGCAATGTCGGAGCGACGGCAATCAACGATGCGTTGGCCAAGTCCGGCATTGCCCAACCGATCTCCGTCCTGATTGACCTTGATGTCGGGCTCCACCGCACCGGTGTTCTTCCTGGGGAGCCTGCCCTGAATCTGGCACAGCATATCGGAGGCCTAAAGCATTTGAAGCTCATTGGCCTCCACGGCTACGAGGGCCATCTTCAGCATTTACACGATTACGAAGATCGGAAAAGCCAATGTCTCGAGTCCATGGCGACCCTCACGAACACCGCAGATGTGCTGCGGAAAGCGGGCTTCAACATTGAAGTGGTAACCACTGGAGGAACTGGAACGGCAGAATTCTGTGCGACAGTCCCTGGTGTGACGGAGCTTCAGCCTGGGTCTTTTATCTTTATGGACACGGACTATCGGAATGCGGTTGGCACATTCTACTCCAACAGCTTGACGATTCTTTCGACGGTCCTGAGTCAACAGGGTCCAAATTCTGTGACTATTGATAGCGGTTTGAAGTCATTGACTACGGACAGCGGCTTGGCTGAATGCAAGGATCCGAGATACTCCTATGGTGTCCTTGGTGATGAGCATGGCTCACTCAGCTGGGAGGAAGGGACTCCAGCGCTTTCGGTCGGAGATCGCGTGGAGATGGTACCGAGTCATATTGACCCAACGGTCAACTTGCACGATGTTTACTTTGCCCATCGTGGGGGCATCATTGAAGAAATTTGGCCGGTGGACTCCCGAGGCAAGGTTCAGTAGGTTCATCTCATTAGAAAAAGTCGAATTTGGGGATTTCGCTTGGCTTGGTAGAGGCGCAAACCACGAAAGAAGAATATTGCTTCAAAATTTTCATATTCAAGGTCATTTAGTTACATGTCTCGTAAAAGGGTATGGCGCATCTCCATTTTTCAGGCGTCAGAACTCCGCGAAGGAACTGCCTCCGCATGAAGTCGGAGTGTGTCGAAAATCACAACAGCACGGAATTTAAGACAGAAGAGAATCAATTGGCTTGGTAAACCTTGAAACTCTTGAACTCCCAATAAGCTGTGTCAAAACTCGTCGCGTTGTCCCGCACAAAGGCTTTGCAGGTTCCAGGACAACTGCTCTGTGTCGTATAGAACTTATCCGCGCCGGCCCAATCGCCGCAAAGGTCGATATTGGCGACAATACTCTGGTTCTTGAAGTGTGACCCGATATTGCAATCCGTGTTTGGGAAGTCTGCAAACGCCGTGCCCCAGGTAGATGGATCTGGGCTTCCCGAGGTAATATCAGAAGGAATCTTCGAGCGTGCCCATTGCCAAACTCGAATTCCGGCACTGCGAAGCTCCATTGCATAGACCTGACAAAAACGCAGTATTAGCTATCTGTGCACCGTGCATCGTCTGAGGATTGCAATACTTACTCCGCCTCCGTTTTTGTTGAACTCAGGCCCAAAGGTACTATCGGCGCTTTTCACACCGCAACCCGAGTACTCGTTCGCCTTGTAATAGCAGTTTTTGTTTTGAACGGATCCGGTTTCCTTGCGCTTGACGCCCATGGAGCATCCGTCGGATGTATGGAGGGTTGCCTGGTTTCCGAACGTTCCACTGTTGGCGGCCTCGACGATATCGATTTCTCCATGCTCGGGCCAATTGCTGGGGTCTGTGAGCCACAGAGCGGGCCAGGTTCCACACCCGTACGGGGTGTGGAGAACGTCAAACACGAATAGACCCTCGGCGTATGTTTTGTTTGAGGTGATTCTGACAGATTGCCGACCACTGGCTGCTTGGGTTCCACTCAGCGTAGTGTCAACTTTGAGGATGGCTGAGTCGCTGCTGGCGTAGGTGAGATTGAGCCATTCTGCGTTGGCTCGGCTGATGTACCTGGAGAACTAGTTAGCGGCTGTCAGAGAATCTCTTTGGGGATCGTACTGGACGAAGCCGTTGGCTGGATCGGCATCGGTGAAGTATTCGAAATTGTCGAAGAAATCGGTCCCTGAGAATGTGTCTTTCAGGGTGTAGTCCAGCTGGGAGTAATTGGGGTAGCGATTGGCTCGTACGCCCAGAACTGATCCGACAACGACCGCTACAATGACGACGATGATGCCCGCTGCAAGGAAAAGCTTTTTCTTCAAGGACCACCCTCGTGGATCCCATTTGGAGTGTGGAGTGGGTTGCCCGTCCCAAGATCCATCGGGAGGTGAATTGGCGGAATATTGATGTGGTGCTTTTGCACCGGATTGATACGGTGCGTGGTCGGCATAGTGATCATGCATTGTGGCTAGAGTGCAGCAATAAACTCTTGAGCACTTCACTGGCAGCAAAAGCAACAGAGATCAAGAGCAGAAAAGAGGGAAAAAAACAAACAGAAAAAAAAAGGCCAAGACCAAGTCGTCAACGTTGGCAGATAAGAGTGAGGGCCACGCGTTAGATATGTGGGGGCAGACAGGTTTTCCGCTTGTTGTGATCGTCCACTACCTAGGTAGGTATGTGTCCTGACGTTGGCTTTGGTCCTCAAGCTCAATTCAACCTCAAGACTTCCATCAAAAGAAACTGTCAAGGCTAAGAGACCACGGAAGTTACAGATGCTCTGTATCTCCGTCTCCGTATGCTCCGGAAACAAAACAAAAATAGCACGTCACTCATGTGCAACTAAGACATTCTTGGAACCCATATTCCGTAATGAGGAATGCTTCTCCAACATTCCTACCTAATTGGACTCGGTCTCTTTCTGGACATTGCTATATTCCTGACAGCGAGCAACTGTTGCCGTCCAAAATTCGTGAGAGAAGAGGCTATTTATAGATACAGGCACAGTGGCGCAACAGTTCAAGACCCATCTGACCGCCCTAGGTTCCGCCTTCCAAAGTAGAGTGCACTTCGTCGCGTAAAGTACGCTGGTAGTAAAAGATCGCGTTCGCTCTGTATAATTTGTCCATGTTATGATCACTTGAGATCCGACTTATATCCCCATACATACCAAAGGGAGCTCCACATCCCAATGCACGTGTTTATCGAAAAATGGGCCGTCAGAATAATCGGCAGAAAGAAGCGGTCAGTTCAGGTCTCAAACATTTCCAAGGTTCCTTGTGGCGTCGCCCGCGGGCGGGTCCAAATATCACATGACCCTGTGGCTGTGTATTTGGTCACATGACTTTCTGCACATATGACCTTTCTGACCACCCTACCACGTATATGATGCCCCTGCGTACTCTCCAGCTGAGGTTGGCATGAAGAAAGGCATTGATCGAGAATTGAGGTGCGGCCACGCTCATTTCTAGGCCGATACTTTGGCAGCCCGATTCCTCACCACTACAATCCTGCGAGCAATCCCCAATCTCTCAACCGTGGTCCGTTACCAGATGGGTTTGATGTAGGAGCAACGAAAAGCACGATGAATCATACAATGGAACAAAAAAATGGAACAAAAAAAAAGAAGGAAAGGAACAGGAAGTGGGAGGGTGTTGTGGGGGCAGACTGTCTTAGATATTGCGGGAACTAAATGGCCGGGTATCACGAACGGGAAATGCTTCGCGAGAATCTGATCAACGTAATTGTCTCACGCAACGCTCAATTGGTATCACAGCCTACTACGAGATACTCATTCCTTCCAAGACATAGTGGTGGTGGGACTTAGTATTCAGATTGGCCGTCACAGGACTTGCTTGTCCACATGGACGGAATTTGCAACATCGGCATAACTTTCGGCTATTGCTTCCAAGGTTGCTGCACTTATTGTCCGCCGATTGCAAACATGAAGCAAACATTAGCGGTGTCATGTACTCGTGGGGACTGTCTGAATTCGCGGTGATTCTAAAATATCACGCTGGTTGATATATCTATCCCACGACGAAACGAAAATGTCGACTGGATATCGAAATCCCTCATGTGAATTGCCAAAGAAACCATCGTTGCCTATCTCGTGCGCCGTAGTCAGAGGCAAAGACAAGACTCCCTTGAACTGAACCAATTGCGCCCCTGGTTGATATTTTTATAATTGCAATAGTGTTCTCCGGGTCAAATCGAGAATCGAGATATCATTCAGGCTCGGACGCCAGTGCACAAAAAAACTCGGAATTTCCGCGGACTCCTTTCCCCGCACCTCTTAGCAAAGCACAGAAGGAGAGAGAGAAAGAAAAACAAAGGGTTTTGTATCCACAACCTTGTTTCTGGACCCATTGGCCTAAGGTATCCTCCCGGATGCTTAACGTCAGATTTTCTCCGAGATCTCGCATATTGGACCCATAACCCGAGCTATGTGAGCACTCAACCTTAAGCCGCGTTTGAATAATACAATGCTCCATACTCCGTGCTCCCGTACATGCCGTACATGATTCCCGAGGTCATTGCTTGACCGGGTGGAGTTTGGCAGATCCGGCTATCAAACCCGGTAATATATCGAGAAACCGCCCCAATAAAATCTCCGAGCAGAGATTCGTTTGAATAAGCTTATAGGATTACTACATTAGATCTAAACTCAATCGGCACATGTCTGCCCAGGTGCTCTGTGCCCAGTGTCAGTCGATCTATGGGTATTGTTAGTACTAGGTATTTACGGGTGCTACTCCACCATAATCGGACGGCCTTCCAAGGTTGTCCGAGGTCTCAAGAATTACACTTGAGAGTTGACTTCAACTGTGCTAAGTTTCCAAGGCTGTGGGTGCTCATCCATGATGTAGGATCTCTACCTAGGTAGAATCCGGCAATATTTCTTCTAACACGTCCTCGCGTGAGATTATCTAGTTCCAGACTCCATGTGCATGGTTGAACGGAGTACATGCACATATGCTGCTGAATCCATCTCCCACCTGGGCAATGAAGTGTATATTGCAGAATATTACCTAGGTATGTATCAAAAAGCATTCGTACATCTCATTATGAATTTTGTTTCCAACGAAGAAAATCCAGAACATCAGGATGAACGGTGCATGGAGCAAAGCGGGCCAAGAAGAGACATTGTGACAGTGCGCTCACGAAGGGCTATGATAATCCAGACCAGCTTACCCATGGACGGAGACAACCTCGGGAGTATGGGCTACTCATACGAGTACCTAGTATGGTTTGATTTGTAGATCTGGGATTGAGTTTATGTAGTGTAATTTTAATGCATCTCTCCCGTCTCGTTCCACTTTTGATGGCTTCTTTCACCTCGTGGGTAGTTTGAGTCTTGAAGGACGAGGCCGCTAAAGCCCACTGGAGTCTGATCTGGAATCTCTAGGCCTGATTTTGAGTTTACTGGACGAACATTTTGTTCAACTACTCATGGAAAATAAATAGTACTGATGAATAACCCACTGTGTGACGGTCTCGCAAAATATGATGTTGGCGATAGTGAGCATGAAGCAATCATGGCTAGACTTCAGGCGAATTCCATTTTGAGGCTTGTAGGTTTGTTTTGTCTAGGAGCTTGCCTGCCACGTTCTAAAACTCGCACTCTCGCTATCTCTCAGTATACACTGTACTTCGTGCAAAATATAGAGCAACCCTCATGGCCTGTGCCTTGGCTCTACGTGGAGCTTTCCTGTCTCCCCATTGGACCCTGACAGAGCAACAAAGTCATGGAATTCCAGGGTTGAATGTTGTCTTATCTCGATGTAATGCATATGACTTGTAACTTCAAGACCTCTACAGTACAGTATACATCACATTAGATAATGCATGCAACTATTGCAGGACTATTCAAATAATAGCCCGAGAATCTGCCAGGGGGTCTGATTTCAACAAAGCGCCAAGGGTCAAGAACAAGAGCTGACAATGGAGGTCTCTGAGCTTTGTGAATTTCTAGGACCGAGGGTGAAGAAGTCGGGTGATCCTTTACCCCTTACATGCTAGCATGTGAATTGAACTCTGAGATGAGGATGCGATCCTTTGTGTCAGCTAGACAGCTAGCCCTGGAGGCTCCACGGTTCGTTTCCATTGGAACAGATTCCCGTACCATCGAACCAAGCGGGGAATTAGCGGAACCTGTACGGAGTAGAGTTTTGATTTTTTCTCACTCCACCCTGCAGGAAAAACACATCCGCAAGAATCAGGGGTGTCGACGAAACTGCTCTGGAATCATACCAGAAAAATATCGCATCATACCCACAAGCCCCTGAACGATACCTGTATGGAGTCCAGGGTACTCCGTAGCAGTACGGAGTACTCATACTGCAATAACAGTACCCAGTCCAAAGGTGGAAGACCAAGGTTTCATGGACCCACCGGGACCCACCCGCACTGTCACAGACGAACCATGGTCAGGGGTCAGCCACTCGTACCTTTCACAAAAAACTTTTCGATCTGAGACCCACCTTGCATACACGGGACAGCTTCAGCTCTCAGCTACATCTTGTTTTCTCATTACCGAAATGAGTTGACCTGGGATCTTCGCGCTCCTGCTACGTTCTAGGTAAATGGCTTGAATTCGAGTATGTCCACTCTATGGAGTACTTTACATTACTCCGTACTCCGTGTATTAGTTCTGGAATAGTCTACGGTACTTAGTACTCTGCAGTATTCCGGATACCAGTGGTGATAATGTTATCTCAAGCTGTAGGCACCCGTGAAAAGCCAAGATGTAATAAGTACAGCCTTATCCCAACAGATTTCCGCATGGGCATTATCATGAGCTGGATTCGTGGACGTGGCCACGGCAACCTAGAGCTCGGCATAACCTAAATACTGTACCCTGTTCTGTCCGATCGACCCGATCAGATTGATAGTTTGAGCTGGTCCACTCAGCTCAGCCAGAAATGATGGGTCTCAAGTAGCGCCAGATAGAAGTGGGTCTGGTTCGTCACAACAAAGTCAATGATCTGGCAAGCCGGTTTATTACACAAAGCACACGGAACAATACATTTTATGACACAAAGATCCACCGAGCGGAAGATTCTGGTGGAAAGACCCAGCCGGATGAGGTCGAAACGCGATGTCCACTTGCTATTCGGCCTGTTTCAGCATGATCTTCCCACCGGAAGAACCCTCCAGTGGTCCGGTCAACAATCCGACCAGTCGGGGAACTGGGGGCATTTCAGGCACAGGAGGCGCCATTTAATATTTTCCACCCCTTGCGGTCCGCTGTTTGTGAAGCTCGCAACCATGTTCCGGGGTCCCAAGGACGGCCTGCTTACATAGCTTATTTCGACTTCAGGGGGGGGCAACCCTACTTCGAGGCCATTTTAGACAGAGAACACACCCAGAACATGAGGAATGGATCAAGCATTGGCGCGAGTTATCCTACCCCTTTCGACGGGGAATATGCAGGTGGATTTCAACCAAGATAATGGAAGCTCATACTTGTATGCCAATACGATGTAACAAAGCGTCTCCAGCAGATCGATCAGCATAGACTAGCGAGACTAAAGTCGGAGCGACTCGGTGGCAGAGTGGATACATGTCCAAGAGATCGATCGTAGGAACCATTTGACGAGATAGTGATGCTCTCGGGTCTCAAATCCTCGAGAGTCCAGGCCACAGCCACGACGCTGCCAAAGCACCGGAGAGTCTGCTATACACTGCATACTGCATACTGCCAGAAGGTACAGTAAATTACGGTGTGGAAAAGTCAATCGTGTTGATATGGACCCAGTGGAGCAGACCGAACTCTACACCCCACCGCGACCAAGATCGTCTGCCGCTGATCTACATTATTGCATTTGATACAATTTGTGTACGAGGTTCAGGTGGGTCACGATCTCTGCTTTATTTACTTTCTCTCTGCTGTTCGTAATCCGTTCTTGCTTCCAGTTTTCCTTCTCATCTTGCTTTCACTCTTGCTCCGGGTTGGACGTACAGACAGAGAGAAAGTTATTCATATCCTTAATCTTTCACAATGCTTCCTCCCAAGCCCACAGCTCACACGAGCGCCACTCTCGGGATCTGGAGACGCCTGCGAGACCTCAAGAGCCGCGAGGAGCAGATCGTCCTCGACGGTAACAACCTTGACATTGCCTCCATTGTTGCCGTGGCCCGCCACGGTGCCAAGCCCACCATCACCGACGACCAGGACATTGCCAAGCAGCTTGACCTCTCCGTGAACACCCTCTCCGAGTACCTCACTCACAACTATGTCGTCTACGGTGTCAACACCGGCTTTGGTGGAAGTGCCGACACTCGTACCAACGAGCTCATTGACCTGCAGACCCATCTGCTTCAGTTCATCCAGAGTGGTATCATCACCGCCGCCGACAAGGATCCCTCCAACAACTGGGAGCGTGAGCCTTCCCGCGTGATGCCTCCCTCTTGGATCCGGGCAACTATCGTTACACGAGCAAACCAGAACCTCCGAGGCCACAGTGCCATCCGCAAGTGTGTGCTTGACAGCCTCCTTGACCTCCTCCACAATGATATCATCCCCATGGTTCCTCTGAGGGGTACCATCTCCGCATCAGGAGATCTGATGCCCATGTCCTACATTGCCGGTGCCATTACTGGTAACCCCGATGTCTTCTGCCAAGTTGGCAAGGGTTCCAAGACCAGGGTCATGCCTGCTTCCGAGGCGTTGCAGCAGAGCGGTTTGTCCGCCTCTGGACTCGGCCCCAAGGAGGGTCTGGGTCTCATCAACGGCACTGCCCCCTCAGTGGCTGTTGCCAGCATGGTCCTCTACGACACTCAGCAGCTTGCTCTGCTTTCACAGATGCTTACTGCATTCTCTTCTGAATGTTTGGCCGGTAACGTCGAGTGGGCCCAGCCCTTCTGCCACGACACACGTCCTCACCCCGGACAAAGTGAGGTCGCTACCAACATCCGTCACTTCCTGAAGGGCTCCCAATTCGTCGTTGGCTTGACCTCCCGCAAGAAGACTGGTGAGGGTCTGTGCCAGGACCGTTACTCCACCAGAACCGCTCCCCAGTGGGTTGGTCCCTACCTTGAGGATCTCCTTCTCGCCCAGGAGCAGTTGGAAGTTGAGCTCAACTCCACCTCAGACAACCCCATTGTGGACACCAGTGACCTCAGCGAGGATGCCGAGGGTGCCGTGTACTCTGGCGGTAACTTCCAGGCTGCCTCCGTCACCTCCGCCATGGACAAGGCCCGTCTCTCTATCCAGATGATTGGTCGCATGCTCTGGTCCCAAGTCACTGAGATCATCAACCCTGTTACGAATAACGGCCTCGAGGCCAACCTTAATGCCAGTGATCGCGAGAACTACACCATGAAGGGTATTGATATTAACATGTCCGCGTACATGTCTGAGCTGGCTTCCCTTGCCGCTCCCGTCTCTGCTCACGTCATGTCCGCCGAGATGCACAACCAGGGTATCAACTCTCTGGCTCTCATCTCTGCTCGTCGCACCATGGAAGCCGTGGATCTCCTTGCCCACATGAGCGCTTGTCACCTCTTCGTCTGCTGCCAGGCTGCCGATCTCCGTGCCAACCACAAGCGTTTCATCGCCAGCCTCCAGAACATGGTCGCTGACACTACCGCCAGTGGTGCCCTGAACGGTCTCGGCCTCTCCGCCGCCCAGATCGCCACCCTGAGCACCTCATTGTTCCCCATTATTGAAGATGCCTGGTACAAGGCCAACACCAACTGCTGGAAGGACCGTGTCACTTCCGTGGTCAAGTCTATCACTACCCCCATCACCGACTTCTTCGCATCTACCGGACACGAGTGCACAGTCGCCCAACTTATGACCTTTAAGAAGAACTTCGAGACCGCCGTCCACGATCTCGCCTCCACTATGTACTACCCCGGTCCTGTCATCTCTTCCGAGGAGGTGTCCGCACAGCTCGGCCAGGGAACCTCTCAGCTCTACAACTGGGTGCGCTCCAACATTAATGTTCCCCTCCACTGCGGTCTCAAGGACGACCCCTTGTACAACGCCCAGCAGGGTCTCCCCACCGAGGGCAAGAAGTCCGTCGGCAGCTGGGTCAGCATCGTCTACGAGAGCATTCTCAAGGGCGGCATGATGGAGATGGTCATGAACGACTTGGACGGTTACGCTGTCGCCAGCGCCAAGCCCGTCAACGGCGCCTACGCCAACGGAAATGGAGTCCACGCCAATGGCACTAACGGTACCAATGGTGTTAAGTGTTAAGATGTAATGAAAGAACGCCGATCGGATGACCCATTGAGGTGTTTTGTTTAATATATATAGAGATTTCTTTACATAGCCATTTTGCCTAATATACGTCTTTTCATTCTCTGAATTTTCGATCTCACTGCACCTAGTACATGGGTTTAACTGAAACCCTCAGGGTGCAGGTTATAGCGTCATAGTGGCTTGGTAGCCTCGCCTTGGGTCTCACACCGTCCGTGACTTGTGGAGAACACACTGCCAAGCCCATACAATGGACCCATTTCTTTGCATGAAGAGCGCCTCGACGCCTATCGCAGCCCCAAGATCTATATGACCATGCAGCAAGTGTGTAGCACAACCCTGTGAACCCCTCTTTTGTAGATGCAGTGTGATAATGACATCAAGAGGTCCGAGTCTGCTAGTACTTTATGCTTTTCCTTCCTCGGAGAATTCTTGAATTTCCAGGATTTGAGCAGACGCACAGAAGGTCCAAGTTCCACCTTCAAATGCTTACAACCTTGTGGATAGCAGTTCTAGTGACTGCAAGCCTTGGTGCTGTGACACTTTTCATTCGTCGGAAACAATTTCCACTTCCCCCGGGCCCTCGAGGCATCCCAATCGTCGGGAACTTGAGAGATCTCCCGAGCCCAACGCAGAAAGACTGGCTGCACTGGCTAAAACACAAAGATCAATATGGTATGTGAGCTGCCTAGGTGGTGAATTTGCAAAGATTTCGGGTACTCACTCTTCACACAGGGCCTATTAGCTCGCTAAGTGTTTTGGGAACTCATATCATAATCCTTAACGATGCGCGATTAGCTGTCCAGTTATTGGAGAAGCGGTCGTCCATTCACTCGATGCGCCCACAGCAGAATTTCACTGATATGTACGATATTTCATTCAATGTTAAAGATCACAGCTGACTTGAATAGGTCCGGGTGGAATAATGTTCTTGGCGCACGCAGGAACCCAGAACATGTTCGCAAAACCCGTAAATATTTGTATCAGGAGATCGGGTCCAAGAAGTCTGTTTCGGCCTTTGATCATGTCCAGAGAGCAGAAGTTAGTCACTTCTTGCTGAGGCTTTTGAATGACCCGAGCAAGCTTCAGCAGCATATACGAAAGTGGGTTTATTGTGTCCTCGACCGTCAAGCCATGATTAATGCTAATATGAGCAGAGAGGCTGGCGGGATTGTTTTGAAAATCGGCTATGACTATACCATCGAGCAACATGATCGAGATCCCCTTGTGGATTTGGCTGACAAGGCCATGGAGGACTTTTCCATTGCATTGCTCCCAGCGACTTGGGCGGTCGACTTCATACCTATGTGTAAGTGCAAACCGGGCAGATCTTATTCAATGCTGCTAACGATGTTGATAGTGAAGTATTTGCCGACCTGGTTTCCGGGCGCGAAGTTCAAAACCATCGCAGCAGAGTTTAACAGAAGACAACAGGCCTTCAGTGACATACCCTACGAGTTTGTCAAGCAGCAGATGAAGAAAAACTGCGCTCCATCTTTCTTGTCCAATCTGCTTCAGGACAACCCTCTAGAGCACGGAAGCGAAGAAGAAAACATTGTGAAATGGTCAGCCGGATCCCTGTATGCTGGAGGAGCAGACACAGTACGTACAAAGGGCTCCATCATCTGCTTGCAATTGAACTAACAGACCATTAGACAGTGTCCTCAATTGCAAGCTTTTTCCTCGCCATGGCTTTGTTCCCCGAGGCACAACGTAAGGCCCAGCACGAACTCGATACGGTGCTTGGGGAGAAGCAACTTCCGCAGTTTGATGACAGGGAAAACCTCCCTTATATTAACGCACTGGTCAAAGAGGTACTTCGGTGGCATCCAGTCGTCCCCGTGAACCTAGTACATACATCCAACGAGGATGATATCTGTGAGGGATATTTCATCCCCAAGGGATCCTCCATCCTAGCCAACATCTGGTACAAGTTCCAACTTCTCGAGCCGAAAAAAACATGAACTAATGTAATTTCCAGGGCGTTTACACATGATCCAGAAGTCTACCATGAGCCCATGGTCTTCAACCCCGATCGCTTCCTAGCTTCCTCGGATCAAGTCCCGGAACGAGATCCGCATCTACTGGTGTTCGGATTCGGACGACGAGCATGCCCTGGCCGTACGTTGGCGGATGCAAATGTATTCCTGACTCTTGCACAAACGCTAGCCGTCTTCAACATATCAAAGCCACTCTCGAAAGGTGACCGAGATTTAGAGTATGATTTTATTCCGGGTGTCATTAGCCATCCTGCCCCGTTCGATGTGTCTATCCAGCCACGAAGTGACGGACACAGAGAGTTGATTGTTTCGCTTGAGGAGAGTTATCCCTGGGAGAAGAGTGATGCGGACCTTCTCCCATCTGTGCAAATATAATGATTGAGTGCATGATGCTGTGAATGAGATGGAAAGGGGTCTGAAAGTCTGGACTGTTAGTTATGGGATACAATTACGTACCTAGTCAATGTTTCTCAATTTTGGTCTCGCATTGCAGCATTCTGGTGGGAATGGCTCGCTTTCTGATCAGCCAAAACATTGCACGGAGGACAGAAAGTGTATACTTAGGTATATGTTTGCACAATGCTGGTTGGTATTATCGTGAACATTGAATACACAGACGGGGCTCTATGACCTCTCGATCATCCCGAAAATTTTGTTGAGATGAGGGTGGGGGGATACTGACCATTAAGCAAGCATCTAGACCTGGACAATTCAGCAAACTGTTTCCAAATATACATAAGTCTCCATCATCATGAACATGGGGAGATAGTTCCCATACATGGTAACTACGGAGTACAATAACATGAACTCCGGGCCCCGGCGGGCCGGGATGTTTGAACATTGGCGCCTTAGACCTCAGGCGACATATTCAGGCGGCAATCTCAGGCGACAACGATCGGTGGGACCAGGCAGAATTGCCAGGAACAAGTCCGGGGATTCAGCTTCCCCCTCCGATGCCCAATTGTGTTGTTTCACTCTGCATTGCCTTGGCGCGATCGGGTTTTTGTGATTTAGCGGGGTGAATCGAATCGGTGATTTTCTTTGTTTACATCGTTGGTCCGCGCGCCCGCAATTGCGACCGTTGCTCTCACCCGATAACCCGTTGAACCATGTCGGGCAAACCAGGCAACGAAAAGACATTTGTCTGCCCGGGGTGTCTCAAGGGCAATTTCAAGAGCCTCCATGCTGTCAAAGTTCATTTTGAGGCAAAGGGTCACCCTTTGAAATGTGTACCATGTGAACAATCTTTCGATGGGCTGAAACCATTGCTCAATCACTGCATGGGACATGCGCAGCAGGAAGACTCCGCTCCCAAGCGCCCCCAGAAACAGGAACAGGGCCCTGTCCCGAACAAAGTTCAAGTCTCAAAGCCCGTGGATACAGCTCCAGCACGCAAGTCAAAGAAGGGCCAGCAACTTCAAAGTCAAGAGGATGCGTCCAAACAGGCTGCCGTGCAACCCCAGAAAAAAGAGCAGATCGTTGATGACTCTCAGTTGCAGTCAAAGCCTCTGAGCTCAACAACATCACGGAAGTCAAAGAAGGCTAAGCAGGCTCAGAACCAGGATGGCGAAACTGTCCCCACCAGTATCGCTGGAAAAGCAGCTCCTAAGCAAGTTCAAAAGTTCATCAAGGGTCAGGACCTATCCTCCGTGAAGGCAGCAGAGGCAAATCAAAAGCCCGCGCCAGCTCAGGCCCAACCCCAACGTTCTCAGAAGTCTGATAAGGGGAAGGATCGCCCGAAGACGAACAAAGCAGTAGAAATACTAGCTCGACCACGTCCTCAGTCACCGTTACATTCCGTCTTCTCGGCTGATCCCAAGTCCCAGCCGAACTCATCTTTTGGCTTTGGTGATACGCTGCTTGATACTTCAGAGCGTGAACGTGAAGCCGCCCGGAGTTTGACCCGAGCTTCTCAAAATGAAAATTTCCAAGTCGTCCTCGAGCCACTGGAACAAAATTTGATCTTCCGGTACTTGTTGGCGCGCTGTCATTCAGATACCCGTTTGGCTAAGCATGGCTATACATTCCAGCCTAGTCTGAATGATACTTATAAGCGCCCATCGAAGCAATGTCCTATCAAGAGGGGGCTCTTCCGCGAAGTTCCTCGGTGGTCTTCGGACAACACGCCGAAACGACGAGCCATCGTGCTCGATTGTGAGATGGTTCAAGTCGAGGAAGGACGTCGAGAACTTGCATTCCTAAGTGCCATCGACTTCTTAACTGGAGAGGTTCTGATTGACAATTACGTACAGCCCAACGCAAAAGTCGTCAACTGGGATTCTCGGTTCAGTGGCGTAACCCCCGGCGCAATGAACAAGGCTGTCAAGAAGGGAATAGCCCTGAAGGGCTGGGAAGGCGCACGCGCAAAGCTCTGGAGCTTCATGAACAGCGATACTGTGCTTATCGGCCATTCGCTAAACAATGATCTAGACGTCTTGGGCATGATCCACTGGAACATTGTTGATTCATCCATTATGACCAGCGAAGCCGTCTTCCTCAATATCCACTCGGGAGAGCAACTTACCCGCACATGGGGTCTGAAGACCCTCGCCCTCGAGCTGGTTAACTACGAAATCCAAGTCGGCAAGAAGGGTCACAGTGCCCTTGAAGATGCCCACGCCACACGAGACGTGGTCATCTGGTGTATTCGGTACCCAGAGCTCTTGAAGGCGTGGGCCGATAATGCCAGGGAAGAGGAGGTGATGCGCGCACTCGAACGGGAGATGAAGAAGACGACTGAGAAGGAACAGCTTGAGGAACAGAGGAGATTGGAAATGGAGTCCAGAGTTCAGGCTTTGTCGCAAGGCCTCACTGGCATGTCTGTCGATGAGCCTGCTGAGGAGTCCGAGTCCGAGCATGAGTCGTGGCCCATGATGGTAGGGGGATACGATCGGGTTGCATCAGTTGAATTCTTCTGATTGATGTAGAGTTCCAAGCCTGACATAACGATAGCGCAATTGACATATTATTCACTTCTCTCACCCCCGTAAATTGATAAACTACTAGGTACATTCCTAGTGGTTTCGAGGTACAGTTAATATCCAGCAGGTAATTATTCTACGGCCAGGTTTACGGAGTACCCATGGTATAGCAACTATAGTACATAGGTAGGTATGCCAATGTCTCAAGTTGGAATAATCAAATTTGGGCACATCAATTAGCCCTGGATGTCTCGGTAAGATCTGCAGCCCCGTAGACTAGTCTCGTACTAACTTCCCGTTCATGTGTTATTTCCCTGCCTAGACTAGGCAGATCCACAAGGCTGCAAATTCTGACGAAATTCATATAAATCCGACGTTGCCTGACGCGGCTCGGGGAAGAAACCCGGGCCAAGACCGCACTAGACAAGGATGTCACCTTAGCCGTGCGATCGACAGCAAAGCCCTACGAGATCATGCATATTACTGGTCCTTAGCTCGACTGCCAGAATATGTACCACGGAGTACTACATAGTCCAGGGTACGGTTGAAAAGGATGAAAACGTTCACGGATTGAGGAAACGAAAAAAACCCGGGTATCAAATTCGCACTCGAGAGTGCATACATACATCTTTCTCGCGAAGACAACTTTCATACATACAAGTACAGTTCCAAGGTGAAGTGCTGATTGCAACCGGAGCAAGGTCCAGAAATCTTGAATCAGTCGGATCCTTCGACCTTGATCTGTAAGACAGCAAGGTGTACATGCCCACAAGCTCCAGAGATTAAAAGTGCGCCAAGCCAGACGCCATGTACAGAATGAAATAGAACAGAAAAACCAGACCCAGACGCCGCGTGCATCAATGATGCAATATGTGTAAGGTCATAGCAGACGGTGGTATAGGTATGTGAAGGGAGAAGAAAGTAAGGTCGTTTCACGTATTCCCGGTATACATGTACCAGGTGATGGTATCATGTGCGGGACAGTATTTCAGGGTGTGTGCCTGGGCAATTTGAAGCCCAGGTAGCTCACAGCTATCATGACTTGCGGGCTTTGCAAAGCCAGGTTCGCCACCATTTGCAAACGCCAAGGACAGCTGTGCGGCCATCGTCTTTGCGTTCGGTGCCGTCTGGATTGCCCAGGATCATGGAGAAAACCCAGAAGAATGCTGCGATCCAGGCTAGGAGAAGGATTGCAAGACTGAAGAATGGCGATAAAACCAAGACAGCCATCGATTTTCCGATGCTGTAGACCTCGCTCGGTTCCGAGAGGACGGATGGTTGGTCGGATTCCGGGTCAGAGCGAATCCACTGGGTCGATGACGATCGGTCCTCGATAGATGGAGGCCGGATGCAGACTAGTCTTTCGTGGATGTGGAGAGATGGAGAGAGGAGGTCGCATAGTTGAGAGACAAAGGTTGTAGAGCGGAGGTATTGAGAGAATGCACAGAGGCGGAAAGGTGAGATAAGGAGGGCAAATAGGAAGGCGAATATAGCATAGAAGCATGCGCCGAAGGAGTATATTGGAACAATGGTGAGGCGGAACTGTCAATGCGGGTTAGTATAGTACAGCAAACGGTTATGTTTCCAATACATACCAACATCAATAGAGCATCATGGCCCTCGTGTGTTACGATGTCGTCACTTGGAATGCCTCGCTTTCTCACCCGGGTGATGCTGGGGTTGGAATGTTCTCCCGACATTAATGACGGTCGATCCGTGATGCTACTCCGGACCCGCTCTTCCTTGTGTGCGCCCAAGGTCGAGCCTGCTGGGAACGAGTCGTTATCTCGAGACTCGGACGCCGGCCAGGAAGATCCTCCTTGCGTCTGGTGGTAGACACGATAGCCCCGGGAGGCAGATGTGCGGGGACTCGCGTCGCTTGCGAGAGATGAAGGTCGAGATCCGACGGGGTGGCCCGGGATGGGAGATTGTTCTTGAGATCGACGAGCGGCCGGCGGGGGAGTGACGATCGAGCGATGTGTTCCAAAAGGACCCTGTTCCTGATAGTAGGCGGGACTATGGGACATCTCTGGCGACCGCATGGCCGGCGACGTAGCGAGGGACAGGACGTGAAGACGAGGTGAGTCGTACAAGGCAGACGCACGGAGGGCGACTTAGTGTATGTAGAATTCACCGCATGGTTCCCATGGTCTGTTCTGGCATAGGGGCACCGGATTCACTGGTCGGCGAGGTAAAGGAGGGGCGGGCAGGAGTGGGCGGAAGAGAGAGACTTATAAAAGTCCACGGAGAGCCGCAGCTTGAAAGAGCGGAAAGGCCAGGAAAGCCAGGAAAGGCCGTCCCAGCCAGCGGAGGAGCATTTTCCTGCTGTTTGCAGTCCCTCTCGCCAAGACGCCCAGATGCCGAGCCCTTGGCATCGAGTCGAGCCTTTAGTACTCCGTAGGGTACGCAAACCCCTAGCCGGTGGGTTTCGTCCATATTCCCACCTCAGGCAGTCGACATCCAGTGTGTCGGGCACCTTTCCTTTTTTTTCCCTTTGTCGGACAAGATGTGAAGTTGTCCTACCGTGAGATCAAAAAGCCGATGGACCGTATCGGTCGAATGGTGCCGTCGATTACGAGTTCTTACCAAATGCCAAGGCGCCAAGCAGACGCCGGGGATGCTGAGTCGGCAGTCTCGGTCGTCTGATTGGCTGGATTCGACCGTGATCCGCGCTGAGACGAAGCCTGAAGTCTTGGCGGTAATGGCTGTGACGCACGTGATGGTATTTCTCGTTTCCCTTGCTCTGAGGATGCCTGGTTAATCTCGCTCATTGTGACTCTGTGCAGGATGTATACTCCGTAGAATTGATGAAATTAAATCAAGTCCAATCCTGAATGTCGTGGCAGGGACTTGGAAACCACTGCGCTTCCAAGCAGAGGTCCAATACTCTTACCTAAACTTTCCTCAATAATTGTCCTCGGGCTGCATTAGCTGCGGCAAATCACAGACCTGCAAGCATGACATCTTGATACCTAATTCTTGGCGGTCCCCTCCAAAGAACTGACCCTGACAGGAAGACTCTTGGAGAGTCTTGGCCCCTCATCTCTTTTCATTCCGCTGTCGCAGTCAGATGAGTCTCCGTGGCTGAGCGAATCAGCGGGTCCGAGCTGCGCTTCAGAAGCCCAAGGTTTCTTTCTCGTCCGCCGCGGTTACATCTTGGCTGTCAGTGTTTTCCCGTCTGGAGAAGCCTGGGCATCATACACGAGCCCGTATCCTGTGCTTGGCTGAGCGGTCAGGAGTGGTAGATTGCGTGTTCGTTGCTCGGCAGCCAAAACTTGCTCGCTTCCCCCTTCCTTTGCCTGGTCGTGTCTTTCCTGGCGTTCTTGATGCCTGCGGTTTACCCCCGTACTCCGTACCCCAGTACTTCCCGGCGACTTTCATTTTCCGATGCCCAGCTTCATATGATCTTGGTGTCGGACTCTCAACCAACCAGGCCCCTTGGATAGCTCATGTCAGCACGCAATTTAATGATAGATTGCGGGTGCAGATCAATCACGTCGCTTGCAGGTCGAGGTCATCTCATGAACACGGCAATCCGGCAACACATGACTCTACGGAGTACAGGACAGACTGCGCGGCATCGCTGTGAGCCAGATCATCTAATGTTACTCCGTGCAGTCACAGGTGATCAGCACTTTTGTCGATCGGCAAGATCATCTTCCGACGTGTCATCTTGAAGACTTGAGGTCTGTGTGAGACTTCTTGTTTGTCAACTTTTTGGAGATGAAGCTCTTTTGGAGATGATAGAGAATCTGGAGGCCAAGATCTCTTTATTATCCCTCCACATTCTTTTTTCTGCCACTCAGTACTCCGTACCCCGTGCTTTGTCTCACAGCTTTATCATCGGCAACCATGGCCCCTCTTCTCTTTTGCTTTATATGAACTCCGACTTGTTGTTGAGTTTCACTTTCAAACAAACATCCATGAATATAGGTACAAATGAGTGTTTAGTCATATGTAGTCATGAATCATCGAAGTCGGAAGATCCGGGACTCGAATTGCCACCAATTCTACCAACCGCTCGCTATGTGCTCCGAGGTCTGGGAAAACTAGCTCCGACGATCTTAGGGTTAAGAACAATACCATCTCACCAACACCAAAGCTCGTCAGCGTGGCGCAGGTTCCATTCCTTATGAAATCCCCTCACTATTGGCATCAATCTTTTCTATCTAGTCGAGCTCGGCGCGCAGAAGACTAACCCTAAGACTAATCTATACGGATGAACAGATCCCATTTTGTTTGGCGGTACGCCTTTTCTTGGAGCGCCCGCCCCCTCTCTCCACTAGTAGATACCGGAGGTAGCTCTCTTTCTGCGTTCTATCTTCCAACCAACCAAGCTTTGAATCATAAATTGGACCAGAATCGCTCGTTTCTTCTTCCAGTAGTGCTTCCAAGAAGCCTCGATCAATGTTTCAAGCCAGGGTTCTCTTTGAGATCAAGGAACAAATCTTACGCTGTGCTTATGGAAGCAGACAAAATGAACAGAGCTGATCGACAGAAAAAATACATGGCTAGCTGTGGCATGAATAAGGACTTATGCTAAGGATTGAGGAATTGATATATGAACCTTGGAACAATACCTACCTACCTAGGTAGGTAGTAACACATCAACAACACTGATTTCACAGGCCCATTCAAAGGGATTGATTGAATAGCTCTGACGAAATGGATCGCCGAAAAGAGCATCGGAGGGTGTACGAAGGGAAGGAACAAGCCCTGGAATTGCTACCTAGTACCAATTATCTGCATACCTATGTAGGTAGTCAACTCCTTTCAATTATATACATGCTTGAGCTTTAGTTGGCTTCACTTCACTTCATAGTAAAGTTACTAGTCAACAGCGCCACGTAGAGGCCAAAGCTCGTTGCTGTTGTTAGAGGTGCCTCACAGAGACGCTCCTGGTCACACTCCAAACAGAGGTGCCGCACAGGGCGCAACCGGTCACACTCCAAAGTTCAAACAGAGGTGCCTCACAGAGACGCTCCTGGTCACACTCCAGAGTCCAAACAGAGGTGCCGCACAGGGCGCAACCGGTCACACTCCAAATTGGTAAAGTCAAATACATATTTAGTCCTCAGTTATCTTCGGACGCTCTCTCTGCTTCCTCTGCTTCACAAACAAGCGACAGCATAATTCTCGCAAAGTCACGCATCTGCTTAGTGTCTGCGATATCCCATTTGCCGAATTCCCGCATCACCAAAAAGGATCCAATGGGAAGGATACCGGCGGGCTCATCGGTTGTTTTGTTCTTGTCACCGATGTAGTCGAGGTGATTCTGAGAGAAAGTTGCCTGAGTGAGACGTATCTTAGTTCCTCCCTGCGATACAATGACCCGACTTGAAAATTGCGTTAGCGTGTCTTCCATTGTTTCCGAAGGGGTCTACTCACCGTGATGGCCCCGACTTCCGATTCTTACGATGATCGTGCATGATCCATGCAATCATCTCTGCGGACTCTTGAGCGTAGACCGACCATCCAGTGCCACGGTTTCGGATCTCTTTCTTGACCTCGATAATCGCGTGGATATCGTCGGTCTTGTATGACTTCAAGACACCGTCGATGTCTGGTTTCAAGGAGGTACTTCCCACGGGAATCGTACCAAAGGAGCCCCGATCAGAAATCCAACTGCACGAAGTTGGATGCTTGTACACTTCCATTGCTTGTAGAAAAATGATAAGCGAGTCATTGACCGTCTGTTCTGATGAGACAGGTATGGTGGAAGCAAGGAGCCAGAGAGAAGTGATGAATTCCCCAGGGAGATAATGAAGGGAAAAACAAAGAGAGGGAGAGAACGACTTCGGGGGTTATCTAGGGAAACATCCATGGATGGTCACCTGACTGGGTAGCTCTTTCCAACCTTGGAAGGTTGGAAGCACAATTCGAAGAAGGGAGCAATCAGGATCAATTTGTTGATTCAAAGCTTGGTTTTTTGGAAGAAGAGACAAGGCAAAGAGAAAGAACAAGAAAAGAAAAGGGGAGGAGAGTTATCTACTACAGGAGAAAGGGAGCAGGTGCTCCAAAAAGGACATATCGCCAAAAGTATGGAGTCTGTTCATCTCTACAAGACAGGCTTAGGCGGCTCTTCTAAACTAGGGGGTAAAGGCACGAATTCGAGTCAAGTGGCTTGTTGTAAAAGAAGAAAGGGGAAGAAAAAGAGAGAAAAAGACGAGAACTTACTTCTGGGTGGAGGAAGAGCCTCCAGGCTCCAAACAACGAGCATAATGAGCATGGTCCTGATTGACATGATGGACCTTGCTCAATTTTATTAATATGTAATAACACTCATTTTGAAGGAACCTTCAAGGTAGGAACCTAATGTATATGGAAACAACTCGGCACCCAGTAGTGCATGAATACATTCCATTCAATACATTAACTAACTTATACTCGGCACTCAAGATAGCAAGTGAACTGTAATCTTACAAGCCCTATGAGAAAAGAAACAAATTGCGCCAGCAAAATAGATCGTTGATTGAAGAGAGCGTCGAGGGAGGGATGGTGTGCGAAGGGAAGGGACAAGCCCTGGAACGTCAAGAAACGACTTTCACTCACATCGACTCCTTTAACACCTCACTTTCATCCCCGTCTGCCACCAATGTCGTCGTCTGGACCCCCTCCCCCCCATCAATCAGTAAGTCAGAGAATCAACGTCCATCCAATTTGATATCGAAGCATCTTGGTGTCAGAATGCTGAAGAAGAAACGAACGACTACTCACGAAATTGAGTCCCCGGGGCCCCATTGAATGGAAGCATCAACAGCTACTGACACACTGAGTCGATAGATTGTTTGCGCCCACTGCCGCCGTCGCGGCCATCATGAGATGGATTGCTTTGTCCTTCGGGACAAAGTGGCATCGTTGGCCCTGCTGGCCGAGGCCAGCACCGCCCTTCGGGGCATCAAAGTATGTACCTGACATGATGATATTCCCTTACTATGAATGGACTATCACTGACTAGAATGATTATAACAGAAGCGCGCGCCCGGCCCGCGGGGGGGCAAAGCCCGTACGTTAAGTCCCAGACTTTTCCGTATCCCCCCGGAAAGAAATCGATAGAACGCTAACACTTTGATAGCCAAGAAAGCTCGCTGTACGCGGCATTGTACCCTATGCCTCGGCGCCAGAATACTGACGCAGATTTCAAGCTGGTCCTCCCCCTCCGCCGCCGCCACCTCCTCCCCCCCGCCGCGAGCCCAGTAAGTTACGAGCCAGGTGGTTGCTCAGTATGGCAAGGCTAATAATGGACGAATAGACGCCCGCGCCTCCCTCTCCGCTGGCCTCGGCCCGGCCCGGGCCCAGCCTCCCTCCACTCCCCGGGGTAAGTTGCCAGAGACAAGCGGTTACCAGACATGATAACACTGACAAGTGACTCTAAGGCCGTCGCTCCCCTCCTCAATCCGCCACCCCTGCCGCCACCCAGGGGATGTCTAGCTCCCTCCGCGCCGGTAAGTTTCATCTTCACCAATTTACCCCTTCATCATAGAATCCTTTCCCAGTGAACGATGTCGGCTTGTCATGCGCGGAGAGCTTGCTGTCTAGCAATTCTTGTTCCAGTGGATCTTAGACTTCCAGCCACCTGCCCGAAACTTGTGTTCTGACCTCTAAACCTGTCGTAACAGTGTTGGCCCTGGCTCTCATACTGGACTCCTTGATGAGCTCTAATTTGAAATTGAAGTACAAAAAGACTAACACTATTCCTCTAGAGAGAGAGGCCGTGCGCTCAATGCGCACCCCCGATCGTGTCAAGCTGGGGGGCGAGCCCCCAAAGACTATCTGATCTGGAGATGGGGAGGCCCGCGGGCCTTTTTTTTTTCTTTTTTTAATTTTTTTGCAAAATGAACTCTGCTCCCTGCGGGGAAGGCTTCGGCTCTAAAGAAATTTTCTTGTAGTACGCTCCTCTGGGCTCATGTGGATTTCCATTGATCGTAACAATCTTGCCTGGTTGGTTTGGAATCCACGCCAGGGCTGTCTCTTGTCTATACGGAGTAGAAATGGCCCAGTAGAGCGATGGAAGGTGAGTAATTTTCTACCGAGCTTCTTGCTCCTCTTGAGATCTCTTCTCTTCACGCTCAATTTACTCGGTTTAACCGGACTTACTTTCTGCCAGTGCGCTGCCTCGTTACAGCGTTGACCTCCATTTATGCTTCTCTTCGGAAAATCATAGCAATTCACTCGACCTGTCGCTGCAACTTTCTGGGAAGTTTCATCAAACGAACAACCGGTACCGGTGAATCGGTTATAGGACCATGGACCGCCTTTGAATTGCCTCGAGTGCTGCCTAGACCAGAACCTTCGCAGTTGAAGGGAACCTTAGGTTCACTTGACTTCCGTATGACAAGTTCATTCCCGAGTCTCTTTTGGTTGTGCCCCGGGATGTTACTCATTAGACCATGCTCGTGTCATTCTGTCCATCATTTCTTTCCATCCCCCCCTCCCCCCCAATCTCTCTTAATCTCCAAATTCTCATCAGAATGGGGGAAACAGATCCTCAACCCCGCGCGTTCCTCAAGTCTCTGCTGTGTGAACTCAAAAAATCCGAGTCTGATTTCCTTTCTTCGGGCGACCTCACGAGACTTGGAGTCAAAGCATTCCAAGTCGGCCTAGGAGTCGACGAGGCTCTTCAATTCAACCCTTGCTTTTTTCGCCCTCATCCAGAAAAGGTGTTCGAAAAATACCCAATTTGTCCTGACGAGGACCTTGAATGGTCGTTACGAGATGTTGAATACGTCCGTACATTGGAAGACTTTCAAGCAGGTGCTTTGAAAGACCACTCCCCCGAGGCCGCCAGAATTGAATACAATAAATACAGAGGTGTCGACCAGCATGGTAATTATGATCAAGATTCTATGGAGGTCCTTGAAGAATTCGATACTAGTAATCAAGTCTGTTCGATGTGGAATGCAATGGATTCTCGCATTGACGTGGGTAGACAAGGCGACTGGCCAAAAGCTCATATATGGGGTCTAAGTATTCTGAAGGAGGATGGCCGAGAACGTTGGTTGTAAGTGGCTAGTCATGGTTGATCTTCCATCCTAGTACTGACGATAATCGTGCGCCAACAGTCCTCACTTACCTGGCTATCAACCAGTCATTGAGGGCTACAACCAGCACGGAGTTCCACGCTGGTCTGTTCAGGAATCCTGGCGATGGTTGAATCACCCTCATTCAACAATCACATGTCTTGTGAATGCTGTCTATGTTTCCGACACGAGTCAGGGCCTTACAGTCCCTGAGCTAGAAACCATCGTGACTTTTCTGATTCGCAGGACAAGGCACAGACCGTTCCGTCAATGCCACATTCATCCGGTATTTATTCCTGTTTCCACGGACTGCGATCCTGACTGACGACTGGATAGGTTCTGGCAATATTTTATATGGGCGGTCAGATGGCGAGGATCGTGCAAGCTTCGTTGGTCCAGTGCGAGTTGACTTTGCAATACTCGCCTTGTTGGAGCTTCAATAAGGGAGATGACGCAACGTATGAACTATTCGCTCGGTACGATCTGAGCGTCCCGGTTGATGGTGCCTTTGAATTGCCTATCAGATAGGATCAGTTCCAGTTAAAAAAAAATAATATGAGTTTTGATTTTCCATGCCGTGATCTTTTCGATGCGAACAACTCATACTATTATCCCATGGATCTTTCCAGTTTCGAATCATCCAGCCCGGTTTGACGATACATTGCCTAGCTAACTTGCTTGTTTGTTTGCGGTGATCTAATACTGACGGAATACAACGTTGATGCCGTATAATCTATAACACACTATAGGAAGGAACATCTATGGATAAACAACCCAATATGTTCTTGTCAACACTCTCACGCGTTTCCTCCTTTCCCGTCACTCCTGTCCCACATCAATACCCACCTGGGCAAGAAATTTTCTCTATAAAATGTCTGCATCCATCTCGGCACTTGAGTGCTCCATCTGTCAAACCTCGTCCTCTGGTGCAAGGTCCCTAAACACTCCACAGAATGGGGAACAGACTCCAAGTCATCAAAACCCGATAGGAACTCTCTGAACTGAAAAGGTAAGCTGACTACCGCCCCAGGGCTCAAGTACTTCCAGGCTGATTTAAACAATAGGAGTTTTTTTGTATGAGAGTGCTGTCGCTCCAGCCACTGAAGGGAACTGAATTCCCAGGTTTCTCCTCGCCATACAGGAGAGGGATGATGCCGAGATGAGCAACTTTCCCCAAATCGAAACCTACTTTGCGAACTACCACAGGGCCCGCAAAGTTCATTCGGATACTGTCATCGCTGGCGATGATTTGCTGAAGAACGAGCTCGGGCTGTGAATCGGCCCAAAGCAAGTCGACATCTCAAGATGTCTATCAGAACAAACGGTCAATGACTCGCTTCTACACACTCTGCAAGCAATCGAAGTGTATAAGCATCCGCAGTTGGCTTTCTGATCGACCTTTTGGTATCATTTCGTTGGAAAGTCATGACAACCTTGGAAGACACCGTCAGTGTCTCGAAATCAAACAAGACTAGAGATATCCATGTGATTATCGAGGTCAAGAAGAGGCGCTGGATTCAGCGCGACGCATGGAATTTCTATGCTCAAGCGTCCGCAAAATCGGTTTGCTGGACTCTCAGACAGTGGGTAACGGCTGTCGCGCTATAGAAAAAGCACAAAAGTGAGATCCCCTTGGATGAAAACATCAACAGTGACTGACACATTGGATTGATAGCTTTTTTGCGCCCATTGCCGCCGACCTGGGCACTCGGAGGTCAACTGTTATGTCCTTCGGGACAAAATGGCGTCGATGGCCCTGCTGGCCGAGGCCAGCACCGCCCTTCAGGGCTTGGAAGTATATACCTGACATGATGATATTCCCTTACTATAAATAGACTATCACTGACTAGAATGATTGTAGCAGAAGCGCGCACCAGAAGCGCAAGGGGGCAAAGCCCGTGCGTTAAGTCTCAGACTTTCCCCTGTCTTCTGGAAGGAAATTGATAGACCCCCGGGCTCCCCGGGCTGCTCGCAGCTCTCATGCGGGTAAGTTGCCAGAGCCAAGTTATTACTCAATATAACAATGCTGATTGACGAATAGACCCCCGGGCTTCCCGACCTGCCCACAGGCCCCGTGCCGGTAAGTTGCCAGAGTCAAGTGGTTACTAGACATAACAATACTGATAAATGAATGACCAGAGCCTTCCGGCTCCGCCGCCGCCACCACCTCCCCCGCCGCGGCCGCCGCCGCCGCCCGTTTGGCGGGTAAGTTCCATCCTCACTACTTTACACCTGTGCCATGAACTTCCTCCCAAGCGAATGATGTCGGCTTACCAGGCGCGGAGAGTTCGTGGTCTAGCAGCTCTTGTTCTATCGGATCTAAGACTGCTGGCCGCCTCTCCGAAGCTTGTGGTCTATTGACCTCTGAGTCTATCGCATGAGCAAGGCACTGGATCTTACACCGAATCCCTAATACGTTCTAGAGTGAAAGTGAAGTACAAAAAGACTAACTAATTCCTCTAGAGCGAGAGTTCGTCCGGGGCCTCAAAACCCCAGTGAAGAAGACCACCGGGGGGCCGCCCCCCAATTCCCTTTAGCTTTGTTCTTTTTTTTTTTTCTTTTCATGTTTTTTTTTTTGACATTTTTTATGGTGGTTGTCTTTTTTTCTTTTTTTTTCTTTTCTTTTTTAAGAAAATGAACTCTGCTCCCTTCGGAGAGAGCTGCGGCCCTTCAAAAAAATTCCTTGTAGGATGCTCTGGTGGGCTCGTGTATTGAGTCCTTAGATTTTCAAGTCCATATATATGCTCGAGGTCCGTAAAGAGAAAGACAAACGTTTTCAAGGTTGAACTTGACCGGATATGTTTTCCGTGCTGCCCATCACTGATATTTTTCAACTTGGAACCTTGGAAGGTTCGAGGCCTCAACACTTCCCTCTGGTCCGATACGGAGTGCAAATTCTGTACTAGGTATTCAAAGACTACCTACCTAGGTAGGTACCCAGTAGAGCAACGCGAACTCTGAATTGGCAGTTGAGGATACGACTGCACTGGCTTCAAGTTGGTATTTCGATGGTTTTGCTACTTTCCGTGAGCTTAGGATCTTATCTCTATTCAAGTTTGTCTTCACTTTGATTTTGTGTGTCGGTGAACATTAAGCTTACCTACCTGTAGCCCTGGAGGTAGTTATACCTACTCCATAGGTAAACTTGGGATACTTGGTACCTAGTAATATTGCTGCACAGCTCTGTGCAGATAATGTGGAGGGTGTACATGTATCCGCAGCGCGGGCAAAGTTCGATACATATACACCGCACACTCGGCCCGCGACACAAACATCAACGACCACAATTTTCCCTCGAGGAAACGATTCATTTTAGTCAGACCTCGGGAGAATTGATCTATAATATCCACTATTCTGCAGACAGCTCAACAGTGCAATGCGGAGGCTCGATCGAATCGCGCCACTGTCCCGGTGAGCAACGCACACGTTGACCTGCAACTTTTCAGCCACCCCCGATCCAGATGTGGGCTAGATTCGAAAGCCAAGCCGACGGGCACATCAATAACCGCCAATTATTACTGGCTTCGCGGTGGAGGGACCAAGGCTTGAGTCCAGGGCGCGACAATCCCACGGATCATACCCCTATCAATGCAGGTGCAACACGACCGGTTACCCAGCAGAAGTACATGTCCACTGAGACCACGCATTCGCATCACTTGAGGTGCAGACCAGTCTCCACGATCCGAAACCGTGATTGCCACGAAAATAATAAATTCAAAATTAAAAAAGCATCTGTGGCTAAGGTGGAAGGTCTCACAAATCGACATCTGTGTTCCAACTGGACCGGTCAGCACTGCACTATCATGTCTTGGCACGACTGGAAACTTTTTTTTTCTGCTTTTGACCGAGATTTGGGATTTTACTTGTCCACTCTATTTTATTATGACTCTGATTATACGGCCCTGATCTGATTATATCCTCCGCGAAGGGCGACAGCCCGAAGTCAAAGTCCCCCCGAATGGACGCCAAAACGCCATGAAGGATTTACCCCCTGCCGTCGACCCCCCTCGTTTTTCATGGAATCAAGTCGCACGGTCATACCCACCGCGCCGAGGGCATGGTGACTGCAGAGACCCGTCGCAGGGGGTTTCTGCTAGTGTTTACCATCTCCGTCAGGATAAATAATGGGCGCCCAACGTCTCCACAGTGGAGCGCAGTGCAGTGGCATGCGCGCGGCAGATCGGTCGCTGGAAGCCCTTGCCGGATTTCCGGGGTGCTTTTGTTCTGGCATGCCAGATGTGCGCTCAGGGGATGATTTGATGCAGTGTGCTGAACGAGCACATTCCACCTCATCGACGCAAGGATGTGCGCAATATATACCGTGGACTGTCCAGTACCTGTAGAAGCGTGTGAGGCCGTACCCGTACAGTAGTCCGTACCCCGTACCCCGTACCTTCGTCCGAAGTACAAGTACGGAACCCGGATGGGCGGCCCCGTATGACCTGAAGATGCCAGCGGCTGTGTATCCCAAGATCTGGAGGTATCAGACCCAAACCGAGGCTCCGAGTCTGGGAACCGTTTCACAAGACCAACCACGCAACGGCTCGGCTAGCAAACCCTGTTTGACAGAAATTGCGGCGTCCCCACACAGTGGAGTTTGGGAAAACAGTCGCCTCCACATGTTCTGTGACGACATTGATATTGGACACAATGTCCTTTTCCGTACCACAAAGAAAAGACCTGTCCGGTTTGGGCTCGATGCGGGTAGGGAGTACGGAAGGGGGGAATTTCTACGGGTTCCTCTTATGGTATGCTCAAACCCTGCAGATTTACTTTCTACTTGGATTGTACCGGAGAAAAAAAAATGTGAAATAGGAGGGTCACTCGATGCATGCAGGCTCCCCGGTTGGGTTGTCTGTGCTGGTCTTGCAGGCATTTGACGTATACCAAACAAAGATAAGAGAGAGAAAAAAAAAAAAAAAAAGAAATCCAATAACGAATTTAAATTTGAGATTAAGAAAAAAAGAAAAGAGCAGAAAAGTCAAACGAGTGACACGGAAATTTCCTGGAGTTGTGGATATCACGGAGGATTAAGTACGGGACATGTTAGAGGCAAAAGGGGGGGAACAGGGATCTGAGAGCTTACCGAGAAGGCCAATGCCGCTGCACGGTCCAGCGCCTCATACCTGAGTTTAGGCCTTGTGGACTAGGCTAAAATCGGAGTGGCACGGAGAACAGTCGCACTAACGTACCTTATAGCGCAACCACGGGGGGAGCCCACCCCGAGGACCCACTCGGGCGCCACTCGGCGTCGTTGTGTTTTGACAAGTGATCCTCTGTAAAGTCCACAGAAAATACGGAGTACCCGCAAGAAATATATAAGGTCGGATGAGGTAGCATAAGGTCATAGCTCGATTGCTTGATGAGATCATGGTGGGGACCAGAGGACACGTACATGAACCAACACTGTTTTGGGAATCCGATGAGTAACAAAGGAGCCAAAGGACGGAAAGAGGAAAAAAAGAGGGCCAAAAAAGAAAAGAAAAAGCAGAAACGGGACACAAAAGAAAAGAAAAGAAAAAAAGAAATAACCGCCAGATCGTTCCCCACCACGCTAAGCCGTTCCTGACCGTCAGCTTTCATTAAATAATCAGTCGTGACGGCCGGGAGCTACGCAACCACTAGCGCCTCTTGGCGAATTTTAGGGAAAGAGCCATCGCCAGCCCCTCGACTCTTTCCCTCTCTTTCCCCCTTAGGCCATCTCCTCAATTCTGGTACCTGATTCCATCTTCATTTCTCCACCTTTCTCTAGCTTCACCTTTCTCTTGTCGTGTATTCTTCTCCACGCGCCTCTCTTTTTCCGGTGTCCATTTTTCCCTCACTACCGGATATTGTCGCGTGCGAAACCGGGGCCTTGGGCGCGATTCTATCGTTTCTCCTCTTCATTAAACACACTGGGACCAACTCTGTCGAAGATTGTATCCAGGAAGTTGTGCGCATTGTGAAAAACGGGTCTTGGGGCACTATTTGGATTGCATCATTGTGTCGCAAACCCGTCCCAGAGTGTGGTCGCGACACAGCTTTATACCTAAATCATAGTCAATCTCGACATGTCTCACACTCAGCCTTCTCCCACCGCGGGCGTGGCTCCGCACCATGCCGCAGCTCATCTGGCCGCGCACGCGCAGGCCAACGGTCATATGCCAGCGATTCCCGTTGCCAACCAGAAGGGAGTTCCATCTCTGACGACGGCTCAAAAGATTGCTGCGCTCAACGAGCAGGTCTGGCTTCAAATAGGTAAGAAAGAGAACGGGTGTGTCGGAATTGGGTCGGGCGCTGACAGCTATCGTTTGTAGGAAGCTTGACCGAATTGATGGGCGACTTGGAAGGTGCTATGAATGCTTATGAACAGGCCCTGCGTCACAACCAGTGGTCTATCGCGGCTATGAACGCCATCTCCTGTATTCTTCGCACAAAGGAACAATTCCCCAAAGCGATTGAGTACTTGCAAAATATTTTGAAGCTCGACCCGAGCAGCGGAGAGACTTGGGGTAGCTTGGGCCACTGTCATCTGATGATGGATAATTTGCAAGAAGCATATACCTCTTACCAGCAAGCTCTGTACCACTTGCGCGATCCCAAGGTAGGCAATCGCCCCTCCGGTTCCCCGGGCGAGTCACTAACCTCTCTTAGGAACCCAAGCTTTGGTATGGAATTGGTATCTTGTACGATCGTTATGGCTCTTTGGATCACGCCGAGGAAGCTTTCTCACAAGTGATGCGCATGGCCCCCGAATTTGAGAAGGCCAACGAGATCTATTTCCGTTTGGGAATCATATACAAGCAACAGCAGAAGTTCAGCCAGAGCTTGGAGGTAAGCCGACCGCTTCGAATCACGGTCGGGTTTTGACTGACTCTTGCAGTGCTTTAAATACATCGTCAGCGATCCCCCACGTCCTCTCACTGAAGAAGACATTTGGTTCCAGATTGGCCATGTTCACGAGCAACAGAAGGATGTAAGAAGCCTCTTTTCACCTTCGTGGTCCCTGAGCTAACAGAATCCCAGTATGACTCCGCGCAATCCGCTTATCAGCGTGTGCTCGAGAGGGATCCCAACCACGCCAAGGTTCTGCAGCAGCTTGGCTGGCTCTACCACCAGCAAAGCCCCGGTTTCCAAAGCCAAGAGAAGGCCATTCAGTTCTTGGAGAAGTCTGTCAATGCTGGTAAGTCTCTCGAACGAATCCATCAGTTCCACGACTAATCGACTATCCTACTAGATAACACCGATGCCCAAAGCTGGTACCTCCTCGGTCGCTGTTACATGTCATTGGCGAAATACCCCAAGGCGTACGAAGCTTACCAGCAAGCTGTCTACCGCGACGGTCGCAACCCCACCTTCTGGTGCTCGATCGGTGTCCTCTACTACCAGATCAACCAGTACCGCGACGCTCTCGATGCCTACTCTCGTGCTATTCGCCTGAACCCCTATATCTCCGAAGTCTGGTATGACCTGGGTACTCTATATGAATCCTGCAACAACCAGATCGCCGATGCTCTGGATGCGTACGGACGTGCCGCCGACCTCGATCCCAGCAACGTTCACATCAAGACTCGCTTGCAGCTCCTCCAAACTCAACTCTCCGCCGGCACTGCTGGCCAGCAGCCACCCAATGCCCCTGCTCCCCAACCACAGGATGTTCATCCCCAAGCTTACCAGGCACCCGGGGTTGGTCAGCCTCCCGCGCCACAATGGGGCGCCCCTGCCCCCATCGGACCTGCTGCACAAGCCCCCGCTCCCCCCAGATCGATTCCTGACTGGAACCGTGGTATCAACGAGCTTCAGTCTCAGCCACAGGGTCCCCCCTCGAATGGTCTCGAGCAGCGCGATGCGCGTCTCCCCGGTGTTCCAGGGCAGAGTCCCCGCCAGGAGCCCGGCCGGGCATTCCCTGACCCCCGTGCCGCAGGCCGCTCGCCCAAGATGGGTGAACCCAGCCCCTACCCACCCCCTCACACCCTTCCCCAGATCGGAAATGCGCCTGCCCCGGGCCACGAACGCGCGCCTAGCGGCGGCAACGCATTCGGGGTCCCACGAGGCGGTCTTCCCCCTGGCCCTGCCGGCCCTCCTGGTGCTAACGGCGGTGGTGCTCCCCCTCCTTACCAGGGCCGTCCCTTCAGCCCTGCTCCTGAAATCCGTCCCATTCGCGATGAGCGCCCTTCTTCTCCGGGATCCGGATACCCCCACCAACAATTCCACCCTGGCCCCGCCCTTACTCCCCAAGTCACAGGTGGTAACTCGATCGCCTCTGGTGCTCCGGCGCCTTCTTCTGCGGCTACCGCAGCTGATGCCGCTGCTCGCGACCGTGAGGATCGCCCCACTTCCGCCATGAAGCGTGGTCGTGAATGGGAGGCCGATGCCGGTCCCATCAAGAAGCTCGCAAACGACGAGAGTCGTGCCCGCCTCGATGACCAGAGCACCCGTCGCCCCAGTCCTCCCGCCCGTCTGCCTTCTCCCGGTGAGATGCAACGGCGCAGCTCTTCGGAAGCTCGTCGCGAGGACGCCCGTCGTGCCAACGAGAACTACCACCCTTCAGAGGCCGCTCATCACCCTCCTACCCTTCCTTCGATCCAAGACATGCCTCCCCACGGCTCTAGCGGGCCTAGCCTTCCCCCCATGACCGAAAGCTCGGCCCCCGCCTCCAACGGTCCTGCCTCAGGGCCCACCTCTGCCAACACTCCCATCAAGGAGGAAGCACCTCGCCCCGAGGCTCCTCCCGCGCACGAGCCCCCCGCGCGGAAGATGGATGTCGATGAGGATTACGACGACGAAGTCGAAGAGGAAAAGAAGGCCGCTGCTGCTTCCAAGGGTAGTCCAAATGGTAGCACCGCCGGCAACCCGGCCAACGGCACCAGCGTGCACCCTGGTACCCCTTCCAAGACAGAGACTTCGGCCTAAAAAAGTCCCCTTTCAGCCTGGCTTTCTGGTTTCGTCTGTTTTAACAACCCCCCTTTCGCTCTCTTCTCCCCCGGTTCCTATCTATCAGTGTGATGTACGGTATGAATGTGCGAGTTACGATGACTGGTGGCTTTTCGGGCGCGTGCGCTCAAACTTCGGTCTTTTCGTTCTCTTACTTTTTTTATGATTTCTTAGTCTCTTTTCACTGTGAATTCTTATTATGGTCTACGCATCTTTGAAGCAACCTTTGTTTGATATCTGGAATTTGGTAGAGTAAACTCAACGTGCCATTTCATGAAATGCTCGATCCCGGTAGACCCAGCCTTTACGTACATCGAACTCTAGGAATATCCATGGATGGCTACTCGGTATTTTGTGGTATTAAGGCCAGGGTTTGTGATATGAGTGACTAGCTTTACTGTACAGTATGGTATTCCAGAACCTGGATGTCCAAGACACTCCAGGGCTCCGTAGAGGGGCCATTGAAGGAGGGTTTGGGCATTTCATGCAAGTTCATAGGCCCAAATGACCTTAATGTACTGCCAACCCACAATGTGGATGAATCTAAACGCATCTTGCCGACCGTTTGCCTTGGCAATTGATCCGCTTGTGGCACGTGACAGGGCCAGGGCACGATTAGCTAATTTTGCTGGTTGTGGGGTGCCTGAGGCTACAGCGCTAACGCCAAGAGTCTCGCTTAGGTTAGCCCACACACCAGGCCTGCAAAATCATCTTCGACATTTCCAGATCGTCACTCCCACCACCTCGACGACTAACGACAACAGGGTCAAGATGTGAGTCTTATCCCATTGATCATATCTCATCGCCATGGAATCCAATTGCTGATCTGCTTTCCCTAACAGGAGTCACCGGAAGTACGAAGCGCCTCGTCACGGTTCGTGAAACACCTTCTCTCGATATCGAAATTTCGAAATTCGGCCTCTGTGTGTGTTCGGTATACTGATTCTAACTCCAGGCTCCCTCGCCTACCTCCCGCGCAAGCGCGCTGCCCGTCACCGCGGTAAGGTCAAGAGGTCAGTCGATTCTATCTGAAAATTTGAGTTGGAAATCGGAATTGTGTGCTGAGACTTTTTTTTCGCGACAGCTTCCCCAAGGATGACGCCAGCAAGCCCGTCCACTTGACTGCCTCCATGGGTTACAAGGCCGGTATGACCACCGTCGTCCGTGACCTTGACCGTCCCGGTGCCAAGATGCACAAGAAGGAGATTGTCGAGGCCGTCACCGTCATCGAGACCCCTCCTGTAGGTTTTCGCCTTTTTTCCCCCGAGTTGTGTGGATGTGCGAAATGTTGGAATTGGGACTAACATGTTTCTTTCTAGCTCGTTGCCGTCGGTGTCGTCGGTTACATCGAGACTCCCCGTGGTCTCCGCTCTCTCACCACCGTCTGGGCTGAGCACCTGAGCGACGAGGTCAAGCGTCGCTTCTACAAGAACTGGTACAAGTCCAAGAAGAAGGCCTTCACCAAGTACGCCAAGTCCCACGCCGAGTCCTCCGGTGCCTCCATCACCCGCGAGCTCGAGCGCATCCAGAAGTACTGCACTGTTGTCCGTGTCCTCGCCCACACCCAGATCCGCGAGACCCCCATCAAGCAGAAGAAGGCCCACCTTATGGAGATCCAGGTCAACGGTGGCTCCGTCTCCGACAAGGTTGACTTCGCCAAGAACCTCTTCGAGAAGACCATCGACATCGACTCCATCTTCGAGAAGGACGAGATGATTGATGTCATCGCCGTCACCAAGGGTCACGGTTTCTCCGGTGTTACCTCCCGTTGGGGTACCACCAAGCTTCCCCGCAAGACTCACAAGGGTCTCCGCAAGGTCGCTTGTATTGGTGCCTGGCACCCTAACCACGTCCAGTGGACTGTGGCCCGTGCCGGTCAGGACGGTTACCACCACCGTACCTCTTGCAACCACAAGGTCTTCCGTATTGGCAAGGGCTCCGACGAGGGTAACGCCTCCACCGAGTTCGACATCTCCAAGAAGCAGATCACTCCCATGGGTGGCTTCGTCCACTACGGCCAGGTCAAGAACGACTTCGTCATGGTCAAGGGCTCCGTTCCCGGTGTTAAGAAGCGTGTCATGACTCTCCGCAAGACCCTCTACCCCCAGACTTCCCGCCGTGCTACCGAGAAGGTCGACCTCAAGTGGATCGATACCTCCTCCAAGTTCGGTCACGGTGCTTTCCAGACCGCCGAGGAGAAGAAGGCCTTCATTGGTACCCTCAAGAAGGACCTTGTCGAGACTGTTTAAGATGTTTAAGGCTATTGGTGATAGTGCAACGTTTCATATTCAATAAAAAAGCGAATATCCTTCACGACTTGCTTGTAGATTCTGTATTTGTATCCTGTATTTGTATTCTGTACTTAGCCTTCCAACCTCAAAGCTTGGAGGCTCTTGCCGTCCACAGGTATACTCCCACCTGTGCAGGTCCCGAGGTCGCTTTGGTTACTTCAACTTCCACCTCGAGATTGGGCTTTGGGTGTCATTCTCCTTCGATAAAACCTGAGAATCTAGGGCCCTTGAGAACATCCGTGGATGACTATTTTAATTATATTAATTATGTTGTCGACTTGGGCAGTTTGAAATTCCAAAGTTAGACATATTGACTCAATATATAAATACCAGTGGTGTATTCGATCTGTACGGAGTGCCTATACAGAGTAGATGTAGGAAATATATTTGTGGTTCTCTTACAACCACCCGACATATGAAACAGATTCTCAAAACTCCCTCCTACATCTCACAGGAAACATATAATTATCGGGTGCAACATTTGAAGTCCTTGAAACGCCATGCGCCCACCCATCCATTGCGTCATCCCACTTCCAGCTTCGCGCGCCAGACTCCCACACCTTTTAGCCTCCCACACCCCGCTACGTCTATCCAGCGCAAACCTCTACCAGCGCAACCTCCTATCTACACCCACTCGCATCAGACCCCTCACAACAACACCCACCATGGCCTCTGACGACGCCTACATGTCCTTCCTCGACAAAGCCAACACAGACGTGAGCGGCGACAAACCCCAGACCTCCGCCCAAACAACCACCGTGACCAGCTCCCTCCCAGTCCCCAAACCCCTCCAATCCCTCAACCTCTACTACACCTCCGACACAGACGAGCCCTTCGAGCCCATCGCGCTGAACTGGGATGGCGCAAAGTGGCCCACAGCCGGTATGTCCAACCCTGTCCCCGAGATCTCTTCCCTTGGTGCTGCGTGCCAACCTTGCCAACCCCCGGATCTCCCTGGCTGAAATCCCAACTTACACCCTTCCAGACCAGTTCTCCTCCCTGATTTCCCCGGATACCGACCTGTCCTCGTCCATCGAGAGTCTGGACCCTGGCTCCTTTGATCCCCAGAACCAGTACGCTGCCGCGTTGGATGCTGTGCGCGATGCGTCGGGCGATAAGAGTGCGGAGCTGAAGATCTTCCGGGTTGAGATTACTAGTACCAAAATTGAATATTGGATTTTGGCATTTGCGAAGCCGGAGGGTCGTCTTGTTGGTCTTCGTGCGAAGGCTGTTGAGTCGTGAGTGTTTACGCGTGTGATTTATAGGTGGATTTTTGCTTCAGCGAGAGACATATTTATGAATTCCAAGGTTGGCTTCGCATATGAGTAGTTGGACATTGATAGCTGGAAGTATCAGGCTATACTAGTAGAGCGACGATGTCGTGCTCGCGGGTCTCGGGGAATATTATTGGTATGGAATGTATAGTCAGGATCTCGTTTGACTTTCCCCGTTGACCTGACAGTTGATTATTTCGGGATCTGTGACATTCCCCTTGGCTCTGGAGATCACTCCGGGAGTCTGAGACGCGTGTCAGAATGGGTGACAGGCAACTGTAGCGGGTCTGATTGTTATTCAGTGTAGATTGGAGATAGTATTCAATCTTGATTAATTGTTTACTAGTAACGATCGCGCTGAGCAGGGCTGCACAGTAGAAATCACGAGGTTCAATCGCCGGGAAGTGGCTGGTGTCTCCTGCCGTTACGCCCTTGGTTCTTCAACACTCGTTCGATCGGAGAGAAAAACACCACGCCTGTTGTTTTTTAATGAACAGTACTCTATTGAGGCTCACGAAGTGTACCATGCCGACCCCCAGATTCCGCTCAGCATTCATAGGCGGCCATTCCTCGGAGTCCTGGAGGGCAACGGGAATGCCGCACCCTGGGATGGCCCTACACAGGTCTACCTAGGGTGATGAAGGCTGGATGGTGTGACAGCCACCACTAATTGCTTTACATCACGTATCAGCAATTGACGAGCAGCATCTAGTGGAAAGTCCCACAGGTGAAAGTGTCCATTTGGCCAACATCTGCACGTTGATCGCCAGCTCATCCAGAGCGTCTCGGGATGAAGGTATAACATACCAGTGGTTGCCCCCCTTGGCACTGTGTCATTCCAGCATCCTCTGGTCCCTAAACACGACCCCTCGGATCATCTAGGCACATCTTTTCTTCCGTGGATTTGGCACTCTTCTCTGTTTAGACTCTGCATCTCTCATCTTGTCGCCGAGGGACACTGGATGACATCCGAGCCGTCCTGTCCGTTCTTTGTTTAACATTGCACTCATCGACTGTGCAAGCTCTCAATATCAAAGCACCAGTCATTACCGAGTCTAATATATAGCGAGACTGGAATATAACGGACCGGGAACATCCAGAGCAGACATCAACAGATCCCACCGAGCCCCGATATCTCAACCATTGATGCCGGGAAACTAGCGTCGTGGTGGAAGTGTACGGTAGAGAATAGTACTGCAGAGCCGGAAGACATCGAAACACCGACCAGAACAAAGGAAACGCCATGTCGGACCACGGCTCCGATACATCAGACAGCAAGGCCGCCTTGGCGCCTCATATTCGACTCAACTCAGGTCAACATGAGCCAGCTCTCGAGAACGGGGATGGCTACGCGCCACTCACATCACGTACCTTCCCTAGGCCGTTGACGCCGCAGGGTCCGGATGCCCCGACGCCCATCGGTGCTCAAGGTATCTCTCCATACGGGGCTTCAGCAGCCCCGGAGTCATCAGAGTTCCTGCTACCTCCCAGGCTGCGGCCTACACAAGGAGCGGGTGTTAGTGACAGTGACACGCCACGGTCTCCAGATCGGTGGTCTGCAGGGCGTTCCAGCATTAGCTCGATCAGTCGTGAGAGTACCTTTCCTCTGGATCCGTTCCAGGATTCAAGGGCTCCATCTCAACACTCTCACTCTGGTAGTGAAGAGCATGATGTGAATACGCAGACAGTCTCTGAGAAGTTCAACATCATGCCCACGGATGGTTTGCTGTTGTTCCCAGAAGATGTGGAAAAAGATGATTACATGCACAACCCGGATCCAATGGACAAGGACCGCGACTGCGACATCTGGAATCGTCGTGGTGTGATGAACCTCGGTGGTTTGTTGGTCCTGACCATCGGACTATTGGTGCTTTTCATCGGTTATCCTCTGATGTAAGATATTGTTCCAAACTTGCGGATCGACTCACTAATCCACCGTTGCAGAACCTGGCTCTCCCACATTTTACACCCAGATGTTGGAAATTGCCATCCTGGCGATACACTGTGCCTGGATGTTGGGGAACGGGCCTTGTTGAGTAACGTGCGTCAGACATTGATTGACCCTGACACGCCTGAGGAGGCCCTCACCAAGAAGAACCTCAATGGCAAGGAAATGAAGCTAGTGGTCAGTATGCAACGATTGCTCCTACAGCATAGGCTGATGCAGAGAACAGTTTTCGGATGAATTCAACACCCCCGGGCGAACCTTTTTTGCAGAGGACGATCCGTTTTTCGAAGCCGTCGACTTGTGGTATGGTGTGACGGCTGACAAGGAAGTGAGTGTAAATGTCAATCTCGTGGAAATGTGAAATGCTCACAAAACACAGTGGTACGACCCGGACGCAGTTACCACAGCAGACGGAACCCTTCAACTTCGATTCGATCACTTCGAAAACCATGAACTTGAATATAGATCCGGTATGGTTCAGAGCTGGAACAAGCTCTGCTTCAAGGGAGGTCGTCTCGAAGCTAGCATGTCTCTTCCTGGTGACGGCCACATCGAAGGTTTCTGGCCTGGTTTCTGGGCAATGGGAAATCTCGCCCGTCCAGGCTACGCGGCTACCACTGATGGTCTATGGCCATACAGCTACCACGATGGATGTGATGCTGGTATCACACCCAACCAAAGTGCGCCAGATGGTCTGAATTGGCTCCCTGGCATGCGCTTGCCAGGATGCGCCTGCGAGGGCTCAGATCATCCCACTCCTGGAAAGGCTCGTAGTGCTCCTGAAATCGATGTAATCGAAGGGAGCACTGCGCCACTTTACGGAGACAGCGGTCCATTCGTTGGCAGTGCGTCCCAGAGTTTGCAGACTGCGCCTTTCGATCTGTGGTACATGCCTGATTACGGTAAGTGATATGATCTTTTTCAACGAACAATACCTGACCGAGAAACTCTAGACTTCGCCGCCGTCTACGACGACCGTGTTACTGAGATCAACAGCTACCGTGGTGGCGTCTACCAACAAGCCATGTCCGCCCTCACGAACCTCAACCACCGCTGGTACAATGGCTCGCAATACCAGACCTACTCTTTCGAGTACACCCCCGGAGCCGAAGGCCAAATCACATGGTTCGTCGGCGCGGAGAAGACATGGACCCTCGATGGCCGCGCCATCGGTCCCAACGGCAATATCGGACAGCGCATGATTCCCCTCGAGCCAATGAGTCTGGTCATGAACATGGGTATGGCGGACAACTTCGCTCCTCAAAATGCCAGCATCCGGGAATACATGCCCGCTCTGCTGAGATTCGACTACGTTCGTATCTATCAAGACCCAGATGATGAGAGTGTCACCTGTGACCCACCTGGTTGGGAGACAACCAAGTACATTGAGGAACACCGCAAGGCGTATGATAACGCGAACCACACTACATGGTATGTACCTCCCCTGCAATTGGTTTGAACTTCACTGACTTTTTAGGGACGCTGCTGGTTACAAATGGCCGAAAAACTCGTATATGCATGAGTGTCCTTCCAAATAAACATCCCTTTTCCTTGCTTTTCTTATTCTATTCTAAAATGTCAGTCGTTCTAGCGGCATTGTGTTCCGGCGTTGTCGGTGTCTTGAGCAATACTTTCCTTCCTGGGACCTTCTTCAATACCTAGAGACTTATTTCCTCTCTCTTTTCATATATTATGATAATTTAAACCTTTCATTTTCATTGTGCCCACTCACAACCACAAGCAACGCCTAGGCGAATCGTACTCATCCTACTTCGAAGATGTGCGTAGCTTCATGATCGATCGGCATCAACTTTGTGGATAGATACGCAGCAGTGACTTATTAGAATCTCAAATCCACCCGTCATTCATATGCAGAATCGAGTAATGATGTCGAACAGCTCTCTGTTGTTCAGATCTATACCCCGAACGACTGTGGATACAATCACGTGATATCATTCGAGGAATGATTACATAATTTAGAGTGAGCCACAGACCGCCTTCTCAGCTGGGCAGTATATCTCCAATTGACCTTGTCAACACTTCATGACCCTGTGTATTCTATAACACGTATCATTTGGGCCTTTCATGATTAAGCCCATATCCTTATGTGAGTGGTCGTATGTGATGGGGACTGTTGGTCTCAGAAATGTGTCTGCACGATGACCTACAACACAATTCCCCGATCTTGCATCGTCTCTAACACTAGCTATAGAAGAACGCAAGCATAAGATCGAACTTGCTAAAGCTCCGAAGGCTGGTCCACGTGAGCAAAAAACGCCCGGGACTTGAGGCAGCGTTTGTAACAATCTTGCGCTTTCCCACTTTCCCACCAGCTGGAAGACCACCTTTTCATTGCTATCCTGGTACTATCCCAGCACAGTCAGCCGAGAAAGGCTAAAAGCAAGCAAATATGGACATCGAGTCTGAAAGCGAGTCCGATGGTGGCATGCAGCTCGATGGAGTTTCATTAGACTCCATCTCAGATGAAGGAGAGTCACACCGCGCTCCAGTCGACGACAGCACTGAACCCTGGGCTTTCCAAGAACAAAATGCAACCACCGGAGACACAGGTGCGTGAAATGATACTCTATGAACACCAACTACCCCATCGTGACATACCCACATTTCCATCTCTCCACCTCTGAAAGAAACCCCCAATCCACACTCTATCCCAGCAACCAGGACCATACATCAAGAGACCTCGCGACAACGTCTAATGCCATGCAGAAAGATTCTCTCACCGCGCCCCAGACCCAGCAACTACAACCTACAACCAAAGTCACCGCGACCACATAATGCAAATACCAACCGATTTCGAACAAGACACACGCATACGGTCTCACCTCCGCGACGACAAGCACGCAGCCCTCTGCGTCCTCCAGGACAGAGAAATGCTCGTAACTTACGCTCTAGCCATGAACGAGGTCTGTCCATCCTCATCCCTACCCCGAACTCAAACCCAATGAACTGAAACTAACAACTCAGACCATTCCCCAAACGCGCCGTCGCTTCATGGCCAAGTACCTTGCCCCCAGTGACCCGCAACAAGCCGAGGAGCTTTACGCTCCGCGCTTTTACATCCCGGCTGATGGGGTTGGCGGGGAGGCATCGCTGGTTCGGGGACGGTATCGGGAGGTTATTGGGAGTGTTGAGGATCATGGGTGGAAGAAGCCTGGGTATTTGAAGCGGATGGAGGGGGAATTGAAGGGGTCGAGGTCTGTTTCTGTGGGCTCGATGTCTGGGGCGAATTCGCCGCGGCGGGTCTCGGGCGTGAGGTTGGCTTCTGGGTCCGGACGGTCTTCGGGACGGTCTTCGCTTGGACGGGACGAGGATGATGATCTTTGATCTTTGATCTTGATTGCGGTTTGTTTTTGTTGGATTAGCGTTAGTGATTGCATCTAGGGATCGATTTTGATTCCAGGTTTGAATGAGGGTACGATTCTTGAGGATTGAACGAGGTATGTAGATTCGCTAAAATGGTATAAAATACTTTACAAAGAAATCAAATCATCGTCGGACAGGGCCAGTCCAGAGAAGAACAAGAGAGAGAACAAGAAAGAGAAAAGGGGTATCATCGAGAGGGCCCAGAACAGTTTTTTCTGTTCTGGGGTGGTTCGTTCGTCTCTGTTCTTCTCTGGCATGTAACCCGACACAAGACGATGGTGCCTAGCCCAAAGTGCTAGGGTGTCTTTCACATTCTTGTCGCTGACTGCAGGAGCCAAACACCGGAGCAAAGGAAGGAAGCAAGAGACCAATCAGGGAAACGGAGGCCGAGCCGAAGCTCCAGGGCTACATCTCTTCGGAATCTCTCCTCCGTTTCTCCGAGTGGAACAGACTCTCAATGTCTCCGACCTGCTTACGTTCCGAGACTTCTCGATTCAGCATCCGTTTGTAGTGGGCCTGGGCATTCATCAGCGTCAGTCCTCGAGGCGGCGCGGTTTTGATTTCCGGGTCATTGTATATGAGGCGGTGCGAGGTAGTGATCCGGATCCGACCGTCTCTCATGACGGGTGATTGTCATTGCAGGGGCTCCGAGCTGGACGAGAGACGATTCAGGTGAAGGTATACGTCTGTTCCGTATCTGTGGAAAGGATTAGCAAGATGTCACGTATAGATTGGGACCGGAAAAACACATACCCCTCCATACTGATCAACTTCAGATCTCCGCCAAAGTACCGTGCGTACAGTCGGCTAATGGGTAACCCGTATCCGAACCCGGCCATCGGCGCCTTGAAATCGTTCTTGTCGAAGTCCGGGTCCAGGTTGGGGGTTTGCTCCACCGTTGTGTACATGTACGTCCAGACGAGGGGAATGGCTGATCGGGGAATACCACCACCCTCGTCGGAGACCTTGATGGTGATGTCTTCCTTGCCCTCTGCGACAATAACCTTGGTCACGGGGAAGTCTTCCTTGTCGGCGCCATGCTGCTCGACAACGGCACGCAACGAGTTCTTCAGGGTCTCGAAGAGCATGTGCGATAGGTGTCCCGGGACATACATGAAGTTCAGATCGTCCTTGCAGACCAGCTGCACCTTCGGGGCTTCGAAAAGACCATAGTAGTCCTCGCAGACAAAGCGAGCGTTTTCAATAGCCTCGAGCGCGATATCGCGGACGTTTGTCTTGGTGCAAATTATTCCGACATAGTTGGGGTGTTTGACGTGCGTTTGTTCCGTGAGTGCAATGTGTTGACCGATCAGCATTCGTATACCAATTCGAGACATGTAGAACCGATCGAGGAATGACTGAATCGTAGAGTCGATCTGCATACGCTGACGCACACGCTTCCATTCCAAGATACCCTGCGCGACAGTGGTCACGACCCCGTCGTGCCGCCGCTTGATCTGCTGCAGGGTCTTGGCGAATCTTTGGTTGTAGTCATTGAGTTCAGGCGGCCAGTCTCCGCGGTCGTCCGCGGGGAAGAAATAGCGTCGCCCTGAGGCCGCGTGGGCCTTGTTGACGCCATTGCCGTTGCCCGCCGTCACCGACGAGCGGTACTGCCCTTCACGGACGCTGGGGTTTTGGGTTGTTTCGGATAAGATTTTGGAAGGGCCGCCGTTCATCCGGCCCGGTCTCAACAGGCGCTGCTTGACTTCCTGAGTCAGGGTCGGGCGAGGAAGAGCAATGATTTCCTAATATTGGGTCAGTTGAAATTCCTGAATTGGTTGTGGCCGAAGTGCGGGACTTACCTCGAATGACTGCGCATACCAGTCTTGGACCCTCTTGATGGATGGCATTTCGCTCAGTCCATCCGGCAGCTCACCCAGATCCTGCACGCGATGAGCGAGGCGGATGGGTAGCTCCTCGGACAGGAATTGAGAAGCGCGGAATAGCGTGCCTACAGACGCATTAGAGTCGCAGGCATCGAGTAGCACGTTCACCACCTACCTGTTGAGGGACGGTCACCAAATTGGACCATCTGCCTCAGCGAGACACCGGTTGCGGGGAAGCTGGCGTAATGCCTGATGGTGTCCATCAGCCTCTCCGTAGGCTTCCACATGGTGGGCAAAAGGGCCTACTGGCCTCAAAAGATATTAATTTCAAAAGAAGCGCGTGGTTGAAGTGCCCCGGTGTTGTAGAAGGGAAGTGTGAGTAATACCGGGACGTTTTCATCTGCCGAGGTTGGAGCTGGTCCGGGGGGGACTCCGCCTAGCTCCGGAGATCGGAGGAACGTCACAAGATCACACCCGACGCGAACTGCACTGCACAACACTTTTGTGATCATGCAATGGAGAGTCGTACGTTGCCTTACTGCGTACCTACAGTATATATCTATCCCAATGCATCTGCATGCCGATTTTGACCGAGTCACGTGAGCCGATTTTAACCGGATACCAACGACGGGGACCTTAGCGGTGCGAACTAGTCGGCGAGTTCGGGGTAGTATATGGTATACTACTGGGCTTGCTACCTAGGTAGTCTGCTTAGACCTACTAGGATCCGAACAGTTGGGTCATTCAACTCCCCTTCGTCCGAACTTAGTAAGATGTCAACCCCGCAACATTGAACTGCAAGACTCAGTACACAGACAAGCATTGAAGTGGCATTCTCCCCTGGAAGTGTACTCCGTGTGGATCCAGATGTCCTGGTCAATGGATTATGTCACCCTGGAACATGGCTACGTCACGCCAGCCCTAACGAAAGGGACCAGAAGGGCGACGAACAACCTTGGAAGCGGTTGTTGTACGGAGTAGTAGATATATGAACCTTGGATGTCTGTAAAATCTACTAGTATATGGATGCAGTTCTCTAGTATATCGGCACTATGCCTAAACTACCTACACTACCCAAACTATATAGAATAGTAAGCACCTATATAGTTCCCGGGATATAGTCTGTGCCCAGTTTGACATCACATTTTGGTACTTTTGTCGATCAGTCTCTTCTGTAAGCCGTGACCTAGCACCGCGGCTATCGGTTTCGAGTTTTCCTTCCCCCCACCCTGCCATCCTTTGGAAATCCCCTATACGGATGATTGGGTTCTTGGTTTATCTTTTTTCAGGATAGAAGCCAACACTGAAATCTCAAAAATCACCACAGAAGTTAAGGCAGAAAAGAAAGAAAAAGAAAAAGAAAAAAAAGGAGATGAACAATGAACAATGAAGAGATGTTATAAGATGCAACGGGCCACGTTCCGTCCACCGCTGCCCATTCGCCCGTGCCAGCCTACAGATCCGCTTTCTGGAGACTCAATATTCCCTTTTCGAGCTCTTGCTGTTGTCCAGCAATTGCTGCCTCTGACTGGCTAATTGTCGGGCCCCTCCTTTTTTTTCTATTTTTTTTGTGCGTTGGCAAAAACAGAAATTGCGACTTCTATCCCTCCCAAACTCTCAAACTTCATCCTCAAATCCTCACATCGCAGCTCCCGAAATCCCCTTCCCCTGATACCCATGCAAGGCCCTACGAGAGATCCGGAAACGTCACCCGGCCCGAACCATATATCCTCCGGGTCCACCATGTCTCGCCGTCGAACATCACACAGCGAAATGAACGAGGCCGTCGCATATCCCTTTTCCATGTCCAATCCACCTCAGTCCAACGGCAATCCCCCTCGCCGGGGTCCTATTGAAGGCCCCAATGGACGTCGTCTCATCCGCCGCGTCACCTGGCGCTCCTCCACATACAAACTCATGGCCTCGTTGTGGGTGCTTGCCGTGCTGTACATCGTCTGGCTGGTCCGCGACCTCTTCTACCAGCCCACCCCGTCGGAGCCCGAATCTGTCCCCGCTTGACAGAAAAAAATAAGAAAAAAAATGGCGAAAATGGCCTTGGTGGGGTGTGGATAAGGACTGGAGGGGTTGAGTGGGGTTGCAATTTTCTTTTGCGCCATATTGGATTGAGCTACGAGATGTCGGGCAGGGATGCAGGCGCTGGAGTCGATGCTCTCTCTCATCGGCCCTGCATCTGTCGGAGATTCTCCGGTGATTTATCCACAGCCGGTCCAGTTTAAAAGCCTGGTTGCTCGGACATTCCATGACTCGTGTCTGGCGACTTGGAGCATTCCTACTCAATTGCCCATGGGTTGTTGCTGTTGTCGAGTCTCTTTTGATTTCTTTTATATCTGCATTGCTTTTCACGATTGCATGTTAGCGTTTCATTGCATATATTTCTCTTTTCTTTGGGATTGTCAAGCCTCTCATGCATCTTTCTTATTGTCTTTCTTTGGGTGGTTCTCTCAATTCTTTCGGGTTTAAACATAGTCTCTGCATACATCTGGCAAAAGCGAATTCAGTTCTGTTGCTCTCCGTATCATCCCCTTCCAGGGCTAGGTATGAGTCAGGATATACTTGATCCGATAGATCACCCCGCCATAGTAAACCCCTCCAATCTAACCTTTTTTGCCCGCATCGGGGAAGCAGGTAAGTGGGGCAGTGGGAAATCATCCACGTCAAATTGCTATGACAGATGGTAATTCTCCGAGATATGTTCCATATACTGCATTCGTACTATCGTCTATAGAGGGGGTTCCATCTTTTTATCATATAACTTTTCAAATCTCATATACAGCCTGGATCCGGCTTGGGAACTTAGACGTGCAGAGCAGAGGTCTCACCCTTGGCAATGTAAGAAGCGTAGGGCTTGATGGCAGTGGCAACCTCGGTGGTGGTGAACTTCTCAACCTGCTGGGGAGCGCGGCCGACGAAAGTGCTGGCGTCCAGAAGGGTGTCCAGCTGGGCAATGATGGGCTCGAAGAAAGCGGTGCGGCGGATACGCTCGATCAGGTCGTTGTCCTTGCCCTGCTTCTTGACGTTGTCGGCAGCCTGGTGGGAGAGAACGCCTAAAAGGATGTTAGGATGGGGAGCTCAGTAGGCAAGGTTCATCGACTTACGGATCTCCTCGTGGGCATCCTGGCGGGAAAGACCCTTGGCAACGCAGGCCATGATGATGTTCTCGCTGGATGAGGGGTTAGAAACTCTGTGGCCAATTTGATAGCAATAGACTCACGTGGCCATGAAGGGGAGCTCATCGTTAACACGACGCTTGATGACCTCGGGGTAGACAACGAAGCCGGAGGTGACGTTGTTGAGGAGAATGAGACAGGCGTCGGCGGTCAGGTACAGCTCGGGAATGCTGATACGGCGGATGGCGCTGTCATCGAGGGAACGCTCGAACCACTGAGCGGAGTAGGTGTCCAGACCGTCCTTGGGGAGGTTCTGCAGGTGACGACCCAGGGAGCAGAGACGCTCGGAGCGCATGGGGTTACGCTTGTAGGCCTGCCACTGATTAGCTACAGCACAAAGATCGACACAAATCAACTCACCATGGCACTGCTGCCAATCTGGTCCTTCTCGAAGGGCTCCTCAACCTCCTTCAGCATGGCAAGGTGACGGATGTCAATGCCAATGCGCTCACAGGTGGCACCGAAAGAGCCGAGAGCGTTACCGACGTCAACATCGATCTTACGCGAGTATGTTTGGCTGGAGATGATGAAAGCAGAGCTGAAGCCGGCCTTCTCGGTGACGAGCTCGTCGAGGCTCTCGACCTTGGCGTGGTCGCCGTTGAAGATCTGGAGGAAAGAAGCCTGAGTTCCGGTGGTACCCTTGACACCACGGAAGCGCAGGTCATCGCGGGCACGCTCAAGGTTGCGCAGATCCATCAGCAGATCCTGGATCCAGAGACAGGCACGCTTACCAACAGTGACCAGCTGGGCGGGCTGGCCGTGGGTGAAACCAAGACAGGGCAGGTCCTTGTACTGTTGGGCGAACTGGGACAGCTTGTCGACGACGACAGCGAGCTTGGGGATGAGGATATCGAGACCATCACGGAGGAGGATCAGATCAGCGTTATCGGTACAGTAGCAGGAGGTGGCACCCCAGTGGATGATACCGGCGGCGGCGGGGGCAACCTGGCCAAAGGCGTGGACGTGAGCCATGACGTCGTGTCGGCGGCGCTTCTCCTCCTCGGCGGCCACGGCGAACTCATCATCCTGGATGACCTGGTGGGCCTTCATCTGCTCGATGGCATCGGCAGTGATAGGAAGTCCGAGCTCTGTAGCCATGATTCAGTCAATTGGGATGCTTTTCTCCTTTACACCCGATGTCGGCCGTGGCTCGACTTCTATGCCGTACCTTTTTGGGCCTCCGCGAGCCAGGTCCAAAGCTGTCTCCATGTGGAGAAACGCTTGCGGGGAGAAAAGAGGTACTTCATCTCAGTGCCTGGTCAATTGAGCATTAGTTTGTATCTATACGTTGCCCCTCCATGGAGGGGCCTTGGAGGACGTGGAGGGGTTCGGGCAGACTTACTCGCATAGCGCGAGTTGAGGGGAGTCTGGTAGACATCGTTGCTTCCGGACATTTTGAAGATTGTCTCGAGTCACTTGAAATGGGGGAGAATCGAACAAACCAAAAGCAAATTCGACCGATTTTCCCAAGTCAAATTTTAGCGGGGCTTATCACGTTATCGCCATGACTAACCAGTGGGGTCCCCCGGTTCCGGGGGAATGTAATATCCATGGCTCGGGCACTTGACCTTCTATATAACTGTTCTTGCACTATACTAATAGTACATCCTATACACTACAGTTCATTCCAGAACTTCTCAATCAGTGCAGATACCTCCGGCACTCGTTGTCGTACCACCCCATGGCCCACCCGTGAGACAACTGTCACATTGTACACCCCAACATCCTGTAGATCCTGCACGGTACATAGATCATCCAGCTCTCCAAGGATACATAGATGTTCAATCCCCGTCTTTGCCGCTTCAGCAAATCCAGCGTGTTTGTCCAGAACCCCACCGTCCCGGAAAATACCCACCACGCTCGCCGGGTGTCCGGCATGCTCCTTCATCTGCCAATCCCGAACAGCCTCAGCAACCACTTCGCCTCGTCCAACTCTCTCCTTCCAGTCCACAGGAACGACAAATTGCCCACCCTCCAGGAATTGCAAAATCCATGCACGCGCCTGCTCCTCAATACCTTCACCCCCGCGCAGATAGCTCCTCTCCAACTCGGTAAATTGCGAGGAACGCAGTAGGCCAGCAGGCGCAACTAGAACCATAGACTCAACGCGCTCCGGGTAAGCAGCTGCAAAAGTGGCCGTCGTAGATCCGCCAAACGAATACCCAACAAGGTGGGCTTTCTCCCATTGAAGCCGATCCATCACGGCCTTCAATAAGTCATGGAAGAGTGCCGGCTCATGCGCCGCAACAGGTGTTTCGGTAAGACCGTGACCCCATAGATCAATGAGTACAAAGTGAGCACTTGGGAAGCGCGAAGACAATGCACTTGCTAGTGGTTGGAGCCCTATTGCGGGGGTCTGGACGCCATGTACGAAAAGTACACGGGAGATGGAATCCTGGTGCTCCGCGGAGCTGGATGAGGGCAGGATCTCATAGTATGCCGCTTTGCCATTGGGTGTCTGCAGATATGATGCTTGTGGCAGAAGACTGCCAAAGGTTGAGATGAAGGCTTCTTCGGACGGGCCTTGAATGGATCGTGGAATGCCACTGGGACTGGCTGTCCCGGGACGTGGTAGTACGACTAGTGTGTTGGACATGGTTGTTTTCAAGTTCAGGTTCGAGGAAGGGACATAATCACTAGAAGATGCCCAGGTGGTGGGTAGATTGAAGATGATGCCAGCCATTGCCTTGCCGCCTTGATATTCAGGCAACAATTGGGATCACGCCTTCGATTCCTAATCGGGAAGCAATGCATCTCACCTAGCAGAGCTCCAGGGCTTGGACCATCGCACGGATGGATAGGTGAAGACTGATGCAGAATATTTCCTTTTAGAATACTTCCATAAAGCGATTGTCCATTTTTTAGTGTAGTAGCTGGAGTATTACTGATATTGGATACCAATTGACATTAACTATTAGCTCATATAAATGACAATTCTTAAGCTTAAGCCAGCTGTGCCAATTGCACCGACAAGCTCGCCTTGTCGTACTTGATGTACTTGCCACGTCCCTTATCAATCTCGACATAACGATCATAAAAGCGGGCATACAAGGGCTCAAGGACAGTCTGCAGCTCCCGAGACAGTACAGTGCGCACTTCACGCTCCATGTGAAGGGTCTTGTGTCGGGATACCATCTCATCGAAGCTCGCATTGAACGACTTGAATTTGTCCTTAATTGCGTCTCGGTCCTTGGACGGAAGAGACTTGACAATGGCACTGGAATCCACGTTGCCGCCGGAATTCCGCTGCGCTCCACGGGACGTATACTGAACATCGAGGAGGTACTGCGAGGTTTCTTTCCAGGCGTCCAAGTATGTGGACGTGGCGCGCTTGCGGAATGTATCGATCCTGGCGATGCTATCCGGTGAACCAAGGTAGCGCGCCAGTTCTGGGCTTTGCCTGATCGATCGATCCACGATACAGAACGTATTGGAAAGGAAAACCCCGAGCGCTGCCTTTGATCGATGGAAAGCACGGCCGCGAGCTTCAAGGGAGGTCATCAAAGCTTCGAGCATGTCCAAAATGAAGTGCGAGAGAAGAGTAGCGCTGTCGGGGCCTACATCCAGTGGAGCAGAGCCGGCGGCGTTAGATTTGGCCCGCCAGTTTCCATCGCCCAGGGATGTCAAAATCGAAGCCAGAGGACCCGAGTAGTGGGTCAAAGTGGCCAGCGAACTCATCACTTCCTCCACAAGAGGCACTGATCCACCATCTGGTGGAAGCGGCACGCTAGCAGCCTTGCGCTTCGTTTCTTCAAGCAGCTCGGAAAGTGATGACTTGGCAGTCTCGCGCACAGGCCGGAGAGCTTCAATCAGAAGGCTCTTCAGCTCTGCGGCCTTCGAGTCAATTCGATAGGACATTGCTGTCACAATTTCGATGATCTCAAAGGCAAGGAAACAGTCGGTCATAAGGTTAGCCTTGATGTACTGATTGAGCTCACGCAGAGTTTTGGAGTATTCTCCCATCGCAGAAAGGAACGTGGCCTGTAATGCAAGGCCCTGCTGATCTCCACTGAACATCTGTACAATGATACCATGCTCCGTGGTAATGAACGCTTCTAGTGCACTCGAGTAGAGACCAATACCATTGGTACCTTGCTTGTAAGGACCATCTGTGGCTCTGCGCTTGACGGTATTCATGGAGGCAATCGCAAGATTCTGCAAACTGGCTGTAATATATGGTCCCCGTACCTCGGCATATACTTTCAACGCGGGGTTCTCGCCCTTGCTGCGCTGGGGTCCATAGACGGAAGCAGAGCCAACCGCCGAGCATAATGGTGCTAGGTGCGAGATTGTGTCTTCAGGGATAGACGGGAATGGAAGGTCTGCCAACAGTCTAGCATTAGTACCATGCACGATCTTTGAACAAGGTCACGCATACCTTTGGTAAGATAGTGTAGAGGTTCGATAGGTGTGGCGTGTTGGCTTAATTCGGCCCGTAATGTGTCTTGCAACTTTAAGCTTCCAGTGTTCAAGAGTGAATTGAAGTCGGCCATCGCTTTTTGATTGGATCGCAGGTTCGTCGTGTTGAGGTCGACCAGCGCCTTTTCAACACGTTTCATCGCGGAGAGATACTGTTGGAGGCCGGAACTCTGCGGACTTGGAGTTGGTCAGTACAGTCTGACTTTCTCACAGTTGATAGTAGAGAGGTACTTACCCTGCGCGAATGATACCATCTTCGCGATTCTTCGCATCGAGAGGTTGGCGCAAGCGATCGATCGCATCGTTGACCTTGTCGATGTTGGTGTTGGTAATTTGCAGAGATTGGGTGTTGCTGTAGATGGGCCCAATGGCTTCCTTGACGACCTTTCCTCCTGTCTCCAATCGTACCATAGATCCCTGGATCTTCTTGGTGAGCCGGTTCAGCTTTTCGAGGTTGGCGTAGAGCACCTCAACCTCGGCGCTCTCCTCAGCATAAGCAGTGTTCCTTGGAGCCACCATGGTGAGATGATAGATAGACGCAATCCAAAGAAAGACTGTATCACATTTCACCGAGGCACTCTTGAGGCGCCTTGGAAATCGATGTCCCCGAGCTCCAGTGATAAGCAATTGCCCCCCAGATGGCCAGTGTTTAGTCCGAGGTGCACTAGTCCCGATGCGGATACATCACATGACCCATCCAGGTCTCATGTATTACGTCATCGTCGATCGCCAGGTCCGGATTCGCGCTGTGGCTTGGGGAAAAAAGGTAAAGTGTTGACTTTTCTTTTTCCAATGGCTCTCACTGGATGCTGCTGCAAGCTCCTCTCTTTTCCCAACGCCCCCTAGTTACAATGGGAGCTGCCAGGGCTTCACGTCTCAAATGGACAGTTCCTCCAGCTGCCCTAGCTGCATACACTGCGGGGGAATGGTCGCACCCAGGTCAATCAAGGGCTCGTTTTACTGCCTCGAAAGCACGATCGACGGATGAGGAGTCGCAGAAGTCAAAATTGAGCTCTAATTCCTCGGATCAAGAAACCAAAGACTATGGGTCAATTTGGACCAACATCGCCCAAAGGCTTGATGGGGTTAAGCAAACGGTAGGCTCCGGTGATTGGGTGGACGTGGGTAGCCTGACAAACTACATTATTCCGGACTGGACCAGATTTGTCCCAGCTACGGTCCAGAAGCTCCAGCGAGAACTCTCCCTAGCTCCTGGATCCCTAGCAGATGACATTTGGAAGGAGGCCCACGATCCGGACATCAATCCTGAAATCCTTCGCGATGCCAAGGTACGTGTGAGTGGAGACCTCTGCCCCGAGGAGCAGGAGTTCAGGCGGCAACGATCGCGAAAGGTCGTCAAGGCATTGTCCTCTTATCTCAATATCCCCGAGGACGAGATTCACCCCGACGATGTGCCTATTATCGCGGTATGCGGCTCAGGAGGCGGACTACGTGCTCTGGTCGCGGGTACTGGGTCGTATCTCGCAGCCCAGGAGGCAGGTCTATGGGACTGTGTGACCTACACAGCTGGTGTCAGTGGTAGCTGCTGGCTACAAACACTCTACCATTCTTCCATTGCGCAACGGGACTTCGAAAAGCTTGTTGACCACCTGAAGAATCGCCTTGGTGTCCATATTGCCTTCCCACCAGCGGCCCTGGACCTACTCACCACGGCGCCGACAAACAAGTTCCTTCTCAGCGGATTTGTGGAGAAGCTAAAGGGTGACCCCGGGGCCGATTTCGGTTTGGTCGATATCTACGGAATGTTGCTGGCAGCGAGACTGCTAGTTCCCCGAGGAGAACTTGGAGTCTCCGACAGGGACTTCAAACTTTCAAATCAACGAACAAACCTGGTCAATGGATCTCATCCCCTCCCCATCTACACGGCAGTACGACACGAGATTCCAATCCTTGATGAGTCAAACGAAAAGGCCAAAGAGCAGCCTACGCCTGAACAATTGATGAAAAAATCCCAAGAGGAAGCTTGGTTCCAGTGGTTTGAGTTCACTCCCTACGAATTCTTCTGTGAAGAGCTTAATGCCGGTATTCCCACTTGGGCACTCGGACGACACTTCGATGCAGGTCGCTCGGAAGTAACAGTGGATAATCTCCCCATCCCGGAGGTCAGAGTTCCCAATTTGATGGGAGTTTGGGGCAGTGCCTTCTGTGCCACTCTATCCCATTACTACAAAGAGATCAGGCCCCTAGTGAAAGGCCTGGCTGGATTTGGCGGGATTGACTCGCTCATCCAGGGCAAAAATCAAGATTTGATCAAGGTTCACCCCATTGATCCTGCTGGAATTCCGAACTATGTTAAGGGCATGAAAGATCAACTGCCATCGTCTTGTCCAGAGTCATTCTTCCGCAATGATCATCTGCGTCTCATGGATGCTGGAATGAGCAACAACCTTCCAATCTACCCGCTGATCCGCCCGGGCCGTGATGTTGACGTTATTGTCGCATTCGATGCCTCCGCAGACGTCAAGCAGGAGAACTGGCTCTCTGTAGTTGATGGATATGCCCGCCAGCGCGGCATCAAGGGCTGGCCTGTTGGCGCCGGATGGCCCAAAGACGCAAGCATCGAGGATGCCGAAAGTGCTCTACGAGAGTCTCAGAACACCACCGACAAGGAATTGAGCGAAAAACTTGCGCATGCTCAAAAGGAAGGCGCTAGAGACAACAAGCAAGCCACCGGTCAAAAGCCACAAGGCGGTACAGACCTAGGCTACTGCAATGTCTGGGTCGGTAGCACAGAAGAACGCACCACCGACGAAGAACCTCCACCATCAAAGCGACTCTTCGACCCCCAGAGCGAAGATCACTCCGACGCTGACTTCCATCTCATGCGCCCAGACGCCGGTATCGCGGTAGTCTACTTCCCTCTCATCCCCAATCCTTCTGCCCCCGACGTCCCACCCAAGCCTGAGATTCGGCCTCGGGCAGCTGCCCAATCTTTGAGACAAGACGCTTCTCAAACCAAGGACCCGGAGATGCCCCTCGCGCCTCGCCCGGGCTCGATCGATCCAGATGTCGATGACTTCCTCTCAACTTGGAACTTCATCTACACGCCTGAGCAGATTGATTCGGTGGTTGGCCTTGCCAGGGCTAATTTCTCACAGGGCGAGGAGCAGACTCGTCGCGTTGTCCGTACTGTCTATGAGCGCAAGAAGTCCGATCGATTGCAGAAGGAAGCTCAAGAACATCGCAAAAAGATGGAAGGCTTCGTTCCTCTGTGATTCTACTTGCCTTGGCATGCATCGCTCTTTTTGATATTTTGTTCCCCCATACCCCCTGATCCTTCATTTTCTCTCTTTCCTTTTATTTCCTTTTCTCCATCATCTCTATCTCTGGCGGATAAATAAATGGCATGTCTAGATCTACTTATGTCTCAACGTCTTCCTGCCTTGCATTTACACAGGCTCAGCGAATTTTCTGAATATTCAACCTCACAATATACATCGTCTTCTTCCGGGCTTAGTTGCATCGCAAATGTAGTATGTTAGTTTCCTGGGGCTCTTTCAAAATGTCCTAAGTATGAGACGAAACAAGATGTAGATGTACAATATCCATGTCCCAAAATGCAACATTCACTCTAATTCCCACTGGAGTCAGTCGCATCCTTGCTGTCCTTTCCATAATGCGCCTTGACACCCTCTAAAATATCCTCCTGGTCCTTCTTCAATTTCACCTTCCTTCCCTCATCGTCGGTGGTGACTATCTCATCATCACTCCCAGCCAAACTCACATCTTTGCTCTCATCCGTCTGCTTTCGGAGCCCAAGCTCCTTCTCTATGACATGAGCCACTTCCTTGGTCTTATCCGAAAGACTCGTCGTACTCTTCTGCGATTTCGGAGATTTGACAGATTTGACAGGAGGACTTATTTTCTCCATGCTCGGGTTCGCGACTCCACGCCAATCGGCCGGATCGCTTTCATGGATGGATTCACCGGGATTAGGCTGGCTGATTGGTCTCCCTTCGACTGGGGCTTCTTTCTCTTTTCCCTTGGGGGACTCTGACGGATACCGCCAGACGACCTTGAGCTTGTCCAATGCACGTATTCCTTTCCTCGCACTTCCCTTGATGCCGTCCATGGCATCCCATTCCGTTTCGAAAACTCCAGAGTCGTGCTCTGCTCCGCCTTCGAAGTAGGGATTGAACCAGACGTGTGCGATGGATGTCACCATCGCAAAGCCAGTGTAGGAGGCCTTGCTGCGCCGCTCCAGGTCGATGTTTACATCAGAGCTGGGAACGATGAGGGGGTTGTGAGGCTTGAATATCAAGGCTGGGACAGTGCCTGGCGTGACAGTGTGTTGTGGTGTTGAGACATCCGATTGGGACGGATCAGGGGAAGGCGTGGAGGTTGTGGTTGCGGGCTTGTTCTGTTTCTCGGTCTTTCCATCTTCAATGATGGTGCGTTCGTTCCGATGGAAGAGATGAAAACATTTGATCTTCTTCCCTTCATCCACATAACCCTCCACAGCAACCTTGACCCCATCCCTCAACCCCCACAGATGCACTTCTAGAATCTCAACCGGTCGTTCGACATACTGCTTGTCCATCTGATTCGCCCACCGGTCGATATACCCGACATATCGCAGCTGGCTGGGAATGCTGACGCCGTTGCCGAATCCCACGCGCATTCGCCGATCAGTGAATCGCTGTAACGCATCTTCTTTCTTCCACCCCTCCTGGCTGATGAGGTACGCGCACGCGACCGTCCCACTGCGCCCTTTACCCGCCTTGCAGTGCACGACTGCCACGCGCTCCTGCTCATCCTGCTTATCTTTATCCTGATCGAGGCGATGGAGCCAGTTGCGCATGCTGCCCATGATATTGGGGATCAGCGCGAAGGGTGGCGGGTGGTGGTCTGGCCAGGGGAAGTGGTGAATGCGCCCGTAGACTTCTGAGTCCGGGTACCCTGTGCCCTCGGCGCGGAACTCCCAGATGCACCAGTTCGAGCCATGTTTTGTGTCCAGGTACTTGACCAGCGCGTCCAGGGGGTTTCGGTATGCGCGTTGGGGATATGTTCCTGATGGACCGGAGGTTGCGATCACTGGGACGTTAGTTGGGTGTCTGTGGTGGGCGAGGTCACTTACGGTTGTCTGTCACATAGCATAAGTCGAGTCCTGCCTCTGGGTGCTGTTGTCTAGGCCCTGCGACGATCTGGCGGAGAATTGATGACTTGCGGATGATTAGCGAAAAGACCGCGGACACTTCCTGCAGGAACCTACCATTAGAACCTTGGCTGCAACTCCGTATGTTCCAAGCAATAGCAATATAACAATATACAGAAGAGCAAATGCAACGATGCAAGTACAAGTTCTATGTGTTGGGGAGTCGAGAAGAGGCGCAGTGATCGATGATGTCACGGCACAATCAAGATAGACTTATCGGACTAGCCCAGGGTGAACGTGTTTACTTCGCATTCTTGTCTTCAAAATATCTCAATTTGTACAGTGCCAGACTCATAAGTACATATTTTCATATCTCACGACCAATAATTAAGTCCTCCAGCATGTTCAAATTATCATTTATGCGACACCGTATTCGGAAGTAGGCTTGAAGTAGAAGCCCACGGGGTTGTGGTCAGGCACCGAGACATTCTTCGAGCCCTGTTGGTACCAAGTGGCCAGAGAGTTGGGGTCCAACCAGGTCATCCAGCGGTGAGTGACATCGACGTTCCAGACGGGGTTGCCGACGGGGGTGACTGTGGTGGTGATGTTCACGTTGTCGCAGGTGATCTCCTCCTTCTCGGCACCGCTGCAGTGGGTGCGGAAGGCAGGGGTTTCGCTATTGCGGCGGCCAGCGATGTCATAGTCAAAGATACAGCCACCCTGGGAGCAGCCGATGGTGAGGTTGGAGACTCGCCAGATCACCTCATCGCTGATGGTGTTCACTTTGGCGGCGGAGGGAAGAGCAGTGGCGAGGCCAGCAAGGAGGAGGGGGAGAGTGAGTTGCATTGTGATTAAGTATTATGGATCAATGTACAGAAGGATAGAGATGTGAAGGGAGAGAGGAGCGAGGCTGGGAGTTATATAACCTTGGAACCCTGTGCACAAGTTTAGTCAGGGTCCAACTTCCCTTGGTCCCTGCCCAGGTGCCCCTGCTTGGCAGGAATCCTTCTATGTACAAAGTACGGAGTACGGAGTACGAGGTACGTCAATTGAGGGACTCTTTGAGTTCGCGTTCCTGTTCGCAATAAATTGCCAATCAATCGCTGTTTGACGATCGGACAAAAAGTCTTACTATCCGACATTCGCCCCCCACGATCGTCCCTCGCTGTTTCAAGAGAGTGGAGTCGATATTTATAGTCTGTTCAAGATCCATGGGACAAAGACTTCGATTTTCAACGGTTAAACGGGGGCAAGGGTCTTCCAAGGTTTGCTTTGGAGTACAAGTACAATTGCAGAAAATACTGGTATATATCCATGGACATCCACTGGGGAAGATAGTGTACAACGGGGTGGCTTTCAGCCCACAATGCTTGGCAACTGGGACCTGAAAATGAAATCAACTCGTCTTGGCATCGACCTCCCATTCATCCCATCCCTCCTCTTTCATGTTTCGCTCAATTGCGAGACGACGGCGTTTCCGCTTTCGACGCTCCTTGTTAAACTCTCGTCGTTGATCGTCTGACATCCGTAACCTTCGCACCTCCGGAGGAATAGGGTGGCGACCGGTCTTCTCGGCCGCTCGCTCCCGCTGCTGCTGGACCTCCTCATCGAGTTTGCGCACGTCGTCACGGACGTAAGGGTGATACTGCAGTCGCATGGCAAACTCATCCACGGATCCAGCGCAGATGGTGCGAATTTCCCCCTGCGTTTCAGCACTCAATGCCGCTTCCCGCTTGACCAGGTCCTGGAAATAAAGGAAGCCGGACCGGAAGTTTCCCGCGTCCAAACACATTAAAATGATCGACTCGAACGTGCCCCCGTTTGGGATTACCCCGAGGGACGCCATCTCTTTCACGAGGAACATCCCGGACTCACGGTTTCGGGCCGTGCGGCACATCCGAATCAGTGTGTTGTAGATTTGAACGTCTGCTCCCTCCGGGCAGACGGTGTAGAGCTCCTTGTAGAACCCGACACCATCGTCCACCACCGACGGATCGGAGTGGGCATTGTGCTCACAGAGCCGGGCCACCACACGGACGGACTGGATGGGCACGGTCCGTTTCTCGTTCTTCAACCGCTTGAGCATCTGCCATGCCTCCCGCCGATCCACTTTAGATTGGATCATGTACGCAAGAAGACAGTCGGTCGAACTATCCGCTAGCGGGATCTGTGTTTCGTGCATAGTGCACAATGTTTCGAACGCCGCAGCCAGGTCACCGGCTGCCACGTGCGCTTCCACAAGTCGCTCATACTGTCCGCGATCAAGCAACATGCCGCACTCGACAAGGTATCGAATCACAGACTTGGCCAGCTCAGTGTCTCCAGCCTTCGCGGCCATCCGAAGAACGTCATTGCACACCGGAATGAGTGGACTCATGTAACCCAGGTCGACCATGCGGCGCCACACATAACGCGCCATCGTAAAGTGGTCATGTGTGCCCGCCACTGTCAACACATGCATCCAGAGTGGTGTCGTCATATCGTGGCCCTGTTCAACGCGAGCCTGCATCAACCTGTACACCTCGTCCAACTCGCCGTGGTCGCAAAGCGTATAGACAATTATACTGTGTAGCCAGTTCTGAACGAAAATGAACTTCCGTTCCATCAACGCGACATGCTCCAGCGCGAGCTCGATCTGGTTCTCGCGCAAAAGTCCCGCCACCACGAAATGCCATCCGGCCGGACTGAGCGTCAGCCATCGGTCGCGCATTTTGTCCAGTACTTCTTGTCGGAGCAGATAGTCCGGGTGAACGGCGAGGACCTGACGTAGTGAGTTTCGGCTCGGTTTCGCACAGTTCCATGACTTACCTGTAGTGCACCGTGGAGGGTGCCAGAGTCCGCGGTGATGCCGCTACTCTCCATTTCATCCAAGAGTCCGCGCACGAGCTGCGGCGACCCTCGTTCATTATCAGTATTGGCGAGAATCAGAGCTTTATAATGTCGAGCATTGGGCTGTACATGGCGATCTCGAATGAGCAGCCGTAGGATCTGCGTGATGTGTCTGATATTCGGTTTTTTGTCCATGACATATTGAAGCCGTGCCTCCAACGCATCGTTCTTCAGCTTCAGAAGGTCTTCCTGTACATTGTGTGTTCGCGAGAGAGGCTTTCGGGTGCTCCGCGTGTTGGTCCGTTGTCTGGACCAGTGAGCGTGGGCCTCATCGTGGTATCTGCCGGAGTGCAATGTCTCCGAACGAGATGCATCTGTGATTGAATGCTGAGGCCCAGGGGAATCGTCGGTCGTGCTATAGCAGCGGCGAGCTGGGGAGCTTGCGGTAGCGATCGAAGGTAGCGGTTTTCTTGAGAATCGTCCCTTTGGTTTGGGATACGCTGAGCGACCAACGCTCAGCGCTGTGAATGACGGGCATAGTGAATACCATAGTCCATCAAGGACTAAAGCCCGTGGCGACATGGCCGGTTCTGTGAAGTGGTCTCGAGCTAACCTCCGCGGATTTGATTTGGCATTTGATATCACGTGACATCACCGGTCTGGTCGGGGAAGTCCTCACCTTGGAACACATCTACGGAATACATGCTACAGAATTGATAAGAGAAGAGCGAATTTAGTCTGGGTTTTTGCAATATAACATTGAAAATGTAGCTGTAAATTGTCCAAGTGGCCCAGTTACCGTGAAAATACAGAGCCAGATACGCCACGGCCATGCTCTCGAACCGTTCCAGACCTCCGAGCGACCTTACCGTCTCCTCCGGGGTATCTCATTTGCCTTCTTTTAAAGAAATCGTGAAAGGCTCATGCTTGGTTACCGCCTCGTCCCCGACCGCGACCGCGTCCACCGCGGCCACCACGGCCACGACCACGGTCCCCGTCTCGACCGCCACGACGGCCTTGTGGTTGGTTCTGTTGTTGCTCCTTGACGATCTCGACAATTTCTTCAGGCACGCGCAGGTATTTGATCTGGGTGCTGTTAGTATATGGCGAAAGGGCGGGGCTCGAATCCGATTCCGAGTCAGACGAAGCGGCTTACGTTGTTGCCTCGGATGTAGACTTCAGGTAATCTGAAGAAGCGGTCGCCTTCGGGACTCGTCTGCACTACTTCGCGCAGGATCAGGTTCATGAAGTTGTCGCAGGTCACTAGGTGGCCGTTCAGCGTTTCGCCGTTCTTGAGTTCCACCAGCATGGGGTGGCCCTGGGCGGCTGTGAGGAGGCCGAGAGGCAGCTTTGAAAAGAATAGATGAGCATGTTTTCTATTTTGGTGGGTAACTGGGTGCAACTGGAGCTCACCATCTTGAAATGCGATCGACGGAGTGGGTGAAGGTGGGAGGGTCGGTTGGCGCACAACGTTAAAAGAATGCGGGCGCTGCGTAGGACCAAAGCGGGAAGATCCTGGAGGAATTCGACGTTCTAGGACTCAATGGAAGGACCGATCTGAGGTATCTTGTTGACAATAGCAATGGATACAAGCAAGCTCCAAGAGATGCGATGGTGATCCGGAAAAAGGTAAGTGCCGAACCCAGATGTTATCGCCGGCACGGCAGATTTCGACAGCCAAAATGAGGACTGGTGGACTACGCCTGCTATTCAATTATAATGAGGGTAAATATCACCATGAACGGGGTTCTATATCTACATGACAAGAAAGGGAATAAAGGAAGAAAAGATTTCATTTTTCTCTGACAAGGCAGGACACCTTGAAGGTAAATTACATAGTACATGAGGTTTTGGCAATGCCTGTGGACAATGCTCAAGCCTTTGATCGCTTGGGAGGCTCTTCAATGTCTTCCCAGTCGTCGTCTTCCTCAACTGTGAGCTTGCGCTTATTACGCTTGCTTCGGCTCCCAGTAGGAACTTCTTCCCCTTCAGATTCCCCGTCTGGCAAACGGCCCTCAAGCGCATCCAGTGTGAGCTCATAGCCTTCCTCCACATTTTGAACTGTGGCATCAAGCTTCTCCACTCGATCAAGAAGCTCCAATTCACTTAGAAGTTCTTTGTGCTTCTTGAATAGACGCTGCTTGGTCAACATGCGCCACCAGTAATAGCGACGATCCTCCTCATTCTCAGCCTTATACTTTTTGATTAGCAGCCTCGCAAGATTTGTGCCGCCGGCCAGGCGGTGACTTTTAGGGATCTGACCAAGAAGGTACATCTCCAAGATATGGGCGAACTGAGTGGATTCGATTTTGAATGATTTCCGAATGTCCGCGAGGAGTTTGGTGGGGATAAGTGCGGACGTGGGAACATTGCGAGGGCGCTTCTTTTGAGAGAAGGCTCCATGAGGGTCCGGGTTGAGAGTGACATTATGCTTCAGGAACTCAGGCCGTAGGAGACAATAATCGGCTGTGTCACGGAGCGCATCGAATTGCTCGTTGGGGTCCTCAACGGTGAGCTCCAAAATAGTTGGGTCTGCGATGCAGGCGGCATGGATTGTGGTATATAGGTGGGTGCCGTGGCCGGCACGGTGGTGTGAAGGTAGAACCAGGAACTGGGCGATCCGAATCCGGGCTGGGAGTTCCGCAGTATTGACTTCTGGCACCGGGAACTCGTAGTCCTTCACTGCAGGAGCTTGCGATTGTTCCCGGTGGTAGTACCAGTAGCGGTATGTTGTGGCATATCCGACGATCGAATAGGACGATGCGGTCGGAGTGGGAGGCGTCACCTTTTCATATCTATGACTGATTAGCCGCATGTCGCAGGTCGCATATCGCACAAGTCACACTTACACAAAGTACACCATCCACCTGTCGAGTGTCCATTCTGGGTCATCGGTTTCCAGGGGGGTACCTGCCTCGATGAAGAGGGAAACGAGAACCTGCATGCGATCGAGGATCTTGCGCACTGCAGGGTCTGAGAGTGAACCGCTCCAGATTTCATATTTCCTATCATCGACGTCATATCCAATAACGAACTCCCCGGGAGGCTTAAAGTCTTTGGCATCGGGGTCGCTCTGAACTGCTTTCTCGTAGTCGGGAAGATTGGCGAACGCCTCTGCGCCGCAATGATTAGCTGTTATCGCGATGGTTGCATAAATGTCCCCTCTTACCTTCCTGCACAAATGGCTTCAGCGTCTCGAGAAGATCCAGAGCCTTTGTGTCACCGATGCTCTTGAACTTTTCGTCGTAAGAGGTGTGAACGTGAGGACGCATATCATGAGCCGCAAAGCGCAAGCGGATGATCAGTCCCCTGTAGCCGAATATCTGTTCCTCATCACCGAAGATAGGATAAGTGAATTGGGGGTGGAATGCCGATAGCGTCTTGGGCTTCTTGTCGCCCGGCTGGACAATTGTAACATGGACCGCATCGTTGGCGTCGCAAGACCCTAAAGTACATGTCAATTAGCTTTCGATGAGCCTAGTGAGGTGGTGAGTAGGATCTGTCGTACATGAAGCTTCGCTCGCCATTTTGAAGGTGTGGCTTTCAAACACGATACCAATCGTTGCGAGTGAAGTTCAAATCTCCGGTGACGCGAGGTGAGACGCGCCCAGCCTGCATCAGTATTACCTAATGTGGACTAGCGCCACACCAGACGTTTGAGACTACGATTTCGACCGCCTATGCTTCCGCTTTCCTAATATGGACTAGCCCTAGCGCATGTGGATGTAAATCATCAACGACATGCAGGAATTTGCAATGGCGAAAGAGCTCAGCTGCTCGTTTCATGAAGGTTGCAGTCGTGGTTGAGATAGGTCAACTAAATCTGCTTCAAACGTTGAAAATTCGTCTCGTCATGATCACAAGTCTATGGACCGAATGACCCAAGCCAAATTTCCCGATTAGGAAAGGCCGCTCAATATGTAAATTGAGCAGCTACTGGCTAGCACGGAAAAGAGAGAGCAGATAGTTGAGTCTAGAAAGTGAGAAGCAACTGAGAGGCAGAAGCAGAGCAAAGAGGAGAGCTGTGATTGAACTAAACTAAGAGGGCAAGCACATGACCATCCCCCAGGTATATAATCCCTCTCTTCCTCCCAACTCAACTCTCTTCTCTTTTTTCCCCAACCTCGCCAATCTTCCCCCCCTTTCCCTGAAGATTGTGCACCTTTCTTTTGAACACGAACGCTCATACTGCTCACACACTATGAGCGGGGAAACGCGGGTACCTCTTAGTTCGTGCGCCCTGGAGCCCCCCGTGGGAATCTGACCCACAACCTGTGCAGAGTCTGCTTGGTATTTTCCCGCCTTTCTTCGGTGTATCATGCCCAGGTGCGTCGAAGATTGTGCTATTTTTTAGACCAACTTGATCTTGGTACTGTGAGACATACGGTACTGGGTGATTGTTCTGGGGTTCCTTTCTTGGTGCTCCTTGAGGTTGGGTTTTATTCCGCCTCGCCTTTCCGCACGGCTTCGTGCTTGTGGATTGTGCACCACTTTTTGGAACCAATCTGACGGACTCTCTTCTCTGTCTGAGCATTTCATGATGAGAACTCTGAGGGTATTTCTACAAATACATGTGTGTGTGTGTGTGTGTGTTGTAAGAGAATGGCCATGAGCCCTCTCAGTTTAGTCGTAACTCTCCTCTTTGCTCTCTCCCTCCCACACAGTTGCTTCCCTCTTCCTAGAAATCAACTCGCTGCTCCCTCTCTCCGGTGCTAGCCAGTAGCTGCTCCAATCCATGGATACTGTCTGACCTGCCTGCCCTGCGATAAGATATCCAGTTCCAAGTCGACCTCGGGAACAATACTCTCAATCCATCTCGGTCTCTGGACGATCATGACAAAGCTCGAGGCTCGCGACCCAGACATAGGGACGACTTCAAGACCGCAATCATCTGCGCGCTCTCCCCGGAGGCCGATGCTGTCGAAGCCTCCTTGGACCATTCCTGGGATGTTGACGGAGATCCTCATGGCAAGGCAGCGGGAGACACAAACGCATATACGACAGAAAAGATCGGTCGTCACAATTTTGTTCTCGCATACATTCCGGGTATCGGTAAAGGGACCACACCCAGTGTCGCAACACATATCCGCAACAGTTATCAGAGTATCGCTGGTGGTCGGGGTATGCGGTGCTGTACCTCAAACACGAGATGGCAATGGAATTAACTTGGGCGACGTGGTAATTAGCGACGGCGTCGTTCAATATGACTTGAGCCACCCACTTCGGATAAATGTCATACGCAAAGACACTCTACTGGACAACCTAGGTAGTCCTACCCTAAGGATCCGAAGTCGAATATTCCAGCCATCATACCAACATCAGTACCATTGAGCAGCGTGCGATTTATGCTTCGTCCACATGGGCGAAAAAGGCCCGATATACCAGCCTGCTCTTCAATCCACCCGTCAACAGCTTCAATGTAACATACAGATAGCGATCCATCGCCGAAGACACCCCGAAGCCGCAAATCAGAATGAGACCATCGCCCCTAGCGTTCAATTCGGTTTGATTGCATCGGGAGATAGTGTCATAAAGTTCGGTTTGGACCGAGATGCGACCACAGAGCAAGAGGATGTGATTGCATTCGAGATGGAAGGCGTCGAGGTTTGGGATCCATAATATACCGGGTGTGATAATCAAAGATGTTCGCGACTATGCCGATAGTCACAAGAGCAAGTTGTGGCAGAGCTTGCGGCTTTGTCTGCCGCAGCCTGTATGAAGGCAGTTTCTATTAGTGTATAGGTCTATATTTGTGGCAAGATACCCCCGATTTTACACCCGTGGACATACTACCTAGTACTACCCGTGGAATTTAGGTAGTGCCAGCAGTATTATTTAATGTGACATTACACTCGGATCTGCTGTGGTCTCGCAGTGAGAGCTGCGCCAAAAGATTCCAAGGCTCTATGTATATCGGCCAAGGTTCTAATTTCTATAAACATGTATGTGCTTCCTGCCATAGGCTCTCTTCATTTTTCCATTTCGCATGAGATCGTTTCAGCTGGGGAATCATCTCAAACGCACGTTGAATTCCCATAGTACATCCTATCTGCTCAAGCGTCCCGACCACCCAAGCATGGACATGATCTGGAGTCCCCGCAGCCCCTCCCGCCACTGCCAACGGGAAAAGCATCATGAAAATGCCATTCAAGGGTGGGAGGTTCGATGCGCTATCAGCAGTGTGCCCCCTCTGAGATAAAGCCTCATGGCTTACAGCCCCGGTGCATATGCCAACAGCCATGGACGAAATCGTTTCCAATGACTGTGTTCGCTGGAGTGCATCTTTCGGCGTGGGCTGAGCCAGGGTTGATATTGTGGATACCACCATTTCATTGAAAAGTAGTCTTGTCCAGCGATAGTGGTTGTAGATTCGGGAGACCCATGCGTCCTTGTATACGTGGTACTGGCCGTAAAAGGTCCGGGAATGAGCGTCGGAGGTTCGGGCCTCAAAAGCCCAGCTCGCCGGTAAGCTGGACTCCCAGTCCCGAAGCTCGGCCTCGAACATCAGTGCGGAACTGATGATTGCCCTAGGATTGGGGATTGTGTGTCGCATAGAGGCATCGTATCTCATGAATCTGATCAGTATGTCAATGAGATTGACTGCGGGTAACACCTCCGACGGGGCATCAGCCATGTATTCCCGGGACCAATGCAATGCATCCGGGTTGCCATCTCTGCGAGAGAAATACTTGACTATCGACACAAAGTAGAATCCCAGTTGGGCTCTCTGGTCTGAAGCTGTCAGGAATTTGCGAAATGCCGATTGCTTGAGCAACGCAGCGGCACCGTCTAGATGAACCATCCACGAATCCAGTTGGTTGGGAGCGCAGCTCACCATCTGCGAGCATCAGTACTAACCCCAAGAGGAAGCGGGTCACATAGCATACCTCATATAGACTTAACATGACAATCAACGGGAACGTCCGATCTGGATTAGCCTGGGTGGGGTCGCTAACTGCTTCTCGCACGGCCTTGATGACTTGTGCATGCTTCTCCCTTGAAAGGATCCGCAGCGAGCTGTCACGGTTAACGTTGGCTATGGCGGCCAGGCCCACCGAGACGACCGCATCCCGAATATTTGGATCGTAATTAATATGCCGGAAAAAAGGAGAGTCCTGCACATTATGTACCTGAAGATGGCCCCCCACCCTGATGGGCATCGGCGTCACAAAGCGATTAATAAAGAACCTCAGACCCTGGTCTTCTAGGGGAGTGGAGATGGCGACAATGCTGGATGACGTTGGGGATTCCACTGCATCGGCTTTAGTGGATATCGAGTCTAGAGCGTCCAGTCTGCGACGGGCTCTTGATTTGGCCTTCGCTTCGGCACTGAGTTGAGCCGCCCTCTCATTTTCACTGCGAAACATAAGAGAGCTCAGATCCCGATAACCACCGCATGGTTTTCCCGCTCGCTTGCACTGCGAACAGACGGGCTCCAGTCGGTCACACTGCATTGGACTTAGTCGAGCCTCGCTTGAAAGTCCTTGTCTCACTTACTTTGATTCGCCGTCCCCTGCAACTGGAGCAATTCTTGCTCGGACGGCCATGAAAAGGCATATTCTACGTGGTGAACAAGCCCAAAGTACGTCCAATATGGCAACGAGTTCGGGGAGTTGGACTGTGGAGCAGACTTGGCAACCATGCCTAATCGAGTATGCCATTCGTCGTCTGGCGATGGGCGATAAATTCCCCCGGCGCCTGTCATTGGTGGCATCGGGCCCTGTGGCGGTGTTTTCAAACCGCATCGCGATCGGAACCAGAAACAACTTGCGAAGATACGTTTGCCAAGGGGAGAACTGCCTAGCTTTTTATACGAACGCGACACCGCCAAGCGCGAAGTCATCGGCATGATCTCACTTTTTGCAAGCTCGTGGACTTTAAAGAAGTCATGCCCTGAAAAGCGAAACTCGTACTCCGTTCACCCCTGACATTTTTACTCAACACGATGAGCTTGATCGAGCGTGCCTCGCGGCCGGAGATGCATGCATCTTATTATCGCTACAATCCCTCACTGGCGCCAGCTGTTGTTGCCGCAGTTTTGTACACACTCGCCTTCATCGGGACTCTCGTGCAGTGGGTTCGATACAGGGCATGGATTTGGGCTATCATGGTGATCGCCGCAGCCAGTAAGTGAGCACCTCATCCATCCAACAAGTGTTAACCCAAGGATTAGTGGAGGCAGCCGGCTGGATCAGTCGATGCATTTCAGTTAAGGATGTGACCGACAAACCATCTTATTCCGTGCAGTTCGGTCTAGTAATCCTCGCTCCAGTTCTCATGGCCGCTTGTTGCTACATCATCTTCAGTCGCATCTTGTTCCTGATTGTGCCTCGTGAGAGACGGACTTTCAAGCTGTGTTGGGTCCCGCCTCGGTTCATCACACCGCTCTTTGTCGGATTCGACATCGTTGCCCTCCTGCTTCAAATGGGCGGTGCCATTATGATCACTTCCGTTGATGACGGCGACAAGAATGCGAGAGATAAGCTGAACACCGGCAAGCACGTCGCCCAAATCGGTGTCATTGTCCAGCTGGTGGCCTTTGGTCTCTTCGCCGTTGCCGCCGTCCGCTTCAATTTCACTTCTAAGCGCTTCACCGAGATTGTCAGGCAGCGGTATGAAAGCTTCGGCGAGAAAGAGCACCTCATCGGGGGTGTCGCCAAGGATAAGCATTGGCCCACTCTGCTGCGAGTCGTCAACTTCACTACAATTTTGATTCTTGTGAGTATCTGCGTGATCTCGGGGCTGTGCAATCGCTAACTGATCCTAGGTTCGGTCGATTTATCGACTGGTGGAATTCACGGAAGGCACAACAGGATATCTCAATACCCACGAGTGGCCCTTGTACATCTTCGATGCTCTTTGCATCTACCCTTGTGTGGCCCTTTTCGTCTGGTGGCATCCCTCGCGGTACTTGCCATGGATGGGACTCCGACTCCCCAAGGAGGCTCGGTAGTGCTGAGATCCGATCTGAGATGCGGGTCTGCTAAATGCATGTAATAGTCGAGTTTTGGGGCATCGGTGTAATGCGAACCATAGCGAGATAGAAGAGGAATGGAAAGTAATATGCAAGGCTACTCTTCAACAGATCCCTACTAAATGGTAGCCATTTCCCAGGGTTTCCTGATGCCCTTTCCGGCCGTCATCTACACGTGATGGCACCGGACACGACCTCCGGCCTTCTACCGCCACGCACTCAGACCCGCAAGTCCTTTCCCCACTGCAAGTTCGTCCCTGCGTTGTTTTGGGGCAACTGGGGCATTTGCCCAGGTGCAGCATTTGGAGTATCTCAGCGAAAGGCCTGTGGTGGCTAGGCTCACTGAGGGCGCCAAAGACAGGCTCACTGTCACTGCGCCTCGTCACAATGGTGTCTGCCCACCATGTGTCCTTTTTCCTATATTTCTTTCTCTCAGCTAAGAGTGCTTCTCTGCCTGCCTCTCTCACTGTGACCTGTCATCTTCCATTCCTCATGTCTCTATCCTCGATCGTTTCTGCTTCCCCAGCTCCAGATGTAGCGTCCCAAAAGCTATTCGCCCGCCAATCCACTCGTGAACCACCTACCACCTAAACATCGCGGTCTTCGAGTATCATGCTCCCGCCCTCAATATTGTCGTCCCGCCAATTCCACCGAGTCCGACAATGAAGCGCCTCGAAGTCAGCGGCATATAAAGCTGGAAAGCGGCTAGCTCGAGGAAGATACAAGGACAAATACCACTAGCAACTCAAAGCAGGGCGATGCTACGCACGAGACGGATCTTACGGGGCTGGAGGACTTCCTAAGCTCACGGAAACGTCTCCGAGCAGATGAGAGCCTCGTCCTTGAGCCAGAGACCTCATACAAAACTGAAGATATCTACCAGGACCCATTGGATGAAGGCCAAGTCGATCTCTCCGTGTTCCCCGAGGATTTTGACAAAGCACTAGAGACCATTGAACGCCGGGAGTGGATTGAAAAGAGACCCAAAATGTGAGCGAGCCATTGGAAACTAATATACTTCATGCTCTCCGAATACAGCATACTAGAGACTGTGCCAGCCAGGTGAGAAACAAACCCAATGAGCCTACATGGCGTGAGGTCGAGGATTCGCTGCGCCAGGCAACGAACAATGACATGTATTGGTTCGAAATGGAAACCACTCATTCAAAGAAAATGAACCAGCCCTTGAAGCATGATCAAATCCCCAGCTATCATGCTCTAAGTTGGAACACAGCTTGAGATCAAACCACACCGATCAAGCCTTTCATTACAAGGTTGTGATCAGACAAAGACACAATGGTCAGAATGGTATCGTCTCATTCTAGACTCTGGATTACTAAATAACAGTCCCATCATGGCACCCTCCAGCGGCAAGGGATCGAGAACCTTCGCAATATACGCTAGCCAGTTGTCAACCCACTGCAACAGGGGAGATATATGAGCGTGTTGCCAGTACGAAACACACCATCCAGCCACTTCTTGGTCCACAAAAGTACCTAATTCATACTTTTCCTCATTTGTGACAGAATTTACGACCTTTCGGAGGACATTCTCTCTGTAAAGCTCTCTGTGGGTGAATACAGGTGGATGATTGCGAAGTACCAATGGAGGGTGACGAGCAAGATAGTCAGAAAGCTATGGCTATTTGATTCGGTCTACATAGTCTTTGAGTAAAATGCGATGGATTTTCCGAATTCTTCTTTCGTCTGAAATGCGGCGGTAACAGCAGCGTCCTTTTTCGAAGAAAGAAAAATCTATGGGGAACGGGTCCCCGGTTGACTCTGCCAATCAAATCCAGGCGAAGACGGCGCTCTCATCTGATCAAACATGCATCGCAATTGTTCATCTATCGAATGTTTATTCTCCTCGGTGACCTCGGGAGCGAAGGCCATGCCATCCCTAAAGAAATGTTGGGGGTGTGTTCCATGACGATATGCAGGATGTCCCGATCGCGATACACGGTGTAGGGTCGTGACGCTTTAGACTCTTGGGGGCTGTGCAATCAGACGAAGACGGTGTGCCACTCGTCTCTTCAACTCCAGAATCGAAGCTACTTGGTTCCGCACACATGTTGGTCATGATGGTTTTGGTAGAGCTGACCACGCGTTGGTGAGGCTGGGAGACACTATTCATAGCTCCTGAAAGGTTTATCGGAATGTCCTGCTGTCGTTTTGCTGTTAGAATCCAACAGTTGAACGATCTATTCGACATATTCGAGGGGGGGGGGGGGGGGGGAACGTTGAACTGTTTTCCGACAACAAGCAGAGTAAATATATCCTTCATCTTGGGTCACAAGTGGACCATATCTCACCGTATTTATTTCTGATTACGAGCAGGCGCCCATCGCAATGTGATTTCCTGAGGTGTGTTGCACGTTCAGTCTCATTCGAATCAGGAAGAGGCCCTACTCATTGACCAACATCCTGATAATAAGGAAGGGACAGAGGCACAGCTGTATGCACGACGTCTCACGAAATAGAACAATTGATGGCAAGTTGAGGATGCGGTCCAGTGCTGCAAGTTCCTGTTAGGCCCCTCGGGGCAGTGGGTGAGCTAAGTTGCCTGGTGTCAGGAGTGGCGCATGATCAACAAAGATATCAATTATTTGACCGAGGGAAAAGAGAGGAAGGAGAGAGAACGAAGAGAAGAGAGCTAAGCAGCTCCACCGCAAGCCCGAGCCTTGATACAGGGCTTCCAGCGTGCGAATGATGAGGCCCTGTTACTCCGGAGCAAAACAATTAAATTGATATGAAGGCAAATGAAGAGTAAAACGACAAAGTAGGTGTATTTGACCCAGCAAAACTTTATCGAACATGAATATAATAGTACTGTACTCAGAGGGAGGAAGACTGAGACGCGCTTAATTCACCACGAGAGGTCCACGGTATCCATGGATGCCAATGCCACACTGTACACCGTACTCCGTAGTGGATACGGGATCATGCCCGGATCAATCCACACTGTACATCAATATTAGCTCGACCTCGGAACAGTGCGCTGCTTTGTGTCGGTGCAGATTGATCGATTAAGTCGATGCACGCGCAATCCGTTCAATAGCTTCACCGCATCGATATTACTTTACCTGCTCGAAGTCAAGGGAGCAACATGATAGCCCCTTTAGACTCAGCCCCGGTTGAGGCGACTAGCAGACCGCACACGGCTTCGGATGATTTGGAATGGAGGCTCGCATAGTCTAAATGAGTCAATCGATTGGAGAAAAGATCTGTAGTTTGCGTAGATCTACTCCGTCCCAGACGCTAAATTCCTCCCCAAAATGACTGGGCCTACTCCGTACTGGGTAGATCTATGTCTAATTAGACCCATAACGAGATGTCAGAGCTGAGACAAGATTGATTTTCCCATGCAATTGTTCGACTTGAACATGTTCCATTTCAATGGATTGATGGGGGGAAGGATCTGTAGCTTGTGTAGATCTACTTGGCATTGTTCCTTCCTAGTATGATTGGGTTGACAATCAAGATCTACACCGGTGTCGACCTCTTGGGACAGACAGGAAGTGAGACAGTATGGATCTTCCCGAGGAGGTGGTCGGCTTGAACCAGTCACTGCTCGATCGGTGCTCGATCGCGGGTGGCATGGCGCTCTTCCGATGATGAGCGATGAGGCTATACTCGTACAAGTATGAGCTTTCTGAGACATGCATCAAATGATGTTCAATAGGTAGTCATTTGAGCAGCTTCATCGGAGGCAATTCGCTATGCGGCAAAGATGAGCCGATTCATACACGCGGATGTAGATCGCCTTAGCGCGGTAGACTTCGGTCATGTATTGGCTGTAAAGTGTGAGCGAGTGCTTCCCAGGTATTACTAGGTACTAGTAGTACTTGAGATACCCGAGAGAGTGCTGTTCTCTTCAAGGTTGCACCGTAACGGAGAAAGGTCTGTGGATGTACAGTGTATACTGTACATCGGTGCCTGTATATCCATGGATGCACTGTATATAAATACATCGTGCCAGTGCCACGAGACGGGCACAGCAGTGGCTTAGAAATCGACGGGCTCCTCCCCGGCGACCTCGGGGCCTGCGGAAGATCGAAGAAAAGCACTAATCCCACCAGGGCAAGATCGTCAACCTTCCAGACGGCTGAAGGGCGAACGGAACTAGTTCTTTCCATGGATCAGCCCGAACTGTCAAAACAGTGGGACGCTGTCATATGCTCGATCGTCACATAATCCCATTGTTCTCGAAAGTGCAATCCAACCGTCTGGAAACGCATGCAGGGGTAAACCAGGCCCATCCCAAACAGTCGTTTATTCCCGGGAAAGTTGGCTGGATACCCACTTAGGGCGCCGCTTATCCCGCGTCTGGTGGATTTGCAGGTCTCGCCAAATCGCACTACTTTGAACAGTGGGTGTTAGCTTAATGCTCCTGAAAAATACCCCCTTCTGACACATGGCTAGGCCAGAGGATACCTGCTTTCGCTGTTCGCGGAGCGGGGCACAGGTTCCGGACACCTTGGAATCTCCACAGGTCGGCATTTTGTTAATTTGTTTCTGACGATCTCTGGTGCGGCTCCCGCTTGACCGTTGACTAGTAATGGGGTTATGTAGCGTTGGCTTTGTTGATCCCTCCTTGCCATTCGTTGGTGGCAACAGTTGGAGAGTAGCCTCGGCGCACCTAAAATGCCCCTGACAGACAAACTTTTTACTTATGAGATCTCCCCTCCACTTTTGTGAATTTCACTTCAAAGTCAAATTCTCATGCGACCGTTTTTGACGCCATACCACCATGGCCACCGATGAGGATTCCAGGAACATGGCCATTAAGGTCGTCGCCGGCCTGTTCATGTCCATAGCGGCCGTGACTGTCATACTGCGATGCTATGTCCGCGGCTTTTTAGTAAAAGCCTTTGGATGGGACGATGGCGCGATGGTGATGGCGATGGTAAATGGTCCCGTGTGTATGGACTTTGGCAGCCCACTGACCTTCGAATAGGCCTGGTACGCAATGTTCTGCGGATCTATGATTGGAGCTGGAATCCATGGAAATGGCCGACACTGGTATAATGTGTCAACGGAAGACCGAGTAATTGCCATGAAGGTACACATATTTCCGATTCTGTTCGACGAATGCGACTGACTCTGTCCCTAGTACTGGTGGCTCTGCGAGATTGGATTCTGTTTCGCATCAATCTTCTGCAAGATCTCAATTTGTATCTTCTTGATGCGTATCTGTATCAACAAGACGCACATCTTGCTTCTCTATTGCGTCATGGCTCTGACTGTCCTAGCTGGACTGGTTTTCATGTTCCTCATGCTCTTGCAGTGCAAGCCACTCTCCTTCTTCTGGACTCGTCTGGCTTACCACCCCGTTCGGAACATCCCAGGAGAAGGCTCCTGTATCGACATGGAAATCATTATCGCCATGACATACGTTTACAGTGCTTTTGCCGCGATGTGCGACTTTACCGTCGGAATTCTCCCAATCTTCGTCGTCCATAACCTGCAAATGAAGAAGCAGACAAAGTTGGCTGTCATTGGCATTCTGAGTATGGCTTGCATGTAAGTGTCAGCAATCGCTCCATTGTTGATCCTGAGCTAATCCCCTCCCCAGTGCATCCTCCGCCGTGATTGTCCGCATTCCATTTGTCAAAACATTCGACGATTTGAACGACTTCTTGTGTACGCTTCCCCCCAATTCCTATTTGCGTGATGAATACTAAACAACGAACAGATGCCACCGTCCAAATCGCCTACTGGTCCAATCTCGAGGCTGGCCTCGGTATTACAGCCGGCTGTCTCGCAACTCTCCGCCCTCTCCTTCGCCACTGGTTTGGCTCTCGCGCAGATCCCTCCTACTCCGCCGGATTCCCCAAAGATACATATGGACGTCGTACTGGTGCGAGTCAAAGCCGACCTATGCCTCTGAGCTCCATGAACGGAACCGAACGAGGCGATTTAAGACCCGATAAGCTGGCTGTCATGGTCACGAACATTGAGAGCCATCGAGACCTCGAGAACTCATGGCCTCAGCCAGGCAGTCCAAGCAGCAGCGAAGAAAGGCTGACTATCCAACCACCACTTCCCGGAAGAATGGAGGTGGGTGTCCATCAGACATTCGAGGTCACCAGAACCGCAGCGGATACTGATTTCGGGGACGTGGCTCAATGGACTGCCCGAGAGCATGTATAAAATCCTCACTATCATTAAAATTTCCTATTCAATTGTCATGTAAATACTACTACATAATCAACGAAGGTACATATTGTATGTCATAAAGCCTCTTTTGATATCAGAAATGTGATGCATTGTTTAATATACTTAGGTTATTTTAAGTTATTGCACATGTGCTCCGTAATTTAGATTATAGTATTGCTCAAATAAATTACCCTACATCAAGGTAGAATTGCTCAAAGCTCGATGATCGAGATTCCGTTGGCCCGACAGGAACGCTTGTCTCTCACTTTGACCTCACTTGACCATGGGGGAACTGTGCCCAATCTCCGCAAGCCCCTTTTCTCCTTTTCTCCTGGGAGAATCTCCGAGGAACTGTTGAGGTTCGAATCGAGGTATCCATCCATCTGTGAGCTCTGACATTTCTTGGTTGTGGGTAGATGTCACTCCACACTACATGGTTGTGGAGACTGATCGGCAGGCCCTAATGAAAAATCTTCACTCGTGTTCGGCCAAGGGCCGGTGTAAGCCCTAAAGGGCAAAGCAGGGAAATGAAAGCATGGACTGCGGAGCACTCGTATCCCAAAGTTCATGATTCTCTGGTACCGTGAGCACTACCCAGGACTATTTGATGGGTTAGGGGTTGAGGAGTTGAAGTACTCCGGGTATGAGCATGGTGATATGACGGTGTGTAACTTACGTATGCCGTTTGTATCCAGTAGATTGGTCTCAAGCCTTGTACGTCAACTTGACAGGGCAAGTACGTACGAGGCCGAGCTGGGTCGTAGCTCGGCATATCGGCTTTCTACCGGATATATCCAAAAGGATCCCCTTGTATCCGAATTGCGGGCTTATTCGTCAATTCTACGCAGGTTATGTGTCAGATTCAGTTGCCCACCTGGGCAGGATTTCTGCATGAAACTCAATGCAGGTCTGCAGAAAAACGGGAAGTATGATTAGTCTTCTGCATGTGCCCGCCTTAGAACTTTCGAATGCCGGGAAAATTACCAAAATAAACATCAACGGTCTGTTATTACCATCTGATACCAGATAAAATACGCAGGAGATGAACGGGCTAAATATAGAGTGGTCCTCAATCAGGGGCTTCCAATTTGACAACCTGACACAAATGCTAAGACATTATGGTTCCTCTCACAACTTGGAAAGAATCCCGTCAGGCTGCAAAATCGAGAGGTACGACTTCTGAATTTCGCTTATGTTCCGACATCTGCTTCCGGTTAGAAAAAAGAGCCAAGATCCCCCTTGCATGAATTCCAGAAGAAACTTACCCAGCCAACGCCATGGTGATCCGCAATTCTTGGCGAAGAATCCGGATCGCCAGTTCTACTCCGTCTTGTCCGTCATACTAGCCTCGTTAGCGTTGGTTCATTAAGCCACGTTCTGCGCACTTACAGCAAGGCCCCAGAATGGAATCCGCCCAATGAAACAGAAGTTGGCTCCCAAAGCCAACGCTTTGAAAATATCCGAGCCTCGTCGGATACCACCATCTACGGCAATCGGAATACGTCCCTTGGCGATAGGTGCACAGACCCGCAGTGCATCTAGTGTCGATGGCATACCATCCAGCTGGCGCCCTCCGTGGTTCGAGACAATGACTCCATTAACCTGGTACTTGAGAGCAAGTTCGATGTCTTCGGGTGTGGTGACTACAGTGTGCATTCATTAGCGGGTCGAATCCTATGCTCAATGATCGCCAGAGGTCAGACATACCACCCTTGAGCCAAATGGGCAGAGAAGTGTGTTCTTTCAACCAGGGGATCGTGCTCTCCCAGTCAAGGCTGGGGTCTATGCCAAGTCAACTCAGAGTCGCTCCATGAACCCGCTTTCCCAACATACCATAATCAGTACGATCCGAGTGGTCACCGCCGTGACTGAGGATATTCGGCCATGACATATCCTCGGGGATGGTGTACTCGTGACGGTACTCGTTCAATCGCTTCCCTAGCACGGGGACATCGACAGATAGGAACAGTGCCTTGTATCCGGCCTCTGGAAAACAGAAACCAATGTTAGCGGGTGTCGATTTCGAAAAGCGAGACTCCGATGGAATCACGTCACGGTGAACATACTCTCTGCGCGCTCCAAAAGCTGAATGGTGAGTGACCGATCCCGCAAAACACACATCTGCATCACATATGGATTCCCGGTACCCTGCGCGGCGACATCTTCTAGCGGATAGTTGGAATAAGAGGAAAGACCCATGCAAAGACCGTATTTCGCCGCGGCGCGAGAAGTCGCGAGCTCGCCGTCAGGGTGGGCGAGCTTCATAGATGCCGCAGGGCTAAAGCCAAAGGGAAGTGAAACCTTGAATTCCCTGGTTAGACTTTTCTCGGCATTGAGTCTGGCGTACGCACCTTGCTTCCAAGAATTTCCGTGGTTGTGTCGATCTTGTCAACGTTGATAAGGATTCGAGGACGGATCTTATATCGGTCGTAGGCAGTCTCGTTCTCGTTGAGGCTAAGAAGAGCAAAGTCAGGAATCGCAGCCACTCAATTGGACTTCAAGACATACGTGATCAAGTCCATAGCTCCTTCATTGTAGTAGTCTGTCGAGTTTAGTACTCTGTGCCAACAAGTCGCAAGTCTGCCATAGAACTATACCTCTAACCATCGGCGCAAGCCGACTACTGCCCAATCTCTTCAAATCAGCAATGCAGCATACATCTTTGTGAAGAGTCTCTCCGCGATGAGCCATTGTAATAACGCTGGTCTTTATAAATCAAGGTGGTGGAATGGAGAAGTTGCGGACAAGGAAGACCGTGGTGTTCATATAAGAGAGTTTGCGACAGACATAATTCCGGGGCAAGTTAGTTTCCGAATCCAGCTTTGCACCGTGACCTTCCCTTTGCTGTTCATTTGCTTCTGGGGTTGGCTTCCTATTGTGGTGATCCCCTCAAATGATGCCCGGAATCGCTTGCCCGGTCGAGATGTTGCAACGGTCATGGTAGGGATCGGTGGAATGCAAGAAGTCCAGAGTGCTCCGTATCTTGAGTTAAATGGGGCCACAATATGTATCGACAGTAAGACTAGGCCACGAATTATGGAGGCTCGGTGGCCAGAAAGCTGTTGCGTTTAATCGAGGAGCACGAGGGCCCGTGGCTCCTACAGCAAACCTGCCAAGGATTCTTTTCTTCGAGCGAGCAGCACTTTGAACTCATGTGCTTTCCCCTCGGGCAGTTTCCCCGGTGCTGTTTGAAGAGAACTCAGTCTTTCTACCACCCCAATGAAAGCTTTCAACATTGAGCGTCTATTATGATGATCATTATGGTTTTGTCTATCTCCGGTCGTAGACATGTAGTGCCATTGTCCTCTGCGCTCCCCAGCTGATCAGTCATTAGTAGACCAGGGCAAGCGCATTGAGCGCAAATACAGACTGAGGTTGAGGCCATGGTGCTATGAAGTGCGAATGAACTGAGATGCGCATAAGCCTCCGAAACTGGGGAAGACGAAACGAGCAGGCGTTTCCGAGCGGCGATAAGGCGATAAGAGTGGCGGGGTTATCTCCGGGCAGGCGACTCCGACATTTGCGGGGTGACGCTCTCCAGATTTCGTGTTTGAGACATAGGATAGCATTGACACGTTCAAGAAGTTCCCGATCAATCAGACAACACTTGATTGTGTGACATTCAGAATGGTGACCTCTAAGCGATCGCGACCTCGCCGATCCCATGTCCTCGGAGGCTGCAGCACTTGCAGACGTCGGCACGTCAAATGTGACCAGAAACGGCCCGTTTGCCGAACATGCCGAGCACTCGGTGTGCCGTGCGAGGGATATTCCAACCAAGTCCAGTGGATGCGCTCCGATAGCCATGAAGAGAACGATGACACTCGACGTGGCACCCGCAGACATCTGTATACAGGTACGGGCGCCTTTCGGTTGGCCCGAATCAGCCAATATAGACTAAAGATATTACAGAGCAATCTAGACTCTCTATGAGTGCGGCTCTAGGGTCAGACTTGGTTTCAGGTTCAATTGACGCATCCCTAGCAGAGGTTGACTTGAGACTCCGAGACCCGGACCGGGCTGCGGACGGTGATATCGTCATCGGACCCTTTGCAGTTCTTGACTTTTCTTCCTCAGCAAACAAGTCGGAGCTGGAAGTGGGAGAGTTGGAGCCTGAGGTTGAGCTTTATGACCCCAACCTAGCTACGACGGTCGATGCTGCGGATACTGTGGTCCCCGAGGACGTGCAAAACCCCAGTCCCTCTTCAATACTGGATTCCCTGTCTCACATTGACGACTTCCTCCACTGGTCTGACTTGTTGAGCTTCAGCCCCGATCAAAATGAGTTCACATCAAATAGCAGTTTGGCTATACCCAACGACTTATCCTTTGACATGAGCCACGAAATGGGATTACTTCCAATTGACTCAAGCCACAATGACGATATCTCAAACATACTCACGCCGCAGCAGACAATTTCAGACCTTGGCCAGACGGAGATTGACCCGCTGAAGGATGCACCATGTCTTTTGAAGCATTTCCAAGACATCGTCATCCCACATATCATGGCCATCCCATGTCGACAAAAATCACCCTGGAAGATCCTCAACGTACCAGCAGCGGTAGTTACTTACAGTGACACCACGTTTCTTGGTACCGAGAAAATAAGTCACGCCAGGATGGCCAATCTGTATGGCTTGCTAGCCTGCTCTGCCATTCACCTTGTTCTCAACCCTTCAACAAGCTCATCCCAACCTCCCGAATATTGGTGGCAAGTTGCCAGCCACGCATACCTGCAAGCAAAGGACCACATGCAGGTATCTCTGAACACAGAAACGCAGGGCCTGAAAAAGGCAAAATATAAGGACCAATTGATGGCAGCATGTATCCTTATTCAGTACACAGTGAGTGCTTCCCCCTGGGAATCCGTCCGAATGGCTCTGACAAAAACAGATCATGTCAGGTCAGCAACAGCACGCTCGATATTTCATGATTGACGCAGAGCGATTATTACGGCTGCGAGGTCTCTCAAAAACAAAAATATCCAAGAAAGCACGTCTATTACACCACGTTTATACTTGGCTCCGGATAGTCGGAGAGAGCACTTTCGTACTCCACGACTATCATATCTCATCCTCCTCCCTCGAAGCTCTCGGCTCTCGTGTTCGACCTCGCGCGCTGCCGAAACAGATTGAGCCAGAGATTTCCGAGCCAAACCCTCGCCTTGATGACTTCCTTCGTCTCGAGCCACAAAACTCGGATAGTGATCTGAACATTGACGAACCCAAAGACAACGCTGCTGCACTTCACGATATACACCTCCAAGACTCACGAAGCTATTCAGAAACACTGTATAAGCAAATTTATGGCATTCCAGAAACATGGCTCAGCCTTATGTCACAGACAACAAGACTGGCCAATGTTCTGGAGACGTTCTGCGTCGCCAGAGAGGCAGGAAAGAATGTCAATCTGAGAGCATGGGAAACTCTCCAGCGACGCAGTATGCGTTTGGAAAACATGATCTGCTCCTTCAGTTTGGGTCGCACAAGAGCCGGTGTTCTGGAGCTTCATGCAGACTCCAAGTCTCACGGCTACATGGTCGAGGCATTGAATGCTGCCTTGGTGATTTTCTTCTACAAGCGAATTAGAAACACCCACCCAGCTGCTCTACAAGGCCATGTTGACAGCGTCATCGAAGCCCTCAAAGCATGCAGTACCACAAGAACGGAGCATGATCCCACCGGACCTGGAACCGCATGGCCCTTGTTTATCGCTGGATGCGAAGCAATTTCTAGTGCTCGACGTCAGTCAATAACGAGTTTACTAGACAGGGCGAGTGCTGCCTGTGGGTTTGCTGCATTTGCGACTGCGAGGAATATCATTACTGAAGTCTGGAAAAGGCAAGACGAGCATATGACCGCCAATCGGGGCGAATCGATGCCGTCGTGGGTGGACACTGTGCAACAAGGGCAAACTTGGCCATTATTCTGTTGATGTGCGAAGCCTGGAGATGGCCAATTGTAATTCTTATCAAAGCGATTTACTTCTATCATGTTTTACGACTCTATATTATGAAGTTTTCTTGAAGAATCATCTAGTCATTGAAATTTGGAATGTAGTATGTAACAAACCAGCTGTAATCATCAAACACGTTCAACGTTCAGACATTCTATAAAGTATTTATAACAAATCATATCAAATCAGATAGTCTTAACACCCGCATTTTGCAGCAACTGCTTCAGCTCAGCCTGTAGCTCAGGCTTCAGAAGAGCAAAGGGCTTGCGTAGGCCACCAGTAGGTTGACCGATGAGCTCCACACCAGTCTTAACAGCGGCGGCGTAACTGTGTGACTCGAGGAACTTGCAAATTGGGAAAGCCTTGGCCCAGAGCTCCCTTCCGCGCTTCAGGTCACCCTGCACAGCAACTGCATTATAAAGCTCAACGGCCAACTCGGGAATGATGTTCGCCGCGCCCCAGACACCACCGGGGGCACCGGCAGCAAGACCGTAGAAGGTCAGAGTATCCCAGCCGTTGAAGGAAGTAATCTGATCGGAAAGACTGAAGATAAGCTCAGTCAACGCAGGTGCGTCACCGGAGGTGTCCTTAAGGTACTTGACGCCGACCTTAGAGAGTCCGGCGATTTCAGTAGGGCTCAGCTTGAGGCCCGAGGCGCTGGGGATATTATAGTAGACAATGGGCAGGTTGGAGGCCTTGTGGACCTCGTCAAGGAGCTCGTGGAGCTCATCGATGCTGACGGGATCGTAGAATGGAGGCACGACCATAGTGGCAGCGGCACCAGCCTGGGCTGCGTGTGCGGAGAGCTCAACTGCCTCGGCGGATGAGAGACTGCCAGTTCCAGCGACGACGGGGACGCGGCCAGCGGCAAACTTGACACAGAGCTCGGTGAGCTGTTTGCGCTCGGCAACGGTCATAGTGGTGAATTCACCGGTGCTACCACCGGGGACCAGACCGTGCACGCCGGCCTTGATGAGGTGCTCGATGTGGGCCTGCAGACGGCCTTCGTCGATGGCAGTGCGGTCATCGGTGAAAGGGGTGATCAGAGCCACCAGGATTCCGTGAAGAGACATTTTGAAGGTGTGTGAATGTGTAGAGGGCGTTGATGGGAGTTGAGGTTCGAAGTGGTAAAATGGTACGTCCAGTCTGAAGCGATGCAGATCTAGATATAGTTGACCTGCTCGTGGAGTCGCTTTCCTTTCCTATATTAACTGAAGTATGTGATTCCATATACTTCGAATTATATCCCAAGGAGTCACTTACCCTTTTGGGACAGCGTGCTCCGCGGCCAACAGGCCCATCACCTCGCCCTTTTGGTTTGAGATTAGGGCCTCAATTTCGTCATAAGTTTGAACTACAGAGATATACCACCTAGTTGGGTACTACTACTGTTTTCTTAGCGAGCTATCCTAGTCCACGATGCAGTCTTATGCTATATAGCGGGAGTTGTGACATTATGACAAGTCTGGAAATCAGACCAAATCTGATCGTTATGATTCACTAGTTATGGCGCAGTAAATTGTAAAAGTGTCTTACGTACAATACTGAAGCTGACACAATAGGTAGTGTGGTGCTTTTGCGAGGACCTTGGAGTATTGGAGCTTTTACGCTGAGTTCCTGTCACATCCGCTACGGAGTACAGACAATCGCTTTTACTCCGATTTCCCCACACTCCACAGCGACATGAAAAGAACACATCATGCAATTCGGAAATGACTCGCAGTGACCGATGACCTGCATGGAATCACCTTCTCGATTGGTCGGAAGGACTTGCCTGAATGGGCCTAACGTGATTGGGGTAACATGAGCATCTTATATCAGACCCCGCGCGCCTTCGAGAGAGGCCAGCCCCGTGAAAGCAAAAATGAGTCTCTTCGTCGATATCGTCACTCCCAACGGTCGGAGCTACAAGCAGCCCACCGGTCTTTTCATCAACAACGAAATTGTGTCTGCAACTGGGGGCCAAACCATCACCTCGATTGACCCCGCGTACGTCATTGGCAGAAGTCACGTATGGACGAGGCTAACTATCACAACAGTACAGACAAGCCCATAGCCACTGTTCAAGCCGCTAGCGCCGAAGATGTCGACCGCGCTGTGAATGCCGCGAAAGCAGCTCTGGCCGATCCCTCATGGAAACAACTCCCCGCCACGGAGCGGGGCCAACTGATGGCCCGCCTCGCTGATTTGATGGAAGAGAACAGAGAGCTGTTAGCATCGATTGACGCGTGGGACAATGGTAAAACCGAGATTCTATCACCTTTACTTAACTCAATTGCTGATTCTATCTAGGCAAGCCTTATCACGTCGCCGTCGATGAAGACCTCACAGAGGCAATCACCACGATTCGGTATTACAGTGGATGGGCCGACAAGACCTTCGGTCAAACCATCAACACAACTCCCCAAAAGTTTGCTTACACAATTCGCCAACCTATCGGCGTGGTTGCCCAGATCATTCCCTGGAACTACCCTCTGTCCATGGCAACCTGGAAGCTTGGTCCCGCTTTGGCCTGTGGAAACACAGTGGTGCTGAAGCCTGCTGAGCAGACGCCCTTGAGTGCCCTCATTCTCGGAACTTTGATCAAGCAAGCTGGCTTCCCTCCTGGTGTCGTCAACATCGTCAATGGCTATGGCCGCGAGGCAGGCGCCGCGCTCGCCGCGCACCCCTCAGTGGATAAGGTTGCATTCACAGGATCCACGGGAACAGCCCGGGAGATTATGAAGATGGCCGCCGGTACCCTCAAGAACATCACCCTTGAGACTGGTGGCAAGTCTCCCCTTCTCGTGTTCCCAGATGCGGACATGGACCAAGCTGTCAAGTGGTCGCACGCCGGGATTATGTCTAACAAGGGTGAGATCTGCACCGCCACCTCAAGAATCTATGTCCACCGCGATATCATCGAGTCCTTTACTGCCAGCTACAAGGAAGCAGTTGAGAGCGTGAAGATCGGCGACCAATGGGACGAGTCAGTCTTCCAGGGCCCGCAGGTCACCCGCGCCCAATATGACCGTATCCTCTCCTACTTTGAGATTGCCAAGAGCGAAGGCGCTCAAATCATCACCGGCGGTGCTGCATACAAGCCCACTGATGCCAAGAACGCAAACGGCTACTTCATCCAACCCACCGTGATCACCAATGCCACAGACTCCATGCGCATTGCTCGCGAGGAGATCTTCGGACCCGTCGTTGTGATTTTCCCCTTCGACGACGAAAAGGATGCGATCCGTCGCGCAAACGACACCACGTACGGCCTTGGTGCGTCCGTTTTCACGCGCGACTTGGAACGCGCGCACCGTGTGGCTGCGGAGATTGAGTCTGGTATGGTGTGGATCAACAGTAGTCAAGATTGTGACCCCCGTATTCCCTTCGGTGGTGTGAAGCAGAGCGGTATCGGACGCGAGTTGGGAGAGGCGGGCCTAGAGGCATATAGCCAGGTCAAGGCTGTTCATGTCAACATGGGCACCAGGCTATGAGCGTGCCCAGGTGGCTTTGATTGATACCAAGATAGATAGAACCCCCCAGATGCATATACTATGACGTTAGGAACGATTACAAAGACTATTACACACATGATGAAATCCCTAGGTGAACTTGAGAACATCGCAAATTGGTAGATGTTCCGTCGGAATCACTTGCCTCGGGAGGAAACGCGACTAAAAGGGGTAATGATCTACTCTACGCGCTCCACAAGAAATCAGTCACGGAAAGTTCAACGCAAAACAATGGAAGATAGTCAAAAGAATCAAAGATGCAAAGGAAAAGATAAAGATGTGTCACTCAACACCTCCAGACATCAACTTGACCGAACCCTAGACTCTTGGCCATGCATCTTACCGCGTACTCCGCACACCTCAATCGCACACTTGGAGCACCAGCCCAGAAAGCCCGGACCCAACCCGGGCCCAACCCAGCCCAATGCGGCACACTTTGTCAATTCCAAGGTTGCAACATCTTTGAGCTTCGTTTTATCATTGTATGGTTGTTCAATGATAACAACCAATGCCGATTTATAACATTGCTCCATTGAGATCAAGTACCATAAAGTTGTGCAAAATTTTGGGTTAAGGAAGATCTTAGGAGAAGGCTAGCGCGAGGGAACTTTTTAGAGACTGAGACTGTTTGTTCACAGAAGAAATTGAGTTATACCCGGCTCTAGGATTTTATTGGTCGTCAAGTATTGCGGCCCTGGGGATAGATCTCGGGAAGCCACCTAGGCAGCGGCCACCCGAGCATGCTGCAACATCCCGGTATGTTGGGAATGATAGATAATCCCACTTGACAAAGCCGTAACCGGCGTATAAATGGTTGAATTGCTAATTGAATTCGTGATAATGACATCGCCACGTTGGTCATCGACGGACAACCCCCGGGGCAAGACACGCGAAGGAAGGCGACTCCGGATCGGCATGCGGAACCCGTCGATGTCAACCCCAGACTTTTGAAAAGGCATGCCACAAACCTGGGGTATTGGGGGACCGGGGGCCCATATTACTGTGATCATAATCTGATACATCAATTTGATTGCCCAGGAGAGACAGAGAAAGGAATTCACCGGTCCTAAGTCTTTGCGGTATTTTGCCCTAAAAAGCCACTAGGGTTGAGCCAGTAGGTGATTCCGCTTTAGGAGATAAGCGTTTCTGATCAGGGATATCTGGACTATCTGATATTGGATATAGGACACATTTTAATTGACGATTGGATTCTTCTGTGCTATCATGGGAGTTATGTCTCAACATCTTGTAGCTCGTAACGATCCAGGCTGTCTATCCCACCGGCCAGCATGTCCTATACAGCCTGTTATCCACCCGCTGTGGCTATCTCTCTGTCTGTAAATGGAAGGCGCATAGACTTTGCCCCCCGCAATCCCCGGGTTCCAGGGGAATGCCCTTCCCGATGGTTTTATGCCGCTAGGTGCCCTATGTTTCACCTGGACATTGCCACATCGTCCCCCTTAAAGTAGAATCTCACCATATCCATCACTTTATTCCAATCTAAGAATTGCCAACATGAGGCCTGAAATTGTTGATTTACCCCCTTCCAATCCTGAGGTCGAGCCGGCCCAGCAAACAGAAGACCTCTACGGAGAAATAGAAAAGGAAGAGCATACCGAACAAAGGCAAGATGCCTTTGGTGATGAGGAACATGCAGAAATCAAGTACAAAGTCTTGAAGTGGTGGTACGTGACGGGATCGTACAATTCTTCTTTCCTCTGCTGACTTTTTACTCAGGCAGGGAGGCCTTTTGATGGTGGCCGAAACAATATCTCTAGGCATTCTCTCTTTACCAGCTGCCATCGCTGGACTCGGTCTGGTTCCAGGACTTATCATCCTCGTTGGCCTTGGATTACTCGCCACGTATACAGGATACGTTATTGGACAGTTTAAATGGCGACACCCCCATATTTCAAGTATGGCTGATGCCGGCGAAGTGCTGATGGGTAGCTTTGGCCGAGAATTGTTTGGGACTGGTCAACTCTTGTTCCTGATCTTCCTCATGGCCAGCCATATATTGACATTTACTGTCGCCCTCAACTCGATCACCGGACACGGCACCTGCTCGATTGTTTTCGGTGTTGTTGGATTGATCTTGTCTTTACTTCTTTCCCTACCCCGAACTCTTGAAAAGATGTCTTGGTTGTCCCTTGTCTGTGAGTTTTGCATTACTCTAAGGCTATCAGGAGTTTCCCAATTCTAATTGTGAGCAGCCTTCATCAGTATCTTCATCGCCGTTATGATCACGATGGTCGCGCTCGGAATACAAGACAACGGCGCCCCTGTACAGGCGATAGTCGAGGCAAATTTGGTAACCGGTTTCATGTCGGCATGCAACATTGCATTCTCGTATGGTGAGCATGGCCCATACAGAGAAATTGACCACAGACTAACAGGCCATAGTGAGCCACAACACTTTCTTCACATTCATGGCAGAGCTCAAGGATTCGAGGGATTTCCCCAAAGCTCTTGCGCTTCTACAAACCATTGATATGACACTTTACATCGTTGCTGCGGTCGTCATCTACCGCTACACCGGTTCCGATGTTGCCTCTCCTGCGCTGGGCTCAGCTGGTCCATTGATATCCCGGATAGCATATGGCATTGCCCTCCCTACGGTAAAACCTCCCCCAATTCTCAAGCTTGATCTCGAAGCTGACTCCCATAGATTGTGATTGCTGGTGTCATCAACGGCCATGTCGCAGCTAAATCACTCTATGTCCGCATTTTTGCTGGCTCTGATCGAATGCATAAAAGAGATTGGATTGCTACCGGCTCCTGGGTCGGTATTGCGCTGGTCCTTTGGGTCATTGCTTGGGTCATTGCCGAAGCAATCCCCGTGTTCAACAACCTTCTCAGTCTGATTGTGAGTCTTCGCCATACATTGATACTTAAAGTACAAGTCTGACTCGATTATTTCCAATCTGATAGACTGCACTGTTTGGTAGCTGGTTTACTTTCGGCTTTACTGGAATGTTTTGGCTCCACATGAACAAAGGATTATGGTTTTCATCCCCCAAGAAAATTATGTTGACAATACTCAACACCTTCGCCATTTGTGTTGGTGTTGCTCTGGTGAGAATATGCCCGAAGACGTTCATCAAAGATCACCGGCTAATTTGAAATAGTGTGTGCTCGGTCTCTATGCTTCCGGATCAGCCATTCATGACAATCCTGGAAGCGCTAGTTTCTCGTGTAGTGCCGACAAATCCTAGGGGCCGAAATTTCACTGCTCGTGGTGGACAGACGGGAGTTGGCCACTTCTGAATTAGAATACTGAACAGACACCCCTGATATTCAGAGTCGCGTCCGCGATCATGTATATATTGAAACTCTGACGAAACGATCCATGAATGTTCATCTAAATTAGTGATTCCCGAGACCAAAATGCATAAGTCACTGCCCCTACCTACCGGTAGGTAGCAATGGACCCCTGGACGCCTGGTCTCGGATGCGCAACTCTTGGCCACTTGGCATCCGGCGTTGTCTCCAATTAGGAAATTGGTCAGACTATTTAATGCATCTCGATCTGATTAGATCCAAATCTGATGATTCAAGACACTCGGTAAATCAGCCTCTTCCAATTTTTCCTTCCACAAATACTCCGTTTATTTTTTATGATACTTGGCCATGGCCGAATATAGACATCTGGCAAACGCCCACCCACAGTGGGTTGATGTGAGTTTCCGTCCGAACATGGCATTCGTCGCGTCGCTAATATCTCCAAGTTCCCCAACAACCTTTCTCCCAATACCCGCCGTGTCCCTATGACAAGAGATCATCTTCTTATCGCACCTCAGTCTGGGCTCGACATAGGTGAATTCACCATACCCGCCCGAGATGGCCACTCGATCCACATACGCTCCTACAAACAACAAGGTCGCACAGACCTGCCCCTTCTTGTGTACCTGCACGGTGGAGGGTTCGTGACGGGTGGTCTGGAGACAGATGATGACTCGTGTCGCGCACTCGCGTCGCAAGTGCCCCTGTTGGTTCTGAATGTCGAGTACCGTTTAGCACCCGAGAACAAGTTCCCCATCGGCTTCGAGGATAGCTTTGATGTGGTCCGCTGGGTGAGTACTGTCTGACAACCCGCCGAGTTGCGATCAAAGGCAGCATAGAGTCTAGACTGATAATTTAGGTTGCCTCTCACGGATCCAAGCAGCTACCAGTCGATCTCCAGCGGGGATTCTTACTCGGTGGGACTTCAGCTGGTGCCAATTTTACCGCTGGGATTGCTCATTTGGCTGTTCTGGAAGGGCTATCTCCTCCTTTGACGGGGCTTCTCTTTCTAGCTGGCAGCTTCTGTCATCCCGACGCGCGCCCGGCAAAGTATCGAGATCGCATTCTAAGTGTCGATGAGATCAATGACGCACCGGGCCTGACACGAAAGTCGATTGATTACTTTGCTGGTAAGTGAAGCGGTGTTTCCTCATTTGGGCCCTCAGCTGACCTCAACGCCGTGAAGCCAAATATGGTGCCCCACCTACAGACAAACGCCTTTCGCCGTTGCTTTTCGAGTCGCATTCTGACCTTGCAAAGAAAGCGGTATTCTATGTCTGCGGCTGGGATCCGCGGAGGGATGAGGCCCTGTTGTTCGAGCAACTTTTGAAAGAAGAGAGCACAAGAACTAAACTATACGTCTACCCGGGCCTGCCTCATGGATTCTGGACGACATGCCCCGACTTGGATGTTTCGAAGAGCTGGCAGGAAGACTTGGTGCAAGGGGTCCAGTTCTTGTTGGAGTAAGAGAATAGGGCCGGCCGCGAAAGCTGTCGCGTTGCAATGTAAGCTTAACAGAACCAGGTATCAAGGCCCAGTGTATTTGTCTTCATCAACACGTCCATGCATTACATCTTCCAAGGCCTCTTTTTCCGGTGTAACCTCGACCGTAACAAACACCATCTCAGACAGTTTGACACAAACGATGCAGAGTCGGAACCTGTGGAGCAAGCTTACAGCAAGGAGCATAACCCCAGGTTCCCATAAAACGACCGAAGACACCAACAGGATCTCTCAGCCTCCAATGGGAGACAAGGCTCATTTCGGCTTCCATACGAGTACTGATATTATGCGGCGTAGACTTCCGCACCAGCCCAGAAAGCCCCGGGCCAGGTCCTCGAGCCCAGTGTCCGGTTTTGGGCCCTGACCCTGGGCCGAGTGGGCTCTTCCAGGGGCCCCAAACGTTACAAATATGCCACGATTCGGCCTTTTCATAAATAATGCAGATCTTTGCAGTATCTTTGAGTATTAGTTTACTACACTCTTGGAGAAAATAATCTTCCAAGTTGAAATATTCCAAAAACATCTTATTTATAGTGATTCAAATAATAATAAAGAGATGGGAAAGAAAGATATTAATTCTTGAAAACTCTAGATTTTGATAGTGTCTAGGCGAGCTTCCAAGTTGTGAGGCCTTTCTCTAAGTCAAGCGAACAAGAGTGTGTCGAATATATATATTTGCAGCGACACCTGGCACTTTCTTATTCAGTTGTCAGATTACATGGTGGAACAATCGTACCTAGGTACATAAAACCCATTGTTCAGCAGCTTTATGAACGCCAAGACCGTCTTTATGCATAAAACAATGGGCCCCGGGTACTGGGCCCGGGTTCTGGTTGGGCCCTACGCTCTGAGCCCAGAGCCCGGACTGGGCTGGGCCCCCGGCCGGGACCTCGGGCCCAACCAATGCGGCGTCCCGATTGGGATAGGTGATTGGGATAGGTTCCGTCATCATTCCTGTACCCCCGCATGAGATCCCTCTATACTTATACCCACGAAATTGCAAGATTGCTTGATTCAAAGGTCTCAGCATGTCGTGTCCAGATTGCTTCAGTGGTCACGTACACCAAGGCACCCCTCGAGGTGAAGTATCAACCTTATACGGGTTGGAAACGTACATAAGCCAACCTACAGATACACCTCATCGAGGAATCATCATCATAATACCAGATGCTTTTGGATGGGAGTTTGTGAACAACCGCATCCTAGCCGATGACTATGCTGAAAAGGGAAGATACCTCGTTTATCTCCCGGACTTCATGAAGGGCATGTGCTACGAACATCATTGATTATACCTTGAAAAGATCACCCTGCTGACTTATGTTCAAGAATAGGGCATTCGGCACCGCCCAGTATGCTGACAAATACTAAAGAGCTGCTCCGAACAGATGGACTAGTAAGCTGGCTCCAAAAGCCGTAAGTCACGACTCACGGAACAATATCCCCTACTCTCGGAGAGGAGCTCCGGGATATTCGATGGGCCAATCGTTTAATCAAGCCCCAGATACTACTTGGCTTCGGTCATGGCCCAGATCATTCCCTTCAAATACCACAATTCTTTCGAGTCCTCCTGGCCCATTGTGAGGGACTTCTTCGCGTCCGTGCGTGAAAAGGAAGGCTCTGATCTTCCCCTATACGCAGCCGGGTTTTGCTGGGGAGGAAAGCACGTTGTCAATCTGGGCTTTGGGGATGATGTCGCTTCCAACGGCAAATCTCTCATCAATGCTGGTTTCACCGGACATCCCAGTTTCCTCCAAATTCCAAACGAAATCGAGAAAATCAACATCCCTGTCAGTTTTGCGTTGGGTGATAAGGATATGGTTGTCAAACCTCCGCAGATCAAGCAGATCCAGGAGGTCTTTGAGAAGGAGGGAAAATCTGAGATGGGCGAGGTGAGGGTTTATGAAGGGGCTGGTCATGGGTTTTGCGTGCGGGCCGATCTCGTTTTGAGTGATGCAACTAAGCAGGCCGATGAAGCGGAGAGTCAAGCACTAGCCTGGTTTGAAAGACATCCGTTGGCCTGAGCATTTGGGATACTAATATTTCGTCCCAAGGCAGATTGCTGATTGAAGCTTCGTTTGGCTAACAGCGAAGGTCTCAAGAATGGCAAAAGAGCCATAATATGGCGATATGTGAGGCCATCAGATTATGAACAATGAAAATGGACCCATTTTGTTCACGGAAAGATCCTTTGCATCATACAACGACCAAGCCTCTTTCAGTTGGGGTGGCTCACTTCAAGACACGGCCTTTCAAAATATTAGTTTCGGGTCTGATATCAAGAGACCGTAGTACTCCGATGCACGTTTGTACGCATGTGTGGATGCCTTAAATGCCTGAGGGATGTGGACTCGAGGATAAAAATAGCCTCGGTGGAGCATAAGGCTGCATTCTGGGGCGTTCACCGCATTGTGGCCTTGTGCTATTGAAACGTTCTGCCGATGATTTCTTCCCAACTGTTTTGCTCTTACGTTCATGCCATCAGACAATTCACACTCTTTGCTTCCTCGTTCGGATTCTCGGAATCCCGCAACAACATGTAGAGGAACCACGGCGCAAGGCCGCCCTTGCCGTCGCGCCTTGGCGTCCCCTCAACCATCACCTGCTTCCACTCCTGGAAAGAGGAACTCTCGGCAGGAAGCTATAGATAGTGCTTCTTTGTACTGCTGGCAGCACAAGGATCAAGATGTGTCGAGTCTTCCAACGAACCCGCCCACAAGTGTTCCTTCGAACAATCCAAGGACGAGTATTGACACCTTGATGGATCGTCTGGGGGTGCTTGAATTGAACGATGACCCAGCTTCGAAGCCAAAGCCTAATCAGAGACGATGGACTTATCAAAATGGAATTTATCAAAAGCGTCGTCCCAAGAAGAAGAGCACATTCTGCTGTTTTACCATTTTCGAGGACAGCGATGATGAAAAGCCTTTGCCGGCTCAAAGGCCCACATCTCACGGTCCACAAAATGGCATGTCGTCTCAAAGGCCGAATGAAAAGATTTCCGTGCCTTCTTCGGCGGGAAAGCCGCACAGTGGACGGATTTCATCGGCTCAAGAGGCCCAATCAACAAAGCCTGGCAAACACCAAGGCTCCTGGATCCCGTCAACGCTCCCTCCACAAACAGCCTCCACCGTCAGCGCAGAGTTGGAAAAGCCCATATCAGACGCAGACGAAGATGGCTATATCTATATGTTCTGGGTGACGCCTCCAACCACCACCACAAGTCGAGGAATCGACGCCTCAACAACAAGAGACATTGCTTCATCCCTGCTCCCTCAAACACCAGAAGCCAGCAGGGGTCTCCGCCCACCACCCCAGTCTCGTAGCATCAGTGAAGCAATTCGCGCGGCTCAGGATATGAACGCACTTACCTCGAACCCCACCTCCACCAAACCGGGCACCCTCAGGCTGAAAATCGGGCGCACAAGCAACATTCACCGTCGGATGGCCGAATGGACTCGACAGTGCTCGTATGATCTGACTCTTATTCGATATTACCCCTATAAGCATGCGGACTCGACGTCCTCCTCGCCTGCCAGGGTGCCGCTGTCTCATGGACAGAGCCAGTCTCTTGCTGGTATGGTACCAGGGCGAAAGGTCCCGCATGTGCATCGGGTCGAGCGCCTGATTCATCTTGAGTTGGCGGCTTTACGTATCACGGACTTGGGTCAGTGTCCTGAGTGTGGAAAAGAGCATCGGGAGTGGTTTGAGGTTGAGGCTGCGAAGGAGTCGCTGCGTAGTGTTGATGAATGTATTCGACGTTGGATCTCTTGGGCGGAGTCGCACTGATTATCGACTTGCATAGCATAGCGAAGTATTTATTCATATACAGACTGCATTGATCGGAAACCAAAATATACTCCAAATCAGGGGACTGGGTAGTAGCCGTGGGCGCGTGTAGTCCACGGGGTAGAAGACCATGAGCCAATGACATGATCAACCACGGTTACCGAGCAGTCAATCCATGGATCTGCCAACGGCGCTCTCACGTGTTCAATGAGCTTATTTCCTGGGTGTTCTAACCTTGAAAATGCCATAGGACTTGAAAAGGGAGTCTCGTTTATCTTGTTCTGGTCTCGCCTGTCAAGCACACAGCACGCTGGTCCAGTGATATACAGAATAGTAATTTTTGATACATATGGACTGTGTCTAAATCATGTACATCTGTCCGAGTGCTTTCTATACCTTCCGCCTAAGCAACCCACGGAAGAAGTCAAAGCTATTACTGTCACTCTGCAACTGCCAAACCCGCCCAGTCGGTCGGTCATGCCATCCCAGCTCCTCAGCCAGCAGGAGTCCATAGTCACGCGTAATACCCTGGATGCGAGCGCGAGCACCACCTTCTTCCTCAAGCGTGACAATTTGATGCATATGCAGCCAGTCCTGGTAGTACATCGCTTCGAAGCCTCGGTCGAAGCCCGTGCGCAAGAACCTGGTGTACAAACTTTCAAATGTCGTCAAAATACGCGCGAGCAGCTTTTCAAGTGTGACGGGTGATGCGGCTGCAGCACCTGGCGTCGCGTAACGCGCGGCGAGGGTTGTCAGAGCTGTGGTTGGGGAGGCATTGGTGGCATTTAGGCCAATACCGACCACGGAGATATATTCGTTGGACATGAAATGGGAGTTGATGAGGATACCGCAGATCTTTGTATAGCGCTTTTGTTCGGGATCGTCTGGATCAAGGGCGTCTGTGGGGGTTTCTTGTTAGGATGAGACCGAGAGGAATGAACGTTTTGAACTTACAGATGTCGTTGGGCCATTTGAGCTTGACGGGAATGTTTTCGTATCCACTTGCGTAGTTTTTGATGCCCCGAACAACAGCCATGGCTGAAAGGTATTGGAGGAATACCACCGGTGCCGATTGAATCTTGTCCACCGGGTGTCGCACAACAGTTGAGAAAATCAGAGCGCCTGCTGGTGAGACCCATACGTTGGATCCACGTCCGCGTCCAGCGATTTGCGCTGTAGCTGTCGCCGTAAATCCTTGTGGTAACTGGCGGAGCAATTGAGTGTTCCTGGTGGATGTCAGAGCTGCCTGACTATTCGCAACCAAATATTGATACTCACTTTTCCAAAAGTGTATTGGTACTGGTCACCACCTCTCCATAAAGAATGTTATTTCCAAATGTCGAGGCGTCTCCCTTGGACTCAGCTTGGTATTTGCGCAGATTGGAGTAAAATGCATGATGATTGAAGTAAGGTGTCAGCTTCGAGTCGGGGAGATCATCATGGAATACAAGACGCTTGGTGATTGACTGATAATCAATGATTCCCTCTGACGCTGTGGGAAGTGATTCCTCCAGATCACCAAGGTTCCAAGCACCTGGTCGCTCGATGCGGAACTTATCATGGGCGTCTTTGAGATATTCCGTCTCTCCCTCCTTGGTGATATTGGACCCAAGTCCGGAGAGAACATCCATTGGGCCATCTGCGTCAATGCCTGATATGTGCCATGACGACAGTGAAGGCACTGTTGAGTCTTCTGCGACTTCTAACCCCAATTTGACTAGACATGCCTTTAAAAATTCGGTACGCTGCTTGTCATCAGCAGCGAGGGCTGCCACCATTTCCGCATATTCAGGCCCGCCCGCTTTCGGATCAAGGTTGACAGCCGCGAATCTACTTCAAGTCAGCACACGTTCACACCAGAAGGGACGACATAGCATACTCGGAGTGGGGACCCGTCAGAATCGCTGCTCCATTCCCAACCTTGCAGTATACAACAGCAGCAGCTCCTTCTCCAGGATCAACATTCAATTTCTCATTATAGTTCGCAAGAACTTCCACCCCTTTATCCGCGAGCAGAGGCGCATCAACGAAGACTCCACCGCCATTATAGTACGACCGGAATGACGCAGGAACAGCTCCTGGCGCTAACGAGTCTTTCACAACGTCAATGCTTGCTGCGCGCGCGCCTTCTTCGCTGTGATAAACGAAGCCCGGGAATGCCCCTCCACGGCAGATTCCCGGAAAGAACGCCAATTCGCGCTCTCCAATGACTTCCATCACCTTGTCGCCGACCTCGAACTCGCAGCTCTTGCATCCATAGTACCCACCGGCGCAGAGACCTAGGTACTTCCCGCCATTGTTGACGAACTGCGCAATGCGCCGGTTCCCCGCACCGTTGAGCGTGCGACAGTAGCCCATGTCCGCGCCACCGGGCATGACGAGCATTGCGCACGTTGTCATCCATGGCTCTTTGAGGATCATATCGCCCGTCACGGGGATGACGGCATAGTGTGGAGCGAGGAGGCGGCGCAAGGTATAGAGGCAGTGACGGACTGAGTCAACGGTTGTTCCATGGCCTGTCGGAGAGTAGCCGGTCAGAGAAGAGGTGATTTTTCGGGCGATAGATTTTAACAAACCAGAATAGACTAAGACATTAAGTCTTTTGCCACTGAAATTGGCACTGTTGCCGGTTGGCGTTGTCATTGTTGTTGAGTTGAAGCGGAATCGGCGCGGGCGATAAGATCTTCAGTTGAGCCGCGGACGCCGAGGCCAACCGACTTTCTTGCATATATCAATCATGTCGAACAACGTGGAGAAGCCGACTGCTGTTCCTGATGAGGACGATGAGCCTGATGATTGGTAGGGTCTCTTGTGTTTCTAATTGGTTTTTTATCCTGACTATGTTGCCAGGGACAAGCGGATCTTCAGCACTGGCTGCCATGGTAAATCAACGCTACCTGATCGAGTGCATATTGAGACATGGAACTGATAAGGAGATAGCCGAGCAAGACAAGATGAATGACTGCTACTTCGCAAAGAAGGATTGGCGCGAATGCAAACAAGAGGTAAGCTACATTGCTTGAGTAGGTGCCACAAGAAGCTATTCCAGGAAGAGCTGTGCACTTTATCAATACTCCAAGAGCTTGCTCAATTGCCGAAATTGATCGGTTCTCTTTTCATTTACCCTCAAATGTTTGAGCCATCCGGAGAACGCTGATCGTTGATATAGATGGAAGCGTTCCGTGAGTGCTGGAAGCGCCAGGGTAACGATCAGCGAACCGAGACCAAAGACGCCTAGCTTTGTACTCTCATGCCATGTACCATATGCGAAGATTCTCACCTCCCAATTAATTTTCAATCGACACGAACTCCTAAATCCCCATAACTACCTCCACGTAGCTCCGATTCGTCACGTGATTATCTCCATTAGCTTGAATCCAGTGACTTCATTCCCTTCAGCTCCAACATCATCACGCATAATGTCTGCCTCACTACGACTACGCCCTTGGAGGGCAATTGAAACCCTCCAAAATGCCACACAGAGCCCAATCACCCCAAGAGCCACCAGCCAAAGAATCAACCAGCTCTACAACCCAATGACCAAGCGTACAATCGCCCACAGCCAGAGCCGCAACAACCAGACTTCACCCAAGCCCGCGCCAGCATCCTCAGCACCGAAGCCATCCTCCGCATCAAGCAGCCCGGCGTCGCGCGTCTCAGCCCCCACACCAGAGCGCGCAACAACAGAAAACATCTCCAAAAGCGGCCTATCCGACAAACCCGTCGAGCTCGAGGACCCAGCCGAAGAGAAAATCGACTGGACTCGCTCCTTCCACGGTCTCTCAGCAGCTCCATTCCCCAAAGAAGCAGCCGACATCCTCCTCGCCGAGACAGACCCCATGGAAGTCGAGATCAAGCCCGACGGCATCCTCTACCTACCCGAGATCAAGTATCGACGAATTCTAAACCGCGCATTCGGACCAGGCGGATGGGGTCTCGTTCCCCGCAGTGAAAGCATCGTCACGCCCAAGACAGTGACGAGGGAATACGCGCTGGTCTGCAATGGACGGTAAGAGCGCGCAATTTCAAGATTATAATCTATCCGAGAATCAAACACTGACGTTTTTTCAAGACTTGTCTCCGTCGCGCGCGGTGAACAGGATTACTTCTCTCCCGACGGTATCCCCACCGCTACGGAGGGGTGTCGGTCGAACGCGCTAGTGCGCTGCTGCAAGGATTTGGGAATTGCAAGCGAGCTGTGGGATCCGCGGTGGATTCGGAATTACAAGACGAAGTATACGAGGGAGGTATTCGTGGAGCATGTGGTTAATAAGCGAAAGTCGAAGATTTGGACACGGAAGGATGATCCTGTTGGATATCCTTGGAAGGAGAGTAAATAGGTTGGGCGATTTGATTGCCTTGGTCCGGCGTTGTTCGCCTGGGCTTGTATTATAGACTTGTATTCGAGATGTTTGATTACAGGAATTGCAGTGCTATCTCTTCTCAATGTGAGGATTACATGTCCATGGGTTTCACATGGTGAGGTATGATGGGTCTACGCTATATCGTGCATCGTGCCATGGAAAATCTACGTAGTACTATGTTGTTGTTGGGAGGAGAGAAATGTGATTCATGGCACCGAGCTATAATTGGCTTTCTTTCATTAAGGTTGGATCCTAGCTTAGACCACTGAGTAGGAAAAGAAAAAAGGGAATCTGAATTTTGAAAATTCCCACAGGGAAAATGGCATGAGTAGATCGTAGTGATACACCAGACAGAAAGGAAATTTTATGCAAAGCTTAAACGCGGGATCGGGAATGTATCAGTCTCCCACACGTAATATGAACAGCCCAGAGAAAGGGTCCAAGATCGGGATAGACCTGTAAAAAAAAAGAGGTAAAAAGTGAAGAAGCAGGCAGGTCTATCATTCGTCATAAGGTGACTTGTTCTTCTTCATAGCCTTCGCCAAGAAAGAAGGCCGGCGGGAGGCGGGGGTGCCTTCTTGCGCAGGCGTGCTGGGGTTGAAGGGGTTGGTCGCAGTGGCGGAAGGGGGCATGTTCTGGGGTGGAGAGTAGATGCTTGCAGAAGGTGGCGAGACAGGATCATAGCGATCCGAGATCTCGTAGTTGCTGTGGGCGGTCATGCCTGAGATGTCGCGGTGCTCGTCCGAAACTTGGTTGTAGCCACCGGTTTGGTTGTAGAATCCACCCTGGTAGGCCTCCGGGTCGGGAGATCCGACGGCTTGGACAGTGGCCATTTGGCTCTGGTTGCCGTGGCCGGAGTGAGGGCGTGGCTCGTAGCGGGCACTGCCGCGGGAGCCAGGGTTGGGGGTTTCTAGGATGGGCACTTGGCTGGTTGATGGGGTCATGCCTGCTGGGACGGGGGAAAGGCCAGCTGTGTGAGGGACAGGAGGGGCGTCTTGGTTGATATAGGAGGCACGCTCGCCGGCCTTGCGATGACCGGTTGAGAGACCACGAGAGATGTTGCCGCCCGTTGCGCCGTTGCGCACACTCAATTGGTTACCATGGGTAGAGGCGTTGGTCGCGGTGCGGTGGAGATCACCGCCATCGTCACGACCAATGTCCACTGCAGGCGAGCGAGAGTTGAGCATGTCAACAATAGCGGCTTCGCGCTCAGCGTTGGTTTGGGTGGAGCCACGGTGGGTAAGTGTTCCGGTACGGGGTTGGTCGAAGCCAGACGATTGAGCAGAGTTCTCAAAGTTCAAGCCCGCACCTGCTGCCGCTGCAGCAGCAGGCTTAGGGTCGGTACCATCTTGGCTAGGCTTGCCTTCGCCCGCACCAGCATCGTCGCCTTTGTCGTCACCATCAGCGGCCTCCTCGGGAGCGGCAACACCCGGGGCGCGAACTTGAACCTTGCGAACGGCCAGGACGAGAGCACACAGGAACTTGGACCGACGGGCAGCGCGGACAGTCTCGTTGGACCAGTTCGACTTGTGGCGGATATCAACACGCAGCTGAAGCTTGTCCATGTCACCAACGCCACCAAGTTCAATGTCGACATCAGGCTGGAAGTCACGGCAATTCTCCTTGTCACGGACAAAGTTCTCCATTTCCTGACGCAGCATCTGGACTTCAGCGAAGCTTGTGTCGAACGCAACGGGGACAGTGAGCTGCTCATGCATGGCATTGGCACGGGTGAAGTTGTCAACCCAAAGACTGTTCAGAATGTTGTTGGGTACCTGTGTGACACGGTGATCGGTGACATTACGGAAGACAGTGAAAAGCAGCGAGATTCGGTCAACGATGAAAGGCTTATCACTGACTTCAACGCGGTCACCGATATCGAAGGGATGCTTGACAAAGAGGAAAATGCACGAACCCAGGACTTCCTGGGCAGTGACAGAGAAAACGAAACTGAGAGAGAGCAGGGAGGTGGCACCGGCAGCAATGACAGTGCCAAATCCAGTGGTGACGAACGAGATGAAGACCAAAACACCAACCAAACCAGCAACGCACATGAGAAGGTTGTCCAGAACACGGATAGCCTGGTCAACGTCATGCATGCTGTGGTTGAGAGCCTTGCGCAAACGACCGAACTCGGAAATGGTCAGAACCATCTCGTCAAGACTAATATCACCATTGCCGTCCTGGTCAAGAGCGTTGAAGCACTCCTCGGCTTCGGCTTCGTGCTCAACACCGAGGACTTCAACGATATCCTCCAAGAACAAGGACTCACGGCCTTCGACCACAAAAGACATCCAGATACGGCGGGCCAGCGCAGCAGCACAGCGCTTGCGCTCCAAAGCCTGCAGAACCATAGTGTGGGTTGCGGTCGGGTTGAAGACTTGTTTGCCAGTGAGCTCGGAAGCAACATTGCCAAAAGCAGCAGTGACCTTGTCACCGACTCGGCCAACGTTCTTGCCGACCTGGCGGATCATGCGAAGAGGCATGGCGGATGAACGCTTGCCACCCTTGACACCGGCCTGGGCTAGGAAGGAGTCGAAAATGAGCGAGTCCTCCTCCTTGAACTCCGGGCAGTACACGGGGAACATGTTACGCGAAGCGTCAAAGAGCAGACTGACCAAGTGGACGTTGCGCTTGGAAGTACGGATCTTGGCATCAAACTGCTTGCGGTGGTAACTGATTGAGATCAACTGAACCAGAGTCTTCTCCGCAAGGTAGATGATAGAGCAAATCAGCAGAGCGAAGAGAATGTTCTTGACACTCTTCTCCCAGGCCTTGGGAGCTGTATCACCGCTTTCCTTCTTGCCTGGGGTAAGCGTCATAACAGGCAAGAAAGTCACGAGCGAAATAATAGCCCAGAAGAGAAGAGCGAGAGGGGTTTCGAGGGCGCGCAGAATAAGCGCATACTTGCGGGTACCGGAGCTGATGATACCGCAGAGGAATTGGAAGAAATAAGGAATATAGCGAGCGAAGATCTTAGATGACCATAGACTGAACCAGACAATCTCGATCCAAGTGAAGAACCAGTAGAGGTGGACACCACCGATTTTGGCGTTCTGTGCAACAGTCGCGCCAACAATGATGGGAATGGCGATCAAAATCGCGATTGGAATAACGTAAATGAGATAACGAGTGATGAGGGAGTAATTCAGGACAGCTTGGTAGACACGGCCCATGCGATTGATAGTACCGTCCTCGGGAGCCTCGACGCGCTTACCAGAAAACTCATTGAGATCGGTATCGGTGCGACGCCTGCGTCCAGGGCCCCGGTTGTGATTACCTATCATGGGGCCCTTCTCTGAGGTGTTGGTGGTGCTGTCCACGGGGGTAGTATTGGAAGCCCATTTGCGCGCCCCAGTCTGACCACGACTAGTTGTCTCGGTCAGAGGGATGTCAATGGTAACGTCATTGGGATTGTGCATCCCATTTCCGTACTCGGGCATGTCGTGAAGCTGTTCAAAACGATGGCCCGTCAGGCGTCTGATGGAAATACTCGACCGACCCATTGTAAGGGCAGCACGGATCTTTATCTACGTGCGTCGATCCGCCCTAGGGGCTTGGTGGGCTTGGATTGGGGGCTGCAGGCACCGCAGTGGAGACACGAAAAAAATAGTCAGGCCAATGGATCGTTGTGCCGTTTTCTTTTTCTCGCCTCCCCCTCGCCGGGTGAGCCAAAAGATTCCGCGGTTCGGTGCTTTCCACGTCGACGCACAATAATGGGTGGGCTTGGACACCCGGACCAGTGTGCGTGGACACTGGGAGGTCGATCGCGAATCGTCAATGGCTCGCCAGGGTGGTGGAGATGTGGATCGGCGAATCGGCCGCGTTAGTGGTGTCTGAGGTTGTAAACGAGTGCAAGGCTGGCGCAATTCCTCCGAGAGCCAGGGAAAAACCAAAAGCAGATTAAAAATACGAAGTTGAAACTGACGTGGCTTGGGGGGATAAACAAAGAGGAACAAGAAAGGGAGGCGATAGATCTCAAGTGTCGTGTTTCACTAGGCCGTTGGGGGGGAACACTAGGAATGTGAGACCGCCATAATTCACCATGAGGAATTCGCTATTCCACTTCCTCTTTAGTTCTTCGCCACTTTATTCCTAGCCCTTTAGCTTCTGTCTTTATTATCGATCCACTCTGGACGTGTTCGACATTTCCAGCTCTCTTCTTTAGTGTCCACTACTCCACATCTACAGATGTCTGATCGTCCAATCATCATCCGCTGCATTGAGATCAGAAGGGTTCGACTTTCCCTCAGATCTGATCTGGTTTCTCATATTGCATGGATCAGATGTACGACATCCTCGTACTATGTACTCTAGTTCTTACATCATGTCCGGATCTCTCCGTACTCCATAATGAAATCATCTAATGATTCATGTACATAAATTCCCCAAACAGGCTAAGCTTTCGAATCGACATGCATCTGCTCCAATGCAGCAACAATTTCCCCTGTGCTCCAACCCCCTTCCAATCCCCGCAAAATAATAGCCTGCTCACTCTCCGGCGCCATGCCACTCGGCGCAGGCGGTCTCTGGTCTAAATTCGTGGGGAACGGGTATCCCTCCGCCACCGCCTGCACCAAAGCCCGCAGCTCCCTCTGCGGCAAGCTGAACACCTCCGGATCAAGCTCACCAGCCACGGTGCCCGCCTCCTGAAACCGGGCCTTCATCAGCTCCCAAGTCTTCTCAACCAGCGGCACGGAATCAACCGTCTCCATCGGTTTGCCAAACGCACTACTAATCTGCAATAGATTAGCGACACGTCGGAATCCATCCTCCGAGCTCATCTCGTTCGCACCCGCGGCATGGAACAAGGCCGGGTTAAAGAAGACTCCATCGCCCAACTCCAGCGGCAAAGCAACATAGGACTCATTGAAGAATTCCCGGAACTCCTGCTTCCGCCAAGCCATATACCCAGACCGATAAGTCTGGCTGAAGGGTAAGAACCGAGTCGGCCCACTCGACACCGGCATGTCGCTATGTGCGACAGCCCCCTGCAGCGTCAGGAACTGTGACGTCAGCTGCGTAGCAGCCGGGAAGCGCTGACAGGCCTTCTCCTCCTGGAAACCGAGGTGGTAATCGCGGTGGGATTCCTGGGCTGCGCCGCCGGGGTGTACAGCGTTAACCTGGGCTGTGACACGGTAGTCCGGGCCGAGCCAGGATTCGGAAACGGTGGCTAACCAGGGATTGGAGTAGTAGTCCACGAAGGAGACGGGGTCTTGCAGGGCGTGTTTGGAGAAGGCGTTCCAGATGCGATCGTTTGTGCCGCCTGCGGCGAAGTGGTCGCCCTTTTTTGGGAGGGAGCGTTCGCGCGCGATGATGGCGTCGAAGGCTTTGTTCGTGGCTTCTAGGGTTGCGGCGTATTTGGAGGGTGCGTACATGGATCGGAGGACGTAGACGCCTGGGCCTTGGTGCAGGATGTGATGCCACTCATCTTGGAGGGAGGTGAGGAGGGAGGCGGAAATGGGGTCCTGGGGTAGGTTGTAGATTGGGATGTTGGAGCTGATCTCGGCGGCGAGTGGGTAGGTTTCTTTTTGCGTGGTCTGCGCGCAGATGGTCTGAAACTCGGAGATTTGTGGGGTTGCGGGGGAGTAGAGTCGGGAGGTGACCCGGGGTGCGTCTGTGTGCCCGTTCATTTTGTGTGCAGATGCAGGTATCCTAATTGATGGCCCGGTGAGGAATCTCTCAGGCGTCGTTTAAATATTTGGAGTCCGGATTTCAATGTCCATCGGCCCCCCGCATTTTCTCGGCTTCCTACCACATGCATGGACATTGATGCCTCATTCGGAGAAGGGTTTCCGGTTGGAATTAGATGGAATTAAAGACTGAAGGACGACAGAGAGCGAGAGAGCGAGAGGAGAGAAACATAGTTCGAAAGAGAGCAAATTATTCTAGACCTAGATGGGTATCACAGCTATCAAGCAGTTCAGTACGGGTCTACCACTAGCCACTGATATAAAGAAAAGAGAAAAAAAAACTTCCAGAAACGACTCGGAGCGCCAGCATCGAAACGCCATGGGACAGTCTATCGCCCAAGAGAGACAAACCCAGGTCTGCCTCGTAAATCAAAGTCCCAACCCACGCAAATGTATGCTTGAATGTCAAAAACGTCTTTTTTATCCCGCGCCGAAGATCAAGTAGTTCGTAAACGGGCGCACTGCGCACCCGCGATTCATGCATTCATCATGACCGCTCCGAGGTCCGAGCTGAGAGGCGGCTCGGACGGCGCAAGATCGGTTTGATTGTTCAGAACGAGCTGATGCTCGGACATGGTTTCGACGAGAGCACTGGGCCGTCCAATGACTGTGAAGAGGACCTTGAGCAATAGTGTCGGGCCATTGCCGTTGAGACCACCTTGTGGCTGGCGGCGAGTGTGGGTGAGCAGAACACGAACGAGTTCGCGGATCGGGCCATCGGTGGACGCGTCGTGAATGGCGTCCAGGCCGTCCACAATGAAGACCAGAAGGGGTGGGGCTGATTGTAAGAGTGTATCGACCAACGAAAGAGCGGCTTTCCAGCTGGCCAGGGTCCCGTCGAGTTGGCGGAATCGTTCTGCGCTTAGATCTAGCACCGCGTCGCTGTCGACCACAGGGGGAAGCCAGTCGACTAGTTGCCGGATCACGCTGTAAGTCAGGGCAATCAGGCCTTGCTGGTGGATGGTCAGGCCTTTGACCTCTTTGGTGGGGAGCACGCAGAAATGAGAAATGACGGGCAGGCGGGCCTGGCGGGCGAACGAAGCATAGCAGGCGGAGATGAGAGCCACAGGGCTGGGGGAAGCAGTGGGTTGAGTGCCGCCCACTGCGAGCGCCTGGGACCGCGGGCTCGTCGCCCATTGTTGTAGAGACGCCACGACACTGCTGTCAGAGACCACCTTGACATCCGGTTCGTAATCACAGATCTGATCGTCGCTGTCGAAGAAGTCTTGCAGATGCTTGGACGAACTCTGGATCTCGAGACGTGCCAGGCGGCGTTTAGATCCTCTGGACCATTCAAACGAGGAAGTGTCTGTCACAGGTCAGTCTCATGATCCAGGCGATACAGCGGATGCCAAAAGAGATGCGAATCTTACCGATGTTAGGAGTTGGGGGCGTAGTCATGCACACAATGCCTTTATTCGGTTCGCTGACCGGTTCGAGTTGCTCCCGCACTGAGCTCAAACACTCTGCGAGTAACCGATCCCGGCCCTCCCTATACCGCGCACGCTCCTCCGCGTCTTGTTGAATCTCCCAGATCAGTCGTCGAGTGATGGTGTTTTGTGCCGCTATCCGACGGTCTTTCTTTTGTTGTCCCACCTGGCTGAGTCGAGATTCCTCCCATAAAGCCCGCGGACTGTAAGGTTCCAGATCCTCCTCGTCCATATCCATGCTCACGTGCTCCCACGGTAAATCATATGCCTGGCGTTGAATGTAGATGACCAGATGGCGGAACTCGGAGTAGACATCCTGACTGTGGATGTTGAGCAGTTGGCAGGTGGACCTTCGGACATACCAGTCCATGAACTCGGTGAGGAAGAAGAAAATGAGAGAATAGGTTCTGGCGATGGGTTTTACAGCGGTCGGCAGCAAGCCGGGGTCGGCGGGAAGACCTAAGGCGTCGTGGATGTTGAGCAGTGCTGTGGCTAAGCCTTCCATGACTCGTGGGTAATGCGACGAAGCCTAGGGGGGGTGTCAGTGACGGTCCGGGCCATGAAATCCGAATTACCGACCTTAATGACGGACTGAAGCACGCCGTAGAAGAGAGGGGTATAGGAGAGGGCGTCTGGGAGGACGGACAGGAGAGTCGCGTGGGTGTCCATGGTGGGTAGCAGGCGATCACACAGGTCCATGGAGTCACTAAAGACGCGTTGTCGCGGCCTCGACGTCCAAAAGGCGTTAATGTTGCCCAGCAGGGTCTTTACATCGTCGACGGTCTGTGGCCGCTCCTCCCACTCGACCTGGTCCTGCGGCAGGAGCAGGCTCACAAACCGCTTCCAGGTGTGGGCTAACTCATTCCGTTCTATATCCAAATCGGCGATCGCGGGGTTTCTGCAGACGGTCTTAGGGAGAGCGGTTGGGACAGGGATTCAGAGCTTACGGTGAGATAGGCTTCCCGTCAAAGCGGTGTTCCCAAAGGTTGGCAGTGTCGGGCATATTGCCACCGGCGAGTGATGATAGGGACAGAGACAAGACTCTCACGACATATCCTTACAGCAAAAGGAGTGGAGAGATGTGGAGAGCCGAAAAGGAGGGAAAGAAGAGAAGGGCGGGTTTTGCCGCGCTGAGGGGCTGTTGAAGGAAGAGCGCGCAGGAGTGATTTTTTTTTCCTTTTCTATTTTCGGTCGTTCTAGATGTCTTGGACTTGAGTTTTCGCCGGATGTTTTTGCATTTCAGTATCTCTCCATTTCTACTTGCTATCGGTGCTTTTTGCTTCTGTTCATTATTGTAAGAGTATAGTATTTCATTCTGGTCCTTAGCAACCTTGGAAGGTTAGATCAGAGCCGAGGCCTTGCAGGGCCTGGGGAACATTGATGTCTGAGCATCTTCGCATCTGACCATCTCACAAAGTACAATTAGCCCGAGTACTATACCCAAAGTACCGAGTCCGGCCTGGCCTTCTCTCTACTCCGGACTCCGAGGGCCATTCATCCTCAGTATTGTCTCTCGGATATTCACAGCACTTAAGGTTTTGGTCCAGTTCACGATCACTTTGCTTTTTGCAGACTGTTGCCCTTTAGGTGAAAGTGGACACACGGACCGCCCAGTGGTGCGTGGACTGTCGATCGTGAGATAGAAGAACTGCCAAACGTTTGGGATATAGGAGAGGCGGAAGCCCCGGGTGTGGGGGGAAATCGGCAAGTAGAGCGAGTGCCCAGATACGAAAACGAGATGATTGGCCTGGGGGATTTGGGGGATTTGGGGGATTGACAGATTGGCAAATTTTTACGTGCGGATATGACGGCCGACGATCTGAATACGTTCAGCAGCCCTGGAGCGTACCCGTGGAGGGCGTAAGAGCGTACTCGGTACGCACTTCGTACTCAGTTGAGCAGAGAGAAGGGAAATGCAAAGCCAAGAACTAAAATGAATGGAAGAACCAAAGCGAAAACCGACTCTTATCGTCATCCGTGATCTCTCTTAGTGCCGATCTCCCCTCATTTTCCTGTTTTCCGGTTTCCCTGCACCTCCACGTTTCCCTCTCTTGACTAATGTACCCACCCTCTCTACATGTTGTCTCTTCTGCTGGTCGTGGCTCTTTCAACTCTCTCGGTAGCTGATGTGGTTGCCCTGCCCTCCAATCTCACTCACTTCCCTTCCTTGCGCATTCTTGGGTCTCCACTCAATGGTACGAGGGTCCTTCCATTGACCTCCGGAATCAGATCCAATACTCACGTATCGTATTCTCCCCTCCAATGCCCGATCGCGCTGACGGTCCCAGTTGAATATCTCGGGCACTGCCACTCAAGTCTCCTCGGACAATTCCCTGGACTTAAAGAGTGCGGAAATCGCCTTCATCTCCTGCGACTCTGATTTCTACACCGGAAATCTCGGGGTTGACGACACCATTGAATACGTCACCTCTGCTCAATCAGCCGCAGCGGTAGTCTTATATAGCAGATCGGCTCGGTCTTGTAACCTGACAGTCGATGATACTGCGGTGCGATATCGGAACATCTTCTCCGTGTACAGCCGGAGCATTGATTCTGTCCTGCAGAGCACTTTCAACCAATCTCACCCATTCATCAGCATCGTCCCTATGTCGTCCTTCAGTGTGCCGACTGACTCAGGGACTGGGGGGGACTCGGGCGGTTCGGGCGACAGCCCCAACACTGGTTGGTCTTTCGCTTCTCCCCGGGCACGCTCAGCTTATTAACGTTGGCAGCCATGATCATCCTGTACAGTATCACAGGAATCATCACAGCTCTCTTCTTGGGAATTATCATTACAGGTGCGGTGCGGGCGCACCGCCATCCAGAGCGCTACGGGCCCCGCCGGATTGCCGGACGAGTCCGGCAGAGTCGAGCGAGAGGGATAGCCCGCGCCATGTTAGATACCATCCCGGTGGTCAAGTACGACGACAAGCCGGACGACGTTGAAGCCGCGAAGCGCGACATCGAATTGACCGCCGAGGATAACACCCAGCCTGCTCCCGGTAACGGTGTGACGGAGCCCAGCCCCGTCTCAGAGCTACCAACCCCGGACGGAGCAGAGAGACCCACTCCGACCGCCCCAGAAGCCAAGACTGAGACAGTGCCCGACGCTGGAAATCTCTCATGTCCCATTTGCACCGATGATTTCATCAAGGGCCAAGACCTACGTGTTTTGCCCTGCAACCACCAGTTCCACATGGAGTGCATTGACCCGTGGCTGATGAATGTTTCAGGCACCTGCCCACTCTGGTACGTATCATCCTAAATATATACAGGACCCGCACTTACGCTTCCTTCAGCCGAATCGACCTGAATCCGCCTCAGGCAGAGACCGAGCAAACCGAGGGGACCCCGGACGCTGAAACCACCGAAACCGCAGCAGCGCCAGCAGCAGCCCCGGAGACTGAAAATACTCAGACGCGACACTCGCGCCGTCTGGCAGACTATCTCCACGGCCCTCTGAATGCTCGTCGCATGCGCGACGCCACCGTCGAGGAACGCCTGGCCGCCCTCCGTCGTGTTCGCGAAGCCAACCAATCTGCGGGTGAGGAGGGCCGGCGAACCCGTCTGACAACCCGACTGCGTGAGCGGTTCCGTATCCGAACACGCGCTCATGGCGAGGCTGAGACCGAGACCGAGGCGCCCGCTGCTCCCGCGCCCGTTCACATGCCTCCCTCGACTGCATGATCTCTGACGTATCACTCTGTGACATATACACTCCTTTACGGTTTGCACATATCTGTTATGATATTATGATTTTGGCGTTTTTCCCGGCGTGTGCACAGGACTTCTTTGTTTATTTTGCTTAAAACGGGCATGGCGTTGGGAAAAGGAGCTTTTTATACACTCCGTATATATTTACCTGTATCTACTGAAGATTTATATATGTGAATATCGAAGATTATACAAATCCATGGATGTTATTGTGGGATGTCATGCTCCCGAGCGGAGCACTTGAGGTCTGAGAGGTCTAGACTTCAGCGTCCACATCATCGAAATTGGCAAACTGTTGATTTGCCTCCGCGGTACGAGTACGGCCAAATTGACTTGAGGCTGTGCAGGTCAGCCGGTCAAGCTCTAGGGCTTGGGACCGTGGAACAAGAGGTTCGGGTTTTTACGTCAGTCATTCATGGTTATACATGGGTACTGCGGTGCCAACGTTCCGACCTTGGAACTTATACTAGTACATGTCCACCTCTAGGGCTGGGCGCCCTCAGGCCCTCGTAGGGCTTGTCAGTCCATGAGGTCAGGGTACAGATCGCCAGGAACACCGAGACGGGGTGAACTCCACGCCGATCGACTAATTGCATCAGCGGCGCAAATCTGGTTTCTGCAATGATCAGGGCTTGCATGTGTCTACCGTTCTCGGTACCCTGGCGTTATAAAAACCCTCATGCCCCAACATTCACGGTCGGCCTGGCGAGCTAATCAGGGAGATGAAAATCTGCCGCAGAGTGAGGCCTGGGGGAAAATCACGCAAAACTACCCCAGAGTCGGGAAAAACATTAATAATTCGGTGGATCCGGAGTCGGAGTCGCGCCTTAATCATTATTCCGATCCCCTCATGTGGGGGTTGGGGTTGAATCTTATACCCTGTACACTCTTCCAGCATAGGTGCTATCATTACTTGGAGTAGGGCAAGTCTCCCCGCGTAACCCTTGTGCAGTAATATTCTCCGACATCGAAACAAAAATACCCGATCATGCGACGGACTCCACAGTGCGTCTTTTACCCGGCGTTCGACATTGTATGACACACGCGGGCTCGGCGAGGGTGGCCTGTCGGAGCGTGGAATTAGTAATGGGGCAACAGAGCCTGGAGCCCTGGAGAGGATTCCAATGTCTATTATTCAAGTGACTCGACAGTGCATAGGTATCACAACATGGTTGTAAACAGTAGTAGAGTAGAGTAAGTCGAGGATGGACTTGCTCTTCCCGGCATGTGAACCCAGTGGACACAATCCCTCGGTATGTTCGACCGAGGGTAAGGCGCGTGAGCGATAAATAGTATAAAAGGAAAGGGACGTAGGAGAAAAGAACACAGCATATTTACCGTTACACCCCTCACTCCAATTCGGTGAACGCAAGCAGATAAATCCCGTTTCGGTGTCAGTTTCCGGGGAAATTTATTATTAAACGGGTGTATATATAATCTTCGGAGTCGCCCCATCATGTCTGCCAAAGACCGTCTCTCCAACCTCTCCTCACACATCATGGGTTCCACTGCTCCCTCTGTATTCACCGCGGCCACCGTGGCGGCCGCCCCCGAAGATCCTCTCTTTGGATTGATGAAGGCTTACCGCGAAGACCCCTCCGACAAGAAGGTTGATTTGGGAATCGGAGCCTACCGCGACAACAACGCAAAGCCCTGGATTCTGCCCGTCGTCAAGAAGGTCCCTGCCCCTCCTTTGCCGATGATGTAATGCCTACTGACCCAACTTGGAAACAGGCCGACGATGCTATTCACAACGACCCCAGCCTCAACCACGAATATCTCTCCATTGGCGGTCTCGCCGACTTCACCTCCGCCGCACAGAAGCTGATCGTGGGCGCCGACAGCCCAGCCATCCGCGAAAAGCGCGTACGTCTCCAATCCCGGCTGCAATCCCACCCCCACCCCAACTAACGCGCCTCAGATCTGTTCTCTGCAAACCATTTCGGGAACCGGCGCCGTCCACCTGGGCGGCCTCTTCCTCGCCAAATTCCACCCCCAAAAGCCCGCCATCTACCTCTCCAACCCAACATGGGCCAACCACAACCAAATCTTCACCAATGTCGGCCTCTCCCTCGCCAAGTACCCCTACTTCTCCGTCAAGACCAAAGGCCTCGACTTTGAAGGCATGATCGCCGCGCTGCAGGCAGCGCCCAACGGCTCCGTCATCCTCCTCCACGCCTGCGCCCACAACCCCACCGGCGTAGACCCAACCCAAGACCAATGGAAGCAAATCGCGACCCTCATGCGCGAGCGCTCCCACTTCCCCTTCTTCGACACCGCATACCAAGGCTTCGCCTCCGGAGACCTCGTCCGCGACTCCTGGGCCATCCGCTACTTCGTCGAGCAGGGCTTCGAACTCTGCGTCGCACAGTCCTTCGCCAAGAACTTCGGTCTGTACGGTGAGCGCACAGGTGCTTTCCACTTCGTTTCTGCCCCCGGTCCAGACGCAGCCACCTCTTCTGCGCACATTGCTTCCCAGTTGGCTATTCTCCAGCGCTCGGAGATCTCGAACCCGCCTGCGTATGGTGCGCGGATCGCGAGCCGTGTCCTGAATGATCCTACGCTCTTCAAGGAGTGGGAGGACGATTTGCGGACTATGAGTGGTCGGATCCAGGAGATGCGGACGGGTCTGCGTCAGCGTTTGGAGGCTAAGGGCACACCGGGTTCTTGGGAGCATATCACGTCGCAGATTGGAATGTTCAGTTTCACTGGGTTGTCTGAGGAGCAGGTTTTGACTCTGCGCTCTAAGTGGCATGTTTACATGGTATGTTTGATTTTCGACAGAGTGCTGGGATTGATGCTAACTTTTTTTTGCAGACTAAGAATGGCCGTATCTCAATGGCTGGCTTGAACACGAATAACATCGACTACTTCGCTGAGGCGGTCGATAGTGTTGTGCGCGAGTCTTCTTAGGAAACATACTTGATACCTTTGGGCTTGATCAGCGCGATCCTGATCTGGCGTTGTCTTCTCCAAATACCTTCTAAATCTATACATGAGCACAATGAATAAACATCTTCCAAGCTTAGAAAATACTTGTATTTGCCCAGGCCCACTTCACATGCTAGCTGAAGCATTGGCCTCCTTGGAAACCGTCCACGGGGAGCAACGTACACACATGATAAAGAGGTCAAAAAGACAAATGCTATGCTACAATTGAACATGGTATCGCATGCAAGAAACCGATCTCAGCTGTCCTGCCATATAGAAGAGAACAAAGCCTAAAAGACCAAATCCCAAACCACAAGCCAAGTGCACAGCCCTACAGTACCCCAGAAAACAGCCTGCGCCGTACTCCTCCGCTCAGTAGCCCTCTTCAACTCCCGATTACCCTGCCCGACATTCGTCTGCGTCGTATCAACATCCGAAACAAGCTGGAAAATATATTCCTCCTGGGTAGCAAGATGCGTCACAAGAGTCTCCTGCAAAGACGATATCTCCAGAAGCGATTTCTCAGCATTCCTATCAAAACAATTAGCACAATCCTCCAGTATCAGATCAAATCCGCAACCCCAGAGTGAACACATACTGTACTTTCCCAAGCGTATCCTCATAATGCCTAAGCATGGTATCATTTTCCTCCGCAAAAAGCTGCAACTGCTCCGGCGAAAGCTGCGCTTCAATCTGCGCCGTGTCCGCCTCACTCAGGACCGTCGCGTCGGGGGCTTTCATCGTAGTAGACGATGAGGATGTAGCATTCCCACCCGCCCCAGACATCGATATAGACGCTTTCCTCCCCGCCGCACCAGAAACCTTATAGAGAACGCTCTTCTCTTTCTCTCGTACGCGCTCGATGCGCTTCTCGACCATCCCGCGCTGCGCGCCGGCAGCTCCTTCAAGACCACGCCTTAGATACCATAGGACAGCTTCGCGGACGGTGGTTGTTACGCGGGCTGATTCCTCTGCGCGGGTTTGGTCGGCTGATTTGGTCTCGCTGTCGCCGGCCCAGCGCCATAGGGCTGCGGATGCGGCTGAGTGGCCGTATTTCTTGCGGAGGAGGGTTGCGGTCGTTTCTTGGCGGAGGGATTCGGCGGAGGAGAGGTTTGCTATGGATGTTGCTAGGTCGCGGAGGAGGAGGGCTGTTGAGGTGTCGACTGCGTCTCTTTCTTGGTCGGTCAGGAGTTGGGATTGGAATTGGGACTGGGGTTGAGTGGTTGGGCCATTGTTGCGGCGTTGGTTGGTTGAAAGGTAGGAGTGGCGGATGGATTGGAGGTATTGGAGGAGGGAGGTGATGTGGGAGTTCTGGTGTTTGTTAGGTGGTTGTTTTGAAGGTTCATTGGGTGTTGGCTTACGATTCGGTATGCTTCTTTTAGAAATTCGTCGGCTGTTTTGGGGTTGGTCTTTGGTGTGGATTTGCCTTGCTTGGAGAGCAGGCTATTGAGCGTGGGTGTGAGATCGGTCATGGTTGTTGAGGTTGGAGATGTGTTCTGTTATACAATTGATCAACGTCACTGCGCGGATGGTCTGCCCCGCAACCCGCACTTCGTCTCGACTCTCGAGTCCGCTACTCGTTTATTCTGGATACATTCTTACTGTTGTTATTGTTGGGGTAAAGATACTGCATAAACTCCGGTTCAACTTTCGAAGTGTGTTTCTGCAGATCCAGTGGCCAAACCTCCTGATCTTCGGTCCCGTGGCCATATCCAATGACAATCTCGGGAGACGCTGTCGCCACCAAACACGGCCAGAGCGGGCTGGTCTTCCCCGCATCTGCAGACTTGCATCGTTCCGAATGTCAGAAGTGCATGGTCAGGTGGAGACAGACCTCAACAATGAGAATCGTACGGGTACTAATGCCGCCTCTTGAATGTCATGAAGTACCAACCTTGGAAGGCAATCATATGGTCTGCCAACTTCATGCACTTCTCAGGGGTTGAGGGGGATCAGCGACCCTGCTCATCAGCGAAAGGCTCCCAAGGTTGTATTTGATGCAAGGCTCCTAAAAATATGGAATGGTGCATAGATGCTGATCCAGAATGTCGCAAGTAGTAACCATGATGAAGACTCCTTCAAGCCAACCACTCTAGTGTTGATAGAGGGCCACACTCGGCTCGACTAAGCGACCATTCGTGCAATAAACAGGAAAAGATGATGCCCATGTGCTCTCAAACTTTTACATACGAGTGCTCGAATCAAGGTTGCAGCCCCCCAGAATTTCGGAGATTTATGACAATCCCAACCCACCCATAGTTTATGATTCGGGGTTTGACCCTCCGATCAATAGACCTTGCAAAGAAGACCTCGAGACCCAATTTCAGACCTACGTGGCCATGAGGAGACTTCTTACGCCAGCGAGATGCGAGTCATGACGTTGATGGCTGTATAAGAGGGTGTGCTATGTTCCAGATTGATACAGACAGTCAACTTGTACAACGATGATGGCACCAATACTACAAGACAGTCGACCGAGCCTAGATTTAACACAAGCCAATCAGCTCATCTATGAAATATCAGGGCTTGACATGATGTGGGCGAGATGTTCAGCAAAATACGAACCGAGCCCGGGGAATAGCAGCTATACTTCCGTCTGATATAGTTGACCCTTTAGCCTGGTAGTTTCCACAGTGGCGACCAGTTATATTTCCATACATCACATGCACCCGAAGGCCAAAGCGGTAACAGACAGGGATCTGAAGTCAATCAAAGAGTATTGCATGCTCACTTGTATCATGGAGACAAGGAGCCGGCCAGGTCGGCCAGGTTTCAGATCTGCCGGTCAGACGTCACTAAAGTTACACGTCCACGTTTGCTCAAATATATAGAGTCTGGCAATACGCATCTTACCCTTCTCTTGATTCATTTCCAATGTCTATTCTCAAGATGGAGCGACCCTCTCAAAACAAGCATCCTGCGGCGACTTCCATCAAGTTACCTACTTTACGACTGGCTCCGTCTATCAAACGATCTACCACATATTCTACACCTCATCAAGATATGCCCTTGCACTCGGAACCAGAACTGTCGTCATCGGCTACAGACACACAACTTCGTGACTATCATTGCCAAGTGAAGGCAACCCTCACAAACATCCTCAACGACGACCGAGTCAAGCACAACCCCAATGGCAGCCGCTGTATCCAGGAAATCCTGTTGGAAAATGAGCAAAATATGAGAAGGAAACGAAGAGAATCTCTCAGCTTGTGTAATGACAAACGAACAATGCTTTTGTGATGGAAACCCAAAATGTAATATACAAAAATTGACTGCTTGATGCCTTTGGACGCTTTTGAACATCATGGATTTACCTCAACTCATTCCTCCGTCTGCCGAACAGACTTCTCAACATCATCAACTTTCTTCTTTCCAAAACGCAGCTTCTTCTTCAGATTCAAAGCTCGCACACGGTACGCCCGCTTCCGTCGTCGGGGAGGGTAATTGACCGGACTCTCACCACCAGTGAAGATAGCCATATCGTAGACCAAAGCACCAAACAGCGCGCCACTGATATCCGCACACCAAGGTCCCCAGATCCACCAAGCATGCATTTCTCGGAAAAGATGACCTCCCCAACCAGCCATAACAGCAACGAGTCGAGGGCCAAAGTCACGAGCGCAATTAAAGCACCTAGACACAATGTTAGCATGAACCATTCCAATCCAATCCTGAATTCAAAAACTCACCCTCCAGTATTATATCCAAGAGCAAGAATGATGACCGAAATGAGAATTCCCAGAATAAAAGCCTGCATACCCGCACCAGGCGGCGCATTGGAATCGTCACCGAGAGCCATGATCGTGCCGACCAGAAGCGCACTACCCACGAACTCAGTAAAGAATGCCGTGGCAGGATGCACAAACGGCTTCGGAGACGTGATAAGCGCCTGCGCAGCCACGCTCGCATTCTGAGGAACCTTCGCCGAAGCAGCAACATTCACAATCGCGTCATGATACAGCGCATACGCGAACCCGCCTGCCGTAATCGCTCCGAGTAGTTGCGCCGCTATATATACTACACAGCGACGGGCTGGGAATCCACGAAATACGGCGAGTGAGATGGAAATCGCAGGGTTCATGTGTCCTCCGGATATACCACCCGTTGTATAGATGGCAACCATGAAGCCAAAACCCCATGCTGCGCTTTGCGCTGGGTATGAGCCTGCTTGGCCTGAGGATGTGAAGTTTGACAAGGTTGCGCAGAGGCCGATTGTCATTGCCATTGTTGTCTGGGGTTGGTTAGATGGTTATTCTGATGGGAGTGGAAGGGGGATTCATACGCCGAGCCATTCGGCTAGTGGTTCGCGGAGATGATGGCGGATCTTAGACCAGGTGTTGAAGAAGCCGTCTTCGTTGGGGCCGTTGACTCGCTGGGCGCGAGCCTCTGCGGATCGTTGTTTCTTGGCCTCGGGGGACTCGTCATACTCGCCGTTTGCCATGGCTTCTTTGTCTTCTTTTCGGTCTTCTGGTAGTGCGCCGTGACGCATGCCCGGTCGCACGATGTGAGGAAGGGGCTGGGCTAGACTCCATGTTGGTCCCTCGTTCTCGTGGCCGTACTGGGGGTTGTAGGATTGGTATTCCTTATCCATGTATGGGCCCTGGTTGCTGTTGTTCGGGTTCTGGGCGCCAGACCCGGCGAGACTGAAGCTTGGGTTAGTGCCCATGCCTTCATTCTTGCTTCCTTCTTCTTGTGTCCCGTTTGGATCTTCATGTTCGGGAATCCGGGTGGTGTCTGGTGTTGTTAGTGCTGATCTCGGGATGGGTTATAGATCGAAAGTACCTTTGACATCCCCATTGGCGCCATTGGCGCTGTTGTTGAGACTCATCTTGGCACAGAATTGGACCTAAGTCAAGCATTCAAATGCGAAATGTCAAATTTAAAGACGACAGAAAAATTCGATCTGTCAAAGCTTGTCGTCATATTTTGGAACTGGAGGTCCACTCTTTCGTCACTATCCGATCGACGAACCCTGGGCACGCCGCGCAAAAGCAGGGAATCCATCAAGCTTCTCGGTGAGAATTCGAACAGCAAATTGATCGTCGAGATTTGATTGGCGGCATTGAATCCGTCTGGGCCCAAATATGTCAAAAGGCGTCGATCTTCCCAAACTATAGCGCACTATACCTTAGTCCCGGAGAGGGCCATCCCGAACGTAAAGCCTTTGTGTCTCTGGGAAGATCTTCATGTTAATTTCTAGATACCTCCAGTACCTACCTAAGTAAGCAGTACAACAAAAGTATCAAAACTTTCCAAGAGTTCAAAAGAAAAAAATATATATAAATTCGAACGGACAAGCCGCTTGAGGACCTCGTGAAGTCCCAAGATCCATGCATCGGTATCTCTCCATGCTAAATGCAAAACTGGGTATAAACAAAATCACTATGCTAATTAAACAATTCTCAAATCATTGCACGCTCCTCGACCCAGATCTATGATTTATGTTAGTGGATGTTGAGTAGAATATGGCATGAGACTCACCTCGATTTTCCCCATCTCGCTCCCTTCCCTTCTAGCGACCTCCTTGGCGGAACTAATCAACAAATCCAAATCTTCCTGATCAACCATCGTGATCATATCCCCGTCATCCTGCACTTTCATCTTAAGTGGACATTTGAAGCCAAACTTCTCCCGGATGCGGTTCTCGAATTCCGCGAACCCGATCGTCGGCCCGATCATAATGTACCGTGTGTCATCTGGCGCATGAACCTTGGTTCGGAATTTTTGAATCTCAGGCCGCCGGGGATTGTTATGGCGCGAGTAGCGGACGGGAGAGCGTGTGCGACGTTGGCTTGGACCAGCACCGACTAGCTCGAAGCTTCCGTTCATCGTCGCGGCACCAGCCTCTTCAACGTATTCCTCTTCTTCGTCAATGTATTGGGGTGGTTGATGACGGGAACCTCGGCCCCAACCTGGGGGAGGGTTTCGCTGGTTCGAGTATGGGTCGTAGGGGTCTGGTTGCCCGTACTCGGGCTCTGAGTACGCTGTGTTGGCTTCACTGAGGTTTCGGCGGTGACCCTGTTCGCGTGGCCAGCCGCTGCGGCTTGGCTCTGCAAATCCTCGCATGTTGTTGTGTTTTGATGGCCCGCGGGGCTCCGATGCTGTGCGCGTGGTTCCTATTCGGGGCTTTTCTTGCCCTGGGTCTGGAGCCCTTCGGTCTAGACTGGCACCCGCGCGATCTAGGTCTAGGCGCGGAGGGCGGGATCCTCGTAAGGATGACGAGCGGGTATGCCCTGAAGCAGACTGGCTGCCGGAGGCGGAGGCGGTGCTGACCGATCGATCATCTGGGGGTGGTGTTGGTGGGAATACATGGCGGTTGAGGGGAGGTTCGGAGTGCTGACGGGTGCGGCTGGTGAGATTTTGACGAACCAAGTTACTCGCACCGAAGGAGACACCCTCCCGGCCTTGGAGGGCGCCGTGATCAACCGGCATTGGCCTCCATTGGTGATCTGATGTTTGCGTGCGATCAGATGCGGCAACTAGTCGGGCCTTGCCTAGGTAGTCCTTTGTCTTGAGATTTTTGACTTTGGCTGCGTTGGGGCGATATAGAACTCCGACTGGAATGGAGAAAACAGTGTATCCCTAAATGCCAGTTAGCATTATAAGATGGATGGACAATGGGTTCGACATGCATCTGCGTTTTCACGAATAGCATCATCAATCACGTTGTGATCCGGGGTGACTTTTTCCTTTGAGGCATACTCAAGGTCTTGGATTCCTGGATTCATCTGTCGAAGGTAGATGTAGCAGAGACCTCGATTGAACAGAACTTCACAGGAGAAGAGTCGAAACACAAGCCCCAACTGCTCATAATCTATCGAGGTATTTCCTCGGAGATAGAGAAGTGTATCATTGAAGTTAGCCAGTGCCTCTTCGAAGTCCCCAAGTAGAAAGTTGGAAACCCCCTGCTGGAAGTACGCAATGGCGAGGTATCGGTCTAAGCCGACGGCGCGTTGATAGCATTCTACCTTTGACGTGGTCAGTGGACGCCTTAGGACAGTTCGCCTTTACATACTGCTTTCCCATGTTCCCCAAGGGTTGCGTAAATCACGCCGCAATTGAACAGGATCTTGGATGTATCGGCAATTTGGTCGAATAAGCGCAATGCCTCTTCGAACTCCTGGTTCTCATAAGCGTCCAGAGCTTGTACCCAGGTTTCGATTTCCTTTGTAGCACGAGGTCAGTATATATCCCGACTAGTTTCATATTTTGTCTTACTTGTTTGAGCGACATCTTAAGAGATTGGATCCAGGAGAGTCAGGGCTATGCCGTTCTCCTGCGTCCCGTTGGCATATGGTGGGGTCGGAATTCAGCACTTTCCCATGCGACGGCGACCAAAGCTCTGTCGATGTGAAGATGCACAGCTCGGAGAAAATCGCACCCTGGCAAGAGCCAGTGTTATATTCGGCAATAGCTCTTGTCGGTGTGACGAGAAAAAACCTTAGGGTAAAGGGGGAGTAATCTGGCGGAACGAGCGGGGAGATCTTGGAGTAAGCCGAAGCACCATGGACCCGATAGACCAAGCTAAGGTATTTTTAGATTTGGCGAAGTCGAAATTGACGTGCCGAGTCCGTACAAAAGGTAGACAACAACCCGATCACAGCGTGGAGGGGAGTGACCCGGGCAGTTGGGACATCTGCGATGAGTGCGGGTAGGCGGAAACAGCAGAGGCCGATCATACACTGAACAGAGAATGGCAAGAAAAAGAAATACAAAAAGGAAAATCAAGAGAGACTAGAGGTGATGGGCCAAAAATAACCCGCGTTGCACCTGCAGCAATTATGCACGCTGTGGGCAATCAGAGCACAGAACCCGTTTCCCACTGCCGCCGCGTCTGTGACTGGATGTCAGGACACAGGAGATTATCGCCTTCAGTTGCGTCGACACGGGCCTCTTGACGGATTGCGGGGAATGCGAATTGGTCTGCGCGTTGGTGGTCTCTCACAAAGTGCGACTGGACACGCTGATTGGTGGTCAGTCCATCCCCGCCACGGCGCTTGCAGGAGATTCCAAGAGTTGGACAGGCCCGTGGGTATCTCGCTTGCCATACCTGAACGGGAATAAGTAAACGTCTATATACTCCACTTGATATACTACTACTAGCATGCAGTTCTTACCTATGGATTAGCTTGGTTATTTTTGGCGGGCCAAGACTGCATCGTGAGAGCATGGCGTGACATGAGAGAAGTATATAGCCCCAGCCCGTTCCAAGATTCCAAGGTTTGGTCTTGGCTCTTCAGATAAAAGGTGATAGGCATCGGGGACAGCCTAGACTTGGATGAAGCCCGAACCAAGGGGAACCAAAGAACCAAGGAATACGAGTCCTCATACTTGGACATCTATTTATATCAAGACCCCAACCAAGATCGGCCACAGCATGAGCATGATTGTGACCCGTACTAGGTAGTTGGTGTGTCGGAAAACCCACTAGAGCGCCTAAATCGTGACATTCTGACCTAACCTTGCAATCGTTGCTAGAAATAGAAGCGGTGGTGCTGTTGTAACCGAGATGAACACGGCACAGAGCAATCTAAGGATGGGAGAACACGAGAAACCGAGGTTCGGTGAATCACCGAGTTGTATTGTTCAACGCTGAAGATGACTAGGTAATAGAATGAGGTGAGCTATATTTACAGCTTGGCAACCATCTTGTTGCCCTTCTGGAGGAGAGCTGCGGCATCGGTGACAAGCTCGTCAACAATGGCCTTGGCAGACTTCTTCTCGTTAACAACGGCAGCGACCTTGCCCATCAGGTAGGGACGAGCGTTGTCGAAGGTGTCATCATCAACGTCATCGGGCAGGTTCTCCATATCGTGCTCCACAGGGATGATACCCTTGGCAGTAAGCTGCTTGATCTCCTCGTGACGGTTCTCCTCCCAGTTGAGGATGTAAGCGTTCTTGCGAACACGGAGGGGACGGCCCTATTGCATACTGTTAGTGATCTGATATTTCCCCTCAATATGAAAGCCAAGCTTACTGTGAAGATGATAGTACGGATGTTATCCTCGAAGTTGGAGGTGCGGACAGCCTCCTGGTGAGCAGTAGGGGCACCGGCCTCATCAGACAGAATGAAGCGAGTACCGATCCAGACGGCGGAGGCACCGAGCATGAGAGCAGCGGCAACGGAGTTACCGTTGAACAGGCCACCGGCAGCGATGACCTGCACGGGCTGTCCGGTCAAAGGGCTCTTCTTGCCCTCGACCAACTTGGCAACCGTGGGGATGAGGACGGTAGTCGGGACATCACCGGTGTGACCACCACCCTCACCACCCTGGGCGCAAATGATATCGATACCGACATCGAGGGCCTTCTGGACGTGCTTGGGGTGGCCGATCATGTTCATGGTGAGGATACCGGCGCCGTGGAGCTTCTCAACAACGGCCTTGGGGGGAACACCGACGGCGGAGACGAAAAGGCTGGCCTTTTCCTCGATGATGATATCGACAAGCTCGCCCAGCTTACCCTTGGTGTAGTCATAGCTGTTTGCAACCGAAGTCATCGTGGTTAGCTACGGATGCATCGGCGAAGAATCATACGATCACAGGGCTCCTTACTTAGTCTTGCGGGCACTGCCGCCAACTTGGGGAAGGAGAAGGTCGACACCGAAGGGTGCGTTCTTGTCGTTCAAGAAGCCCTTGAGTTCAGCGATTTGCTCACGGAGCATATCGGGGGTGTAGCCAACGCCACCGATCACACCGAGACCACCAGCGTTGGTGACAGCGGCGGCCAACTTGGGTCCCGCGGCCACGTTCATGCCTGCCAGCAGGACGGGGTGGTTGATCTTGAGAAGATCGGTGATCGGAGTACGGATTCGTTCTGTTCAGCCAGTCATCAGCGCGTGTCTTATGTTGTACATAGCACCTGGGCAGGCCCATCTGGATCACATGAAACGCAAGGGGAGGGAAATCAATACGCCTGGGGAAAAATGTCACTTACGAGGAGAAGCCATGGTGGATGTATGTCAAGCGAGGCCTGCAGATTATTGAAGAAGAGAAAATCTGGGGAAGAGGAGAAGCCCACCCTATAAAGCAGACCAGCCTCGGTGTTCACAGACTCGCGTTGAGCCTCGGTCCAAATTGCTGCGCCGAGTGCTTAGTCACAATGTCACCTGGCAGCGGGGGTCGACACCTCAGGTGTCTTCAGCTAGCATGTGCAATGAATACTGCGCAATTCTGTTTTAAACACATTCTAACATTTCTCGTTATTTTTCGCAGAGCACAGTACAACTGTGCTTGCTTTGCTTGTAAGAAGCAACTATTTAAACTGTTCACAGAACATTGTACACAGACCCAAGAGTGTATCCAACACCAAGTTCGATACAACCCGAGGTAGTATCGTTCTGGAAATCAAAAAAATCTAAACATGACAAAATTCCATCGGCCCTGCCGATTTCGCGAAGAACGTAAAGTCGTGCACCGAATTTATCCCAGAGTCAGGGTGAAACTGGAACCCAGAGAGCAAGAGTAGGTGTTCACGTCATCAGGCTTCTGGTAAGCCTCGGAGCAGTCTGCGTCACCAGCGGCACAGGTAGAGGACCGGCAGCTCGAATCACTGGGCTCAGCAGTGAAGCCAGACTTGATGAACTCGGAGGAGGAGTCGAGATCGATAGAGGACATGTCCCAGTACAGGGTGTCGTCATGCTGGGTGTATTCGAACTGCAAAACGCTATCCTTGTCCTTAGAGGTGGACATCTTGATGGAGATACCACCACCGTTGGAGTTGGTGGTCCATCCCTCGGTGTAGTCACCACCACCAGAGCTGAGCGTCTTCATGCTGCCAGCGTCGGACGTGGTGGTCCACAGATAGACATCGCTGCCCATGTTGTTGACGATTGTGATACCACCGTCAGAGCCGCGGGTCTCAACAGCTCCGCTCTCAGAGCGAGTCTGAAGAGGCTGGGGAAGCGCGGCGGCGGTGGCAGCGAGGAGGCCAGTAAGGAAGGCGTTGAACATCATGATGGAAAGTTGTGAAGTTGTGGAAGAGAGTGAAGCTTATTCGAAGCTCAGTTGGTTAACAAAGACACGAAAGTGACAGTAATTGAGGAACAACCTCGAAGAGAATGAAACTGATTTCAAGAAGAGAGTGACTTGAAAAATCAATGAATGTGTTTGAGGAACGGAATGAACATGGCAGATTCCTCGCCTTTATATCATCCTCGGAGGCGCTCGGATGAGAACAGAAAACTCTCTTTCCAGACTCCAAAGAAACTCCAAAGAGAACCAAAAGGTGCAAAGAACGGATAGACTACAATTATAGATGTGGGTCCTGCCAATAAGGTTACTTGAAGCCAATCAGGAGTTGCGGCTGAGATTTCCACTCTGGTCTCGAACACCTCGTCATCGTCTTACGTGTGGAACTGGACCTTCTAGAACTTCCAATCAGTAGTTCGTTCCATCTAGACCCCAGAGTTGGTCCTCAAATAGCATCTTATGATCCCGAAAAAAGAGAAGTCTGGTAGACAAGCTACCACGTTCGGATGGGGCTTAGAGACACGCGCAATCTACGTCAGCCTGTAGTGGCGACTTCTCAGGTAAAAGTCTGATTGACTACCGTTACGGCCCCAATTGGAACCATTCGACATTTACTCAGGAGCCGAGGCGATCTCCCGAAACGACCCTCGGAAAGCGGTTACAGCATCCTCAGCCCGTTTACCCAGTTGCGGACGCAATCCGAGTCTCTCTATCATTCGCCAACCATTGCCACCGAGTACCTGACATTTACAGGGGCTTTGGGTGTCTGTGGCAAACCAGGGGAGATTGCCACACATCCAGCTGTGTTCCTGTTGATCTGAAAGGAGCACATGTTCCAAGGTTGAGAAAATATTCAGGTCGCTGCATGGCAAGGAAGTTTCTAGAATTGCTCAGGTGGCCATGTTACATTATTAAGAAGCCTTGTTAGTTCCAGCCTCCCTAGGTCCGAGTGCAATTTATGTCAGCCACCTGGGCAGCCCTGGAGCATCTCCACCTGTGCGAAACAGTAACCTAGGGACCGTTCATACTCCCGGATGTGCCAATATGCAGCCGCACGTTTACTCCCGAGGTACTTGGGTACAACTAGGTAGTCTTGAGGAATCTTACTTTATGCTGTGGCCCCTGAGACCGAGTGCTTCTTAAGAGGACTGTCCAGATGAACGGCGCATCCAGCACATTTCAAGATTGCGCGATACTTCGGTATGAATTCACTTGCGAACCCAGCCACCTGATTTGGTTTTCTAAACACTAGAAGCCAAAACAAGCTCGGTTCAAAGGCCTAATGCCTAAACTTGGATTTGATCAATCGAAAAGCGGTAAGAAGAAAGCAATAGATGCAGCCCTACAGCCCTACAGCCCCACAATGGCTGCAGCAGTCCCAATCGACTGCAGCGACATGACGCTTGTCGGCGCATGAATGTGGACACGAGAATCGTGCTGCCTAGGCCTGAACGAAGAGCGTGCAATACACGGAGTACGGAGTCCTGAAAAAGAGCAAGTAGTGTGCAGCAATTCTGGTATATTAATTTTTAATTTGAGATAGCCAAAATAGTTCGGAAATTTCCATAAACTAGATCACATTGCTGCGATACTTTTCTTATAAGATGGTATCTTAAACCTGCATCGCGTAGACCTTCCCCAGGGTCATTGTTGAGATAGCTCACCCACATTTGGTTACCGCCGCTTTCAAGTAAGACAAGGTGCATGAACCGCCGAAACCCTCGGCACCTGATTTGATGATCATTATGTGCCCTGTAAATTAGACATATGCACATCTACTCATGTCTTGTTGATCCTTTGACCTATTGTCTTTTTTTCATGGCGATCTCCCCATGTTCCCAAGATTGCGCGTTCTACTTATTGTACAGAGCTCCGCTGCATATAAAGCAGGATGTTAGCCCTGTACAACGAAGAATAGAAAGAAGAGTCCCATCTTATCTCCATACTCTTCTAAAAACGAATATCTGCGATTTGCAATGAGGCTCCAACGACTGGCTTTTTACTTCTGTATCACGGCCGTGGAGGCCTCGATGGCGGAGTATCAAGAGCTATGTCCAAATTTCCATGAAACAAAAATCGAAATCACACATGGAGAATGGGCACTCGTTAAGTGTGGGATGGTCGGTTCCCACGATGGCAAAAGGTCGCAGATTGCCGGCATCCCCTCCCCCGCCGCATGTGCTCAATTATGTAGCGAAGATGCCTCGTGTACTCACTCATCCTGGGGATCAGGTGGAAAATGCCTATTGAGCGGTACGAAGTTTGCGGAGAGGGAGATCAAGAACAGCGTGCTTCTTGTGAAAACCGTTCCCGATGAACCTGAAGATGAGTGTCCGGAGGACGACCCATACTGTGACGACGAAGAACTGTGCGAAGAGCGACTGGAAGAAAGCAAGAATCAACTTGGAGACTGCGTGGAAGAGAAAGCGACTTGTCACGAGCAACTCGATCGATGCCTTGCTGAGAAGCAGGCGCTGCTGCAAGAGCTGATTAGCGCCCCTTCGACTGAGTCTGGCTCTGAAATTGACGACCTTCCTCGTTGTAAGCTTTCCAAGATTACAAAGAGCCACATGTTATATTGATGCTTACTTGTGCTTCTCCAGGTGATAAGAGCCATGGCACTATCTTCACTGCACCCAATAACAAGAGCTTCAAGATAAATTGCAGACAAGGTTTGTTGAGTCTCAATCAATGCTTCACATGACGGTTCTGACTTTTTTTAGGAGGGACCTTTAGCCCATTCAAGATATATCAATCGGGGACGTTCGCGCACTGTGTGAAGGAGTGCACTTACCACCAAGACTGCAAGGCGGCCGAATTCGTGATGTCAGGAAGGCAGCAAGGACATTGTCGACTCCATCATCTGAGCAAGGGAGACACAGGAATCTGGGGTCCGAAGGAGAACCGGGCTTCAGCTGTGTTGATTGGCGAATAGGTCAGAATGATAGCTTCATGTGAAGTTGCCGAGAGTATCAACACTTTCAGGCGCAAACTACCCGCTGGAGAGAAGCTGCTGGAATCACATCAAAAGCTGCTTGCTTATGCACTGAGAAGAATTTTTTACTTCTTGCAGTTGATATGTTTGTTTTTCTTGTTATTATCCCAGCTGATCCGGGGTTAAAGGCCGAAGCCAGCTTCTATGAAGAGTAAGGACCTCGGAATACCAAATCGATTATCACGTTCGGATCTGGAATTTTTGGAGGCCCAAATATTATTTTCAGTATACTTGAATTGTATCAGCTAGATAACAAGGAATGAATACTGCACGTCATGATCCTTCTCTGCTTTCAGGCATTTCCGTCAATTCCATCACTCTTTCCCTGGAATTCCAGCATTGAAGCAGCCATGGACTTGAATCCTGTCGCAAATTTCTCTTCAAATTGGGATTCAGACATCATAGGCAATTTCACGAGCTCGTTGTCCACTTTTTCGAACTTGGTCTGGTAATTTCCACTCAAGAGTGCAGCTTTGAGCAGCGCGAGAGTGTTGAAGAGATTCAGGCCATTGTTTTGAACAGATTCAAGCGTCGACTCAAGCTCAGTCACGGAGCTAACTGGATTGATAATCCATTTCGTCTCCGGGCCGGAGTATTTCTTCGCAAGACTCAAGAGTTTGCTTTGAGTCAACACAATGTCATGAACCGTGACCAAGCGATTCTTGGTCGCTTCCGCATTCATCAAAGCACCAGCAACAGCTCTTCCGACACTGGAAACGCTGGTCGAGCTAAAAGGGTGCTGGCCATTATCATATAAGTTGACTTCCTGGGTTTGGAGGTCCGCCAAGAAAGGCATAGACATGACGAACTCCAGGAAAGGCCCAACCGCAAAGAGAGTGTACTCAATCTCCCCAGCAAGAGCTTTGCCCTTGAGGTAGGTTTGGATTTCTATCCACAAAGCATTCAATGGGAGGGACTCTGCTCCCGGCCGAGTAGTAAGAGCACCGAAGTCGGAGGGGATAAATCGCCTGACACCGGCTTGAATGCTAGCGTCAATCACTGTCTTCTGCGCACTAATACCGCTGGTGCCAATTGTAGACACCACGGCATGCTGGTCTTTCAAGGCTGCCACAAGGCTGTCGATAGAAGAATAGTCGACTTGCACGGTCTTGAACTTTGTATCGGGGTCTTCCTCTGGACTTGCGGTGCGACTCAAGACCGTAACGCGAAAGCCGGAATTGAGAAGCTGCTCGAGAATCGCAGATCCCAACCATCCTTTCTGTTTGAGCCAATCCAGTTAGATTATCGCAGAATGATTGAGTGAGTTGTGGAAGAGCTCACCCCCAAAAGCGCAACATTCGTGATGGCCTCCATTGCGGACGATCGAGAAAGCATTTGGTGATGCTGGTCCGGGATTTCACACAAGAGAAGAATATTCCGGGATATGGACCCTGGCAAAGCTTCAAAGTTTGGTAGAATGGGAGTAACAGAGATCTTTGTCGGACTCCCTAGCTGACTTTATAGGCGAGTCCACGTTGTTTGAACCGAAGGATTCCATGACTATCGGCTCAATGATAATATCTGCTTTGGGTAACTCGTTCGTGAGGGGCAAAAACGAGCAAATTAGATCTCGTTGTCAGGGGTCTAGTGTAGAGTCGGACACCATCGGAAGTCTACATGAAAGATGCTTGGGACGCTAGTCCGTATTTGGTAAGTCGGTCGTGAATTAGCGCGAGGCTCCCTGGGGATCGACACTTTGTACTGACCACCTTCATGACCACTGCCCATTGTGTATGCATTTATTATTGCGCACTGGACTATAATCTCTGACCACAGGGGGAAAATAGGGTATTTGCTCACCTGCCCGAGAACTTGTGGCCAGGTGTGGCAATGCTCCGGTTATAACAGCTTGGTTGACTTTCCTAGTCCCCATGACACTCAGTAGAGCCAGTCCAGCCTGTGGGAATTGCAGAACCCGGAGGATCAAAGTTAGTATTGCCTGAGTATCTGACTCTCACCCCACTTACCTCGGATAGTGCAACTTCCTCAGACCACGATGTAGCCAATGTGCTCGAGCTGGTCTAGAGTGTGGCGGCTATAGATCTCGGTCGGATCTTCTGTTCCGGGACCAGACGAAAGCAATCATTCGCAAGGCGCAACGTGAAGACGTGAATTTTCTGCGTCCCAATAATACCACCGCTTGTGGGAGCCCACTCGTGAAACCGACATTCCATGTGGATGAGCTCGCACAGAAAGTCTTTGCTGATAACTTCCCAGTCTTGGGGGAAGGATGCAGGAGCTGGATGGAAAGTCGGGCAGTCCAGCCCTCATCTAGTACGATCAGTCTTACATCCGTTGGCCTGGCCGCACTTGCTCTCATCCACAAAGATCCACACATGATGGATCTGGCACGAAGAAAATATCACATCGCTATCAAATCTTTGACTGCGGCCATTCGTCACCACGGTGCACCTGGAGTGGAACAGTCTATAGCTGCATGCTTCATTCTATCGATTTTCGAGGTGCGATTCATTTGATCCACGACATTTGATCCTTTCACTCACTGGCATTAAAGGTGTTAACATGCGACAAATCCTCCGTTTCTGACGCATGGCCAAAGCATATCATTGGGGCTGCTACATTCCTGGGATGTCTTTGTTCGGCAAATGAGATTTCGCGATCACCGGTATCTGAAGTTGTAGATATATGCTTCAATACTGTTAGTGGCTATCCCCATCGACATTGAATTCCCTTACTGATGACCCTTATTAGACGCTTGCTTGTCTAGTCAGCAACACACTAGTGCCTTCATTTCTGCTCGAATTATCGAATACGCCGGAACCTCCGGACACGCTGGAAGATGACCAAAGACCTTTGGCACTGGCAATGCATCTCTTCGCCATCATCGGCCGGTTGGTAAATGTTCACAACTCAGTGGATCCCAACATGCTCACGCCGGGCCAAACTATCAATTTTGTGATACACAGCACTCAAGCCCTCGAGGATTGGGCTGCCTCTCTCCCCTCTTCATGGAAACATGAGGAGAACAAGGACCGGGTACATGGCAGTCATGCAAACGTCTGGTTCGCTCGAATCTGGACCTACTATCGCTTGGGTCGCATACTCGCCAATCGAATAATTCTCAACCATCTTGATATCTTTTCATCCCCTGACCAATGTGACAGATTATGTGCCATCAGCTCAGACATGTCACGAGATATTTTCGACACATTTCCTTTTTTGTTTGAGTCAGAACGCACTTCTTCTGCTTCGATCCCGCTCTCAACCACCTTGTTTTTCATGACAAGTGTTTTACAATCACTATCAATGATCGCCGATAGAAATATCGTGTTCGAAGAATGGTCGGTTCCAGCGAGCAAAGCGCTAGGGGAGAGGTTCACCCTCGCCAGGGATATTGTGGCTCAAAATCTTCGCCAGAAATAGTGTGAATTCAACGACCTGCTGGAGGAGGGTCGGAGTGACTGAAAGCTTTACTTTGATATCATGGTCTCACCAGTTACTGGTACCTAGCATTGTCCCAGAGGATTCAATTGATAAATGTTGAATTTGTACCTAGTATGCTTTATCTAAAAGTGCTCAAAAGTCACAAATAATGCAAAAATCAAAATGCCAAATCCAAAAATGATATGTACAGCACGCCCAAATAACAGACTCTCAGAATTACCGACCAATATAACGCTTCTCAATCGGTCGCAATATGCAATATGTCGCTGAAGCAAATGCGAAGCCAAGCTCAAAGCCGACGTCGCCGCCAACTGCAGGGTCGCCAGCATGTCTAGCAATGGGCCCAGTCCACCATGTTTGACTCATACCCACGACCACACCGGCAACACCGAAGCAGAACGCCACAGAAGCGGCAATGCCCATAGGCAGCTTATGGGGCTTGTCATAATCGTCGGCACAGTAGCCTGCAAATCCACGTCGGAAAACGAAATGATCGGAAATGGCAATGCCGGAGTAAATGGCCAACCAGTAGGCGATGAGGTTCATGAAGTTCTCCAGAATCGTCTCGAAGTGGGAGTAGCCTGGAATTGCGATGGCGAGGGAGACACACGTGGCGCAGAAGGTCCAGATGAAACGTGGCACGCGCTGGGTGCGCTCTCCCAGCACTTGCAGGGTCAGGGAGACAGAGTAGATGTTAGGACAGTTGTTCGCAATGATGGACAAAGCGAGAATGACCAGACAGAACTTGCCGAAGCCACCGAGAGGCTCGAGCACGGCGGCGATCAAGCCACCGTTTTGAGAGGCGGCATAGCCCTCTGCGTATTTGTTGTGTACGCCATCGCCGATGGAGGTGGCAGACATCACGGCAATACCGAGGAATTGGGTGAAGATCAGCGGGACGATGAGACCGAGCCAGGCGGAGAAGAACACCAGACGGCGACTCTGGGTCTTGGGCTGGTATACAGTGTAATCGGCGGCATAGCTAGTCCAGCCAGTTGCGAATCCATAGACGGTTGATCCGAAGGAGAGGCAGGAGCCGAGCTCGGACATTCCGACACCCATGGGGATGTTGACGAAGTCACCTGAGTGGGCGAATGTGCCGAGCACAATCCAAAACACAATACAGGTCGGGATCCAACTCCAGTACTCGTACGCGTGGACGATTTTGTAGCCGGCGAAGGTAATGAACAGGGTGCAGAAGGAGATGATCAGGATACCGGCGTATCCTGGAACATCGCCATTAACGGCGTTGAGAAGCTGGGCGCCGACGATGGCGTTGGCAGCGGACCAACCAACACAAGCGATCACGTTGAGGACGGCGACTGTAGACATATTGATTAGTTTCCGCCACTTCGGTTCAGCATACCAAGCTTCAAAGGCAACTCACTGGCTCTCACAGCCCACCATCCAAACCAGAATCGCGATAGCACCATCTGGCGCAACCCAAACGCAGGACCGAAGCACGAGAAGAAGCACACGGTCATCACACCGAGGAGGTTGAAGAAGAGGCACACCAGGATGGCATCCAGGAAGCCCAGGTCAAAGGTGGATTTCCCCAGGACACCAATAGCAAAGGAACTGGAGACCATATTTGCGGCCAGCCACTAGGATTGGTCAGTGGGAGGCCATGAGGCCACGGCGATCACGCCAGGTATAGGAACACACCATGCTGCCAATGTTGAGATAAGAGGTATCGGTTCGCTCCGACTCTGGGACCCGTTCGACGCCTCGCTGTTCGATGTGGAATTTGCCTGCGAATCGCTGAATCTTCGCGTAGGTGGAATTACCATACTCGAAGCTCTCGCCCGGCACGGCATTGTCGCTGGAGCTGTCGTACTGGGCGTTGCTGCTGGATTCGGAGGCTCCAGCATTGTTCACGCGAGGCGCCTTTTCGAGGTCATCTTCCGCCCCACGGAATGCTTTTGTGAATTTGGGAAGCATTGTCGTGTTAGTCCTCACCAGCTAAGGAGAGGAAGGGAAGGGATATAAGAGGGAGGAGAGCAATAGAAGCTCAGCGAGATCCGTTATCAAGATGGAATGTGCACATCTTTTTTTCTTTTCCTACTCCACCGAGGGGAGGAGCTTCTAATATAGTGTCGCGAGAAATCTTCGCGCGTCGGGCCCCACACCGTGGCAAAGGTCTGCTCGCGTGCAAAATTCCCTTCCAGAAAAAGAAGCAAACGACAAGCCTTGGTGGCCCTCTCAGGGCTGACATTCACCAATGAGCATCGACACCGAGGGATTCTAGCTTATCAGAAACCAGAGGTTCCCGCATTCGCTTGCAACCGAGGAAGCTCATTGGTGGTGGTTGTGTGTGAAACGGTCTAGCGGTGGGGACTCAGTGGAGACAAGTGGAGCGTTCGGACCTCGTCGGAAGGGAGATAAGACCGTTCAGGGCTATCTACAGTAGGCATTAGGTACAGACTACAGTACTACTAGTACTCCGTATACTCCGTACTCCATACCAATATGAAACTACGGAGTATAAGGTTTATCTCCACACATGCTATCTGCTGAATCAAGCTTTGCAGACGGAGCTCGCCGACGCTGCAAAGCTTATGGCTATAGTATCTCGACTGTGCGGGGAAGTACTATGTGCGGTCCCCGTACTTCCTCCGATACTATACATTTGGCTCTGTTCGATGACCTCAGAGTCTGACTTGACAGTCATCGTGATATGGCAATTGACTGCGAAGCGCAGATAGGTAGCCTACGAGCCTCCTTGCAGCAAGTCGAACCGACGCATCTTCATCATGGAAGTGCCCCTGTGACCTCGGCATTGAGCATAGCTCATCCCGAGGTCGAGGCCAGACTCTACTATCTCGGATGCCGCTTTTACGAGACGCTCGGAGGCAATTTGGGCAATCGACACTCTAAAGTCGGGCCCTGTGCCCGATTGAGATTCTACCCCTATCCAACGGACTAGACGCACTAGTGCCGGTTTGCTAGATCAGAATACTAATCATGCGATAAAACACCCTTGACATCATCTATTCTGTACCCTGTGCTCATTATGTCAAGTGAATTGGTATCCGTCGGAGGCTTATCGATCAAGGCAACGGGGGCGGAAGAGAAAATTATCTTGACGTTCATTCTTGACTTGCCATACATGGATCTACGATGCTTGAGAGGAATAAGCCATCAGAGGCATTTACCCATGTCACGGGTTGACCAGAGCAGAGACCAAACTCAAAAACCTATCACTTCAGACAAATACATTTACTGCACTGACGCAAATACTTCCACAGTGGAATTCAGATTGGATGGTGTAGACTATGCGTTGTCCAGGTGGGCGCCGGGTGAAATGTGATTGGTGCTTAACAGTGCTGGAGGACAACATATGTATTACCCAGGTAAGAGTTAGACCGAACGTTGGAAGGTAACGCATTGGAGCTAGCCTGGTGCCGTAAATCACAAGTTCACATCTACTCTTGGGCTCGGACTACGAATTATATGGCCACGCCAGTGGGTAGAGAGCGAGATTGAACGAACAATTGCTTCCAAGATGCTTCGGTTTGAGCCATGGATTCTTTGAAGACTACAAGTAAACATTCTATACTAAATGAATGGACTTAATAACATATACTAGGCGTGCTTTCTCTTTCCAATCGCATGAGAGTGGATGAATGTCAAAGCCCCGGGGCCAGAGGGCTGTGACTTCAAAGGTCCATTAGCCCGAAGTATACTATTCCAACCTTGAAAGTTTCTCATGAACACAATAAATGGAGAGCTCAAACATAGTACTTCATGAATCTGAATAGCCCTGTCCTCTACCACATGTAGTATAGTAACCTTGAGTAGTCTTGAGCGTTGAAAACATTCTACAATGCCCAATCACAGGCCCTGTACATTGAAACTTCCGTGCATAGTTTCACGCAACAAAAGCGGCAAGAAATGAATACTAGAGCGGAAAAGAGGAAAAAACAGACCAAAGGGTCCATCCAGAGGAACCCTGCCTGGGAAGTGCACAGCATATCGGCACCTAGATGGGTTTGTCATACCATTTCGTTTATTAGTTTACAATCAGACTCACAGATAGCTCCCTGGAAAGCTCAATCTAGGAGTTGCGGAGATCACCGTTCTAGGTTTCATTGGTGCGTTGCGTGCGGGCCAGATGTGTTGACAGACCCGATCACACCTGGCAGTAACCAGCATTGATTCTCGAGCCCGTGATTCGAAATCAACTGATGTCTCTCAGCTATTCTCATGTCCAAGATTTTGAGCACGAGTCTACTATCTTGTCCTACTGGGTTAGTGTAGAACGGTCGTTACTGTGGAGCTGCACTAGACCGGCTCCCAGTCATTGAAGAACGATTGGACTACAAAGCAATATGGAGCGCTGCATCCAAGTTACAACTCGTCATCGAGCTCAGAGTCTTGGATCATCGAGCGTGCATTGGCATCATCTGCGATTTGGATCGATACTCCCCTCACGGGCCCTACCTATTTCAACCGAGCTTAGGCTACGATGCCTACATCTGTCCTTCACTTCCCCAGAAACTCAATCCCCGCATTTCTTTTGCCACGTTGAGCATAAACCCCCTCTATCCTTCTGTTTTATGAGCGTGGTCTCACTTATGACGACATGCTCGTTTTTCGCTACATCACCCAACAGAATTTCACGTTGCGAGAAGCGTACCTGGTCATTGGCGAAGAATGACACGTATTCACCGTGACATCTGAGCAGCTTTGACCTAGGTAACCATGGCCAAGAAGACAGGTAAATGTAGGTGGTAGACCAAACATGTATATTATCTAAATATTGACAAATAAGAGACAAAGCCCTATCCCAGTCGGAGAGTAAAGCCAGCTCCTGCCTCGCCCGCATCTCCACCAGGAGCGCCCCCAAAGACGCCCGCAAAGTCCAGCTCGGGCGCTTCCTGGCCCCGCTTGGGAGCTTCAGGTGTATGGTGTCGTCTGCGCTTCTCCATGCCAGCCTTGGAGGGGAAAGTAGGGAACATCTCACGCGGCTTTGGGCGTGGGTCCTCTCGGAAGTAAGGATGCTCCAGACATTGCTTCGCCGTCGGCCGGGATGCAGGGTTCAATGCCAGGAGTTCTGATAGAAGGCCTAACCCGGCGTTGGTGAGATAGGGGAATTTTGAGCGGGGAAGGAGAGGGATATTTCCTGTGGATGCTGATGCTGAGGATGATGGGATCTTAAGGGATTTGGCGTTTGGCAGTGACCTGAAGCCAGGCCACGTCTGTGAGGTTGGTGGGCCGGTCAAGGCAAAGATCTTGGACACTTGGTCGACTTCGTTCTTGCCCTGGAGGAGAGGCTCTTTCGTGAGAAGCTCGCCGAAAATACATCCAATGCTCCACATGTCGATCTCCGTCCCGTATTTGTCTGCGCCCAAGAGCAGCTCTGGGGATCGGTACCAGAGTGTTACCACGAGCTGGGTTAGCTTTGGCGGCGGATCGCCATAGTAGCGGGCCATGCCAAAGTCGGCGATTTTGAGTTCACCGCGGTTGTTCATCAAGAGATTCGAAGTTTTGAGATCGCGATGCATGATCCACTGTGAGTGGAGGAATTCGAGCCCGCCGACTACCTGCAGAAGGACAGTCTTGATCTCGGACGGAAGGAAAGGCTCGCGCATTTCATCTAGAAGGGCTTTGAGGTCATGTTCGTGGAAATCCATCACTAGGTATACGCTGTGACAACCAATCCATTAGCCGATGATACCTCGATTGTTGATTTGTGAATATACTCACTCGTCCATCTTGTTGCCCATAACTATCTCTCGCAGATAAACAACATTCTGGTGTCGGGCCTCCAAGAGGGTTTGGATCTCCCGCAACCCAGTCACTGGGAACCCGTCCGGCGAGTTCTCCAGCTTCAGCTTCTTCAGGGCAACAACCTCCCCCGTGGAGATATCTTTCGCGCGCGACACCCATCCATACGAGCCCTCCTCAATATGGTTCAAGCGTTCGAAGTTATCCACATGCCTGCAAGGCCCCCATTCGCCGATCGGGAAGCGAAGCAAAGAAGGCTGCACTTTCTCTTGGGCATCGATGGCTACCGCGGCATTCGACGAGGTCGCGTCAGTTGAGAGCCTGCGTCGCTTTGTCGGGGGTCCTGAGTCGCCATTGGGGGTTTGCGTGTTGTTTGCATCCTGTCGAGCTTGCTGGGCCTTGGCTTCTTCGAGTTGTCGCTGCTTCTCCGCTTTGGCGCGTCGTTTTTGTTCTTTTTCGCGCTTTTGTTGCGCGATTATTGCCTCTGTTTCCGGGTCGTCATCGGCCCATCTGGATTTGGAAGACATTTTCCGCGCGGGCGTTGGGGGTGAGGGTGGGAATTGGAGAATGACGTGCGGATCAAAAGATGCCGAGTTCCCTCGCCGATCTGCGTACGGACCGTCTTAGGTGCCACCGCGACAGGAGATTTTGCCAGTCCAAGGCAGTACGGTAGTTCACTATCTTCAATGTCAATCGATTGTGTATATATGAATTAAAGCACTGAGAAGAAAATAGAACATCAATAATTCTGGTGTAATCGGAATTTGGAGACTCGCTGCGGAATTAGCAAGACATGCTCCGTATAAACCCAGCATGTTGCTAGACCTTACTTCGCTTGAATTTGGCTACAATATCTCTTTGACCTGGATTCATGTGGCGGAGATAAATAAGACCGAGGCAAAATAAGATCTGTTTCCCTACATAAAGGAGTGAATTTCGAACCCAAACGTACGATATCAACCTTGAAACAGACTGTATAGTCCAGTGACTGAACAGGAAAGCGGAATGTCCCTAACGTCGCACTGGACGCTAAAAGCGTCCGTCCACCTTGCGATTTGAAATCCGAATTAGGCCCCGCTCTAGAATTGTACTTCATGTAGCGCATCTTCCTTATAATTAACATTCTCATTGAATCCTTGTACCTAAATCCCTCCAATTCTCACTCGGTCGTTCGATAATCACCCATATCCCCCAGCCGCCGGATCGACCTCTAATCCCCCACCATGATTGAACCATTCGAGGTTAGCATACCGAAGTGGCGCAACGCATAGCTCCTCAATACTGACGAACCAACCTCAATTAGCTGACCTTCTCGGTCCCAATGCACTGCGACGGCTGCTACAAATCCGTATCTGCAGCCGTGAATGCCATCGGGGGTAATGCGTCGCCCCAAACCACCCCCGCGCCAGCCGAACTGACCCCGCGACAGGAATCGAAGAAACCAGCGGAAACCTCAAAGATCAGACCGTGTGGGTGAAAGGCGTCGCTCCCCCAAGCGCGATTGTAACGGCAATCGAGAATACCGGACGAGATGCTATTCTCCGTGGCAGTGGCTCTACCGATAGTACGGAATCCCCGGATCCTATACAGGGCGTATCTATGCCTGTGGACTGACATATCCCTTAGGCTCTGCTGTTTGCATTCTCGAAACACACGCTATCAATGTCTCAAATAAAGTCCGCGGTCTGGCTCGCATGGTCCAGGTCGCTCCGAAGATGACTCTCGTTGATCTGACTATTAATGGCCTTGCTCCTGGTCAGTACTCGGCTACGGTGCGACAGACGGGTGACATCTCACGCGGTGCTGAATCTACCGGTGGTATCTGGGAGGCAATCAAAGAGAAGCTTGGTGGCGCCAATGCCAGTCCAGCGGAGACGACGCGGGGAATATTTGGCCAGGTTAATGTCGACGAGAAGGGTCGTGGCAGTGTGTTCATGGATCAACCTGTGGCGATCTGGGAGTTGATTGGACGCAGCATGGTCTTGTCAAAGAGCATTGAAGGTCCCTTCCAGCGCCAAGACGAGAATACTCTCGTCGGTGTTATTGCCCGCAGTGCGGGCGTGTGGGACAATGATAAGATGGTTTGCTCGTGCTCGGGTAAGAATGTCTGGCAGGAACGCCAGGAGCAGGTTGTCAATGGCATGGCTTGATTGAGCTTTGATTGGGGATACTAGCATGGTGTTGGTGGTTGGTGGTACGATGATTTGCCTTGGACGCATAGCAGCGAGATTTCAATACCCCGTGATACTTTGGCTAACGTCAAATACGAAGAACCGAGATATACATTCTGCAGATACGATTATGAGAAGAATCTTCGCGATTTCGAACACATTGCATTCACCAAGCAAGTACAACCTGACATGAAAAATGACAGTGGTGGTCAGATCCAACTGTGCCAACCTTGGAAAAGCACCATCGAGTGACAGAGCAAGCTCTCGGTGCTACATCTGTATCAATATAATTTGGAAACAAGGCCGTGAATCACAAGAAAGCCGAAGAGCTAGCTGGTGATAATAATACAATATCTCAAAAAGCAAATTTGCCAGGCTCGAGCGCACCCGAAATGAACTGGTCAAAGGCCATGCGCAACTTGAAAGCATCAATGAACTGAAGTCCAACTACTGCCTCCAGTCAATGAGATTATGTGGGCGGCATCCAGCTTCCCGGATAAAACTCGTCGTCGGTAAAGTCATCTTCGAAGTCTGCTTGATTCCCAACATGCCCTTCAGTGAAAGGCCGAGGTGGAAGGATAACGCGATGGACTTGATCTGGGTTATTCCTGGCTCTTGCCATGTGGTCGTTCATGTCCTCTTCATTCCAGGTAGGATATACTGATTTGACCGTATGGTCTCCCCAGTATGGGTACTGGCTGCTCGTTTTGCCATCTACAAGAAAGAACTCATTTCGATCAATCGTTGGGCTCCCAAAATAAACGTCAGAGTCCGTCGGGGACCATGGATTACTTGACATTGAAGTTCGTGAGGTGACTTCTGTTGATGTATACTCCGGCGATGTGGAGTTTTCTGGCGAAAAAAGTGGGTTATCGCACTCATTGCTGGGATACCCAAAATTGCAAGGCCTTCGAGGTGCGAAGGAATGACGCTGTCCCAAATGATCTCTGGGAACAGACGAAAATGTGCCATAACTGGACCGATGATCCTGCCTCTGAGGCACCTTGAGGTGCTGTCAGTCAGGTACAGGATCACAAGGTTTGTGTCACAAGTATTGATGCCCAGGGACTTACAGGAAGCAAAGGCACGTTAGCCCCTGGAAAGTGGGCAGCGTCTAGCAAGGGCTCGTATGTGGTTGACCTTGCAGAGCTGGCTCGTTCTTCGGGACATTGAGCCTCCACTTCAGAACTCAAAAGAACGTGGATTCTCGACGACCGTGCGTCCTCTAAGTCCAAATCGCTGCCCCGGTCAGCGTGACAGGAGTCTGAGGAATCCAGGCTGGTTGCATCGAAAGCTTGATCCCTGCGTGTACTGTCTTCAGACTCTTGGTGAGGAGGTGGATTGGAGGACTGGCCGCCTTCAAGGGCAACACAGCCAGGCTGCTCGTCTGCTTGGGGAATGTCTGGCATATCCTCTCCAGGGGCGCTTGCCCACTGATTCAAAATCTCTTGATAGATTCCCGGAAAAGCGAACAAACATTCTGCAGAAGTTTGTGATATTTCATCCGCATCTTTGCTTGCAGTTTCATCGGGCAACGCAGGAGAGCTACGATCCTCGGATTCCCGGCGTTGGTCTTGATTCAAGACGTGTTTGGCATCTGACTCCAGGCTAACTTGACTTTTGGGGTCAGCATCTGCAATGGAACACATTGGTTGTGAAGCTTCTTTGGCTTGCTCTTCTTTGCTACTGCCTCGAGAAATTTCAGGTCCAATGTGTATTCGAGGAGCGGGTGATGAAAGACGTGACGGTGATCCCAAATTGTGCTGATTGATGGATCCACTGCTCGCACGAGACGTCCGAACATCTGTTTGAAGGCGTCCTGTGTTAGCTTTTTGTTCCCCGGAGAGCATCGAAAGAGTGTGTCCATGGGTTTGAGCAGAAACTGCCATACCATCGTACTCGGAGATAACTGCACTCGATGCCAAAGGCGATCTACCCTTGTGCGAGACGGATGAATGTGTACCAGAGCTTTCCAGTGCCCCGTTCGCCAAAGCCTCCACTGCCGACGGGGCACTAGTCCCCCGAGGCGTGTCGCTTTGAAGGGAGGACGGGCCACTCATTCGATGCATCTCGAAGCCGAATTCCAGATCCTCTTGCGTACTCGAGGTATATGCCTCCGAAGAACCATGCTGTCTTTGTCTCTCGCGCCTGAGAGCAACAGGGTTAACGAAACTTCGCAATCCGATGTCCGCTTCAAAATCATCGTCCACAGTCGAGTGGCGACGGACCCCCGCCCTCAAAGCCAATAGTCCTGATCTTGCTCGGTGAAGTGAGCGTCGTGAGATACTTTGAACCCAGTTCGCTTGGCGATGTGGCGGGGAGTCTGTGGAGGAGGTCGACGATTCCTGCCGCCGCCATGGTAACATTGATGCCTCCGGGTTATGACGAGGGTCTCGAGGGTTAAACACTGGATAATTTGCTTTCTCTTCGCATGTTGGCTCCTCTGGATCTGGAATGCAGCTTTTCTTTGAATTAGCCTAGGGTCCGTCGTGCGGGATGCACATGGTACCTAGTCCTCGTCTTGTCTTGATGGAAGAGCAGAGACAGGGGAAATGGTCGACGTGTGCTCTCCGTAGAATTCATGTTTGATAGTGATTCGATGAGTGCAGAAACAACGTGCATTTTCTCGATGGCAAGTGGGCGTATGCTCTTTCCTCCCAACACTTCCACCCATTACTCGACTGGCAAGTACATCGAACACAAACATCGACTAACATGTTCATGGATATTCATGGATGATTCTGACAGTCGTGAACGGAGGCAGAGCATACTTCCCATAGCCCTGGAGCCCTCCAGGGCTGACATCTGACATCTACATCTATCATCCATGGGCGCGAACCCCTGAAAGCATTTTCGACACATTCCAAATCAACTAGAACAGATACAATAGATATTGGGATTGGGGTAAAATAACCACAAAAGAGCAGACTTCATGCAGTTTGGAGGATGGTTAACACTCTGTACTGTGATTGATAGGGCAGCTCTGAGCTAATCTCCGATCCCCGAGCTTCTTCGCCCCCTTCGGCGCTTCCCTCCTCTCACTTCCTTTGCACCGTCACATCTGAGCCACTCCAGCCTAATTCACCATGGCCAACACAAAATCTATCTCATTTGATGATATCATCAAGGCTGGTACGACACCGCGTCCCAACCTCCGACCTCAACTCTAATTCCTTCCAGATCGCCAGAAGAAAAAGCAAGAGGAACTCGCAAACCAACTCCTCGGAAAGAACCGCAGGTCAAGCGCTCCCGGATCCGGCTCCGGTGCCAATAGAAAAGATACCAAATCACAGACAGCGAAGCCGGGAAGCTTAGCAAGCCGGATCGGAGTGGCCAAGGTATGAAAAGTCTCGCGATTGGAGATGCGACTGCCATTGGGAACTTTTTCTAATCATTGGTTTTATCCTGTAGCGCACTTCATCTGCGACCGGAAAGGCTAGCAACACACCGTCGCCATCGAATGTCCGATCGCGTGGAAAGGCAACCAAGGATCGCGTGAACGCGGACCAGGTCCAGAGAGCCTTCAACTCGAACGGAAACCTGAACCAAACTCGTGGCGATGCCCAATACGCCAATAATCGCAACAACACTTTTTCTATCAAGGGCGCGTCGGGTCCGTTCGTCGTGATTGGTACGAACTTTGCGCCTGGGACCACCGCGGCGGATATCCAGTCTGCATTTGAGCCCACCACAGGCCCAATTCTCAGCTGCCGAATTGTCGCCAATAGTCCCGCCATTGTTGCAGAAATCACCTTCACAGATAAATCAACGGCCGAGTTGGCCGTGGCCAATTTCCACAACCAGCGTGTGAGTGCTGTCGAGATCTTACCGTGGGGATAGATGAAGGCTGACAAGTACACTCCAGGCGGATGGAAGAATTCTCAAAATGAACCTCAAGTCAAACAGTACTCCCAAAGCTGCTCCCGCCGACCAGAATCATTTCGCTGCGCTGCGCGCTCAAGCTGATCGCGATCGAGTCCGGGCCCGCCGTGGCCAAGGCCAGCAACCCGACTTGCTGGCGCCACAAAACAACTCTCAATCCGGCCTTTATAGCGATGAAATGATGGTCGATGCGCCAGCGGAGAACACTCAGAAGAAAAACAACCAGCGAAGAGGGCGTCGTTGACCTCGTGCGAGTGACAGTTAGTGGTGAACGGGGTTTCTGGGGTGATAAGTTTTCGCGGCGCATTAGGTCCAAAGAGAATCATGCTCCGTCCGAACTATGATGAATTGTATGATATCGAGCAAGTGGGTTATGGACATTCTTTCGCATCTCAATCGGAGCAACTTTTACTACAACACATAGCGACTAAAAGAGTCAAAGTATTATTATTTATTCTTCTCAATTTCGAACCATCCACACAGTACTTTGAGCAAGGTAAAGCCGCAGCTGTGTGCCACTTCGATGCCTCTGCAGCCTGCGGATTTATCGTCCGAGTCGTGCAAACCTTCGCTTTCAAATGCACCAGACTTTTCTAAAGGCCGTCACTAATTCCTTTGACACCTCCAGTAACCGCGTTACCTAGGTAGCAGGCGACTCGTTGGTATTAAAACAATGCAATTGATGTTCAAAGCCGCTGGAGAGCCAACTTGGCCTGCTTCCTATGGAGGTCAACATACAATTAGGGACCTCAGCGATCCTGAAGAACTCCGAACTTCAAAGTACACACAATGAGCTCCTCTCGAGGTCGGCGTGCTTCTCACTCTCCTCGAGTTTTATTTGAGCATATGGAGTGCACATCTCACCTGGGCACTATCTCAGTCTGATTTCAAACGTTGAACCTTTTCAAACGCCCTCCAAATCTCGGTGAAGCTTTGCTTCACGTAGTCTGGATGTTGTTAGTGGAAATAACATATTAAATTGGGACATACTCACAGCAACCAACCGCAAGCCAGATAAAGTTGAAAAAGACGTAGTAAAACCAGAAATAATACCCCTCAGGTCGGCAGTAAGAGATGTCCAGTAAGCTTGTGGCATAGTAAAGCACATCGCCGTAGACCTGGCCCAAAGAGACAGTAATCTGCAGGCCATGTCGCATAGGGTGCTGTACCAAGATGCAATAGGCAATGAGAAATGCCAATGGTCCCCAGCAAAACTAGGTCACATTTATTAGACGGTGGCTCATCAAATAGCGTCAAGATTCTGTACATACCGCTGTCACGGCCTCCATGCTAATCAAGAATGGATCAGAGGTAAGGTACCGCGAGTCAGACAAGGAGTATTCCTTCCATAGTTGATCAAATAGACCTTGGCGACCAGCTAATGTAGCATGGTAAATGACGAAATGGGCTTCGAAAAATAAGTGGATGAATCCAGCTAATCTTGTATCAGTAATGTGAGCTGTTAAGATCATTGGGAAAAGAGACAAACTCAGGCACATCCAAACAAACGCAATTTGATCCGAGAGCTTGTAGGCCGGTCGAAGACGAGTGATGAGGCTGTAGGATCCCACGATGACGGCTGCCCACAAGACACCAAATCGCAGGATTAATGGAAATACAGGGCTCACATTAGCAGTGAAGTGAGGTAGCTCAATTGATTGAGGATAGTAGTCGTGAGTAGCCATGACTGGATCGTGTATAGTATGTAGATCTAGTAGCACAAGCAGAACCAGGAGGAAACGGAGATTATAAATCCGAGGAATCTGAGAGGCTGAGCAGTGCTGTCAAGAACATCCGGATCAGACCACTGTGCTAATTGGGAAAAGATTAGGGGTCTGTTCCTGCAGATTAGCTCGGCCCCGGGGTGAGATCTGTTGTAGTCTACTCCGTACTTCGTAGGCTTTACAGTACTAGCGTATTAGATCGCATAGAAAGTGCCACACTCGGATATTTTTCTTTTTCAGTTCACAGATGTTGATACTCTATACTGGCTTTTTCTCTGTATAGATCTATTGCTACAAAATTTCAACGCATAGCTTGAAGAACCAGCGAGAAAGCAAAATATACTATTCGGGGTCCGCGGACCCCGAAGCGGCTAAGTGGTGCGTCGATCACAGCGGATAAACGTAGGCTCGGCGCCCGCGGGACGCGAAATGCTCTGACCAATGACGATGTTACCCCTGTCAAGCTTGTCCCCGAGCTTTGAGCTCCTTGCACTGTTTACATTCGTCAATTGCAGTCCAGGTGTCTGCAGTTCGCCAAGATGGCCTCCAATGTCAATCTCACCAGTGATATTGATTTTATAGAAACTCCCAAGGCTGAGCCCTCCAAGTTTGCAACAACTGAGGATTGTGGGATCCCCACCACAAACGTCAGTCTCGTGTCCTTTGCCCGATTTAACAAATTGCTGAATATCTCCAGTCACCAGCTATCCACAATGCCCCGCTGCCCGCAGAAGGAGCTGGCAACGAGAGCTTCTCCAACCGCTTGCTGTTCGGTGCCCTGGTGGGAGTCCCTACACTCCTTGCATGGGGAGTGGGCGGTGGTTTCAAGACCACTGTCTTCTTTGGTATCATCACCCTTGTGCCAGTCCTGATTGCTTTCTGGGCTTGGAAATCGCACTCGAGCCCCCGCACGAACGAGAAGGCCAAGCTGCCCGGTCGGCCCGTTGAGCACTACATCACATTCAAGAACGAGGCGGATCGCGCCAAATGGCACGGAAAGAACCGCATCCCGATGCAGACTTTCTGTGAAATGTACCTCGACGGCACCGTTGACTTCAATGGTGACTGTCTCGACGTGATGGAATACCGACACGACTGGGCTCACTTTGGCTTCACCTGGGATCTCTTCAAGTTCATCTTCTTGACTTTTGCTAGAGATGTTCTGTTCCACACCAAGGATCAGGATGAGGAACAGATCCGCCCGAACTACGACCGCGGCAACGATCACTACGCCTGGTTCCTCGGCCCCCGCATGATCTACACTTCCGGTGTCATTTCTGACATCGAGCGAGAGGAAACCCTCGAAGAGATGCAGGATAACAAGATGGCCATTGTCTGCGAGAAGCTCGCCCTCAAGGAAGGCGAGACCATGTTGGATATTGGTTGTGGATGGGGAACTCTGGCCAGATTCGCCAGTCTCAACTACGGAGCAAACGTCACCGGTCTCACTATCGCGAAGCACCAGACAGCTTGGGGAAATGATGCACTCCGAAATGCTGGTGTCCCAGAGTCCCAGAGCCGTATCCTGTGTATGGACTACCGCGATATCCCTCGTACCAAGTACAACAAGATCACGCAACTGGAAATGGGCGAACACGTTGGTATCAAGAAATTGACTGGCTTCTTCCGTCAGTGCTATGACATGCTCGAGGATGACGGTTCCATGTATGTCCAGCTCTCCGGTCTCCGACAGGCATGGCAATACGAGGACTTCATCTGGGGACTTTACCTGAACAAGTACATCTTCCGTGGGGCGGATGCCTCTACTCCTCTTTGGAACTACGTGAGATCCTTGGAACGGGCCGGCTTCGAAATCAAGGGGTAAGTCTCCGAAACATGTACCACCTGGACGCGACTGACCTCAAAACAACAGTGTCGATACCGTCGGAGTCCACTACTCTGGAACTCTCTGGAGATGGTACCGTAACTGGCTTGGCAACCTCGACGCAATCAACGCCAAGTATGGCCAGAGGTGGTACCGCGTAAGTCCCATTGCCATTAATTTTTTGATCTACGTTTTTCTAACATCTGATAGATTTGGGAGCTTTTCCTTGCCTGGTCTGTCATCGCCTCCCGCCAAGGCAGTGCAACATGTTTCCAGATTCTTGTTGTCAAGAACTTGAACGCGACCCACCGTGTCGATGGGATTGCTTCTCAGTTTGGACTTTCCGCCGCCCTTGAGGCGAGCAAGAAAGCAGGAAAGTCCAAGCTGCAAGCCGCATGAATTGTTTGTGATGAATGACGATCTCACTTTTCACTTGTAAACATGCCTCCGGTGTGAATACACCTACATTTTGAGATCTAAAGGCCTGCCTGCCAGGTTAGAATGAAAAATCTCGGAACTGAAGATCTTGTGACGATCTCGCCTCCGAGGTTTGAAAAGCAAGTTATGAACGAGAATGATTATTTTTAAACAAAATGACAAAGCTCAAGGAATATAAAGTTTACGATTCAAAGGCGAATGAAATTTAGAATTAGTAGAAATCAATATTCACATGAACTATCCTCAGTATTCTATAGATTGATATTACCCAAGTGAATACCTAGGTACCGGCACCATTTATCCCTGCAAACAAGATTCCAAGGTTATTCAAATGAAACTCGATGCCTACCTATGTAGGTATTTAACAACTCACTTCCTAAACGCCTATTTGATCAGTGAAAATTTCCAGGTTTTACTTCCTGGGGTCAACCTTGGAACCTTGGGGGACAGCACCTGCCGCGTAAGCGGGTGATTGCCCAGCTTGTTCTACGTCCACGGGTAACTTCCAAGCTCTATGATTTGTACGATCCCCAGGCTTCACTTTGTCAATAATATCACTTATTATGAGTGCCCAAGTGAAACCCCATAATATCCGAGGGCTGATCTATGAATGCTTGCCTTGCACTTCAGCCCTGGAGCTATTTCTACTTGGGTATGTGGCCGAATTCATTTCTTCATCTACGTCCATTCTAACGAAGCTACAGATCCGTGGGCGTAAGTCGGAACCTCGGGATGACTGGCGATTTACGGCATATCATTCCGAAATGCGACCCGAAGTTCCAACCTCTGCAAGAACGAAAGACACACTTGTTAAAGGGAAGCCCAGTCTCTGGGCATCAGAGACAGAACCGGTCTCTCCGGACGCTACCCCTCACCCGGCGAAGGCGCGCATACCGCATCGGACAACACAAGCCTGTGTATGTATACCGGTTGATTACAGCAGGAAAGTTCGAAGAAGAGCTTTTAAAAAAGTGCTCTTCAAAACAGGCCTAGCCACCCATGTGGTGGACAAAAGGACGGTCCAAAGAATGGGCGCCAAAGTACCTCATCTTACTTGAGCTATGGGGTAGGGTGGGATTCCTTGGAGATCCTTCTCGGGCTCACATTCACACCAAATTTGATGTGGAGCTCAGTGGCACAGTATGATCAAGCGTGCAGAGGAGAATCAGCTAGCATGGATTCATTTCGAAGAGGTTGCTAATGCTGCCATATTGCCGACCTCAGCTTGTGTTGTACTTACCAACCTGGACACTGAAGCCCAACAACTGGAAGAAGATCATGAAAGAGAATACACAGAGCGAAAAGCAGGATTCGAGCGGCAGGTCACAGCTCCGCGAGCACGGAAAAGTTATCATAAATGATGATTTATGATGGTTGTCAAACTATTGGTTTTATGTACCTAGTATGATTGAATGACTTCCTTCACAATCTTCCAAGGTTGTTATGACCTAAGTAAGACCTCCATGCTTTCTAGTTTTAGAAGGCTCTCAAAGCAACCTCAAATCAGTAGTGCTGATTCTGACCTTCAGGATACACCAAGAGTCAAAGTCATATGGATAGATCATACAAGTGATTGACAAGCAAGATGAATCAACCTTCCAATGTTGGAATATACCTACATGGTACTTGGCACATAAAAGACCTCATTGAAGATTTGATATGCAGAGAATAGCTATATCTAGTTCAATGATTATTTGAATCTTGATAAAGTAATTTCTCGTAGTTGACCCTGCAGTTCCAAAGTACAGGGAGTTAGGGCTTCCATTTTGGCCGATGGGCTGTTCCATTTTTGGACTAGCGGACAACATTTAGGATAAGATAAGGTCACGTGAACCGGAGGTTTTGCGGAGAGATTCAGAGAAACACCAACTCGACCTGGTCTCATTGAGCCTTTGAATGGGCTTCAGCAACCTTCTGTCATATCACTGAAGCCACAGCGTTGCTATTGAAGTCGGTATCTGGCTAGGTCTATAAAAGCCAACACGCAGAGTCTTACCAAAGTTGACCGAATATGAACCCTACGACAAGGCGCGTTGCGTCGCATCTTCTCCGAAGACCTCGCCTTACAACTATCCCAAGATGCACAAAAAGATGGAACTCGGCATTTCAGCAGAGGGAGTGGTCGACACCACTAGCCAAGCAATTGGCTAGTGTAATGAAGGTGACTAAACGCCAACACATTCTAGCTTCAGCGCAAGCATGCTGATTTAATACCTCGTTAAGGTTACTGGCCCTGTTCCAATCGCGGCTTTCATGCGCCAGGTTTTAACCTCTCCCGATGGCGGCTACTACACAACTCGAGGCGAAGGTGGAGGCGTATTTGGAAAGAATGGCGATTTCGTCACGTCGCCCGAGATCTCTCAGGTCTTCGGCGAGCTGATTGGTATATGGACTGTGGCAGAGTGGATGGCGCAGGGGCGCACAAGGAGCGGAGTTCAATTGATGGAGGTTGGTCCCGGAAAGGGAACATTGATGGACGATATGCTGCGGGTGAGTAGATCTCAAATAACTGCTCCGCTAAAAAGCAACTGTGCTGACTGGTTGCGCAGACATTCCGCAATTTCAAGAGCTTCTCCTCGAGCGTGGAGGCTATTTATCTTGTCGAAGCTAGCGGGACGCTCCGGGAAGTGCAGAAACGTCTGCTCTGCGGCGAGGAGGCCGCGATGGAAGAGACTGATATCGGCCACCGCAGTAAATGCAAGTACTTCGATGTGCCCATTGTGTGGGTTGAAGATATTCGTCTTCTGCCGCAAGGTAAGCTAATCAGTTACAACTAAGCTATTGCGACAAAAGCTGACCAGAGACATTGGCACCTTGAAGAGGAGGGAAAGACGCCGTTCATCTTCGCACATGAATTCTTCGATGCACTTCCAATCCATGCATTCGAGTCTGTCCCACCAGCTCCGGAAAACCAGCAGACAGATGAGCCGCGAAAGATCATGACTCCAACTGGCCCGGCAGAACTGCACAATCCACCCAAGGCCGCGAACACACCACAATGGCGCGAGCTCATGGTGACATTAAACCCAAAGGCCGTCGAGGAAAATATCGCAGGAGAGCCTGAGTTCCAATTAACGAAAGCCAAGGCCTCCACCCCTTCGTCACTGGTGATCCCGGAGATTTCCCAGCGTTACCGAGCGCTCAAGTCGCAGGCAGGTTCGACCATTGAAATCAGTCCAGAGAGCCGGATCTATGCTGCAGACTTCGCACGCCGCATTGGTGGCGGGGCCTCTACCGCGAATGCTTTGAAAAAGAATCCTGCTTCTAACACTGTTGCCCCATCCAACAAGAAAACACCCTCTGGAGCAGCTCTTATCATGGACTACGGAACCTTGTCAACCATTCCCATCAACTCGCTTCGAGGAATCAAGAGCCACGAGAAGGTGGCGCCACTCTCAGAGCCAGGACGGGTGGATGTTAGTGCAGATGTCGATTTCACATCGCTGGCCGAAGCAGCCATTGAAGGTAGTGATGGCGTTGAGGTCCACGGTCCTGTTGAGCAGGGCGATTTCCTCGGTGCTATGGGAATTGAAGAGCGTATGCGCCAACTTCTTCGTAAGGTGCCAGACGAGGAGCACAGAAAGACGCTAGAGACCGGCTGGAAGCGTCTTGTGGAGAAGCATGCCGGGTCTATGGGTCAAATTTACAAGGTCATGGCAATTTTGCCTGAGAATGGTGGCAAGCGACGGCCTGTTGGATTCGGAGGGGGCATCTCCATGTAGAGAGGTGCGTCCTTCAAAACTGCCGTTGTAATAGACTGGCCGCCTGCTTTTGTACATTATTCGAATCGAGATTATTGCATTACAGATGAGCGATATCGTACTGAAACATATGCCTACCAAACATCTTGAAGAAATGTACGTAAATGAGCCCGTCAATGTGACTCCAGATGGTATTTTTGGTTTACCTAAAGGTTCATAAAATGGCGTAAAACGCAAGAGGATGCAAAAATTAACTCAACGGCCCTTAGCCTCACACCAGCTTAATATTCCTCCCAGATATCAGCGGCATATGACTCGGTCAGCTTGGCATCATTGCCATATTTCTGCTGCCACTCCACGAACCCACCATCGAGCACAAACACCTGCTGGGGCTCGTCCTGGCCGAAGGCACTTTCACGCTCACGAGCATAGCGAAGAGCCGCAGACGGACCCCGCTGCTGGCTGAGTGCGCAGTGGAACACAACCATTTTCTTATCTTTGAGGGTCCGAATGAGCTCGGGCATGCGCACATCTAGGGTCGAGGTAGGAACCCAAGTTGATCCGCGAATGTGACCCCCGACATGGTCTACTTGAAGTTTAGATCGTGATCATGGATCCATTAGATATAGTGATTTCTTACCGGAGTCTCGGACATCAATAATAGCTAGGTTGGCTGGCTCGTCGGTTGAAAGTAAGGCCGCAAGAGCATCGCGGCCCATGCGGGGAAGGGTTGCGATCGAAATGGAAGACATCCTGTATTTTTTGCCTTTTATTTATGAGGTTTCTGCTGGTAGATGATTTGAAAGTGAAGCAAGAAACAATTGAATGTTTGGTAGGAGAGATACAATGTGTTTTCTACTGTAGAAAATGCGCATCAAAGTATGGAACACGTGACCTTCAATTCCTTTAATCGGGGGACGGTGATTTTCCGCCGCAGCGACTACGAGCGTCTTGACTCTCGGCACGCTTACACCAAACCAATTCTTGGACCTCAAGTACGACAGGCAGTCCTCTTGAATATCCGAGCCTTGCCAATTCGACACGAGCGTGTCCCTTCACAATGGATTTCCGCCTGATGGCCCGCAGCCTCCGCGCCAGACCAACACCATTCCTTCAACAAACCCAAGCACTCCCCCGATTCTCCCTTCTCAGCGTGCGCTACAACTCCTCCGACTCTTCATCAAACACCCCATCCCAACCACCAGCCACCGAAAGCAAACCAGAACAACCCAAGTCCGTCACAGACTTCGACGACATCCTCACCAAGCTTGACCTCAACCAACGGCCACGGGACAACCAAAATAGCCACCGAATCTTCGCAGACTCTCTTTCCCGAGCCGTGGGCCAGGGAGCCCAGGGTGCTGCGCGTCTCCGTTCCCGCCCAGCTGCACCAGCTCGCAAGATCGAGCTGAAGCTTGGACCTACGCTTGGTCGCCAGGCTCACGTTGATCCCAACCGTGGTAACGACCTTGCCTCTGCCCTCCGTAAGCTTGGTCAGAATCTTGCTACGAACAAGGTTCGTCAAGAATCCGCCGCGCAGCGCTTCCACGTTCGCAAGGGTATGGTGCGGAAGCAGAAGAAGATGCAGCGCTGGAAGAAGCTCTTCAAGGTCTCGTTCCAGGGGACTGTGAAGAAGATCCAGCGGATGCAGGCGCAGGGCTGGTAGTTTATTACGCATGCCCTCGTTTAATTTTGCTTTGGGCCCGTCCTCTCGGCTTGTATTGTATATACCGAGGCTGATGTGCTTGATGGCCAGCGTGGATGGAGTGGCGGCCTGAAAAATGTTTTCATTTGTTACTTGTACAATTATCGCCTAGGTACTTGGATTTCTTTGTTGAATTTGGCTCTCGCATTAGATACGGAATGCATTGGATTTGATTGACAGCACCGAATGCGATAGATGTCGAGCACTAGCTTGCTTAATATCGACGCCATACTAATCAGGTACACTGTACACGCCATTGACGGCACTCTATACCCATGATATACACCTTTTGACTCTAATATCAATCTCTCTTGCCGGTCGGGAAAGAGTATCCGCCACCACCTCCAGCGCCGTTTCCATTGCCAGCACCAGCGTATCCGCCATATCCATTGGCCTTCCCACCGTTGCCAAAGGTGACGCCCGGTCCCTTTCCTCCCCGAGCAGGAGTGCCGCCCAGAAGTCCATCACCATGCCAAGGGGATCGAGTACGGCCACCCTTGCGCTCCCAATAAAGCGCGACCAATGCGCCAACAGAGGCCGCCATGAAAAAGAACACCAATTTTGAGATAAAAGAACCAGAGCCCTTTCCTGTCCCGGTCGCCAAAGCCAGCCAGGAATCAGTTGCCGGTCTGACCGGCCACCCAATACTATCACCGCCCTCTAGCCACGCAACATGGAAAGAGAAAGTCAGCGGCTCTCCTCGCACAACCTTGGTACCATGTCCAGCAGTCCAGGGCTCACGCGCCGCCTGAGCAAGAGCAACTGGCTCCTCCTCCTCGTCAAGCTTGGTCATCTTCCCGGTGTTATCAAACTCGGGGGTCGAGTACGCAGTGCCGCCAACCGCGAACCCAGGCTGACCGGACTGGGCGCCATTATTGGTCTTCTGCTCGGCAGCTGCGTCTGAAGCCATGTTGTGCATGACGACGTTCATGTCCGTCCATATATGCAGATGGCTTCGCTGTAGCGTTCCCTGCAGCGCGATAGTGAGCGGTGTAAAGGGTGGACCGTTGTCGGCGAGCGCAGAGAGAGTGTCTGCTTCGCCGGACTTTTCGTCTTTGCTCGCATGGGGCTCGGCGGAGGCTGTCAGTGGTGCCGTTGGCACACGACATGTCATAGGGACATCTGAGTGGACATAGAACTCAAGAAGGTGGTAGAGCTCGTCGGAGAGGGAGGGGATGGTGCAGGTGATTGTTTCGGAGATGCCATAGCGGAAGGACAGAGGTCGGGTGGTCTCGTTGCAGGTGTAGAAAGGCACATATTGGAGTTTGCCGAGACTATCGGTGATCTGTTCGCGATTGCTGTTAGTGATGCTATTGTGGTCTGCGTGTCCGGACCACGCAGGCCTGAAGGTCGGTGGCGCTTACATGTTCTCCCTCCCTATCGAACAAATTATGGTTAGCGATGGCAATGGACCAGTTTCGGGGAATATACTCACACTGTCCGATTCAAACACGATACCGGAATGGCTTCCCTGAGCTTGTATCCCTCGTTGTTGCCATTGCTACTCCCCGCAAGTGCTCCGGTTGGCCACAATGCACCTGTCATGGACAGCAGCGCCACTGCCATGGCGCACGGGCTCAATTGAAATGTCATAGACATTATTGCTTTTTCCAATGGCTGTCTGAAATTAGCCGCCCCGCGACAACAAGTTTCTCGAAGGTTGCGCAGGGGTTCAGGGCGTAGTTCTGCCGCGGTGTTGCGGAGTCGGAGATGCGACGCCCCAGCGCAACAATGCCCCTGCGCTCCTAACCTTGGTGGCTGGGACACATGCAAAACACAGTACGGAGTACTTCGAATACTTTCTTTCACGCAACAAAGAAAACTACGCAGGACTACTCGCTAAATCGGAATAAGTGGAAAGTCAGGATATTCTTTTTTTTTTCCAAACACAAAATATGTGACAAAGTATCAGTCGTTGCTCGTCAAAACAGCTCGAAGCTTCTGCACTTTACAGTTACAGGCTTTAAGCCAGGTTAGCCTTCTGCTTGAAAGCAAGCAGCAAGCCGCTGGTGGAGCTGTCGTGGTCAGCACCGGCACCAGAGGTCTCGAGCTCGCTTTGTATGTTCTTGGCGAGAGCCTTGCCCAGCTCGACACCCCACTGGTCGAAGGAGTTGATGTTCCAGACGGCACCCTCGGTGAAGGTAACGTGCTCGTAGTAGGTGATCAGGGCACCCAGAGTGGAGGGGGTGATCTTCTGGGCCAGGATGGAGGTGGTGGGACGGTTACCCAGGAAGGTCTTGTGAGAAACAAGGTCCTCGGGAGCACCCTCGGCCTTGACCTGCTCAGGGGTCTTGCCAACCATGAGAGCCTCGGATTGGGCCAGGAAGTTGGCAGCCAGCATGCGCTGGTGCTTGCCACCCTCAACGGGGTTGTGGGACTCAGCGGCCATCAGGAAATCAGAGGGAATGAGCTTGGTTCCCTGGTGCAGAAGCTGGAAGAAGCTGTGCTGGGCGTTGGTGGCGGGCTCACCGAACAGGATGGGTCCGGTGGTGTACTTGACGTACTCTCCAGTGCGGGTGATGGCCTTACCGTTGCTCTCCATGGAAAGCTGCTGCAGGTAGGCGGGGAAACGGTGCAGGTATTGGTCGAAGGGAGCAACGAGGTGAGTCTGGGCACCGAAGAAATCGCTGTACCAGACGCTCAGCAGACCACCAAGGGCAGGGATGTTCTGCTCAAGGGGAGTCTCCCGGAAGTGCTTGTCCATAGCCTGGGCACCGGCCAAGAACTGGTGGAAGTTGTCATAACCAATGTACAAAGCGACAGACAGACCAATGGCACTCCACACGGAGTAACGGCCACCAACCCAGGATTCGAAGCCGAACATGTTCTTGGCATCAATGCCGAACTTGGTGACCTCAGCCTCGTTGGTGGAGAGGGCAACGAAGTGCTTGGCGATGTGTGACTCGTCCTTGGCGGACTGGAGGAACCAAGTCTTAGCAGAGTTGGCGTTGGTAGTGGTCTCGGCGGTGGTGAAGGTCTTGGAAGCAATCAAGAAGAGAGTAGTCTCGGGGTCGGAGTTCTTCAGCGCCTCAGCGATGTGGGTTCCGTCAATGTTGGAAACGAAGTGGAGCTTCATGTCAGGGTGTCCGTAGGGCTTGAGGGCCTCGGTGACCATGACGGGGCCGCTGAAAGGATATGTTAGCTTTGTCTACTCTGACTAGCGGACATCAACTTACAGATCGGAACCACCGATACCAATGTTGACGATGGTGTTGATCTTCTTGCCAGTGTAACCCTTCCACTCTCCGCTGCGCACCTGCTCAGAGAACTCCTTCATGTGCTCAAGAACGGAGCTGACGCCCTCAACGACGCTCTGGCCATCGACCTCCATGGGCTCCTTGGACACATTGCGCAGAGCGGCGTGGTAGACAGCGCGGTCCTCTGTGAAGTTGATGTGCTCACCACGGAACATAGCATCACGGAGCTCCTCAACGTTAGCCTCCTTGGCGAGCTTGACCAGCAGGGACACAGTCTCCTGGGTCAGGAAGTTCTTGGAGAAATCGAAGAGGATCTCAGTGTTGTCAACAGTGTTGGCGAACTTGTGGCTGAACTTCTCGAACCGCTGGGGGTCCTTCTGGAAGTACTCCTTCAGAACAATGTTACGGCCCAGGGTGTTGTGGTGCTCCTGGAGCTCCTTCCACGCGGGGAGGTCGCTAGCTTGTGAGAAACCCGGCATGATGATGGTGAGGGATCTATAGGGTCAGCGCGGGGTAAAGGCAAAGATACGGAATAGACGGATGGATGTACCTGAGGTATGATATAAGGAATTATGATGAAGAAGAGAAGAAGGGGGAAAAGTAGAAGCAAGAAAACTAATGGCGTCAGTTGCTCCCGGCGCGCTGGGGTCCGAGGGGTCGTGGGGCAACATCATCATTGCCGCATTCGGCCTGTTTTTTCCCGACTGTTTTTATTGTCCGGCCCATTTGAACTGGAATTTCTACTGCAGGAGATATGAATTCGCAGGCTATGAGGATGGACTAGAAGGACCTCATCCCTCAGATCTTTGGTTTAGGCCTTCTGCCCTGTGGCTTTTCCGTTTGGCCTTTTATGTCACCGTGGAGTATACACCGGATGCCCTGGAAGCTGACTACTAGCACAGTACCCCGAGTCAACCCCGAACATCCCAGTGAGCCAGACAGAGTATGTCGCAGTCCCTAGGCTATTGCTATTACTCTTCCGGGCTCGGTCTGACCAATTCGGCGGTTCCAGGTCGATAGCGGGGCATTGGAAATCGAACGAGTAACGGCCATAGATTTCCCGTCTGAACGGCCTAGTTGTCAAGGGGTCCCGAGGTCATCTGATAGGACCCATTTACCCAATTTGGAACAGTCCGGTCTCAGGGAAACACACGCTGATTGAGCGATGAGAGGAATCTGAAGAACCATGAACAAGTGGGAAACCGTAGCTAGTACTCCGTATGCGCGATGCAGATGTCAAGCTGCATGGCTAAAAGAGGAACAACCGGAATTCTGCCATACAACGCCGCCTTCCGGCAAGCTACTCGTAAACCTTCATTTCTCTGCGCCAAAGTTCTTGGGGTTTGAGATTCTGGTACATACAATTTGAATTGGGCCTTGATCAACCTTCCTTTCTCGATCTCGTCGCCCTGATGTACAATCCTTACCAAGGTAGGTCTTTTCGTGCCGGAACGATTGGCGTCGCCGAAAATATTGGCAATCATGCTGATCTCAATCAAGCTCCAGGTATCTATGGAGGTGCCCCGGACTACGGCGCGTACGGTGCTCCTCCGGGAATGGGTGAGTCGCCTCCCTTCTACAGAATGCTTTTGATTCTAACCAGCTTCAAGCACCTCCCGGAGTAGCTGCTCCAGGGACCGCTGCTCCTCCCGGCATGCAGCAAGCCAACACTCAGCAGCCTGGTCGCCCAGGGTTCCCGCCCAACTTTCAACCTCCGGCGAATATGCCCAATATCAATTTCTCTGCTCCGGTCATTCGTCTAGGCACCTCAGGCCCAGCCAAGGCTGCAGCCCCAGAAATGGGCCGCGAGCGGGGGCCAGATGGCCCGGGTCGACGCGGTGGTCTAGGATCAACAGGGATGGACCCTCAGCGCCACTCTGGCCGAGAGGCGATGGTGCCTGTTCACCCCCCTACCCGTGATGAAATTGTGCGCACGCTTTTCGTTGGCAATATCACTGAGGGCGTGGGTGGTGACGAGGGCATCGAGCGCATTCTACGATCTGCCGGTATCCTGCGTCGGTGGATTCGTGCCACCGATGCCGATGAGAAGCCCTGTCGATTCGGTTTTGCCGAATACGACGATCCAGAGAGCCTCGAAATTGCCGTTGAGACATTGAAGAATGTCGAGGTGCCAGTCAAGAGACAGACTGTCCGTACAGATGGCACCGAGGAACAGGAGGTGGAAAAGAGCACGCTTCTGGTGCGTCTTTCTCTATCATTGTTTTATAAACTGCAACTAACAAGCTGTATAGGTCATGGTCGACGAGGGTACTCTGACCTACCTGGAGCAATTCGAGTCAAGCCGCGCCGAACAGGACCCTGAAGATCGCCAGGCTCGGTTCAGCGCTGCTCGCACCAATCTCGAAAACGCCTTGAAAGACCTATTCCACCCTTCCACTCCCACTCAAAAGGAAGATGCCTCCACCCTTGACCGAGAAGGTGATACCGATATGCAAGACGTCGAGGTTACGAAGGATGGTGAGGTGGTTACAATTCCGATTACAATCGAAGACGAGTTGGCCGATGTTCCGCCTGAGATGCGCGCAAATGTCGCCAAGGAGATCGCAGCGTTCCGTGAACGCAGTAATCGCCGTGACATTGAGCGTCTACGACGCGAGGAAGAGATTGAGTCCATGGAGCGCGCGCGAAACTCCGGATCTCGTATTAACCGACTTGCTTCTCCCCCAGCCTCGGCTCCGAGTGGCCCTGCCGGTGGTACCAATGGCATTCCACTGGGCCCGCGGGACCGCAATGTCCCCAACGCACCTTCCGGCCCCAAGGCATTTGGTGTACAGATCCCCAAGGATTATCAAAAGGGAGTCTCATTTGTCAATGGCGGGTCCCTTAATGGCGTCTCGATGGACCACGAGGACGAGGATTCCGACGCTAGCGATGAGGAGATTCATCGCCGCCGGCAGGAAAGGCAAGAAGCCGAGCAAGAAAAACACTATTTAGATCAAGAGCGCCGCTGGCTCAATCGGGAACGCAGCCGAACCGCGGCCTTGGAGCGCGAGAAGAAGCGCGAGACCGAAGAAGATGGAAAATTGCAAGCTGCTCATGATGAAATGGAGGCGCGTCTTGGTGCTTGGAATGACGACACTGAAGCCAGTCGCAAGACTACGGATTACTACGCGGACCGCGGAGCCTGGCTTCGTACCCGTGGTGCATACCGCTCACGCGAAGCCAACATTGACGAGGCTGATCGTCTCGCGGAAGAACGCGAAAGCGCGCAGTCTGCCAAGCAGCAAGAGCAGGCTCGTGGCATGGCCGACGATTTCCTCGCCCGCCAAGCCGAGGAGCTTCAAACACGCCCCGCCGAAGCTCCTCGTGAGCCCCAGCGCTTCAAGCTGTCCCTCGGAGCTGCTGCGCAGAAAGTCCAGGCCGCCACCACCCGCCGCACTGTCGCCGAGGTTGAGGGTCTGTTGGAGGATGAGGAAGAGCCCGAGACCACCACCCGTCGCCAACTGGTTCCCATCAAATTTGACTCGGCCGCCGAAGCTGCAGGTCTCACTGAGGAGGAGCGCGCACAGGCCGCCCGCCAGCTCGCCGCGGAGATTCCAACCGAGAAGGACGGCCTTTGGAACTGGCCCGTCAAGTGGGAGTTTGTGGATGATGCCGTTCTCGGCGATCAGCTCAAGCCGTTCGTGGAAAAGAAGATTGTCGAGTATCTCGGTGTACAGGAGCAGATGCTGGTCGACGTTGTAGAGGAGCACCTGCGGAAACGTGGGCCACCCCAGGAATTGGTGGAGCAGCTGGCTGAAGTGAGTTTTTCCTTCTTTCTGGACAATATTTCATGAATCGACAACTAACCTTTACTAGGCATTGGATGAAGAGGCTGAGGTGCTTGTTCGCAAGCTTTGGCGCATGGTGATTTTCTTCTCGGAAAGCGAGAAGCGTGGTCTTTCGGCTTAATGAGATCCCAATGAATCCCAGGTCATTGTGAGCATATGCGAACCCTTGAGATAGCACAGATATTCCCTGAGAATTTCGGATATTCCAACGCTTTTCCGATGTCCACCCCCACGAGACCGTAGCCCTGGAGCTTTGCGCGAATCACGGAGCAGCTCCGAGTATACTTCCGTTGCTGTGATTGGTGGAACTTCACATTTTCCCGCCGTCCGCAATTCTCCGCCAATCAGGACGCGTTTGCGGCAAATGAGTGAGGGCGAGGGAGGGGCGCGGGATAACCTGGCGACGACGCGGGGGAATATAATTGCTCTATAGGCGCCTCGTAATTCCTCGATTCTTGTATTTCTCTTCTCATTGACATTCTCTCTTTCCTTCCGCTGTGTTGGGCCTTCAAAGTGTGGAACTTGCGATCTGTTACCCCAACTATACACCCCGCATTTCGATAATCGATCAGCAATTGACAGCTGCCTACCTCGTTACTGTGATAAAGTCTCTTTCAAAATGGTCAAGATCACTGGCTTCAGCACACGCGATGTGCGCTTCCCTGTACGTCAATCTTGCCTCAATATACGCCATTCCCGTGTTACAGCAGACTGACAGCCTGGATCTAGACTTCCCTCGACAAGACCGGCTCAGATGCCATGAACGCCGCTGGCGACTACTCCTCTGCATACTGTATTATCACCACAGACTCAGAACACTCCGGACATGGCATGGTACGTTGTTGCAGACTCCTCATCAGCTCCATCACTAACTCACGTCCTCAGACCTTCACAATTGGCCGCGGTAACGAGATTGTCTGCGCAGCCATTTCCCTGCTGGCCCCTATGGTCGTGGGTAAAGACCTCGATGAGCTCACCGCGGACTGGGGAAAGACCTGGCGATACCTTGTCTCCGACAGCCAGCTCCGTTGGATTGGTCCCGAGAAGGGTGTTATCCACCTTGCTCTTGGTGCTGTTGTCAATGCTCTTTGGGATCTTTGGGCTAAGACTCTCGGCAAGCCTGTCTGGCGCATTGTTGCCGATATGACCCCCGAGGAGTTCGTGCGCTGCATCGACTTCCGTTACATCACTGATGCGATTACCCCCGAGGAGGCCATCAGCCTTCTCCGAGAGGTTGAGGCCGGAAAGCAGGAGCGTATCAAGGAGGCTGAGGAGAGCAAGGCTGTCCCTGCTTACACTACCAGCGCTGGTTGGTTGGGATACAGCAAGGACAAGCTGAAGCTTTTGCTGAAGGAAAGTGTTGAGCAGGGATACCGTCACTTCAAGCTGAAGGTTGGCGGTGATTTGGAAGATGACAAGGCCCGTTTGAGCATTGCACGTGAAGCTATTGGTTATGATCAGGGTAACATCCTGATGGTCGATGCCAACCAGGTATGTTGAAGTTTGCCACTCAATGCATGGCTCTCGCTAACAAAATTGCCAACCTAGGTCTGGTCCGTCCCCGAGGCTATCACCTGGATGCAAGAGCTCGCCGAGTTCAAGCCCTGGTTCATCGAAGAGCCAACCTCCCCCGACGATATCCTCGGTCACGCCGCCATCCGCAAGGCCCTGGCCGATACTCCCCACGGCCCTGTCGGTGTTGCCACCGGCGAGATGTGCCAGAACCGCGTGATCTTCAAGCAGCTCCTGCAAGCGGGTGCGCTCACTGTTCTGCAGCCTGATGCTTGCCGTGTTGGTGGTGTGAACGAGGTCCTTGCTATCTTGCTGCTGGCCCGTAAGTTCGGTGTGCCTATTGTGCCTCACTCTGGTGGTGTTGGTCTGCCCGAGTACACTCAGCACCTGAGCACTATCGACTACGTTGTTGTTACTGGAAAGAAGAGTGTGCTCGAGTATGTCGATCACTTGCACGAGCACTTCGTGCACCCATCCAGCGTCAAGGATGGTTACTACGACACACCTTTGGAGCCTGGATACAGTGTTGAGATGAAGGCGGATAGTATGGATGCCTTTGAGTTCCCCGGCCAAGAAGGAAAGAGCTGGTGGAGATCCGAGGAGGCGAAGAGCATCATTGATGGACCTCGAGTTGTATAGATTATGGCTTCCGATAGACGATCATGTGTTCATGTTTATTTATGTTAATAGTTTTCAAAATTTATGGCATGTTTTCTTTTGACATGGATTGTTGTCCTATAGTTATTTATCTTTCTAATTTTTAACAAAAATTGGACTCGGAGAGCAAGGCACAAAAGTTGCCTTCGTTGCTGTTTGATACCTAGGTAGCAGTAGAACCCACATGTACGGGTTGGGGTTTGTAAATATGATACATTGTCAGGTCACCAGAGCCTGATTGAACGGCCTCTCGGCCAGATCGTAAAAGTACAAAGCAAAGCTGCCTTGTTGACCAGTATTAGTCGTCTCGAAGACACAAATAATGGTCAATGCTAGCCTGCAAAGATGTCATGTCTATCACAGATTAAATGAGGGAGATCTTGTGGATAGAGGCAATGGGGTATAATGAGGGTTAGCACAAAAGTCCAATCAGCGCCATTGAATACCGAAGAGCTTCAAAGCACTAGTCACATTAGCCTTCTCGGATGCCTTTTCAAGAACATAACGCGAGTGGCCCTTGACGTCTAACGCCAAAAGCTGGTACTCGTAATTACTCGAGTCCAGAGGCTTCATCATGTGCACCACGACCACGCCGGAGTTGAGAGGGCCCTCGACCTAAAATCTAAAGTCAATAAACGGTTCCACGTCTGCAGAGATTATGACATACGTGGAAGTGCAAGTGAAGGTGCTCACGCCCCAAACGATCCTTTTCGGTTCGCGATCTGGTCTTGGTCAGTACTCTATTTGGCTTGATATGCGCAGTCCATGTACTCACGCAATGGGTCTGTTACGAGCCCATCTACTCCGGGTGTTTTCGCCGTATGCTTGAATCTCCCTCCGATCACCGAGAAGCTTTATGCACTCGGGATCATCTTTGATGCGCGAAACTGCTTTCTCGAACTGCCATGTTCGACTATTGGGCGAGACCACCTCGAGGTAGAAAAGTGTGAAGACTCCACCCTATTTATAGAAATAGAGTTAGCAAGTGCTTGATGGTCTTAGCAGATAGCGCAATCCATACCGTCAGCACTGCTCCGGCCAGCACAAGCACAAAGTTGAAGGATTGCTGCGTTGTTCGCGCAACTTTTTCGCCACGGCTCAAGTCCCCCCATTGTACTCTTCCATCGCCGGACAAAACAGTGACGCTCCTTTTCCGTGACAAAGGACTCTTGGGGCCAGTGCCTAGGTCGTTCTGCGTGGCGTAGAGCCGGGTGATCTGAGTGGGGGCAGGGCGGAGGCCAAGAGATGCGGGCGAGATGCGAGGGATGGCGCGTAGCTGGAGAGCGTTCATGTTTACAGCGATTCGAGACCAAACCCGAAAGTAGCGTTCCAAGCTGAGGTCGAGGGTTCCATGTATCTGCCGTCGCTGCACATCGATCTTCGCATCACGTGCATGTGTTACAATACGGTATCGTGATACAGCCGATGGGGCAGAGTGGCCCCGGCCCAAAGGGGAGGCGTTGTATGACGATTACAGGCACCGGGCCTCTGAGTCCACGTTCGCCGTTCCCGATGTCTTTTGTTTTTCCTCCTCCTCGATCACCCCCCATTTTACTTCTCTTTGTCTTCGCTCGCATTGATATCTCATCTGCGCTATCATGAGTGCCACCAAGGCGCAGTCTCAAAAGATTTTTGAGAAAGTCAAGCTCAAGGCCGCAAACAAGGTGCGACCCCCACTCCCGGCTGCCCGCTGCGTGATTGTGGCACTCCATGCTAATATTCGGTCTATCGTAGGTATGCTTCGACTGCAACAGTAAGAACCCGACATGGTCTTCGGTGCCATTCGGTATTTACCTCTGTCTCGACTGCTCTGCCCACCACCGTAACCTCGGTGTGCATATCTCCTTCGTGCGCTCAACAAACCTCGACCGTATGTACTCCGCGACACAATTCTTCTTCTCGTCATGCAATCCGAGAGACAGCACTGATGTTGATTACTAGAGTGGCAATGGGAGCAGCTGCGCGTGATGAAGGTCGGTGGAAACGAGTCCGCGACCAAGTATTTCCAATCCCACGGAGGTTCCGCTGCGCTGGCAAGCAAGGATACCAAAGTCAAGTACACATGCAATGCGGCTGTGAAGTACAAGGAAGAACTCAAGAAGCGCGCTGCGCTCGATGCGCAACAGTTAGTGGATCTCAGTGTCCCGGTGGAACTCGCCCAGTTCGGCATTGACCAATGTTTCTACTTTTAGGTATCCCGGAGAAGTTGTCATCACCGATCTTCCCGCTGGCACTCCCTCGGATGGATCTAACACCCCCGCTGGCGATGCTGACGACGACTTCTTCTCCTCCTGGGACAAGCCCTCGATCAAGCGTCCTAGCAACCCCCCATCGCGCACCGGTACCCCCCCTGTTGTTAGCCGTACTAGCTCTCCTTTCCTGAACGCCGGAGCCAACGCAAACGGATCCCGTTCCAAGTCCCCTCTTTCTGCCTCGGAAGAGAAGAGCTCTTCTCCCGCCCCAACCGCCATTCGGCCCACCACTGCTGCGCGGAAGACAACTACCTCTACCACCGCCAAGAAGGGCAGCCTGCTCGGCGCTAAGAAAGCACCGAAGCTGGGAGCCAAGAAGGTCGCTGCTGCCGAGCTAATTGATTTCGATGAGGCCGAGCGTAAGGCCAAGGAAGAGGCTGAGCGCATTGAAAAGCTTGGCTACGACCCCGAGGCTGAACAGGCTGAGGCTGAGGCTAAGAAGGCTGCAAGCGCTGCTGCCGCTGTGCCCATTGCGGCCCCTACACCCGTTAGCCCCGCTGGCAAGTCTCACGAGCGGAACTCTAGCGATGTGGATCGACTAGGCATGGGCATGAACAGGCTCGGCTTTGGCCAGGTGTCGAAGCCCGCTGCTCCCAAGAAGCCGACATTCGGCTCTGTTGGTCCTGCCAAACCCAACCCTGCTGATGGTATCACCCCCAGTCCTACACTTTGTCAAGATTTGACAGACTGACCCTAGCCTTAGATGCCGAACTTGCCCAAACCAGAACCCGATTCGGTACCCAGAAGGGTATCTCTTCGGACGAATTCTTTGGACGCGAGCGATTTGATCCTGCTGCTCAGTCCGAGGCCAAGGAGCGTCTCCGTCAGTTTGATAGCGCTACATCCATTTCCAGCAACAACTACTTCGGCCGGCCCGAGGAGGAGGCCCATGGACTTGATGACGGTTATGGTGATATGGAAGCCACTGCCAAAGACTTCATCCGTCAATTTGGAATCACCGCTGGAGACGACCTCGAGAATCTCTCACATCTCGTGGGAGAGGGTGCTACCAAGCTGCAAGGTAACGTTCGCTTACCACATAGGTCACACCGATCTTGAATTTCCTGCTAACTAAATTCTTACAGGCGCTATCCGCACTTACCTGAACAACTAAGCTTCTTGCTCATACTCGCCCACCCCATCGGTTACGCCTTCTCTCAACCTTGCTTTGGAATCCCCTTAGCCATCTCTTTCTCGACTTCTCCATTCCCCCTCATGCTCGTATATTTTCTCCCCCCACATAACAATATTCTTTGCCCGGAAAACCATTGTGATCTGCGGTCAAAAAAACTTGGGTTTTCATATCGTTGCAATCTGGCGTGCGATCGCTGTTTCTTTCTTGCTTTGCATTCCTCCGTGGCAACATAGGATAGTGGGAGGAATTGTTGTTTCTTTTGTTTGTTTAGTCGGTATGCGTTAGGATAATCAAGGCTCATGATTTGATACTATAGACAACAGTCGATCACAGATAAAATACAAATGTTGAATATGAAAGCAAGAAAGGCCGCCGCAGCCAGCCAAGGGTATATGAAACGAACAACCTCACACGCGATAAATCGCATCCGCAACCTTAGCCACATGTGACATCTCACGAACATCGTGGACACGCACAATATCCGCGCCGCCACTAACACTAGCAGAAACCGTCGCGCCAGTTCCCCACACCCGCTCCGCAGGCGTCTTCACACCAGTGATGTTCCCAATGAACCGTTTCCGACTCGGCCCCATCAACCACGGGAAGCATTCAAGTCCAGCCATATTCCGCAGACGAGCCAAGTCACGCAAGATCTCCAGATCCTGCTCCTGGATCTTCGCAAAGCCAAGTCCCGGGTCGAGAATTATCCGCCACCGTCTGATCCCAGCATCTTCGGCCGCTGCAATGCGCGACCTCAACTCACTCGCCACTTCCGTAATCACACCGCTCGGGTACGAGTGGAGAGTGGTCATGGTCTGTGGCGTGCCGCGCATGTGCATCAGGATAACGGATTTGCCGATGCGGGCGACGGTGGGCAGCATCTCCGGGTCGAGGAGGCCGGCCGAGACGTCATTGACGATATCTGCACCTGCGGCGCAAGCGGCCTCTGCCACGGTGGCGCGGTAGGTGTCGATACTGATGGCGATGTTGGCGGCCTCGGGCATGCTGCGGATGTGCTTGATTGCGGGAACTACGCGGGCGATTTCCTCCGCTGCTCCTACGGGGGTGGAGCCTGGGCGGGTACTCTCGCCGCCGACGTCAATGATCGTGGCGCCGGATGCAATGAATTGGCGGACTGTTTCGGTTAGGTAATTGAGGTCTGTCGGGGAGTGCTTGCCGCCGTCAGAGAAGGAGTCTGGTGTTAGGTTGAGGATTGCCATTATATGCGTAGGACGCTTGGGGTCTGTTGAGTGCAGCGAAGTGAATGATGGTGAGATCGGGGTGGTTGACATTGGTGTTGGCTCAGGGGGTGGCAGCGCCGCCAGATGGGCGCTATATGACTTTGCTTCCTTTCCTGGTAGGGGCGGGAATTCGTTGGGAATCAGTCTGGGTTGGTGGGTTAGTTTGTTCCGCATTCCGCATATATGGAGCTGATATGGACGTACTGGCTGAGAGGACGCAGTACAAAGTCCCGTTCCAGCATCAGATTGTGCGGGATATTCAGACGCTCATGGGAGAATACTTCTTGATCATATAGTAGAATGTCGAGATCAATAGAGCGGGGTCCTTTGTCGATGAGCTTCTTTCTTCCCAGTGCAATTTCAATGGATTGCACAGCATCTAGAAGCTCCAGAGGCGCAAGAGTGGTTTCCACCTGAAAATTAGTCAGAGGGATACTCAGGGTGATAAGTATGCTAGCTCATACCTCGCATACACCGTTGATGAACGTATCCTGATCCAACACATACATCGGGGTGGTCTCGAACAGCGAGCTTGTTCTTTTCACCTTGATGCCCATTCGATCCATTTCCACACATGCTTGTTCGATCATTTCCACTCGGTCTCCAACATTGCTCCCTAGGGCAATGAATGCCCGGTGGACATCAGGGCTGCTATACCTCAAGTTCATCTTGTTGAGCCGAACAATTTGCCCGGAGAAGTTCCTGACAAGCGGGGTTGAATGAGACTTCAACACACAGCGTGACAGAGCATTCCTGTTCAATTTGGCTGGCTTGAATATATGTACAGGCTCTGGAATCGATCAGTTTCAATTTGTAGACGTCAGATCAAAAGGAAAAAAAATTGCGGGACAGCGATTTCCCTTTTGGGGTGATACGCCGATAAGCGTGGCAAGGGGGGGACACATACGAATATTCAGTCTCGCGCTGTCACTGGAGAACACTCGACTGTATCAACCGGTCCCAAGGTCAGATTCATGATATTTATGCAGGCCACTTGATCGACAGAGTGTTACCTTGATTGGTCCGACGCGCTCAACGGCGGTCTCCAAAGCCTGGCCGGTTGGAGGCTTATGAGTGGAGAAGCCAATGGGGCTCTCTGCAATAGTCGGGCACGCATGATGTATCAACGAAAAGATGCAGATCAGGAGTGTCGACGCTGGTAGCTCTGCAAATGTGAAAGCATCAATCAATTGATGCTTATGGGGACCAGAAGTTTCTTACATAAGGCTCCGGCTTCGATCCCGGTGCTCCCCCGGGGCCGCCAACTACGGGTCTGAGCTCGGCACTATACACTTTAGAGCTGAGTCTATAAGACAATTCGGTCCTCGCCAAAGGTCGACTATCAATAAGACCTTACTATGGCTATCTAATTGGGGCACATCGTATGCCTCTGCCAGCTTGCATCTAACATCGTCAAAGTCCCGATGTTCTCAAGCCGATATGCCCGGTGGGTGCCGGATATCTGAGTGAGGAGTGCAATATGTAAGTGTCTCATGCTAATGTGAAGCAAACCCCAAGAACGACCACGGCCCTTAATATCCGAGGTCTGGGATACCCCTGATCCAATTGCAAATATCGTCACAAATACAAATCATGATTGCATCAGATATCTGAGTCACTGACTTCAAAAGCTTCAATGTCTCCCGGTAATTAGTCCCCATATGGGAGACTAGATGGCGAGTAAAAAGTCAGAGGAGGCATTGTTGTAGACTTCTACTTGAAACGTATGTTAATCTTCACGGTTGGGTAGGGCTGGGGAAAATAATATACCTCAGCTCGTAGCCACGAAGAAACCTTGGAAAGAATTGAAGAGAAATTGGCATGTCGTGCCAGAGAGTCGAAGACAGTGAGCATGGAGCGAGAGAAGAAAATGACGCTGGGAGCAAATCTCATATCTTGTTTTCTTGCTCACTTCTCTCAAGACAATACGTCAGCAAAATCCCAAGGAGAATGAAGCAATGTACGCTGTGCCATCCAGAGACCGGCCACATCTCGCGCCGGCATATTCAAGTCGTTCTTTGCGCATAAAGCTAATTCTACTGGCCAGGCATGAGTTCAACTAATCTTGGAAGAGGTGCACGCAACTTGTTACTCAGCACACTGCGAGTACTCCCTCTAGTTCGAAGACGACTGCCACAATTTGGTCAGAATTTTCTGGTTCGGTGATACACGAAGAGCTTCAGAGGCTTCACAGCCATGCCATGATGACACTGCAAGTTCCTGGAAGGGGAAAAGGCAATGTTGAAGTCGTAGAGAAAAATGCATTGGGAATACAAGGTGTGAGGGTTAGCATCTGTTTCTGAGGGATTTCTGTGGTACGCAGGACTGTCATTGATGTTTTGCAGCATAGAATCACAGAGGACCATGGACTACAGTTCGATCCCACATCTGTGTGTTGTGACAACTTGTGAGAAATCCAGGTACGGAGTATGGGATCGGGGCTAACACCGCCACACGTGACTTATCTCACCAGCCACAGCTGCGCCACAGTAAATTATTAAATCCACAACGGATTCGCCTTTGAAAGAAATCCAGAAATTCAGCTGCAGCCGCAATAACACCACAACGCACAACATGTCTCGACTCGGGAAGTGAGTACACCCAGGCCCAACCCTCCAAAAACCCACGCCCTAACCAGGATTTCTGTTCAGCCGCGCCGACTGGGCCGACGACGAAGAATTCGATGACCCCTCCGCGCTCCCCGCGCAACAAGTGATCGCGAACAAGGACGGCACCAAGACCGTCATTTCCTACCGTTTCAACGATGACAACAAGAAAGTGAAGGTCACCCGCCGAATTAAGACTACCGTCGTTCGTGAACACGTCAACCCCCAAGTCGCCGAACGCCGTAAATGGGAGAAGTTCGGTCTCGAGAAGGGCCACGCCCCTGGACCTACCTTCGATACCACCTCCGTGGGTGAGAACATCGTGTTCCGCCCGACTGTCAACTGGAAGGCGAACGCCAAGGAGGAAGAGAAGGAGGGCGGCGAGAAGGGCAGCATGAAGGACCAGCTCAAGGACAAGAAGGTCAAGTGTCGTATTTGCAGCGGAGAGCATTTCACTGCTCGCTGTCCCTTCAAGGACACCATGGCTCCCGTCGAGGAGGGTACTGCCGGTGCCCCTGGCGTCGAGGCCGAGGAAGACAAGGGTGGTCTTGGTGCTGGAAACTCCAGCTACGTTCCTCCTCATATGCGGAAGGGCGGTGCTGGCGGCGGCGAGAAGATGGGTGGACGCTTCGAGAAGGACGATTTGGCCACTCTCAGAGTTACAAACGTATGTTCTGCCTCTTTTCTACCTCCCGGGGCTACGATTGTCCATGCTGGAGCGATGCTAATCAGTATTTTTCTCTCGCGAACAGGTCAGCGAGTTGGCAGAGGAGAACGAGTTGCGGGATCTCTTCGAGCGTTTCGGTCGTGTTACCAGAGTCTTCCTCGCCCGGGACCGGGAAACCCAGAGAGCCAAGGGCTTTGCTTTCATCAGCTATGCGGATCGTGGCGACGCAGAACTTGCTTGCCAGAAGGTGGATGGCTGTATGTTTCTTCTCCCACCCAACGGGTTTTCTTCATCTCTGTGGAGTGCTAACGTGTTTCTTTCCAGTCGGTTACCGCCACCTCATTCTTCGCGTCGAGTTCGCCAAGCGTTCTACTTAAATGTGTTTTTCGGTTCTCTCTTACGACTTTTTGAATGGAACTTTTCCTTCTTCTCAGGCGGGCCTTTCTCTAGGCCGAAGCTCTTTTCCTTGTACTGTAGGAGCTGGTTGATAATGATGATTTCCAAAAAGACATCCACCGTGTCACTTACTTGCATTCGTCAGTCTATACAAAAGCAATGGGTTAGAGAAATTTTAGATCTTTTGCACTGTTCTGACTTCACAAGCCATGATAGAGGCAGCATCGCGAGCAATTCCATAATAGCTTCGGGGCAACCATCCATGGGTCCTCTCAACCGCCCATGGGACCAGAACCACGTGGTTGTTTATCCAAACTTTGCAACTTGACAGCCATGGCCCAGTCAACTCTGTCGTTGCGCGAGTGCAACGTCCTTGACATCAGGTCCAACAATGGGTCTGATGCTTGGGCCTCACTGAGCATCCCGAACATGTCTCATACGAGACAGCTTTCCTGGTAAAGTAAAGGGCTCAAAATAGCTCGGTTCGAGGTAAGAGCAACGGCCGGAAGCTCCCAATCATGACCATTCTCCAGCTGCAGGTATTCTAGCCGTCGATCTCGGAACTGATACTGAGAATCAGTAATTGGCCGCAGCTCACTACACCCTCGCCGGCGGCAATGACCTGGTGTCGGGTCCGGATGACAACATTCCCTTGCTCCTGTTCATTGTGAAGCTGTCATCTGCAAGTTGAGAGTGGTCGATCTCGGTCTCGACTGCTCGACGCTCGAATGGCTTCAGGGATTGCAATGAGACTGAAAGTTCTGTCGATTCGCATGACTCTGGACATGGCCTCGGAACGAAACTGAGGTCAGGCAGCAGGATGCTTTGGCTTTTCTGCCCTAGCTACATGTTACATGATACATGCTACACACTTTGCTGCTATCTACGCCCTCGGGTGACAGATCCCGAGTCCAATCGCCAAAGTACCTTTCTGGAGATCGATGTTGGATCTCATCGACTCAAACCCAGACTTAGCCTCGCCGGCAAAATTTGTCGCTTCTGAATTTTCCCGGTAACGGGATTGGGTTGCATCACGTCGTATCGCCGGTCATTTTAGGAAAGAGACTTCCTTCGGGGTAAAAAGCTTACCTCCGGGTCCGGTATTTCACCAGCCCCCTGTTAGACAACACGATCTATCTGACCAAGCAGAACCGAAACACTCGGATTATTCCCTGTCAATCTCGCTTCTCCCAGAAAAGCCCGCTAGGCCGCCATGTTCTGGCTTCTCCTCCGCGGCAACGGTATCCAGTATGACAAGAAAGACACATGTGAAAGTCGTTCATGCCTTCACGAAGTCCTAGCAACATTGCAGGGAATCTCGGCGTCAAACCCCGTGCTTCAATCGCTATTGGCCACGGACTTTCGACTAGAATGGCAATTCTTCAATGACAACGTTTCGGCTCCGTACCGCTGAGCAAGTTTTTTCTTGGCCAATTCCTCCGTACGACGCTGGCACGACTTAGGGTTGGCTAGACGATGGGAGGTATGGTTGACAGAGGTTATTGAATCTTGCCATGGGAGGCAAAACCGGCTGTCAGATAAGCCGTTCGGCAGCGTAGACTCTACAACTGGTCGGTATCCAGCGCCATTCGAAGCATATTTCCCACCTGACAGACGCTCATCAAGGATATTTCGAGGGCGACGATCCAATAGGGACTAATCACTCCGTTGAGACCCATGTCTTGAAACTTTGCACTTCCATCCATGCCGACAGGCTCGGACGCCTCAAACATGGAGCTTTTTTGGCGGGAGCTTCGTCCTCGTCGCACAATCGATGATGTTGGGATGAAGATCGAGGATGATCAAGATTTGGGATGACAATACGGGGACACTGCCAGTGACAGTTCCACAGCCGTGTTGTCTTGAAATCTCTCATAGATACCTGTCATTGCTGTGGACCACCAGCACTGGACTCAACTTCCGCAGAAAGTAACCTTCAATCTCGGAAGAAGTGATACACAGGTAACCCATCACAGAACCTTGTGTTCGGTCAACCCGC